TGTAAAGAGATGTATAGAGTGATAGTATATTTTAGTGAGGTAGGGGTTCAACTAAAGTTGAACCCCTACATAATTATTAATCATATGCATAAAAGTAAGTATAAGAGCTCATCAGGACCCAAAATAGTTTGGGTACGTGTGAGGTCGGGTACCTCATGGGTACCCAAAATTAGTCAGAAATTTTTTGGGTCCGTGTGAACTTTTTTTGGGTACGTGTGAGCTGGAACCCGTTTAACAGGGTGTGCGGATGGGAGAATTAGCCAGGTCGGTCGGTGGCTGCGGCTGATGGCGTCTTATTGCTGGTGTCGTTGTAGTTTTACATCTACCAATAAATTTCTAGTCTTTGTCAGGGTGTTGGCAAAGATCTCAAGCTTTTTTAAAGGTTTGATGGAATTATAGGCCAAAAGCCACGCTCCAATTTACCGATTACAATATCCCAAAATCGACACCTTGAGATCGTGATGCATAAAAAAAAAATATTCCAAGTATGAATCCACTTCTGTCCAGTATTAACAGGGTTAAACGTAATACGGATTAGAATTCCCTTGGCAGCTAGCGCCCACCGCACATGTAACAAGCAGGGTCCAGGTACTGCCGTTTCACTGCTCAAGCATTTTACCATCACATTTCCATGCGTTGTCCACACAGGTCATGTATGTATAGGCCGGTATTACAGCTAACGGATGAGCCTGCCGCCATCCATGTCGGAGTATCGGACGCACGCGAAGGCTCAGAGAGGGTGATCTCTATAGTGCTCGATGCACTGGCATCAAACTCATAAACCGCTCACCAAAACCTCTAATACAATCACTACGTGGCCACCCTGACACGCGTCTCCAGACAGTACCTCAAGTCATAGATCCTCGGAAACTCAAAATCGGTTTATTAGTACTCCTATCCTATTATTAGGGCTAAGAGGTTCTTGCTGCACGTTCTAAGCATACATAAGGCGGGTACGTAGTAGATCCCTGAATATCACCGCATAATACTTCTCATTTAGGGCTGCGGCAATCCGATTAGGTATACAACCTAACTGCGGTGGGTAAGGTGCCCTTTATTACTAGTTTGTTTCTACGAGTCAGTCACTTACATCAAAATATCAAATTAGCTAATTACCATCTTTAACCCATAGCACAGGTTAGTTACCTTCGGACCCTACCGGAGCATCTAAGATTATGTTGAGTAAATGTTAATGAACTAGTCTCAAGATTTCAGCTTATACAACGTCGGAGTCTGCCTAATCATCATAACGAGCCTTCTATTAAAGCTTCTTATATTTATACCGGTCCCCACTAAGACCAAGCCACGAGCTAATATCACCTTATTACAGGTGGATAAAGCAAACCTAGTAGTTCTCGGCTTATTATCAGTTTAACCTAATTCATCATCACCTATAGGAATTATCATATCGATAATAAATACCTACTATGCATAGTGCAACCATATAACTATATTAGACATTCCACTTACCCATTACGTACACTCAGAGCCTCTCTATCTAGAATCTAATTTGATTGAAATTACATTACTATGTACCTAAGCCAGCTATAGAAGATTAGGACAAGTAGAGGTCACTATACCTATATAGACCCGGAAGATATACGATTCTATTTATATTAACAATCACGATTAGATTATCCAATTCTAGCTCTTGGAATTAACTCTTGTGTAATACCATATTCAATTACTACGATATTTTTGATCTAATCGAGTAGGATAGATTCATCTATATCTTACATAATAATCTTTTCAAGATAGCTAATCATCCTAGCAGGAAAAGCGGCATCTTCGAGTACACGCCTACGCAGAGTATAGAAGCCAATATTACCTTTAATCCAACTCAGGGTATGCAGTAAACTCCCGTTTTCGGCACGGCCTTCCATACAACAGAATCTTAGTGTGTCTAATAAAGTATACTTGCTAACATTGCGCTAATCCGAAATAGGTACCCACTAGTCTGTTTTTAGTCCAAAGTAGTTATCCACTCTCCTCTATTTCCTCCTATGATCCTATCTATCTATAGCCGAGAAAAAGATGGCCTATCCTCTCTATATCCCGTAGATCTCTCTCAGTAATACCCTCTTAGTACTAAGCAAATTAAAGAGCCTTATCCATATATTCAATGGCTTCAACACGTAGTAGGATTTTCAGTAATAGTCCGAATATATATTCGTCCTAGTCATCCTCACTATCCTACGTATCACCACTAACACCACTAGCATTTTCTTCTAAAAATCAATAATGATATCAGATAGATCAGGTTCTTAGACGTCAAAATTTTCACCTAGAAGGTCTAGGAATTCCTCTAATTCTGCAATATGGGAATGGCTTCATGGAATGAGAAGTTATAACAATCAGATAGCGGCGGCGCATAATCATGTATATAGAGATAAGCACTAAAGTTATCGAGTAATAGAACGAATCGTCTTTATATGCTAATATACCTATAGAACAAGTAGAACCATTCTTACATAATATCGCCGCGTATCTATACGTTCTTATTCTATCTCTAGACGTATCTAGTTAATAAGACATTAAGTTTTCGTAGAGCGCGAGGCGTCTTTACAGTACCTATTAACTAGAGAGGCATTCGATCCGAACTAGTAGCGTTTATCGTTACTACGAGAGTAATCCTAGTCTTATCCTTTTTATATCTAGGGGTTTTCCGTAAACCGGGTGAAACCCCAAGGATACCAGTGCAAACCAAAATGTGAAGTAATCACTACGAAGTAAATCATGTGTCGATACTCCAGCAACTTCAGGTAAGTATGTTTCTCTCACAATTCTAGCAATTAATGAATAGTCGTTAGCACAGTATAGTTTGATTTTGTTCCCGTCTCTTTACTGAGAATTGAAAGTAGACGTATGATAGCGCCACCCAGATTAGAATCCATCCGAAAAGAACGCCAAGTGATAACCCAAATGCATAAGGGAAATCTAGTACCCATATCACTGATGACACGACTCCTAAATAAAATGAAACCCCAAGCAACCACCACAGAGTCAAGTGAAACATCATGGATCTGAATGATTTAGATGTCTCGTACCGAATATTATAGCGTCTGCGGAATCCTCGACCTTGAAGACCATCAACTGCAATAAAATCTTCGCAGGCATAATAAACGAAAGGACGGATAGGGGTTCGTTTCACTTGAGAGTCAATACGGATCGGTATGTTGAAAGGAATCAGTGTAATGAACATTAAAACACCAAGAAATGCCATCAGTACCCCTGGCGAATAGAGGTACAGCTTAGGAATCTCTTTGGTACTTCCAATAAGAAATGGGATGAGGGCACAGATCAATGCGACCCCATATACCCAAGAAGTAGCATCCAGCTCCCATTTGGAATGGGAGAGAAGAGGTGCAGAATCTTCATGATATTGAAGAAGTCGAAAAATCCGGACGATGAGGATATAAAGCTCTCCTATGCCAAAAGAAATGATCGCGTATCCCAAGATATGGCGGTCAAATTCTGGCTTCAAGTATGGGCACCTTTGACCTGAAAATGTGTGGTAGAAACATTCTCGCTCCCACTGTGATTTGTGTGTATCATACCATGCGTAATAGATGATACATGGTACGACGAGGTCAAATATTACAATCATGGGGGGTCCAAGAAAGACGGCTGGATGGTCTGGAAATCTCGGATTCCTTTGCGCGAGCTTCTCTGTTGGATTGACTTCCATAGTCAGCTTTTTATACGCCGTCATTGTGAAGCAATGGTCGAAGTTTAATTCCGCGAGACGCGTACCATTAGCAACACGGGCATTATCCCGAGTGGCAAGGCCGGTATTGATTTCGTATTGGGTTGTCATCCTGGGATGAAAATCGTATTTCGCGATTATGGACTTCTACTGCTTGTAATTATTATAAGTTATCAAAGGCCCCGACCAACTTGAATAATATAGTGCTCACACATTGCACGTCAATGATTCATGACCCGGACATAAGCGGCTTTCAGCACGTGTACCAAAGGTTTTTCGGAACGAAAATGGTTTATGCTTTTACAGCTCCTGATTATGATAGGCTCGTAGACTCGCCAAATCTGGTGTGGTTACTAAACCAACCAGTCAGTTAACTAACTAACTAACTAGTTAACTAACTAGGTACGTTGGCTGCTAGGGATCATGATGACTAATTTGAGCCTAATTCTAACGTTTAGTTATCTACGGGCGAGCAGTCAACACGAGCGAACAGTTAACTCCAAAACGCATAGTAAATGTGATAAATTATAACATTATCTCAAATATAAAATTGTGTTATAATATATTCCTGAAGAACGGGAATTAAAGAAGGATATCTAGTATATCAGCAGGCCTTAAGCTTAAATTCCACGGAATAATGCTGCTAGGCGGGAGAGCTGTCAGGCTGCCGATAGCTTCAAAGTGGTTGCCTGCCCACTGAACGGCCGTTCATAGCTGAGCGGAACCTCTGGATGGCCGTTAGAGAATAACAAAAGAATACCGACGAGACAAATCGGTTACGTAAGCATAATAAGCAAAGGAAACTCAAACGAGCGTCACCTACGCCTCCTCATATTCCCCGCGGTCCTTTTACTCTTCTATGCACGCGGGCATATCCGCTGTCGGCCACCGCTCTAGTATTCGCTCGCATCGGCACTGTACTCCTAACGGGGGGATAATGCTCTTTTGACGAGAGTGCCTTTTTATAGCGTACTTTGTGTATCGCATTCATTCGTAGGGGTCTTGCGTCTTTGCATGCTTGCGGCATAAGTGCTAAACTTCCGTGACGGCGGCCTTGCATTCTTCATCAAAATCCGGGTTTGACCACGCCTATAGGTTCGTTCGTTCATAGGGCTGAGACGCTAATTACTGATTTAATAACGCTAATTAGCGTCTGGAATTGGTACTCGATTTGCGTAGGGTCTGCTTGAGATAGGTCTTTGCTTCGAGCCCTTCTTCAATTTTCTGAATGAGCTTAGCGTAGTCAGTGGCATTCCAGTTGCTCCTTTTCTCTTGTAGGCGTCTTGGTGTCTCAATGCTGATTCTACAATCAATTCTGACGACCAAACTCCCAGAATCCCGCTTCAAATACTTCCCTCACCTGCCGCCCTACACGGATCCCACTACGGGCATTCTTTCCATGCTCCCTTCCTCATGGGTCCATTACGCCCAACTGATGCGCCTCGAACTTCCTGGCGGCTTCTACGCTTTCTACTTCCTGTACATCATTGGCATCCTCTACGCCGCCTGCATCGCACCCCAGACTCCGAGCCCAACCAAGCTGCTGTCCCTAGCTGCCATCATGATGCCTTTCAATATACTCCTTCGCGGCGTCGCTTGCTCCTGGAACGACAACGTTGACCAGGAGTTTGATCGCCAGGTTGTGCGCTGTCGCCATCGTCCCGTCGCTAGAGGCGCCGTCACCACTATCCAGGCACACGCCTCTTACTCTTCGCCGAATACCCAATACTCAGCTACTTTCCAGCGCCCTGCACACCGCATGTGTTCATCACCGTCATGCTTTTATTCATCTATGCTCTCATGAAGCGTGTCACTTACTACCCTCAGGTCGTCCTCGACTTCCCCTTTGCCTAGGCTATCTTCTTCTGTATTGCCACCCTGGGCATGGACCCCTTCGACCAGCATCACCTGTCACCCACGCTAGCCCTCTTTGCGGCCAAATGTCTATGGACCATCACCTACGACACTATCTACGCCACCAGGATATCAATGATGACGAAAAAGCTGGGGTAAAGGGCATGGCCGTCAAGTTCAAGTCCACCACCAAGCCCTTGACGTCGGTGCTGGCCCCCTTTCAGGTAGTGCTCCTCGCTCTGTGCGGGGTCATGGGCTGGACTTGGTCTTTTCTACTACATTGGAACTGTCGAGGGCGTTGCCGTTGCAATGGCATACTACATCTATAGCGTGGATCTGAGTAATCCAGAAAGCTGCGGCAACTGGTTCCGCTATCAATTTTGGACCGTCGGTGCTGGGTTTGCAACAGGATTCGGGCCCGAATACTGCCTTAGACTGGCTGGCGCATTTTTTAACTGAAGCAGTCGCGATGAACTCGATACCATCGACTCTCGACTGTTTACTCAGTGAAAGATGGTGAAATGCTTCAATCCTTACATGAAGACAGAAAACTTCTAACTCCAAAAGATTACTGTGGCGAAAGCGCAGGTTGACACAGGGTAGTATAGAGCTTTTTGATTCCGCAAATTGTGCTTTAAAGAAGAAGTCGCGCAAACACGACACAACAAATTATGCGGTGTTGATAAACTCTCAGGCATAGGATTAAGTTTCTAGGTTTTCATTTCTTATGTCTAGCGGCTCGTGAATAATTCTTCGTACATGGTGTACCTCTAAGTCATTCAAGCGAAGAGTTCGTCGTTCTTTGAAGAACAAGGCATACAGAACAAGTGTAATATGGAAAAGGAAGAAGTTTTGAATCATTTTGGGCCCCTGAATCTCTTGTGTCTGTTGTTGAATCTCCAAGAGCTAAGAGAGCACTGTCCAGAAACCGAGGTGGACGGTCAGTTCAACCTCCGATTGAATCAAGGAGTCGTGATGGAAGGAGCATATGAATGATCATCCATGTCAAATACCTTCCATTGGCATGCCAGCACGTCGACTCAGTTAAAATGTGCAGAGGGAGGAGCACGGGAGGAGCACCAGAGCAAGATGGGCCTGCTCCCGTGGAATACCGAAAGTCCATGTCGCAGACCAGCATCCTCGCAATTTTTGCCGTCGATCGTCCAGGTGCAGCCGTCAGCAGGTCTCAGTGCACGAGACACCGGGCAGCCGGGAGTGAATCTTGCTTAGGTCAGCTCAGCTGCTGCGCCGGCCATATGGCTCGAACGGGAATGCTGCCGCCACGATGGCCATCACAATGTAGAGTGCGGCACAAATGAAGATTGGAACGGGTGTGTTTGTCTGTTGTCCGTCAACGTTGGTCTAACGTTCTCGTAACGAAAGTCTAGAGCAGAATATGAGACTCACATTCGCGGCGTTTCCAACCACCGCACTGACAATGCCCATGATTCGGTTGAGACCGATGGCCACTCCATTCCCGGTTCCGCGATGTGCAGAAGGGAAGACCTGCGCGGTTGATTGAGTCAGTTCGATGGGGGAAAGGATGTTTAAGCATGGAGAGTGGGAGGAGCATACCTCGGGTGTGTAGGCATACAGAGTGCCATAGTAAATGTTCAGGCAGAAAGAGATGGCACAGGTGAACCCAAGATTCTGGCTCGCCGTGCGCACTTGGGTGTAACAGAAGAAAAAGACCATGGTGATCAAAGCACCAATGATCATGGTTCCCCGTCGACCCCAAAACCAGCGAGAGCGACACATGAAGCCCGCAACCACTGGGCCAAAGATGGAGCAAGTGTTGTTGATGGCATAGTTGCGCCACGTGATGTATTGGCTGGATTGCCCGAAGCTGGCCCCGCGCGTGGCCAGATATGTCGGAAGGAAGACGTTGTAGAGAGGATATGCCAGGCCGATCAGGAGCCATGAGAACCACACCAGAGTCGTTGACCAACCCATTCGGCGGGTTGCATACAGCCCTTGCAAATGGAGGAACACTTCCTTAGGCGAGATGAGACGCTGGGAGAGGCCAACCGCGGAGGTGGAGCGGGTCTGAGTCGTCCCACAGGCTTCCAACCGCTCGAGAGTGAGACTGCAAGGCCGTTGGTATTTTGTCGCAATGTTCTGCAGGACACGGAGCGCATCGGCATCTCTGCCCTCGGTCAGGAGAAACTTGGGCGTCTCCTCGAGGCGGATGATGGTGATTCGGAGAATGGAGAGCACAAAGACGAACGCTCCAGAAGTGTACCAGATGTAGCGCCATCCCTGGTTGTTGTGCCGAGTACAATCGGCGGCATCCTCACAGGAGTAATTCGGGAGAAATCCCCAGGCAAACAATCCGGCAATCAACTGGCCCAGACCTGTCGAAAGTGAAACAAAGAATCACAGTCAGTTGATGGTTCCCTCGAACGCAAAGAAGATGAATGGAAGTGTTCATAACGTACCCCACCAGGCCGCCATCAAAGTCAACAGCCACTGATCTCGACTGGGCAGATACTCGAGGAACACAGTCGTGTCCAGGACCAGGTTTCCTCCCGCCCCAAAGGCGCTCAGACAGACAAACAGACCCAGAGTGACCCAGGATGGAGAAGCACCCGCGACCACTGTGAAGATGGAGGAGACGAATAGGGACACGTTGAAGGCGAAGCGGCGGCCAATGATGTCCGCCGAGAAGCCCCAGAAGATGGCGCCGACCAGCATGCCCACATAGACAGCAATGGTGAGACCCGTCGCGTATCCGGGATGGAACTCCTTCCGGGCTTGCGTGGAGATGATGGACTGAATCAACAGGATCAAGGAGTCGACGGCGTAACCGAAGCCGTTGAGACAGAACAACTTCCAGTGATGAGGGGTGAATCCGATCTCATCGATGGTCTTGATGCGGCGCCAGCGAACATGAGTTAGTTTTGAAATGCCCCGATAAGATGACCACGGAAGGTTGAAGGAGGCTCGCCCATGAGACTCACATCGTTCACCAGAACCATCTTGGCCGCAAGCACCGCGTCGACTTTCTCTCCGCCGAGCAAGTCATTCTCTCCATGGCCGATGGATCGGTCCTCGGCAATGGAGCGATCACTTTGCTTCTTTTTGCCCGTCTCGGCAGCGTCCGACGCGCCAAAGATTCCGGCGGATTGTTCGACATCCATCTTGCAGGGCGAGAAGGGGCAGTACGCGAGAGAGCGTCTCTTGGAGTATTCAGAGAGGGAGCTCGATCTGCACGAAATTCGGACCTCACGCGAGCGGGGGCACAGAGGGGGAGAGACGGTTGCATTTTATGGCGCGAGGAGAGCTCCGTGCAAGCCTCGGAGATTTGCCAGGGGAACTGTTTTTTCCCATTGTGAGCTCCATCGTTCCATTCGTCGCTTTTCGCGCGATGCTCTTCTGGGCGAGCTTTTGACACCTGCGACGATGATTCTTTGGCATGTCCACGCTTCGGGGAAGCCTCCCAGCCAGGCCAGTGCCCCCACGCGGCCTGCTGATTGGCGGGGGATCCATTGAACAGAGTCCAAAGACCCGGCAACGTGTGGACCGAAAGGAGGACGATCCGCCCGTCCAACACGGAACAAGACCCAACAAGATCCAACGCCACTGGCCCATCCGCCACAGGAGGAGGAGGAGGGTGGCACCCGTCCGTGCGAGACCAACCACATCCGGCAAGAATCGGCCCTCAGCAGAGAAGAAGAATGCGAAGAATGGGAATGGGCAATCAAGACGAATAATAATCATGCAGGCCAGATCAGATACACGGAGGAGTGGCCCAGTCGCACTTTCAATTATTTGGACGACTCATGAACGGACATCGCCAATCCGACGAGAACTTCGGCACTCGCACGTGCGGCTCCGAATTAGAGGGGCCCGGTCCTTCAGGCACCCCCCTCCTCCACGTGCGCGCTGGTCGAGTGCATCATCTCTCGTTCGGGTCAGTTGAGATTCTCAACGGGCTATACCCGACATGCCACGTTGCAGTTCGAGACTATGGGAATGCCATCCGGAATCAAGTTCTTTCCCAGCACTGTTTCCGGTCACTCATTGACTTGGTGCCTTGATCTACCGAGGGAGTGTCCATTCTCTTGGCCTCGAGCATCGAACAGTTGCACTTCTCTGTACGTGACGAGGATACTGCCCCAAAATGACGGGGCGATGAATGGGTCGATACGACGGCAAGCTACGTTCAGGAGATGCCATACAAGCCCATTCGAAAGACTCAGTTGTCATGGCATGATACAATTCCATACAAGATATATCCATTTGCAGACAGATACGAGATAACCTTCACTGCACTTAATTCCAGCCTCATTGAGTACATCAACACCTCTCCTGCATTTGACCTGGACCGAATCAAGACCACGACATACACAATTCAACGGGATCCATCAACCATGAACACACTCGGCCTGTCAGTGGTGCTGATTCACAAACTTCAACAGGGCAGCATTCACCTCCCGTGGGTGTGAAGCATTCAGGAAGTGCGCTCCTCCCTCCACCGGGACCAAGGTTGCAGATGGTGAGCGTGTGAATAGCTGGATTTCTTCGCTGGCATTGGCAATACTGTAGACCGCATCTTTGGTGCCCTGCTCGAAATTAGGGTCAGATTCCGCGAGAGATGCAAGGGCGACTCACATGCAGCCATAGAACGGGACACTGGATGTCAGAGAGTCGGAGATGCAGCCCTCCACGCTCTGCCAAATTAATGGCCGCCATGCGGATGCGTCGGCGACCCTCCTCTCCATGGTAGGTGGACTTGAGCGTTCTGTGCCAGAACTCTCGCACCCCTGGCGCGAGTTGGTTCAGCCCAATACCAATCACCGCATCGCAGTACGTATCGTCAGGCTCGAATTCCGGCGTCACCTCGCTGCTTGCCCATTGTTTCACAAACCCGGATACGATGACCGGGCCATCCCAGCAGTCTAGCTGGCGGGTTCGTTCCGATTCACTGTCCATGGATGTTCCCATCGGGATGATCCCCAAAATCTAAAGAGCAAAAGGAAAGTTAGCCCTGATCTCCTCAAAGCTTCCATTCAGAAAGGCGGACTCACCTTGTCGGGGCGCAGCAAAACCATTTGCACCGCGACCCAGCCACCCTGGCTGGTTCCCAGAACGAATGCACGATCAATCTGGAGAGCCTCCAACACCTGCAGATTCATCTCCGCAGTGTCCCAGTAGGTCCAATGTTCCCGAGCCGTGCGCGTCTGTCCATGGCCCAGGAGCTCGATCGCAACCAAATTCATATGGTCGGCCAATTCTGCATCGTCAAACTGGGCGCGGTAAAGCTCGGAGGACATGGTAAAGGCATTGATCATGACGACGGTCGGCTTGGCAGGATCATACTCGCGAGGCATTTGGTATGCTGCATCAATCCCTCCCAGATGGGGCACGCGGAGGGTCTTGGTGTTTACCATTTCTCGAGATTTCAAGTTTTGTTTCCCTGGACAGTTGTTTCTGTGTCAAGAGATCTTATACCCCATCCATCTCTTCCCATTTGAACGACTTCTTGGCTATTGATGAACCCCTCCTTGTTGGCTTGGCCCTCTGCCCGCACTTCTTGCTTTTGGTGGGGCAGTGGCCCCTCCAGGCGCAAGTACCAAACCCAGTTTTTAGGTAGAATGGGATTGCAATCTTAATTAGAGGAAAGAGATCTTCGAAGGTTTCGGGTACATGTCCATTATGACTATAGCTCGGAGTCTCTTTTGCGGAACGCCTGACGTTGTCGCTCTCAGAGTCCCTCGGCCAGCAATTCCACTGCGGGGCCTCTGAATCGTTTCTTCCCTCCGATCAGGTAATAGTAGACCCCACCGATAAACATCCAACCCATCGTCACCACGATACAGTAATTCATATTGTCGGGGGAGACGGGTTCAACAGTCGGGAAGGTACTGAAGACCATCGCCAACAACAACCATAACAATGCAATTCCATTTACCACCGGACCCCACCTGGGGCCGAGGTTAAACATTCCAGGTCCCAGACCGCGAACCACCTGACCGGAGGTCCGTCGGCCATAGACTAGCATGAACAAGATGGGTGAGAAATACGACGCATACATGCCGAGAATGGCCATGGAAAGAACGGCATTGAAGGCCGTGGAACTTCCCAGATAAATCAGCCCCAGCAGCATTTGCAGAAAGGAAACCACCAAGACCATGCGCACAGGAACCTTCACGGTCGGATTGACCGCGGAGAGGAATCCAGAAGCCGGTAGCCCGTCATCGCGAGCAAAGGCCCATGCTGTACGACTTGTCGAGGTCACTCCAGCAGCATTTGCGGCCACAGCAATCAGGGTGATACACAAGGTCAAGATGGATGCACCAGCCGGCGAGCCCGTGACGTTGAGGAAGAGCTGCATGAAGGGGAATCCAATTGGGGATGTCAGCAAGCTCTCAAGATCGCCCAGTGCGAACAGGAGCACGATGGCATAAACAAGTCCGATGAGACCGTTGATGGCCACACTGCCCACCATGGCCAAGGGCACATTTCGAGAAGGCTTGGGGAGTTCTTCACTCAGATGGCAGGCAGCGTCATATCTGTGACATAACCGTCAGTCCCGTGATACCAGTCTTGGGTCAGGGGTTGCAAGATCCATACCCGAGAAAAGGATAGACTGTACTCAGCAATCCCACCAGCCATGAAACCCCGTCGTTGGTCCATCCACTGGTGTTTGAGAATTCTGTGAAGACGTAGGAGGCAGAATGTTTCGACGACATGGCACCGAGTACTGCCACAATAGCAATGAACCCGACAACATGGAGGATACCTGTATGTTAATTTTCAGTAAGAGCATACTTAGATCAGTCCCAGGTGATGTCCTCTTACCAGCGGCAGTGTTTGAATGGGGTAAGATCTTAGAGCCCCAAATATTGATCGCAGTCGAGTACGCGATGATCAGCCAGTAGAACAACATACCCTGCCATCGAGTCGGGATGTATGAATCGGGATTGTTCAATGTGATGAGAGCTTGCAACTGCAGGCCAGCGGCAAAGGCTGCAGATGCGGCGAGCACCAGTTGGCCTCCAATGGAGATCCAGCCAGTGAACCATGAAGCTGTGGCGCGGTACGAGGCTGGTGTCAGGCAGTGGACCCAGTGATATTGTCCTACATGGTTTTCCGATGAGCATGCATTCTTCGGGTGGGCAGGGTGACAGTGTATGGTTGGAGGAACGCAAATGCAATGAAAGGAAAGGGAAAGGGGGCTTCGGAAGGACAGCATGACATACCTCCAGCAGTCGGGTAGATTGAAGCAATCTCACCTAGCGAGAGGACAACAAATACGGTCCCGACCAGAGCAATGATACTTTAATCAAACGTTGTCAGGATCCTTGTTATCACAGGTTCCCCCCCCCGACTGGCAGCACTTACTAGTTGTAGAACAAACAGGGAGCTCCACCATTGGTCAAGGCCGTTGCAACGACGGAAGACAGTGCCTCCCAGGTGGCCATCAAGGAGATTTGAAGACACACGATGGACCACAAGGAGAACTCTCGGCGGAGTTCTTGGACATGGCCCAGGGCGGCCAATTGTTCCTCATCGCTGAGGGGCTTCTCCGGGGCCACCTTGGTATCTGGGTCGGCGATGGAAGTCATGGGGGATACTCACGGCGCCCAATTCGGATCGAGTGAGTGAGAAATTAATTGGGAACACAGAATGAGCCAGGAATGCCCAGACTGTCTCATTACATTTCCAGCAGGGTCGGCGGAAAATTTATAAAGACTGGACGGGTAGGCTAAAAGGGGTGCGATACGCAGGATTGATTGACCCGGTGCGCCCAGTGGTAGCGATATCAGATTCCGCGATTGAAGACGTTGGCTTTTCCATAATCGCCAATCATCGAGCCTGCTTGGCCCCGGCGGCCGAGGTTGACTGGGTCACGGGCTCGTTCTGGAGTGCCTGGTTCCCCACAGCCTAATCTTCCCCGCATTTTGGCTCGGCGCGGGTCGCGGAACGTACCCGCGGTGCGCTCTCCATGTTCATCCCTTGTCGCTGGGAATGGCAGCCATTTGGGTTTCATTATTGGGCATGGATCTGACGAGAAACTTGAGGTAAAAGCCCACAACTTCCAGGGAATAACCAATGGCCCCATGTTGGGCGGGTGGTCGCAAGGAGTAATCTCAAAATGGAGTCGAGTCTCGGAAGCAAGAGGCAATTGATGCCGAGCCTTTTCGCGCTTATCGGGGGATCCACTTTCTTTGATAGCAAATTGGCGCCGGAACTTCCGCGTAATCACCCACGCCGTACCAAAGCCGTCACGGTCCGTTGGGACCGCCTGCTTGGAAGGGCCTTGCCGCCCAAATGAGACGAGATTGGACTGGCCACCGGGGAATACTGCCGGTTAATGTCAACCGGAGGATCACGGCGTTTCCTGTAACGCCCTGTTCCCGTTCCCTCCGTGACTTGGGGTCGTTGGTGAAGCTCCACTGATGGTCGAGATGCATCTCGGAATGCGGTCGGAACGTACCGAGTGGCCCCAAGCTCACGAGCGCAGCGTCGCACTGCGGATACAGCGACACAGCCGATAACCGACATGGTACTTAAGAATTCCCGCGTGCCCCTCCTCTTGTCTCGAATGACAGAATTTCACATACCACCATGATTCATCCGCTCGCCATCCTCTCCGAGGCCGAGACGAACCTCGCCCGGGACGTCGTCAAGGCGGCACACCCGAACACAGTGATCGATTTCCGGGAGATCTTCTTGCAAGAGCCGCCCAAGGCCCAGCTCCTGGAGTTCCTGGCCCTCGAACATGCTGGTCGCCTGAGCCCAACCACGCCTCGACCGCCTCGTCTGGCACTCTGCCAATACGACGTGATTGGATCCGACCGAATTCCCCAGTTCCATGAATCGGTGGTCGACGTGGTGTCCCAAACCCGCGTGAAGCATACCGTGGTTGGGAAACAACACCATGCCAGCTTGACACTGTAAGTGGTCCGCACATCGTGACGAGGAATCGAATGGGGAAAAAACCCCCCTCGCATGTAGATCAGTCGTGCTCACATTTTAAACAGGAGCGAATTCGATGTTCTGGTTGATCGCTGCATGAGTTCACCCTTGTTCCAAGCCGCTCTGGCCGAGTTCAAGCTGCCAGAGGGATTCGAAGTCGTGATTGAGCCGTGGCCCTATGGTGGCCTAGATCACACCGACGAAAATCGCCGCTACTTCCAGGGTCTCTGCTTCGCTCGCGATACCCGGTCGGGCAACCCAGACTCGAACTTTTACTCCTTCCCTCTGCCCGTGATCCCCGTCATGGATGCACACACACAAGAGATCATCCGAGTGGACAGGCCCGCGACGGGGGGCAAGAGTGACGGTCTGACGGAACAAACTTTCAAGGCGGATATCATTGGGCATTGCAAGCCTTCCGAATACGTCCCCGAGCTTCTGCCGGAGGGAACTCGCAAGGACCTCAAGCCATTGAATGTGGTCCAGCCAGAGGGACCTTCCTTCCGCGTGACGAATGAGTCCTTGGTGGAGTGGCAGAAATGGCGCTTCCGTGTGGCGTTCAATCCTCGCGAAGGTGCGACCATCCATGATGTCTGGTATGATGGCCGCAGTGTGATGCATCGCCTGGCGATCAGTGAAATGGTATGTGGCTTTGCTCCCATCCGTTTGATGACTCTGTCCACCATGAACTAACTTCTCTCCGTCCCTCACAGACTGTCCCATATGCCGATCCTCGACCGCCATTCCATCGCAAGCAGGCATTTGATTTCGGCGACGGTGGTGGTGGAAACATGGCCAACAACCTTTCCCTGGGTTGTGACTGCCTGGGCGTGATCAAATACTTTGATGCCGTGATCACGCAAGCAGATGGTACTGCCCAGAAGCTGCCCAATGCCATTTGTCTTCATGAGCAAGATAACGGCATCGGCTGGAAGCACTCCAATTGGCGTACGGGTCGCGCCGTGGTCACCCGTCACCGAGAGCTTGTGGTCCAGTTTATCATCACTCTGGCCAACTACGAATACATCTTTGCCTACAAGTTTGACCAATCCGGTGGCATCACTGTGGAGGCCAGAGCGACCGGTATTCTCAATGTGGTCAACATCGATGCCGGCAAGGTCAGCGAGTACGGCAACGTTGTGAGTGGTGGTGTCCTTGCACAAAATCACCAGCACATCTTCTGTGTACGCATCGATCCAGCCGTGGACGGCTCAAACAATTCCGTCGTGGTCGAGGAGTCTCATCCCGTCCCGATGAATGCCGTCACCAACCCACATGGCAACTTCTACCAAGTCACCAAGACGACCATTGAACGAGCCACCTACCTCGATGCCGCACCCGAGCATAACCGCACCATCAAAATGGTCAACCCTCACAAGACCAACCCCATCAGTGGGAACCCGGTCGGGTATAAATTCATCCCCTTGCCCACGCAGCTATTGCTGGCGGATCCCGAGTCTGTTCAAGCCCGTCGCGCCCAGTTTGCGCAACATCATGTCTGGGTGACCAAGTATCAGGATGGGGAGCTCTACGCCGGTGGACGCTACACCCTTCAAAGTCAGTATGAAGTTGATGGTGTCGCGGATGCAGTCCGTCGAGGGGACGCGGTGGCAGACACAGACGTGGTCGTGTGGAACTCCTTTGGCATCACTCATAACCCACGCGTTGAGGATTGGCCCGTCATGCCTGTTGAAATCTTTCAGCTGATGATCCGGCCCGCGGACTTCTTCGTGGCTAATCCATCCATCGATGTGCCATCGAACAAGAATGGCTCTTCACGGCTAGCGGATTCGGAATGTTGCCGGAAGGCGCATATCTAGGTTGCTTGCCGGGCGAGGGTAATTGCAGGACAATTGTATAATACAGGACTTTCACCATCATGGGCAAATTGCATATATAGCATCATCATCATCATCATCACCATCATCATACCATTTGAATCGCTCGAATAATCATTTGCTTTGTATTCGAATTCCAATAAATACAGTATGTTTTGTCGGCTTTGAATATATAGTGCAACTCTCTTGCGTGCTTCCAGCGGGTTCTTTCAGGGCCTGAGTAGCTGTAAGTATACATGTCCATATCTGTACATGTGACCTGATTATCACTAGCCTCTACCTCGATCACCCGGTGCATGAAACGAGAAGCAATCCAAGACTCCTGGAGTCTTCTTTTAAACTTTTATCAAGAAACTCAAACGCAAAACCGCGGAATTCTCGCGGAACTCGGACGAGGCCACTACGGCTGTGATTTCGGCCTGGGGTTATCACCTGCTCGCCTTATCGCCGCGTCTCCACCCAATCCCCACTCCCTCGCTTTTCGCAGTTTCCGAGTTTCCGACGTCTCTCTCCCTCTTCTTCATCGCATCATACTAACAGTGCGAGCGCAGGAGAGCGGTCTGTGGTCATGGTCTCTACTCCGGCAGGAGAGACGAATAATTCACCCGAATCACGGCCGCGAAAAAGGGCCAAGTACACACAGGTTGCCTGGTCAGTGTGAATCCGTGTCTCTTGGCAAACCTTGCACATGCTGATGATATCAGTAACGAATGCAAGCGGAGGAAGCTCAAATGCAGTGGTGGAACAACTTGTTCGCGCTGTGCGCGTGATCGTGCCCAGTGTATTTACAATATCGTCAACAAAACGTTGGCATCCACTCCGCCAACTGAAAGTCCCCAGGACGACAGGTAAGGAAATGGTTCCGCTGCTCACTTTCTCTCGTTCCGATACTTGGGACACGGAGGATTCCGTCCAGGCCAGCCACCTGGCGTCGCTCTTCCTCGCCAATCAGTAATTTCGTTCACTAATGCGAGTCGCACTTCAGGTTCGCAGCCCAGTTTCAAACAGTCCACAGGCAAATTGAATCACTTCAACGCGACATACAAATTCTTTCCACAAGACTAAGAGGAGTGGAATCCTCTTCCCATCCCAAATCACCTGCATTGCCAAGCAGCGCCGCAGCGGGGAGTATACATCGAATTCTGAATGCGCCACAATCACCCTCCTATGTTGGTCCCACGAGCGCCGAATTCGGCCTGGACCGTCCTCGCTTCCCAGATGAAGAGCCTCATAATGATGGCGAGAAAGACACGGATCATACTGACGACGATGTACCTGAATTGTCACCCGCACCTCGCAACCCTGAGCCTTCCAATGACAATGAGCCCTTGGCAAATGGAGATCCGCTGAAGGGGTTGACTTTGGAAGAAACCCTGCGTCTAGTTCAGGTCTACGAAGATAATGTGGCCACAATTTATCCCTGTGTTGATCTGGCCAGTGTTCGAACGTATGTCGTCGAATCTCATCATTCCCGCTACTCACATGTTGGAGGCAACTCCAGTCCAACGCCAGCGACCCTTTCGGCCAGAGACTGGTTTCATGCGCGTGATATACAGGTATTGAATATCCTGCTAGCCACGGCTCTCTTGGTTGAATCTCATGGCAGAAGCGAGCTGGCGGCTCAGCTGGCGGATTGCGTTGAGGATCGCTTCGCTAGTCGGTTGAAGATTGCCCAGGTCGACATGAAGGAAATTCTTATTCTGGTTTTATTGGTACGTTGTTGTTCTGTGTGGCCTTGTTTCACGTCCAAAGCAACATGCAACAGGAAAAGCTAATTGTTTCAACACTGTAGTCTATATTCCACTCATACCGCGATGACGAGGTCATTGCATGGCGACTGATCGGCATGGCGGCTCGTGGAAGTATGGAGCTGGGCTTACATCGGCAGGAGACGTGGCAAAGAACAGGAGGAATATTCCCAGGTGCACTAGAATGGCTTTGGGCGAGTCGTCTGTTCTGGGTTGTCTATGTCTTGGATCGCAAGTGGTCATGCGGAACAGGTCTACCATTTGCGATCCAGGACGCGGACATGGATACCAACCTGCCAGAGCCTGGTCACTCGACTCCGTATCTAACCTGCATGATTTCTTATGCTCGCCTCAGCTCGAAGATTTGGGGACTCATTGTTGGTTGGTCCAATCGTTCTCGAGCGGCTACATCAGAAGGATGTGCCATGTTAGATGCGCAAGTGCAACAATGGGTGCGCTCCATTCCACGGGAGCTTCGCTTCGACCCGGGCCAACGATCATCTGCGGGATCTGAGCACACGGATAGAAACATGATGCTCCAGGTACTGCTTGCGCTCCAGGCAAATCAACTCCGCATTCTTGTCTACCGACAGTACCTTCTGAGTAGCGAGCGCATCGCAGAAGACCTGGCTGGGGCGTCCATCGCTGTCGAAACAGCAAAGAGCACAGTCCATATGCTGGACTACTTCAGTCGAGTGTCGAACATTTATTTCCAGCGACCAGAGCCATTCAACTACTTCTTGATATCTGCTCTGGCCGCCTTGTTCCTTGCTGTGCTTCATGCACCCTACCGGTACAGCCAGACCTGTCGACCCGAGTTCTACACTGCCATCGACATGGTGCGCCGCTCGGCGACCCAAAGTCGGACCTCACGGCGCCTCCAAAAAATCATTCGCAGCCTCAAGCGCATCCAATTGAATGTTCAATGGCACAAATCCCGAGGCCCCACATCCCCCGCTCGGCATCATCACCGCGCACCAACTCTTGCAAGGACGCTCCCCGACGCGGGCGAGAGTCCATCCACTTCAATAAAACAGGCCTCCTTAGTGACTCACAGCTTGTTGGAAAATACACCACTCTCTATCACGACAGACTCTCCGCCCAGCCAGCGTCCTCAGATGAACCGAATTGACGATGGGCGCACTCCGCAGCCGTCTTCTGCAACACTGTGGCCATTGTCGCCAGGTACTGCTATAGATCTCGAATCCAACGACTGTGAAGATCTCAGCAGTTTCTTTGAGATTGCAGGGGGCTTATATTTTGATCCTGGTGCGGATGCGCATGTGCCAAGTGCTGTGGGGATGGGAATGGAAATGTCTCCGTCCGACTACGGACGGGTACCTCATGTGTTGGATGCGTTTCAGGCTGAAGATGAGGCGTTGACACGGGTGATGGCTGGGCTTCTATAAAGATACACTTTATTTCTAGCCAAGTGTTTCTTAGCTTATCATCAGGCCTCCCATTATTGCCTCACGCCGTCCGCGGCTAACACAACGAACCCCCAATACATGATACCGGATACAGTGGTGTTCTTTTAACTTGAAACTCCGGAAATTTTTACTTTTCAAGAGAGCGCTCCTGATCACGCATTAGCAGATAGTCCCGGACATCACGTCTTGGCTGTTCACGAAGAGAACAGAAAGTAAGTCCACCAACAACTCCGATATCGAACCCAAAGTTCGGGGTAAATTTACATGTCACATCGATTGGATTTCGGCGCTGATCCCCGAGTCAAGTACAGTCCCAGCAGGCTGAAGAAAATCTCCCCCGCATGGCTCCGGCCCTTCTGCCGATCTCTGCTTGCATTCGTGTGTGGTGGCGCCCCGAGGTAGCGATATTCCCACCAGTCGGCGCAGTGTTCCTGTCTTGATCTATTTCAAAACATCGATCCTTCCGGTGTCCTCAATCGAATTCCGTCCTTACAACCTGTACCCCACATGCGATTTAACCCTATTCTCTCCTACCAGAGATTCGTAGGATGGCCCATGAGAGATCCACTTCCACGAATTGGTCCTTGTCTCGGTGTCTCGTGATCATCCGACAATGTTCATGTCGACTTGAGTACAGAGTATAAATTTTGCCATGTCCTGTAACATACAATGCTTCATAAAATCCAGCATCAGGTTCTGATTTCATCTTGTCTGCAATGGTTGTACGAGGGCTCGTGACACCCGTGGCGCTCTTTGCGGCTCTAGTCCGGGGATATGCAAACCCGGGCAGTTGCTCGGGCGCTTGCAATGTCCACGACCCATCGTTGATTCAGAGAACTTCGGATAGTCTCTACTTCCGATTCTCCACGGGAAATGAAATCTCTTATGCCAGTGCGTCCTCCATCAAGGGCCCATGGACCGCAATCGGCTCGATGTTGCCTTCTGGGTCCTCCATCGATCTTGCGGGTAATACCGACCTCTGGGTACGAACTGAGACCTTCTCGGTCTTGTGACTTTCGTCGGGGCACGCTTGAGCTGACAATATGGCGAATTCTTTCTTCAACAGGCCCCCGATGCGCATATCGTCGATGATCTCTACTACGTCTACTATTCCGTGTCGACATTTGGATCACAGTCGTCTGCCATTGGGCTGGCGACATCAGCAACCATGGAATATGGTTCTTGGACCGATCAAGGTAGTACAGGAATCGCCTCATCCTCATCCAAAGCATACAATGCCATTGACGGAAACCTGATCGACGTGGACGGTACATACTACATGAACTTTGGTTCTTTCTGGGACGACATCTACCAAGCGCCGATGAATTCTGCTGCAACAAAGGTCGCTTCATCCTCGTACAACATTGCGTATAATGCGACGGGAAGTCATGCCGAGGAGGGCTCCTACATGTACAAGTATGGGAGCTACTACTATCTCTTTTTCTCTTCAGGCATTTGCTGTGGCTATGACTCATCCATGCCTGCGGCTGGAGAGGAATACAAGATCATGGTTTGCCGGTCGACCTCACCGACAAGCGGCTTTGTAAGTGAAGACCTGGATGTTTTCAAAAACAAAGAGTGAACCTGGGACTAATGCTCGGTCTCCCTTCAGGTCGACGCTGATGGCACAGCCTGCAAGAGTAGCGGAGGGACAGCTGTGCTGGAAAGTCATGGCACTGTATACGGCCCAGGTGGACAGTAAGTTATGGAGCTCGTACGGCGGAAGCTTCAACCCAGCTAACAATGTCCGTCCAGGGGAGTCTTCACCGACCCTAGCCTCGGCCCCGTTCTCTACTATCACTACGTCGATACTACAGTTGGATACGCAGATAGCGAAAAGCTGTTCGGATGGAATCAAATTGATTTCTCCTCTGGTTGGCCTGTGGTCTGAGAGTGGTTCACAACATATCGATGGACGATGGATTGGACAGAGTGCAATCCAGGGAATTTGCAGGCAGCTTTGCGATTCCATCATTTTCGAATTGTGATGGCTCGCAGGATGATGCCAATTTTACCATTCCGTGTTAACACTTGTTGCTTGCATGTTCATTTGAAATAAGACCATTTTCAACAGTCCTGAGCAATTTTTCAGTCTCCTTGGCTATCATGCTGTATCCCATTTGATTGCTGTAGATCAGGCTCTTGCCAAGACTGGACAAGGACGCCGAGCAACTTCGCATTGCTGCCAGAACTGGTCCGAGAAAAGAGAGAACCTGGGACATGACTGAGCCCCGTAGGCGTAGAGCAGAACTAGCTGCTGCGGGCTTGGACCATGGCGAGGCGATCATCCAGCTAGATTCGCAAATTCGTCCTTCCCATATTCCAGCTCAAGTTCTTTCCGCAGAGATCTCGACGGCCATCGCACCCGCTTCTGGCAAGAAGCCAAGAGATCCAACAGCGCCAATCGTTCGTGAGGGGTATACACACACATGCCAGCTGGAGGTGGAGGTAAAGGGAGTTAGCAGTGTTTCATCAGCGAGCCCACCAGGGTGACCAAGGGACATACCACCAAATACACAGTGAAGAGAGACAATACTGGCCGCCTGATCTGACTCATCAACGGTTCGTGCAATTCCGCATATCGTGTTGACAGACAAGGTCAGCAATTTTTGTGCTGCTCGGTAGTCGTCTAAACCACCAGAAGAGGGACGGTGAAGTATGACTAAGACTCTTGCCAGACTGTGGATCTGCAGCGCGGCCGCATAGCTGGGCGGATGAACCCAGATGTGTGGGAACACAGTCGTATCAGAGGTCATCGGAAGAGGGTTGTATTCTGAAGGTAGATGATCATACCATTCCTGGAGGAGGAAAAGTAGCTCACTGCCCCTTTCAAGCCGCCGAGACAGATCCGAAGTCTCCTGCTCTTCCTTCGAAGCGTAGTTCACACATTGACCAAGTAGGTAGGTGGCCCGAGTAGCAAGCTCTGGTGCTGTCAAGAGTGACACTGGCCGTTTTGGCTGCCAGAAGCTGAAAACGCGCCGCCGCTCTCTCATGGCTACCCATACATCTTGTCGAAGCCAGGCCCACCAAACAGCTGATCGCAGCCCACCAGATTCTCCGTCATTGTCTTGAAATCGTTGGATCCAGAAGACGCCCTTGAGGTGGCGTTCCCAATCCTGATTCGAGCCATCAATCATCTCATATGTACTGATCAGCAGGGACGTCGCAATCACTTCATGGCTGCGGGCATATGAAGGGTGCTGCATGGCTCTGTTGAGATAATGCAGGGTTTCATAGTAGTATTGAACCGCGAGGTTACGGTCGATGACATGAGACTGAACAGAGTCACTGCGCGGAGCCAAGGACGTGCCGCCATGATCCGTCAATGTTGAGTCTGCTCTCTCCTCTCGAGGCTCCATTTCAAGGGACAGATGCCTTGCGGAAAGGGCCAGCAATGCCTTCATTAATCCCACGTTCCGGAGAGCTAAATGAGGAACTACCGAGGCGAAATGCTGGAACGGGTCGTAGAAATCCAGCCACTTGCTCGACACACGTACGAAATGGGTGAACAAACAATGTTCTAGACTGGATAATTGGATCGGAGACGATGTGGTCCACGAGGATGGACTATCTGAGATCACCGAATCTCCATCCTCCGTGGGCTGCTGTGTGACAAATCGCGGCTCGATTTCTGGGTCGCATCGAAAGGCCGCTGCATGAAAGCTTTCACGTTCCCGAAGTGTCCGTGGCCGCAGATTTGAACTATGACGCGGGTCTTCCCCGGCTGGGTTGCGGTGATCACCATGGTCGCCATGATCTCGATGGGCCCGTGGGAATTGTTGCGGCGGCGACAGAAGGAAGCGATCATTCGCATTTGCTGCATCAGTGGCCAACAATTCAAACCAGCTGAGCGGTGCTACTCGAGTAGATGCCGAACTTTCGGCTCCTGGAGAAGGGTCGTAGCCGTAAGGGGAGTTGGCAGAAGGGATGATGGGAACGTGTGGGATGGGCGCAGGTTGACGGAGTGAGTGCTGTCGTTGTCGTATCTCCGCATGGAGGTCCAATCTTTCATGTCCCTCGGTTCTCTCATGACCTTGGTCTCGTAGTCTTTCATCTTGCATCGGCTGCTTCTGGTGGCAGGCATCGATCAAAATTTGCAAGGGGCTATGTTGCTCTGTATTGCCCTGATGCAGCCCCCCATCCCGGCTGGAGGACCTTGAGTGAAGCTGCGCCGCAGAGATGAGCGGAGTCGCCGGAATGGGAGTGGGTGTGCTGGCAACGTCGGTGCTACATTGAGGCGCGTAGATACACGGTCGCTGTCCCTTTGCACAAGGACCACACTGGGGCCGAGCCTGGATAATTGGCAATCAAGGATCTCAATTAGTTATCATGAGTGGCATACGAATGAACGACATGATCGGAGCTGATCGGCCGGAGTTCTGGGCAAAAGAGAAATGCAAGTCGCCTCGTACCTCGTCACACTTGACATGCCGTCGTTTGCAGATGACGCTGCGGCGGAATTAGCGATCGGATCGGTCGCAAGCAGCTGGATAGCCTCGCATCGCGCACTCACCAGCCCGTTGTCGCGCGGAGGCCCCGGCCCCGGGATTTACGCTTCGGCCGTGGCCCAGGTGCTTTTGCCATTGACGCCAAAGCGACGGAAAGATAGTACACGAGGCGAAGCCCGTGCAGGAGAAGAAGAGGATCGTGTCGAGGCCTCGACTCTTCATCTCAGCCACGGCCCAAAACTCACAGTCCCGACTCGAGGCGGGGTCAACCGGTGGGCCTGCATCCGCCACGCTGACCAGTGGCAGGACTGGGAGTCGGTAGAAGTCTGGCACCAGTCCAGTTGGAGCCGCCGCGAGAGGACAAGAATCATACTGTAATAGTATTCATGAGGGGCAAAGCAGCTGCTGTCAAGGCCAACCGGGGTTCGACGTTCGACCATCTGGATACTGATAGAGGCAGTAATTAATCCGATAGTGTACTCCGGATGTATACGCCGTGTTACCCACCAGAGAGCGGACATCGTTAAGCTCAAGACTACTACCGCAGTACTCCGTAACTGACTCCTACTAGACTACTCCGTACTTAGTACTCGTACTCTCTACCGCAGTGTCCAACTTCCGGATCGAGCCAACGCTGTTGCTGTTCTCTGTTTGGGCCATCGCTCACGTCAATCCCGCCTGACCGGGCTAGTCCTATTATTAGTAGTTAGTCAAGTACTTTTCAGTCCATTCATCATCCTATCCCAGAGGAGGTGGCTACAGTAAGCTTACTAAATGCCCCCTTTCCGGTATGTATCTACAGACTGGTACAGTAGCCAAAAAGGAAATGTCATCAACCCGACGGCTGTTCCCACTAAAAAGTAAGAGAAGTACTTTAGCCCTTTATATAGGGAAGCGCGACACCGATAAAAGAAGAACCACTCCTCATCGTCCCTACAACAGTTCTTCAGCAAAACCTTACCAGTCATCAACCATGAAGCTTATTATGAACCGGTGTGACAGGCTTTCTTGGCAGGGAAATGCTTCTAGAATGCCTAGCCAACCCAAGCATTACGTCCATTGTGGCCTTGTCCCGCCGCGAACTTGACATCACCAATAGCAAGCTTGACGTGTATATCATGAAGGATGAAGATTTTCTTCACTACTCGGACTCTTCGTTAACGGAAAAACTGAAAGGCGCAAAAGCGTATATTTGGTCGCTAGGGATCACACTTTCAAAAGGAACGGGTAACCCGAGAGATCGTGTCATTTCCATCGATTACACAGCTGCTGCAGCGGCGGCATTTCAGAATGCCTTCCTTTCGGGTTCCAGCGCTTCGCGTGCACCAGGAGACAAGTTCCGGTTTGTCTACATTAGCGGCTCCGGTGTTGAACGGGATCAAGAGAGGCCGGGTAAGGCCCCGCGAAAGCGAAACGAGACCTCCGATGTCCCATTCTCAATGACACTCCACTAACGGCATCCTAGGGAGAGGCTGAAAATGCTCTACTCAGACATACGGAAGCAAACCGCGATGTTCTTGAGCCATATTTTATCCGACCTGCCTTGGTGATATCTAAAGCCGGCACTCTTAGAGATCAACTCTTCAGCCTGGCGCCTTGCGTGAAAGTCGAGAAATTTGTACAAGCAGCGATTGAGATAATGATGAGTGGGTACGAAAAGGACACAATTGAGAATCAGATGCTTGTTGACTGGGGCTAGACGGTAACTCCCAAGTGATTGAATATGAAGTTGATTTACATAGAAAATCCAGTTTTGAATGTTCGGAGATAGACCTCTACAACATTGCGTCTGTACATAAAAGATTAATGATCGGATTATGGGATAATTAGTTATCTATTCAACCGGGGGTTTCGGTCATGGGCTGTCTGATCGGAACAGAGAGGTCGAGGCACGAATCGCGAGGGCGGCCCGCGAGGAAGAAAGATGCATTCGAAAGCAACAACACCACCCCATCGGAGGATAGATAGTCTCTTCTTTCTCACGGCCGGTAACGACGTTGGTAGTGGCAGAGGAGAGTTTTGGCTACAAAGGTCCAAGGCCGCTTCATGGCTCCGAATATCTTCTTTGATGATGCGCGCTCGGGAAATGCCCGAGATTGGGTTTTGGCGGGGAATTCGGGGTGTGCCCCGACACGAGACCCGAGCACAACCTTCGTTGCGAAGCAGAACATCGAGACACACGCACTGGGTCAACTCGCGTGCAGTCGCAGGGACTCAAAACCCACTTGTGTCTATTTACTCTTCGAATCAAGACCCTTGACTCAAGTTGAGTTCGATTGGCCTCCTCGACCAAACACAATTCCCAGCAACTCAAATAACCTGGGCCACGTATCCCGTTTCTTCTGTTCCGAAATCGCAATTCAAGTACTTGCAAACCTACTCTCATGATGAGCTGGCAAGACAACAATCAGACACACCGGATCCTGACGGCCGCCGAGAAGGGCGGATACGGAGTCCTGGCGGCAATCGTGTAAGTGGTGTAGGGTCTTCATCATGGCCCGGAGAGAGACGGAGAGGGAAACTGACATGATCTTGGACTGCCAGATACAATGTCGAGCATATCACGGCTTTCGTCCGAGCCGCAGAACAAAGGCGGTCCCCTTTGATCATCCAGCTCTTTCCCTCGTCCCTCAAACAGACGCCATCCCTGGTCTTTGCGGCGGCCGCCGCCGCAAAGAGTGCATCGGTCCCCATCTCTGTCCACCTTGATCATGCCCAAGACTACGAGCAGATCAAGTATGTGGCCGACAATCTTCCTTTTGACTCCATTATGGTGGATATGAGTCATTACGAAAAGGAAGACAATTTGGTGAAGACTCGTGCCTTGCGGGACTATTGCCATGCGCGAGGGATCACCGTGGAGGCGGAAACTGGTCGTATCGAAGGTGGTGAAGATGGTATCATGGATACTGGTGATCTTGAAGGTATGAAATGCTCCATGTCGGAACGAATCGGTTATGAACTAGCTTTTCTAACGATATCATAGGTATCTTAACCAACCCGGAGGATGTGGAGGATTTCATCGCAGCTGGAGTTGACTTCCTTGCCCCGAGCGTGGGCAATATCCATGGAGACTATGGTCCGAAGGGGCCTCAGTTGGATATGGACCGGTGAGTGTAAAATGATTCAAGAGCTGAGCACGCGATGATCTGGCACGAGGCTGACTTCATTATCGCAATACCAAGTTTGCATGGTGTTTTCAAAGCCATGAATGGCCGTGTTCGACTTGTGCTCCATGGAACCAACGATTTTGATGCCAGCCTGACCCAGGCATGTGTCAAGGCCGGAGTGACCAAGGTCAATGTGAATAAACTAGTCCTGGATTGCTGGCATGATAACTTGCGGTCGAATGCCATGCGGCCACTTACGGAGCTGATGGATACTGGCATTGACGTTCTGACGAAGGAGATAGAACGATGGATGGATATCGTGGGAAGTAGCGGCAAAGCCTCAAGTCACGTTAGCTAAAAAATAAACAAATCGCCATTGATGACCAATATTTGTAGTCGTGTAAACGCCATCCACGTGTATGATTCTCAACTGGAAGTAGGTTTTCCATGGTTAATTCCTCCACGGATGCTCCACGGCAGGGAATGTGCGTACCAGGTGCTATTGATTTACAAAAGTGAACGAACGAAACCAGTAGATGGGACGAAACCTCACATCACCAATCCGGAGGCAGATGTGAGTAAACTGAATTCGCCGTTGGCAACCATTTCAAGAGCCAATTACCAGGATTGATTGCGAGAGGGGCAGTGAAGGCATGGAATGCTTAGACAAGGGTACTCTCAGTGTTTACGAGGCGCGGATCTTCGAGAACAATGTTGGCTACATGAATTGTACTATCTCATGATCCTTAATTGATATAAATAAATTGCAACACTTCTTGGCACATCCGATCACTGCTCGGCCAAAGACTTTGCGTTGCGGCGGAACCAAATGTGCAACCCACTGAAAACGACTATGCCAACTACTAACATGGCAGAAATGACAGAGAATCCTTTGATATACTTGGGGTGGTCGGAGTCGGGGAACAAATACTTTGTTTCTTTGATCAGCTTTTGAATGATAAATCACGAAAAGGGGAACATACCGATCCATAGATCTGGGCCAAGTTTCCAAGCGCGTTCACCAGGGCCAAGCTCACACCACGTGCCTGGGGATGCATCCCAGAGAACGCGGATGAGGCGAAAGCCAAGGTACCGGCGTTTGTAGCCCATAGACCAGCAGCCATGAGAACCAGCAAGACGTATCGAGCGGTAAAGTTGTATACCGCACAGACGATAATGGAGCAGATCAACGAGAATGTCAGCCAGCAAGCGATAACCAGACCTCGCCACCCTGGGATCTTGTCACTGAAGTAGGCTGTGATGGCTGTGCAAACAAAGGCAACCCCGTAGATCGGTACGGTCAAAAAATTGATTTTCTCCGTCGACGCATTGCCGAAGAGGCCTTTGACGAGGGTTGGATAGAAGTAGGTTAGAGTACTTGAGCCAACGATGACCTGGTAGAATAACATCAAAGGTCAGAATCGTACCCAGGCTGGTTAAAAAAGCATGGAAGTACTGGATCTGCTCACCATGTATCCCACCACAAACGCCCAAGTACGCCGGTCACTAACAGCGACCTTGATTGCTCCCCAGTTGCTCAACTGCTCACCGTCCGCAGTGATCGCGGTGACATTCTCAGTGGCTAGTCGAGCGACCGCGACACGCTTCTCGCGTTCAGAAAGACGTCTTGAAGTCGATGGGAAATCGGGCAGGATGAACAAGGCGACCAGCGCCCAACCAATGGTTGCTGCACCCTCAACGATGAATAGCCATCTCCACCCTCGAATCCCATGCACACCCTCGAGATGCTTCACAATCACAGCGGCTAGCAGACCACCGAATGCGCCTGACAGAATGGCTGCCGAAATGTACACACCAAATCTCTTGGACTGTTCAGTCCGCTTGTACCAGGATGACAGCACAAGAAGCACACCGGGGGCGAAGCCAGCTTCAACACATCCAATCAAGACACGGAGTACCACGAGGTGCTTGAAATCCTTGATGACCGCCATGAGACATGTCAGGGTTCCCCAAACAACCATGATACTGGGGAGGAATATCGACGGGCGTGTGCGACCTAGGACAAGGCTACACCGACCGACATTAGTATACTTCCCATCTCCATGTGGGAACATAAAGCATTGACTTACTTGCTGGGCACCTCAAACACAACATATCCTACAAAGAACACCACCAGGGCGACGGAATATTGGTTAGAGGTCAGGTTCAGGTCTGTCTGCATTCCAGAAATCTTCGCATTGCCGATACTGTGAACATCTTCGTCAGCAATGAGGTCTCATCATGACACTTCTGTAGGGATAACATACTTGGTACGGTCCAAGTAAGAAAGCAGGTACATGATCCAGATGGTTGGCAGCAAGGTCAGGTCTATCTTCCTGACGAGAGCCTTCTCCTCCTCAGGGGAGAAGGTCTCATGAATGCTTGCATGCTCAATCTCCTTGGATGATATGTCGTTCTTGATCTGGCCCTCAATGTCGACGGAATTCATGATTGTGGCTTTCAGGAGGAAAATCTGCTGGAGATGCAGCGGGGATACGGCTTCATTTGCAGGCTTTCCACACAGGATATTTATGCCTCTTTGTATAGAAGCTCAGTCTCGTGTCTTGTGCTATGACGGCAAGACAGTCTACCTCCTCCATATGGTCACCCCACACGGTTGATAGGAGCCGGCAGCCTGTTTGACTGGGGTAATCCACCCCCAGAAACACCGTCGTGGGCTGCTGGGTGGTTTCTCCACCGCTCACCAGCTCTACGTTTCACGATGTGGGGGTGGCCTCGTTACGAGACACAAAAGTAAGGTTTTCGGCTTTTCTTCGCTTGACGGCTGTTGCTCCTTGGCATCCACAGTCCTCAAAACTCTATCGAGGAGGCGAGTTTGGCCCAAGCCAACAGTGGCAAAACACTTGGAATGTTAGTAAAATGTGTATGATAGAAACCTCATGTTTGCCGTGGATCATGATACACCTGTTGCCATCAAGGCTGTTGCATTTGGGTCGGCTTCTACCAATGCTCTCCGAATCCCAGATATGTGGCTTTCGATGGGTTTGCGCGCGAGACTTGACCGTGGCGGCAAAGTTTGCAAAGTTTCCGATATTGCTAGTCTTTCTTCGTGCACTGTTCTCTCGGCGTTGGATTGGCGAATATGACCGCTATGGTTGTTTGGCGCACGCCATGACCCCAGACAAGTCGCCAAATAGGTTTAAGTTACTTACTTCCATGGGCTGATCCTGACGCCATGGTTTGTTGCATGCTCGGATCGAGTCAGCTCGGCACGATGTTCATGACTCTACCCGAGCCCCGCCTGGGAGATCATCATGCAAAGCGACACCCTTGAAGCGACGCGCGAAATGCGCCGTGTGGAGGGGCAATGATCAAAGATGGTGACGATGATGCGGGGAACTACAAGGTCTGGAGATTTATTAAAGCTGTGCTTCCTCTGCAAATAAGTTCTTTAAATCCCCCTTCCCTCTGCATACTCCCATTCCACACGACCTGGTCTCGATTGAATTCTCCTTCTTACACACCATGCCCCCTGCTGCCACTGAGAGTGCCGCGTCGAGCGCGAGCAAGACCGAGACGCCTACTCCTTACCTCACCACGATGCCTGCTGACGACTTCAGCTGGCAAATTACTCTGGCGCAAAAGGTTATCGCAATTACTGGTGCCAATCGCGGAATTGGCCTGGGCATTGCCGAGGTGTGTCTCGCTAATGCGGCCAAGATGGTGTACTCTCTCGACTTGATGGAGCCTGGAGAAGAGTTCGAGGCCCTGCAAAATCGATTCCCCAATTTGAAATACATTCAGACCGATGTCACCTCGGAGGAAAGTGTAGAAAATGCCATCAACAAGGTTGTGGAAGAGACTGGCCGCATTGATGGCTTGGTGGCCAATGCTGGCATGACCAAGCATCAGCCTGCATTGAAGTTCGAACGTGCTGAGCTGGAGAAGCTGTTCAATCTCAATGTGAGTCCTAGTTGGATTGTTGTGAGCGAAGCTATAAAGGCTGACGATCACCGGCTAGGTCTTTGGTGCCTACTTCTGCGCTCAGATTGCTGCTCGCAAGTTCATTGAACTTGGAATCAAGGGATCTATCGTGATGACCTCGAGCATGACTTCCTATCGACCCAATCGAGTAAGACTGCGGATTTTTCTTACCTGTGATCTATATTCAGCAAGCTAATGATGAACCATTGCAAGGCCGCACCCTCTGCCCCGTATGGTGCCACTAAAGCAGCTGGTGAGTGAACGCGTCATTGACCCCTTGGGATGAAGGACGGACAGCTAACCAGTGTATCATTTGTTTTTCGCTTTGCAGTTCGTAACATGTGCCACACTCTCGCCATGGAATGGAGCCAACATGGTATCCGTGTCAACAGTATCTCGCCGGGCTTCGTCCGAACAGCCATGACCTATTACGTCGAGAAGTCTCCGGACTGGGATCTGAAGATGCAATACTATGGTGGCATGCCTCGTCTGGCCGACCCTCGAGAGCTTGGCGGTGCCTACGTGTACTTGATGAGCGACGCCAGCTCATATACCACGGGTATTGACATCCCTATCGCGGGTATTGTCGGCGCATGGTAGACGAGATTGCATATGAGAGGATGGGCATCATTCCGGGCGTTTGCGCTTTTTAATTATTTGTTAGACAAGATGGAAGACCGGGCAGGTACAGCCGAGGCTTGAGTTGGCTTGATATGATACGAAGAATAAACTTTCTTTTACTGTTGTCCCTGCAAAGCTTCCCTTCTCAAATATTCTTCTTGACAGGCCATCGGCGACATCCGGCGAAAAGTGTGCCTGAGGCAGAAATCCCCTGGCAAGGATTCCCGACACAAGAACAGCGCGGTCGGCTCGTTTCCCACGAGGAAACTGTACAGAGAAACCATGCCGAGACCTAGAAATTTGAGAAATGACACCCAGGGCAGAATGTCTGTGAAGTACAATGTCGGCTGGAGACGAGTTATCCGAAATTTCAGCCCTTCGTGAGTGTCTCTCTCGCTTGGTCCCGCTCGGCATGAACGCCTCGCTAATCAACATGCGATGCATGGATGTTCAGCTGGTTTGCCGCGACGATGGGCACAGGAATTGTCGCAGTACTCATGAATTCGGTGCCTTTTCAAACTCCGGTTCTCTACTATTTGTCGATCGTGTTCTTTCTGCTCAATGTGGTGATATTCTCACTGGCATTGATCACCTCCATCCTTCGATACACTCTCTATCCGGAAATCTGGCGAGTGATGATCCAAGACCCGACCAACTCGCTCTTCTTGGCAACCATCCCCATGGGGTTTGCGACACTCATCGAGATGTGGGTCTTCATATGTGTTCCGCGATGGGGGCCGTGGGCCACGTCTGTGGCGTGGGCGCTATGGATGGCGGACGTTGTTGCGGCGGCTTCAGTCACTCTTTCTCTATCATTCATCTTGTCAGTCCGAGTTCAGAAAATGGTACTTGCAAAAACCCTTGCTGATTAGACTCAGAATCTCCCAACGGTACATCACATCGCTTGACCGCATTACTGCCCTCCAACTTCTACCCATCGCGGCCACCATTGTTGCGGCTGGAGTCGGCGCTAAGGTCGCTCATATCTTGCCAAATGAGCAACATGCGATGGGCACTTTGCTCGTCTCTTTTGTTCTTTGGGGTATGGGCACTCCGTTAGCAATCGCGGTGTTGGTCATCTACTACCAGCGACTGGCTGTTCACAAACTTCCTCCGCGAGAGGCCATCGTGAGCTGCTTCCTCCCTTTGGGGCCTCTGGGGTTTGGTGGCTTCGGGTAAGGCGTTTACCTGCCTCCATTCACTTTCGCTCTCTGACATCTCACAGCATCATTTATATTGGTAAGGTGGCCCGGGAGCTTTTACAAGACTCTGTTGTCCTAGACCCCATTGCAGGCTCCATGGCGTACGTCTTGGGTATTTTCATCTCCCTGCTCATGTGGAGTTTCGGGTTGATCTGGCTTGTTTTTGCATTGGCGACAGTGCTCTACAGCTCTCCTTTCCCGTTTAACATGGGATGGTGGGGATTCACGTTTCCACTGGGTGTTTATGCAGCCAACACGATGGAACTGGGAGTAGAACTAGACTTGATGTTTTTCAAGGTCTTCGGAACTGTAAGTTGGGCTCTATACCCCCGTGTTTTTCCAAGCTAATTTGAAGCCATTGGAAGATCTTAAGCACTGCAGTGTTGTTGCTATGGGCTCTCGTTGCGTCCCGCACAGCAGTGGGTGCCTGGCGCGGCAGTCTGTTTTTTGCCCCCTGTCTTCAGAACTTGAACCTGAAAGAAGATGATGGGCAAGTTGATGGCGCTCAACACCGAGCATGAGATTGGGGATTGACGATGGCGCATTTATACCGTGGGGTCCGATAGGTTTGAATCCTGGTCAGCTTTCAAAATCATCCTATCAGTCACGATTTGAACGACAGATCGCGATCAAGGAGGACAATTCGAAAGAAAGTTTCAAAGATTTTCCGAAGCAGAAGAAGGCGAAACATATATTGTGGATCTATTCTCTGGTCTTGGGCTCCAAAATTTTGAACTATCACTGCACTCTCCCATTCACACCCTATCACTTTGATTGGGACCAGGCACAATGCAGGGTCATCACAAGGGCCGCCCGCAAGCCCCGCAAGTATCTCCAGCATACACATATTGAGGACTTGCAAATGCCCCAGCCGCAGTTTCAGGGCAATTGCTACCGATTGGCAGCATCTCCGATGATTGGCTGTGGTTGAGATAATCCTTGTCAGTACGAGCGCCAAGCACCCGTCTGACTGCAGGTCACATGTGGTGTCGTGGTCGTATTTGGTGAACCCAAGCGAGGCTATCTCTTGATATCGCGCCTGGGTTGAGAAATCCTTCTAACTTCTCTTTCCACTTTATTGGCATTCTTTGGGTTTCCTAGATCTGCTCGTCGAGTATGGTACGTTGACCTTGGCCTTTAACTCAATCTGCGCTGCAGGAATCTCACATTGCGTGCAGGATTCGGCAGAGCACGAGTATCCATTCCTCCAGGAGGTCTATAGTCCTCGGGAAGCTCATAAGATAGAGTACGCAAGAACTCCCCGCTATGCCAGGAACCCTCTTGACAGTTGACGTGCGCACTAATAGCTTTGTGTTCGTTCACGGTCTGAATCCGCGAGGTCGAAATGACCACCCATTCGAGACATGGACCCATTCCAATGGGAAATTCTGGCCAAGGGACTTTTTAGCGGAGGACATCCCGTATTCGCGAGTTTTTGTGTATGGGTACAACTCGAACATCACAAACCCGCAAACCATGTCCACAGCAAGCATCAAAGACCATGCGAACACCCTTTTGAACTTGCTTGACATGGAGCGCAGCCCGCAGTTTGTAAATTTCACTCTCCGGAGGTGAAATCAGGCAGCTTGCTAATTCAATGACCCAGCAATCTCTGCCGCCAAAAATCATCTTCATCGGGCACAGTCTCGGAGGCTTGGTTATCAAACAGGTCAGTCTACATGCGGCTATGTATCTCGTGGTTTGAACTGATTCGATCCCACTCCTCGCTGAACTAGGCTCTCCTCAATGCAAAGGAAGATCCCAAGTACAATTCTATCCGCACATCGACCTCCGGTCTGGTTTTCTTTGGAACCCCTCACCGAGGAGCAAAAGCTGTCGAACTGGGTAAAATCGCCGTGCGCGTTGCTCGATTTGTCTCCAAGGGTCATGCCAGCAACGACCTACTGGACTGCTTGGAACACAACTCGCTCTTCACCCGACAGATGTCAGATCGCTTTCGTCATCAGCTCGAAGACTACCGCGTTGTCAGCTTTATCGAAGGCAAGGAGGTCTTTTTGGGGGCGCTGGTCCAGCTTCTATCAGCCATGTATGATCCCCATTGTTAAGAAGGATCGCATAGACGACGCGGTAATTCCATCAATACTAATTTCAGTAGTTGGTGGTCGACGAAGAATCGGCTGTCCTTGGTCTGTCTGGTCTTCGTGAGACACAGCTGAAGCTCGATGCCGATCATTCGCAAATGTGCAAAGTCGGCGTCCGAGGCCCGATGTACCGTCTTATCAAGGGAAATATCAAGCAGCTGGTCGACCAGGCCCTTTTGTCCGAACAAGGCTTCATTCCACAACCATCCCCTCAGCCGACGACGGGATACAATCCACCCCCACTGCCCCCTCGTATGCACTCCAACAGCAGTGCACCATACTCTCCTCCAGGACAACCGCCTCAAATCACTCAGAGGGTGGTTGGTGCAATGTTTTCCCCTTTGGATAACGACCCACGATCCATTCGAGCAGCCGAGTTGAAAGATCGCGGGAAGTGGGATGAGGCCCGGAATGTCGAATATGAAATTTTCCAGGAGCATCTCCGGACGCTGGGTCCCGATCATGCCAGCACTCTTGCGGTGGGATATAATTTGGCCGAAATCGAGCTCGAGTCGAGCTTCCTGGAGAAGGCCAGTGAATGGTGCCAATGGGTTACGGATAACTCTCGCCGTGTGTTTGGGAACAGCCACGCCCTTCCCATGCGATCAGAGAGTCTCATGGCCGAGATTATCGGTCAAAAGGGCAAATACCAGGAGTCGGAGTCGATCTGTGCTAACTTGTTGGCCCGCCAGCAAATCAATATTGGTGAAGAACATTTAGATACGTTGGAGACTCGACGCCGGCTCGGTATGGCATACAACGCCCTCAATCGCCGAGAAAGTGCGATCATGACCGCCGAAAAGCTCACGGATACTCTGAAACGCCTATTGGGTTAGAACCATGTCCGTGTCTTCTGGGCTCTGCTGGATACGCTTGACTACGTAATCTATAATCACGGGGAGGAAACTGCAGCACTGGTCAAAGTGTTTGACCCCGCAGTCCAGCAAGCATTTGATATTTTGCCCCAGGTGTACGAGGAGCTCCGAGCTGGTCTCGGTGACAAACATCCTCTCACGATTCGCGCCCTGTCATTGCATGGTGGAGGGTTGACGCGTGCGCATCGAACTATGGATGCATCCGAAACTCTCCGCCGCGCTCTGGCAATTTCGGAGGATGCGCTTGGCCCGGATCACCCTCTGACCATGGATATCGTTGGAAGTATCGGCGTGATGTATACACTTCAAGGAGCTTTGCACTTCACTGGGGCCAATCCACCATCTGAAGCTATCCCCTGGATGGTTCGGTACCTGAAATGGGTCGAACAGCGAAGGGGCCTCGATAATCCAGAAACACAGACCTCCCTTGAGATGCTTGGAAACCTTCATTTTGCTGCCCAGGAATATGAGCTGGCTCAGAAATATTTCGAACGTGCTTTGGCAGCATGCCGCGGCACACAGGCCGCGGCAATGCAGCAACGCGTATCGAATCGGCTTCAATTGTGCCGGGCCAATACTATGCTTACCAATCGCGGTGCCATAGGATCAGGGCTAGGGGGATTCCTTTCCCAGTTGCAACGTTTTAACTAAGGCGAATACTTGGAATGCATGTTTATGTTACTGATATACGTGGAGTACTTGCTAGCTGAAACTCGCATAATTACTATTCTTGAAGAGAATTCGCGGCACTGCGCCTTACGATACGATGACAATTTATTCATTCAAGCCTGGCAGAGATCCAAAATACCCGACGGGGGAGCCAGATAGGTTTCCACCCCCTAGATCATGTGTGCAGCCGAACTTCCCCAATTGGTTCAGGGCTTATCATTCAATTTATAACTGCCAATACGATGGTAGGAGTGCCTTAGCATCCCATTTTATTTCCTGTATCATAGACCAGTAGGAGGGCTATTATAGTGGAGCTGTTGATGCTTGGAATTTCAATGCTAGCAGACAATAATTGAAGTGAAACTCTGTAATAACGAGGGTATACCACTTGCTTCGAGCTGTTGTAAAATACGCACTGGACATGATAAGAGTCAGAAATCAATAATAAAAGGCATACCACCTTTCAGGACCACTTGACCCATTGTGAATTCAATTCACGGCATCAGAGAAAAGATGGACCATTTGCCAGCCGGATTGCTCTATGAAAAAGCAGTAGATGATTCTCGAAAGCGCCTGGAGAATGGTCGGACCGGATGACTATTTCTGAGAAGAATCTTGGGCAATGGACGACGCAGGACTTGGAAGCCGAAATCCTTCTGAGCAAGTACGGAATTGACGATATTAGGGGGAAACCATTCTTATTGAAGATGCGGTCTCAGGGAGAGACAGCAGAAGACCCTTTGGAAGGCATGAATCTCGAAGCCAGTTTGCAGAGGGGATCCAGCCCGGAGGGAAAACAAAGCTAATAAATGCCGGCGATCGATCTGGGGCAAAGCAAGGAACTTGGGGGAAATCCAGAGGGATAAAGTTCATTATTTGAAACGTCATCGCGGCAGGCAACGATATGACAGACCCGACCTTCTTAATGTATCATAGGAGAAGCGCATTGGGTGGACCATCCTTCTCAGTGGTCTCCTGCGGCTCGGTGGGCCGAAGACCAAGGTCCTCAAGAGTAAGAGTCGACATCTGGGCAGCCTTCCTGTGCTCATTGAAGACATACAAGAGAAGACCTCTGTACTAGGTATATTGTGTTTCCTAAGGACAAATTACCTCTAACTCGTCGTAGGTATCCCTCTCCAATCTTAGTCTCTCCTGGCCCTGTGTGGACTTCGACCAAACGGTATGTGAATTTCATTGGCGTCTATGGAGTCTCATATATATGTCCATCATGAACCTGCTACTCTAATCCTGAGACAATATATTGAATCTATGGTCTAACTAGACGCAGAAGTTCCCAGCCACTCTGAACGAGCTTTGTTAAAAACTTCGTCCAGATCTTCGTTCCAAATCCAATGCATCCGATCTTCAATCTGGGCCTTCACGATGGGAAGGCCGTCGTCATAGCTGAGCCCAGCCACTTCCTGGATCTTCATTTCATACAGATCTCCCGCTTGCCTAGATGTGGCTTGCACTTTCTCCGAGCGCGCAAACCGAATAGAATGATATAACTGCAGGCACTCTTGGAGGCTCCGAGAACCGGGTAAATTGAGCAGATGAAAGTACTCTTGCAGGGCACGACCGATAATGTAACCGTCCTCTAGAGCCTGACCAGCTCCAGCTCCTAGAAGTGAACATTTAGCGAAATCGGAAATACGACTGGATCACATGACTCTCCAAGAAATACCTTGATGAGGACACATTGCATGAGCTGCATCGCCTAGCAGGACAACCTTGCCTTTCGAGAAGATCCATTCTGGCGACGGCTGTCTATCAAACAGAATCCACTTCAGGGGATTAGTGTTCATATTCTCGATCACTGCTTGTACAACAGGGGCAAACTCTTTGAATTCTTGCTCGACTTCAGACTTATCACCTGCCAATGTCCAACTCTCCTTTACATCCCCGAGTTTCTCCCATGGCGTTGAGACAAACCCAACGACGTTCAATATCTTGTTTCTGCTGATTGGAAATGTAAGGAAGTGTTTTCCGGGCGCAATAAACATTGCCGAAAATGTATCAATTGTCCATTGATCTCGGATCTTCGATATGTCACAGAGCCCACGGTAAACGACCATCCCGCCATATTGTGGCGAGTCTCGCTATAATCAGGATTAACACTGGTATATTACCGCTCACATATGTACCTAAGACATACCACATAATGCGAACGAACGGCCGAATGGATACCGTCGGCTCCAATGACAAGATGAGGGGAAACTGTCGTACCATCTGCAAATGTCACCAACATCATGTCCTCTCGGTCCTGTAACAAAATTAATTGAATATTCCGGAAAGATGTGGCAAGAGACAAAGGTACCTCAATCCTTTGACATCGCTTATTTGTGTGCATGGTCGCTGCCCCTTGGTTCTGGATAGCCTGGACAAGTATCTCCAAGAATTCTGCCCGGTGCATCGGCAACTGGGTTCTGTTTCCCTGCGTAGGGCCCTTGACGGTGAGCACCTCTGACCCAGTATCATATCGGCGAAATGTAAGCCAGACGCCGTTCCGATCACCAGCAATCTTCAGCGCTTCATCCATCAGTCCGAGCTTCTCAATAAGCTTGGCAGCGTTTGGGCCGATCCCCACCCCTGCCCCGATCTCTCTATATTCAGTTGCTTGTTCATAGATGTCGATTTGTACATCTTTTGATTCACAATGGCTGTGGATGGATAGAGCGGTAAAAAGTCCACCAATACCTCCACCTATTATGGCGATACGAAACATCTTTGGCAGGCGGGTGACGAACGAAGGCGGCTCAGAATCGAAGGGGTGAAATCTCAAATCTCAGCAGCAGCTAAGCAAATTATATACCGAACCAAAAAGTTGGTTTCAATCCGCGTCGTGAACCAAGCGGAATTAGATTGAAGGGTGGAGACGCATATGCTAAACTCCCCGGTCGCGGTTGAAGGATATCCCGTGTTCTCTCGGCAATAAAGGCTAAATGGAAGATTGCCGAACGCCCCCACACCAAGTATCGCTCTGAATGGATTAGTCAAAATAAAACGACGTGTTCTGCTGTCTGTGTCTGAGACTTTGCATTTCATATAAACCTGCCTGTTTAAACGACAACATGGATCGGGTAAACTATTAAATACCTATACAGGTCCCGTTATCATGGGACTCAGTTTGTGCAACTGGTTGACCACAAGTTTATATATACATTCTTCCCTACAGCACATCCAATAATGAATCGTCTTGGAATGTCTATAATAACTCGGGTAAGCCAGAATCAAGAAATTGGAATTGAGATTCCAAATGGCCGGTAATACCTTGCGCAAATCCAAATAATGCCTGTAACTTCCGGGCACCATCAAACTCAGTGTTCATGGTTGCTGGCAATGCCATTACATCCGCCACCGAAGCACTGTCATCTGGTACAGAAGTAGTAGATGTTGACTGCTGGGCCCTCACAGTCTGGTGCATATACACAAGCATCTTCTGGAGGAAAGAATATGCCCAGTGCGCAACGGAGTGATTACTAGACATGGATTGTGTCATCCGAAGTGCTTTATCGACTTTTGACGAGCAAAGGTTGCTCATCGCCGTTTTCGAAGACAGCCACATGGGACACAAGGACTATTACGGCGTTAAACAGTCGTGGTCAACTTTTCAAGCGCAGCGAGGCGTGTTTCCAATCCACGCAGGTAACTGGCAAATTTCGCATCTTAGTTCTCATATGCGCCATGACAAGATTGGTTAGAAGCCCGAACTCCTCATTGACCATGGCCATCCTGCTGGAAGAGACGCCGCACTGAGCCAAATCGCACTTTCGGCCATTATAGGCGCACGTCGCGCAGACCGGCCGAACCCCATCACATTTCGTCTTCAGTGGCCGACAACTGAAACACGAGATTTGAACCCGATTGCGGCGTTTCTTGGGGGGCTGCTCTCTCAATTTCTCAGTATCGCGAAAATCCCACAGAGTGCGTCGGGAATAGGCTAAAGTTCTCCACAGCGCATCCCCGCATCTTCAGTTGAAGTGGGGCGAGCCATTTTAGTCATTTCGGAGTTAAGGGAGCTGCTGGGTCTCATTGGCCGGATTCCCGAATCCTCCATGGCTTAACTCCCCGGTTGAGCAGGACACAGTGCGACCGAATAGACGAAGAGAAGAGGATGTGAATTCTTCCCCACATGCTTTAAAAAGGAGGAAGAAAGGAACCCGGGGTAGCTCAGAATGGTTTCGCCAACCCTGAATAAATAGCCATAACCGCGGCACTCAACAGGTCTGTAACGAAGCACCAGCGTTTTATATCAGCATGGACCCTGAGAAGTTGAAGGGCTGTGAGGAGACCATGGCGCCCGAAATACACCTAGAAATTGATGCCGCCAACCCACAATCTGTCCGCTATGATCCTCATGGATATCCAGTGGTTCCGCAGCCAACAGACCATAAAGACGACCCATTGGTATTCAGGACGCTATATTTTCCATCTAATTCAAACACTAAAGCTCAGTAGAACTGGAACCCTACCTTGAAACTCAGTGTCTGCCTTCAAATCAGTTGGCTCGCGCTTTTGGGACCCCTATCCTCCGCCGTTGCCAATCCCGCGTTTGTTCCGATGGGAAATCATTTCGGCTTATCTGTCGTGGAAGCTAGCTATGGTGGATCAGCAACATTCCATTTCTTTTGGGTGACTTACTGACACCGTCTCAACAGAACTGACGATATTTCTTGTTTTCGCCGGAATCGGCCCCTTGATCGTCATTCCTTTCGGCAACGAATACGGTCGACGCCCAATCTACTTGCTGGGAAACCTCGTCGCAGCAATTACAAATGTTGTTGCCGGGTACTGTAGTACTTGGACTGGACTTATGGTCACCCGGGGTTTCAATGGCTTGGGTGCAGGCTCTGTTATGGCGATGGGCGCAGCTACTATCTGTGACATGTACTTCGTCCATCAACGGGGTACTTATATGGGAATATACACCCTGGCCTTGACTAGCGGAGCTCATGTAGGTATATCAAAACAGGTTACTTCAAAAGATACATCTAACAACCGTCTCCAGATTGCTCCCCTGTTGGGTGGTTTCATCGCACAGTCGATCGGTTGGCGTGCTTGCTTCTTTATCCCTGGGTACATACAACTCGGAACATTTGTCATGACCATTTTCTGTCTTCCGGAGACACGGTATTCTGCAACTCATTCCGCTTCGACGACCTACCTGGAGCAATCATACCTCCAAAACCTAATGTTCAAAAAGAGCAAAGTTCCAGCCCGCCGACCGCGTGTGCGAGATTTTACCAGGCCGTTCGAAATGCTGAAAATGGCATCAGTCTTCCTTCCAGCTGTCCTTTACATGGCTTGCTTTGGGTACGGCACTGTTCTTTTCGCTCTCACGGGCGCTAAGCTATTTACCGAGCTATATGGGTTCTCTACTGCCCAAACAGGGTTGATGCTCAGCATACCCCTTTTGATCGGAGGAGTAACTGGTGAACTCAACGCTGGATGGGTAACGGATTGGCTATCCAATCGACATGCGCAGAGAAATAATGGAGATCGGCTCCCAGAAGCCAGACTAACTGCTATATTCGGGGCCATACTTCTTCCAGTTGGCGTGATCATCGAAGGGGTATGCCTGTCACACAGTAAAACTGCCAGTTGGGTTGGCAGCGCATTTGGGATGGGAATTGCCAATATGGGACTTCAGATTGCCACGACGACCATTTATACTTATGCCACGGACGTGAGTTCCGTGCATCCTGCGTACATCCTGAGGACGAGAAAATAAATTTGCTGACAGTGCGTTCTACTAGTGCTACAAACCTCAGACTGCAGAAATCTCAACGATTCTTAACGTTTTTAGACAGATATTCTCTTGTCTAATATCTTTCTACGCGTGAGTATACCTCCGAGCTGGGTTCGAATTGATGTTGACTATTATATTGCAGTATACCGTTGGCAGAGAAGATTGGAATCGAATATGCCTGGTTAACATTTGCAATGATTGTGGTCGCGCTACTTATTCCAGTCATTATGCTAAGATTCTACGGACAGAAATTGAGAGCCCTGCCGTCTCAATCTGCTTCAAATATCAAATCTCGTCTCTGAGACAGGACGTTCAATCAATCTATTGTTTTTGCCAAGGGGTTCCTCTCAATAACGAAAAATTATACCAAAGATTTCCAGATTTGTCCTTCCAAGAGGCCCAGGGCCCATTATGGGCTATAAAAATCGGCCTAAAGCTTAACACACGAAGGTCGGGCTGGGTGAGGCCTGGGCCGACGTGGGCTCTGATAAAGCCTAAATAGAACATGGGACAGGGTATGTAGGTATTTTCACGTTCTCATTCTTAAAATGTCAAAAATTAGAGAAGCAGAGCGTGTACTGTACAGCACGATTCCATGAGGAGATTGACTCTCCTGTAAACTAACAAGCGAGCTGACTATCTTAAGTACAAGAATGCAGGTTGACATAAAAAAGTAAACAAAGAATGATTGGACAACATAATTGTTGACCAGCGGTATAAACGGCGGCGATCCATCTGTCTCGGCAGCCTTCTTGGCCAAGGTCATTCCTTGGCTTAATTTTCAGGATGCTGTGAGTCGTTATGCCTATTTTATGTGCGCCGATGGCTTCCTGTTAAATGGCCGAAGCCTCAACGCTGCCGGTCGCGCTTACACAGCTTCCTAAATGGAGCAAAAACGCGACATCATTTGAAACAGCTCAGGCTAAGGCCTCAATTTCCTATGCTTCATTATGGCTTTAGTTCACACCCTTGAAGGGTTCATTTATCTTAATCTTGATGTTTCTTGATGTTTTCTTAGGCAAAATGAGTGGTACGTAGGCTTGAGAGGTCTCGGAGAGGTAGAGAATGGAGCAGACTGTGTACGAAACTCTGTATTTCCAATGGCAAGTTTTCAGATTGAAACGCGTTTACAGCCTTCACGTTGCTATTCCGAAATCCCCATACGTACCTTAAATTCTGCAGAATATGACGTAGAAAACGCTTCATTCTCTTTTTGATAAGGTTGGGGCGTTAAGACGTTTGTTTTGCGCCAGATAGCGCCCTTCCCAGGCTAGAGATCCCCTTTTTTCTCTCTGATAAAAATTTATGCAGGTTTTTAATACGGCCAAACTTCACGAGTATTTGCACACCAGAACCTCCATCCCGCTAATACCTGCAAATGAAAAACGGTGATCAGTTGGCCACGGTTTTCTCCACATGGCCTCGGTTTTCCCAACCCGCTCAAAATTGAATTGATGAAGGAAAATTTACCGGTTGCAATACCCAAATGAGATACCTCGACAATGCAACAGTAAGGTCAACAGCAAACTCGAGGTCAGAGTTAAATACACGCTTTCCAAACCGTGATCTTTTCCAAACCGTGTGGTGAATCAGGACTGAATGAAAATCGTGAGGTAAGCCCCGGATAAGAATAAAGAGAAGCTAACCACACACCTATGGAGTGCATGCTATTCCAAGAACTATGGAATACCACTGATGAATTGGAAGACGTGCACGGTGACGGCGAACAGACTAGCTACGGTGGTTAAATGTTGGAAGACCAGGAGGGCGGTGAATCGATTCCGTGACAAATTGGTCATTCGCTAGGCCCGCCTAACTAACGTTACCCATTTCGCTACCTCTTCTTGACAAACTGATCCCTTCTCGTTATGAAGGTTGAAACTCTGTCTCATACGTCTGCAGCGCCGAAACCTGCCACTTTCAAGGGACTTTATGATTCGCAATGCGGCCCTGGGTTTTGCCTCGCTTACTTCCGGTGGCCGCAAATTTTCTATGTTTCTTGCAGCCAATTAACATGCATGAAGACGGCAGGTGAAACCCTCTCCTGCGAGAATCGGGCTTAGGTCGGGAATAGATATGGGTCTTGATAGTAGGGCAATCGTCGTCGTAGATCGCACGGCATCCAGGGTCCTAGGGTCCACTGACATTATGACCGAAGTACTATGCGGCGGATATCTTTGAGTCTTTGGGCGCCGATGTTGTCGATGCGTACTTCCCGCTCGATCATACTCATCAGCCCTGCTGATGCTTCGGTCGTGGCTCAGGCATTCTTCAAGGCCGTGGTCTGTGGAGGCGTTGATCTGGAGAGTCTCGTTCGATGCTCCCCGGAAGGTCAGGGCATAGCTCCATAAATCGCTTGTAAGGTAGCATCGGGCGGCCATTCTTATCTGGGAACATCATTATGGGGATTTCAACTGAAATAACCTTACCATAGTCGTCAAACAAGATGTCTCTGAGCGGCCCTTCTTCTTCTTTAGAAAGGTAGCACGTGTCAGGGATGCCGTCGGGGGCTTGGCCTTCAGCATTAGAGGCATTCGTCACGTCAATACCATTCATAATCTCCAGTGCATGCAGCCCAGAGTCAAAAAGTCTCATCAGTTCGAAAGCGTCAGAGTTTTGGACAACGGCATTTAAATGAGCCCCAAATTGAGTATCCAGGGCGTTCTTCGCCTCGGTCAATCGATTATTGTTTTCGGCATTGTGTAGGAGATCAAGGAGCCTTATCCCAAAAGCTTCAAGGGTGGCGGTGACGAACTCCACAGTGATAATGTCTTGCTCCGAAGATTGAAACGGATATGATAGCTGTTGATGATGGATCTTAGCCAAAGTGTGTTCCGGGCGGGCAATCAGGAAAATGGAGGTTGAGGGTGTTGCTTGGTGTTAGATGAATGAAGCCAGATGTGATGTTAGAGGGTCGATCAAGCTGACAGAGGAACGGAGCAGTAAGGATAATGAGGGATCTTCGTCACGATAATGGACGCAGATTGTGAGGAAGCCCGAGGACAAAGAGTGGGGCTTCGCAAGACCGACCGGCATGGATTAAGCTTCACTCGCTATTGAGTCACAAAGTCAAGGGTGTCGTTGAAGTCGAGTTCGAGGATGGATGGTCTCGACAGAGATTGAAGGAAGTTCCTTGAAGGGAAGGTGTAATGAAGACGCGGTAAGAGTCAGAGCAAAGAGGATTTTGCCTTGGTTTATAGAAGTGAATCAAATTGGAACCTCACACTTGAAAACCTCCAATTTCTCCGAGTGACACGACTAGCTCCGATCTCTGTCGCTCTGGCTTCCCAGAACGATGTTTATCAACTTAGCTTGTTATGTGAATCATACAGCGAATACGCAGATTACATGGTGTGACAATCCAATCACCTAATCATCCATCATCCATTTGTTCCATGACAGCCCATGAGTAACTTTGCTACCGCTGTGGTTCCTGGTATATATAGCGTCAATAACTGTAGATGTCTCTACAAACCACACTAAAAAATTCTGATCAGTAGACTGGTAGAGTTGCTTTCGCCAAGAAAGGATCAAGTCTTGTTATTCGGATAGTTGCCATGGACTAGAGAGGTTCCAGGTTAAGGTCTACGAGTGATTGAACTCTTATCTTGAATACTAGCTTCATCAAAGTGTTGAAGAAATGATCAAAGTGGGGCATTCAATTCATTATCTACCCATGGGTATCAGGTGTCCAAGTCACTAGTGCAGAGGGCATAGAATGACGGTAACATGGTTCATGGAATTATAGACATTCTCTGTTCGACACTGTCTAGTTGGAGAACTTGTCCGGGACATTCTTTCTGTATGCCGTGAATTGTGGTTAGCAATCTGCTTGTTGAAACATCCGATATAACTGGGATTGGCTTACCCAGTCATCTTCTCAAACTGCTCACGGGCACCGTCGGTGATCTTCTCGTTGGTCGAACGCATCTTCGCGGGGTCGACCTTGCCACCGCCAAACTTACGCTCGGCGCTGTCGAGACCTGTGTGCTGTTAGCGATAATGCATTTCAAAGATAATTGGTTAAGAAAGCAAGGCTTACCCTTGTCGAGGTAGTCCTCGTTACCGGCAGCCTGGTTGGAGTCAGTTTTGCTGCTGCTGCTGCTGCTGCTGCCACCGCCGAGCTTGGAAGCGAGTCCGGAGAGCTTGTCCATGGTTGACAGAAAAGGGTGGCAGTTGTATGGTAGTTGTATGGAATAAAGTGGACGTAGAGATGTAGAGAGTTGGGAAGATTGATGAAAGACAGAAGAGGGGTACTGGCAGGGGCTGTCTTTATATAAGAAGTCTAATTCCTGTGGATTCAAGATAATCTGAGCTGTGCTCACGGCCACATCCGAGAGGAGGCATGATTCGCTGCAAACATCATCATCGCTGCGCTCGAATGGTCACCAAGAATCGGGGTTGCCCCACGACCGTCCGACTTCTCGTCATGTATGGCCAGGTCACCACCACTCATGGGCCTGGATCTGAGGTCATCGATGTCGATAGGGTCGTTTCTGATCGGGTCTGCTGGCGAATGCGGTCATTGGCTCGTCCAAAAGTGGCTTTGTCCATCGTGGCTTGGCCCCAAAAAAGAGGGGAAGAGCTCGTGACGTCATGACAAACTGTGTGCGCTTGGATACCTGAGGCACCTCATGAGGTGACGGAGCAGCAGGATTGGTGGATACTCGGAGAAAGGAGATACTGTATATCCGTCAAGATTAGTCTCATTATTTTGCCCACATAACTAAATTGCCAGCTAGGGGCAGTATAGCAATTCAGACTTGTTGATATCCTATTATTGGTGCGCAGTGTGATCTACTAAGCAGGAATTCCGACAGGAGGTCACTCCTCAGGCATCAAGGCAAGAATTTCTGGTTTTAAGGGTGCTTGAGAGACTTGGCGTCAATTTCTTGGCAGCAGTCCGCCTTTCCTAGTCCGTAACGACATAATCATGTTTCACAAGGTACCCAGGGTAATCCCGTCTTTTTCTCTTTAGCCCGGCCTTTTGCCGAGCTCTGAAAGTCATGTTACCTTGCAGGCAGACCCCACTCCCTCACCAGGACGGTTGAGCGTCGAGGACTTCCCCGAAGCACGCCGGGGTCTGGTATCCCACAGTTGAGCGTTAGCGCTGCTTGTCAACATATAAGCACATTCAGAGCCTCGCCCTATCCAAGGTTCCCAAACGAACACAGTTATGGGCCTCCACCTACTACCAACCGAGCTTCTAGAAGCTATTCTCATGCAAATAGACACCCAAACCCTCCTCCTCGTCCGACGTGTCAGCCGCCAATGGGCCAACTGCATCCAACGCTCGATCAAAATACAACAATCCCTATTTTTCCACCCAGCACATCCAAGCACCCCACGCCAACAAAATCCTCTCCTAGCATCTAAATTCCCCTACTAGTTCCCTATCGATGACCGCGACTCATGCCGCATCGCCTTCCGCGCAGGAGACATGCAAGCTTTCCTAGAAAGCAGCGAACTATTGCTACGGCCTGCGGCAAGCTGGCGCCGAATGCTCGTCCAGCAACCACCCATCATGGTTCTGGCAGCTTGGAGCGCAGTGTCGCGCCATTAGACATGATGAACCTGCACCGCTGGGGAGTTCCCTTGCATGCGTTCGGGGGACTACGAATGAACATGCTTTACGAACTTGTTGTGCAAACCGCGGAGGTCGCGCCGCAGTATTTCTATTTTCGAGTATGCTGGTCGTGGTATGAGACGTATGAGTTTAGGCATCGGCTGCTGAAGCCAGATTCAGATCCTCTGTCTTCTATCGACGGAAATTTTGTGGGACCCTACAAAAATGTCGTTCTTGATATATGGTTTGCAGAATGATTGCGGTGGCATCTCTTGTCTGAGTGGGAGAAAGACACGTGGACGTGGGACCTGGTGAAGGGCCTTCAGGCGCCGATGGGGGGTTCAGATGCGGGTCTGGTGCATGATATGGAGGAGCTGAAGGAGGCCGATAGCTGGTCATTATCACCTCTGGAGCTCCCCTGGCTGAGGACGTTTTGAGGTCCCTCGAAAGGATGTTCATTCCCGAACCCACGGACATGCCGTTGCCTGATGAGGATGACCCCGACATATGATGACATTGACGTTACAACGTAGGGCTAGCTTGCGTGTATATTGGATACAAGCGGATCTTGATAGAACAAAGAACAGCGAAGCAACTATGGAGCCATAGAGTGCGTATCCCCTCGTCCGTCCGGGAAGGACAATTAGCGCATTTCAATTAGCGTATTATATTATCCAATAGGTTATCGGACTAAAATATTCGATGTGTTATTGGATATAGGGGCTCCACTATCTACTAAGTCATCAACGCGTGTTTTTCTACACGCGTAACCCCCTACCAACCTGCCTACCAACCTGCCTACCAACCTGCCTACCAACCTGCCTACCAACCTGCCTACCAACCTGCCTACCAACCTGCCAATAAATCTGCCATGGCTCCAAAGAAATCTACTAAGGCTACACGGAAGCGCACGCTTGACGAGATTACTGCCGAATTACCTACTAAGGAAGAACTCTCTCGGCAGCTAAAGCCCTTGATCCCTTCCTCCGAACCTCCACGGCTGCACCTACCTACTAGCATTGACCTAGATAGCCCATACGCGATCTTTACACTCTTTATTAGCGAAGAGATTTTCGATCGTATCAGCCAATCTACCAATGCATACGCGCAGCGAAATCTAGCGAAGCTAGCTACCACTGCCACTACTACTACTACTCGCGCGTGGAAGGATACTACAACTGCAGAGATCAAGGTCTTCTTTGGTATTCTTATTTATATGGGTGTTCACCCTGAGCCACGCATTGATCTCTACTGGGCGCAAGATAGACGAGAAGGACCACTACATACTCCTCCGCTTTATATGACCCTTAAGCGCTTTGAACAGATTAAGCGCTATCTTCATATATCTCACCCTGACGAAGATGAGATACGATCGGAGAAGGATAAGAAGCAGTGGTGGTATAAGCTAGACCCTCTGGCTTTCTTCTTCAAAGAGGCTGCTGAAAAGCACTACCAACCAGGTTCTAATATCTCTATCGATGAGACTATGGTTCGCTGCTTTGGCCGTACGAAGCATACTGTCAAGATGCCTAATAAGCCAATTCAACAAGGTTATAAGATCTTTGCCCTCGCAGAACATGGCTATATTTGGACATTTACATGGAGTAGCCGCCTATGGGGGATCGCGGAGATGTTTAAATATGAAGGCCTTAGCCCTACGGCAAGAATGGTGCTTAAGATGGTCAAGAAGCTTCCTGGCCTAGCTAGTTCGATGGCTAATCTTCCTGCTACCCCTATGAGCAATTCGCATACCAATCTTATAGCCAATTCGATGGCTAATCTTCCTGCTACCCCTATAAGCAATTCGCATACCAATCTTATAGCCAATTCAATGGCTAATCTTCCTGCTACCCCTATGAGCAATTCGCATACCAATCTCATGGCCAATTCGATGGCTAATCTTCCTGCTACCCCTATGAGCAATTCGCATACCAACCTCATGGCCAATTCGCCGGCCAATTCGCCGGCCAATTCGCATACCCTAGCACCCTATATTGTCTACTTAGATAACTACTTTACCTCGGTAGCCCTTTTCAAAGAGCTTCGAGATATTCAATGTGGTGCATGTGGTACTACCCGCCCTCAAAATGGGATACCTTCTCAGCTCGTTGAGCTAAAGGATCACATTAAGACGATCCCATGGGGTACACTCTATGCAGCAGAGGCTGAAGGGGTTCTATGTCTTGCTTGGCAGGACAATAATATAGTCCTTCTACTATCTACTATCCACTCGCCACAGATATACACTCCTACTAAGCGGAAGCGGCCATTACCAACCTCTACGAATGCAGCTATCTCGCGTATACCTTTTGGTGATGAGATAACTAAGGAGCTCGAGATTCCTACTGCTATCAATGACTACAATCACTATATGGGTGGTGTGGATATTGCAAATCAGTATAGGGCTTCTTATGAAATTCATCGAAAGTGCGAGCGTGTCTGGTTCCCTCTGCTTTTCTTCTTTATTGATGCTGCAATTATTAATGCTTACCGCATTCAATATATCTTTAAGAAGCAACAGGGGGATAGTGAGCTATCTAGTCAGCTAGATTTTCGGCGAAAGCTCTACCAGCAGCTCTTTGCCTTTGCACCTTCGCCAGTACCAAGGCCAGTACCTGGTATAAACCACCAGCGAATTCAATTCGATAGGCGAAAAGCTTGTGTGTGGTGTCAGTATAAGAGAGAAAAGGGCAAAAGAGGCCAACAGGCCAATCGGTCAAGATCTGGTTGTTTAGAATGCGGCAGTGTAAGCCTATGTGTAAAAGGGCAGTGTTGGGACGAATTTCATAGAATTAGCTAGTCGATTAGGCCTGATTAATTACCATACTGAATTGTGACCGCGATTAGCCAATTAGTACGCGTTATTCATATACGCTAGTATAGCCTAGTAAAATACGCTAATTGTCCTTCCCGGACGGACGAGGGGATAGTGATGGTTGCAGATGTATAGCCGCTATCTCTTTATCGAGCCAGCGAGCCTAAATCTGGTTTATAACCTGTGATCATATTTCTCCAGTATCCGGGAGGATCCTGCCCTTTTTTCTTTGATCCGGCCTTTCGCCGAGCGCTCGGAGTCATGCCATCCTGCAAGCAGACTACAGTACTCCACTGCGTCGCGGGGTTTGTGGAGGGTCGAGGACTTACCCGAAGCGCCGCGTCCTCTGGAATGGCAGTCACGGGGCAGTTCAATGTTCGAGCTTCTTGTTAACGTACACGAGCTGGAATCAATCACAATCTCAACCTTCTGCGATTCCAGTATCAGATATTAATATTGCCGTCACAGGAAGAGTTCAACGGTCCTGGACTGCACCGGTTAAACGGCTTCTCGGTCTAAAGTCCCCCGAGCAGGACTCGCTTCCCCATACCCACAACCCGCGGGGAGCCTGAACAGGTTATGTGGGTAAACAGTCAATAACTCCTCAAGGTTCCCCTTTTAATACAAATCAGCCAGCCAATTATTCATCGACAGCCAACTCCGTTATGCGCACGCTCTTCCGATAAGAGAATTCATCGTCGCCTTCCCCACGGGGCCCTGGACGGGTCCTCGGACTTGCCCCGAGTCGCCTTCCTTCTCTATGAAGGCCTTATAAAGAGAACAACCCGTTATTTGGACGGGGGAAACAGGCACATTCCTGCAGGTATCCGGGTTCCATACTAGACAATGGACAAAATCGGTGCCGAACAAATCGAGTACCAGGACCCCTCCAAGAAGGCCCTGGACACGGACCAGGATGTCCTCTATCAGGCATATGCTTCGAAAAGCCCAGAATGGCACCAGAAGATGACTCGAACCCTTCTACGCAAAGTGGACTATCACTTGCTACCATTTCTCGTTTTGATGTACTTGCTCAACTTCCTCGATCGCAAGTAAGTACCACCCCGCACGCCAGGTATACTTCATTTTCTGGTGACTGACATGAACGCTCCAGTAACCTATCTCAGGCACGTCTGGGGACGCTTGAGAAAGATTTAGGCATGAAAGGCACCGATTTCAATCTGGCCACTAGCATCTTGTTCGTCGGATACTTGCTCATGCAATTGCCCTCCAATCTTCTGCTCACTCGCATTCGTCCCTCGCGATTCCTCGGTCTTGCAATGGCAATTTGGTATGTATGATCAGCGTGCCTTTCTTTTTCACAAAGCTAACCATCCATGCAGGGGTGTTATTTCAGCCTGCCAAGCAGCTACCCAATCATTCGTCGGACTCGTGGTTTCTCGCTTCTTTCTTGGATTCGTCGAGGCGCCATTCTTTCCTGGTGCCATTATGCTGATGTATGTTTCCCCTATGTGCAATCTTCCTGCTCAATTCTAACCCTCTGACTCTGGAACATAGGTCGAGTTGGTACACTCGGCAGGAACTGAGTCACCGCATTGCCTGGTTCTACTCTGGAAGCTCTTTGGCCAACGCCTTTGGTGGGTTGATCGGTGCAGGTGTTCTGGGCAACCTGAATGGAGCGCATGGTATTGCGGGATGGCGGTGGCTATTCATTATTGAAGGTTGCATCACAGTTGGAGTCTCCGTCTTAGCAGCGTAAGTCTTACTGTCAGGCTGTGCTTCTCATTGTCTCATCTTTAACCCACTATAGGATCTTCCTTCCTAATTATCCTGCCACAACATCTTGGTTAGATGACCAAGAACGGGCCTATGCTCAGTGGCGTCTCATTCACGATGCAGGTGAAGCCGACGATGCTAAATCGAGCAGCATCAAGGAAGCTTTGGCTCTGGTCTTCGCCGATAAGCGCATCTACCTCTTCATTCTGCTTCAGCACACCTCGCTCCTGTCTCAGAACTTCCAATACTTCTTCCCAACTATTGTCAAGACTCTGGGCTACGGCAACATCGAGACTCTGCTGATTACCGCGCCTGTATGGATCGCGACTTTCTTAGTCTCACTGATTGTGACCTATACATCTGGAAAGACGAACGATCGCAGTCTGCACATCATCTGTCTGATGCTTGTCAGCGTCGTAGGTGGTATTATTTGTACTGCAACCACCCACACCGGTGCTAAATTCTTTGCCATGTTCCTGTGAGTTTTTAGATGGATCTCCATCTCCATTGCCTCGCTGACCTTTTCAGTATGCCGATGGGTGCTGTATCTGCATACCAAATCATCATCGCCTGGGTTGCAAACTCCTTCCCTCGACCCTTGGTCAAACGCTCTGCAGCAATTGCTCTTGCCAACATGCTTGGCAATACGGCTTCTATCTACGGCAGTTATATGTGGCCATCTTCGTCCGGCCCTCGATACATTCCTGGCGGCAGCGCAACTGCGGCAATTGCACTGTTAGTTGCCTTGATCGCCCTAGTGATCCGCCTTGTCCACATGAACATGAATCGGCGACTTGAGGCTGCCGAAACGAGCGAGGATGTTCCTCCTGGTGACAACCTTGAGAGCCGCGCGGTCGGGTTCCGCTACATTCTGTGACAGTTAATTGAATCTGAACGAAATTTTCCACCTTACTTTGATTGTCGTTGTCCCAGAGCATTGATTCTCATGTGATTGTGTTCTAGTCCGTTGCAGTATGTAGCCGGCGCGCCAATATCTCTGCAAATGCAACTCTTAACTGTCAGGCTTCAGGGGTTTTCGTGAACGTTGATAGAAATCGGCTTACTCTGCTGACCTTGTTGCTGGGTTTGGGCTATATGTATTTCTTGTGATTTGGCCATATTTGCCAACAAAAGGAAGAAATACTCATTTTGCTAGTCGTCCTTACTGGCGCTGTTCATCTACGTACTGGGCGAGTTTGGTTGTATGTCCGATTTGGAATGAGTACGTTGTAATCCTTACGGAAAGACTGCCGAAACCTGACGGACCTCGGTGTCTACATTAACAGTCGGTCGTTAGGACGCTGGGCAGGCTCTACCGTGACCAAAACAAAGGCACGAATCGGGTAGTACGTGGCGCTTCGACCGCGTCCCGCCTAAATCTCTCGCGTATGCGAGGGTCGCACTTGTAGATCGACATGTAGGATTATACAGTTGCAACGCGAAATGCGACGCAGATGCAGTGCGGGGGACAATCATACTAGGAAGTCGGGAATGCAACCACCCACGGCCCCCACTGGCTCTATCAGGCTGAATCAAGGGATCCCAGCCTCGATATTTAATAGTTCTTCTTATCTCCAGCATTGTTGACAAAAGTTCTGATTCTTCTTCCAAGTCCCCTAAAAGTTGCGGCAATGCTGGGGCTGAACTCATTGCTCTGCCTCTTGCTCTTTGCGACATCCACTCCAGCGCAGTCCACTGATGGTCTCTACAGCCTCGTCAAGCGGCGATTGCCCAATCATGTTGATGACTTCCACTTCACGATAGATAAGTCCAACTTCACAGGCACCGAAGGCTATGATCAGTTCATGGTCTCCAGTGCGCCGAATGGCTCGGTTCTGGTAAAGGGCAACTCCATATCGGCGCTGTCATCAGGGTATCTACGGCATGAATTGTTTTGATGATTCCGCGGTCGCTCATTGACTCGATAGACTTCATCGCTACTTAACCGACATTGCTCATGTCGACATCTATTGGTTCATCGGGAGCCGCTTAGATCAAGCTCCTTCCAAGCTCCCTCGTCTCGCCAAGCCAATCCAAGGCTCCAGCACGGTGCCCTGGAGGTATCACTTGAATACAGGTAGTTCTGGTCCATGCCATTTTGCCAGTCCTCATATTGACAATCAATCACCCCTCAGTCACCTTCTCTTATACTATGGCCTTTTGGACATGGGAGGACTGGGAAAATCAACTAGACTGGCTAGCCCTCCACGGTGTCAATTTGCCCCTTGCATGGGTTGGTCAAGAAAAGATTCTTGTGGATGTTTTCCAAGAGATTGGACTCACTGACGCCGAGATCGCGACATTTCTCAGCGGACCTGCGTTCCAGGCATGGAACCGATTCGGAAATATACAAGGCTCTTGGGGTGGTGATCTCCCTCGGTCTTGGATTGACCAGCAGTTTGCGTTGCAGAAGAAGATTCTACCTCGTATGGTAGAACTAGGCATGACACCTGTCCTGCCTTCGTTTACGGGGTTTGTGCCTATGAACACCACACGTGTCCTTCCAGATGCACAAATCGTCAGAGGATCCCAGTGGGCCGGCTTCCCTCTGCAGTACTCGAATGACTCGTTCCTTGAGCCATTTGACGACAACTTCGCCAAATTGCAATCCAGCTTCATCAGTAAGCAGCGTGCCGCCTACGGCAACGTCAGTCACATCTACACTCTGGATCAGTATAACGAGAATTCTCCTTATTCTGGAGATCTGGATTATCTCCGCAACGTCACCCTGAATACCTGGAAGAGTCTCAAGCAAGCAGACCCCGATGCAATCTGGATGATGCAAGGCTGGCTTTTCTACGCACAATCCGCTTTCTGGACCGAGGAGCGGATAGAAGCCTTCCTCTCGGGCGTGGAGGATAATAACGACATGCTTATTTTGGATCTATTCTCCGAATCTGCACCTCAGTGGCGCCGAACAAAATCCTACTACGGTAAGCCATGGCTTTGGTGCCAGGTGCATGATTATGGAGGTAACATGGGCCTCTACGGGCAACTCTCAAATATCACCGTGAATGCGACCCAAGCACGAATTGAATCTTCATCCTTGGTTGGGTACGGGTCGACAATGGAAGGACAAGAGGGCAATGAGATCATTTACACTACCCTGTTAAGTCAGGCGTGGTCAACGACACCTTTAGACACCGAGCAATACTTTCATGACTGGGTAACTACCCGATACTCTGGCTGCGGGTCAATGCCCAGGGAGCTTTATGACGCATGGGAAGTGATGCGAACTACCGTATTTGACAACACAAATACTTCAGTGACCTCAGTCATCAAATCTGCGTTTGAAATTCGTCCGAGCTTGGAGAACATTCGAGTAGGGTTCCAGAGCACGGAGCTCACCTACGACCCTTCTATAGTCGTGCAAGCGTGGCAAAGCCTCTATCAGGCTGCGAGCTTAGAGCCGAAGCTCTGGACAAATCCGGCCTACCAACATGACGTGGTTGATGTAACGCGTCAAGTCATGGCCAATGCGTTCATTCCCTTGTATCTGGGCCTACTATCTGCCTGGAATACCTCCGACTCAAGCTCTTTATCCAAGGAAGGCGACAAATTGATCGATTTCCTCGGAGATCTCGACACTGTTCTTCTCACCAATTCCAATTTCCGATTATCGAAATGGATCAAGTCGGCCAGGGCGTGGGCGGATGGCGACAATGCTCAGGCGTCATTCCTAGAGTACAACGCCCGCAATCAAATTACACTTTGGGGGCCCAACGGTGAGATTGCCGACTACGCCTCCAAGCAATGGGGTGGTCTAATCTCGACGTTTTACATCCCCCGCTGGCGAATTTTCATCCAGTACTTGAAGTCCACGCCACCCGCATCGTACAATACTACCGACGTGACGAGCCGGTTGATGGATTTTGAGCAGAAATGGCAGACGGAGACCTGGACTGAACCAGAACCTAGTGCAGATGCGGAGAACTTGGAGAAGGTTTTGAACGGTGTTCGTAGTCGCTGGACCACTGTCTTTGGGGAACGGTGATCCCAGCTGCTGATAGGGCTAATTGCGGCCTGGCAGGGTGGGTTATGAGGAGATAGAATGCCCAGAAGCTTCAAATCATGACTTCTAAATCTCTTAGTGTGATCAGCACACCATTCTAGCTGCTCTGAGGCCATTATCCTGGTTTCCAATCATATCTATAGCGGGTGTGCACTTCCCCACCTCCAAACTTCCGGCTTTGACCCAAAGTAGACCATCAAAACAGGCTTATCTCCGAATGTTTTTGCTTAGAAATCCCCCTCCGTCCATTCCGGCCTCCTCTTGTGTTCAACGATTCACCTGAGAGCGCCATTGCCATCATTAATTCTATAGTTTTGAATCCAATGAATATTCTGCGGTACTTTTCGCAATTGACCTCCCATCACTATCCCTCATAATGGCAGAAGAGCGGGTATCTTCACCATCCGAGCAAACCCCTCTGATTTCGTCATCGCGCCCCGATGATGAGTCGACTGGCACCTTGAGCATCCCGAGGGGGATTGCGATCGCTTTCTTCATGGAGTTGTTGATTTTGATCCAGAGTAAGTTGAATCGCTTTCTTTTCTTCAAATGCGGTTTCAATGGCTGATCCAATCGCTTCTCGTCAGCAATTAACATTTCCATGATGACGACTGCGCAGTCCGAGATTGCGGCCGATCTGGATGCTTTTGATCAAGCAACTTGGTTTACTTCGGCATATTTGGTATGATCAATGGCCTCATGTGTAACAGGCTAGCATCAATATTGACGATTTAAAGATTGCCGCATCCAGCGTCACCCCATTGACTGGACGGCTTGCAGAGATATTCACACCCCGGCTCTATGTTATCTTTGCCAGCACTATTTTGGCCATTGGCTTGTTCATTACCGCTGCAGCCCCCTCTCTAGCCATCTTCCTCCTGGGACGCGCGGTGGCAGGCATTGGAAGCGGCGGATTAATGAGCATTGCCATTATCCTGGTCGTAGATATCGCTTCTCCAAAGCGACGAGGGCTCTGCATTGGCATGATCAATGCCGGATATACCACGGGTCTTGCCTCTGGTGCAGTTCTGGCTGGACTAATGACTTCTTCGTTGGGCTGGGTATGTCGCATCATGCTGTTTTGTGAAGCCCGTCCAAAAGTACTAAATTCGGTATCACGCAGCGTCTCATTTTCTGGATTCAAGCACCAGCAGCTCTGGTCTTGGGTCCAATGCTCTTTTAGCAATTCCAGCATCGTCGGGTGGTCGTGCACCCTTGAATACCCGGTCGCTATTACGAAGCCTGGCTCGAGTTGACTACGCAGGCGCTTTTGCGCTGGTTAGACTATTCCCACTTCAATTGTCTCTACAGTTGTGCTAATTGGTTACAGACTCTTTCCGTCGTTCTATTCCTCTCAGGCCTAGCATCGCCCGTGATCCTTATATGGCCCATTCCTCTCTCTGCGGTGTGCTTCGCGGTATTCATCTTCATTGAATCACGTTGGACCACCGAGCCTGTCATTCCAGTTCGGCTGTTGCGATCACGGAGTGTACTGATGACCTGTGTGGCAGGGCTGGGATTGATGATGGCCCGCTGGGCTGTCTTATTCTATACGCCTGTTTATGCCATGGCTGTTCGAGGCTGGTCTCCTGCATCTGCTGGCCTCATTCTGGTGCCGACCAATGCTGGATTTGGAAGTGGTGGACTACTCGTTGGCTGGCTACACATTCGCAAATCGACCAGCTATTATGCGTGAGTTCTCTTCCATGTTCAGAATGAGACGACGATGCAGAAACTGATTAATAAATACAGATCATGTCTGAGCATCTTTGTCCTGTTCGCCGTAGTCACATCAGTCCTCTCTCTTCTCTCCACTCCTGATTCTCCCACATGGTTGTATGTTGCGACCACATTCCTGAATGGGCTGTTTGCCGGCTCCCTCATGAACTATACTCTATCGCATGTGTTGCACCTCACCAGCCCTCACGTGCATTATATCGTTAGTTCTTTGATTGCCATGTCTCGAGGGTTCGCTGGTAGTTTCGGATCAGCTGTCGGAGGTGGTTTCTTCACGCGAATCCTCAAAACATCTCTGGAAAAGGGATTCGCTCAGCATGATCTGCCCTCGCGGCCAGACTTGATTCGGACTCTGCTAGGCAGCCCTGCCACAGTCATGCAGTTAACTGGTTTGGAGCGGTTGGTAGCCATGCAAAGCTACGAGCATGCGATTCGCATGCTCTTCCTGGGGGCAGCTTGGTGGCATTGACTGCTACTGCGTTCCAAGCGGCCACCGGGTGGACATCCGAGGTTGATAGGAAGCATGACCCCGAACGAGACGTTTAATTTAATAATAGTCTACATTTTCATAGAATGACTACCAGTCCGAATTTCATGTGAAGGTTTGACAATTTGCAAAGAGCAGGAAGTAGAGAGTAGACAGCAGTATGAGCTGATTCGTCTGAGAGAATACATTTGGTGCCTCGCTGCCTGAATAGCCTGGCGGCCATCACCGCCCGTGCCGGAACACTTCCTTTGATCTCCGCACTTCTGCTTTCCATTACTTCGTCCATCTACTTCAACTCCAGCTCATCATGCCTCGTGCCGTCCGTGGTAAGCTCTACTCACACTTACATTCAGACATGCAAGATCAGCACTCACCACACGTCATCAGGCCTGCTCATCGAGTGCGATCCCTCGATCAAAGCCATGATCCTCAAGTACGACGAGGAGCGGCATGACTACATTGTGGAGGATCTGGATGACGAGAACCACTTGGTCATCAAGGAGAGCCAGCTCGAGAACCTGAAGGCTCGTCTCGATCATGTATGTTCCCGTCGGGGCTACCGATCCCCGTCTTCCTGTCAATACAGGACTATGGTCCAGTGACCAACCCACTAACACGGTCGCAGGATCTTGATGAGAAGATCATGCAGCTTGATGAATCGGAATCGGAGTAGAGCAGCCATTCCTTTTGAAGCCACACCCGAGGTTACCTCGAAGCACCGATGCTGTCGCAAAGCTTTGCCATCATTGCTAGGCCCCTTCCAAACCTCCGTGCGTTTCACCATACGTCGTCAACCCTCGATAAACACCCGAATGGGTAAATCATCACATTCCCTCTCATACCTATTGGTATGGGAAGGGAACTTCTCGAACCAATGCAGTCCGCGGACCCCGATGTCAGAGACCAAGATTGTTTCCAGCCTCTCGTCCTCGCATCGATAAAGATTGCTACCCTGTGCACCGTCCATGTACCATCCTACCATTGAAGATACCAGGGCTTACAACAGAAGAAGCGGACAGGGCAGATGGGTAAAGCACTACAGATTCTGGTAGCTGCAATGAATGGAATGGGTTCTGGGCAGTGCCACCATGCTGTGTATCATGTATAGCTGCATAGATACTCATAGATCATGGACCCATGTTCTCTGCCATCGTCCTACGTCATTGCAATCGAAAATCCGCGAAGTTTCCCTGGACTGACAACCATGCTGCAGCTGATGCTTGGATCTCCCCACATTATCACATCACGTGACACCGTAGAACCGCGGAGAAGGCTCCAGCAGGAGCTGGAAGCTGCTCGCATCAACTGGCAAGCGCTCACAACATCGCGCAACAACACGCAAATGCTGATGTTTGCCGGCAACTTCCAGACTTCCAGCAAACATGGGGCGATCCTTTCTCCCTGGTAGCTGACTGCGGCCGCCAATCGGCTATAAAATCTCCCTCCATTGCCCTTCCTCGCTTCTTCTTCCCATCTTCACAACCACACTAATTTCCAAAGCTTCAATCCAAAGCTTTAATCTCAAAACAAACTTCAACCCACCTTGACACCATGTCTCTGTTCCGCACCAGCTTCCCCTCGGGCGACTTTGCCCCTCTGTTCCGTCTGCTAGACGACTACGATGTCCACCGTGCCAGCCGGCAGACCACCGCCACCCGCTCCTTCCACCCTTCCTTCGACGTTCGCGAGAGCGAGGACTCCTACCACCTGGATGGCGAGCTGCCTGGTATTGCCCAGAAGGACATCAACATTGAATTCACCGACCCCCACACCCTGGTCGTGAAGGGCCGCACCGAGCGCGAGTACCACACCTCCGAGCCCAAGGAGACCACCAGTGGTGGTGATGACACCACCGTGGCCGAGACTACCGACAAGGCTCAGACCACCACGCCCAGCCACCGCTTCTGGGCCAGCGAGCGCTCGGTCGGCGAGTTCCAGCGCACCTTCACCTTCCCCGGCCGCGTCGACCAGGACAATGTCAAGGCCAGCCTGAAGAACGGAATCCTGTCGATCGTGATCCCCAAGTCTACTGTTTCGGCTACCAAGAAGATCACCATCGAGTAAGCGATGCTCTCGATCATTGTCTGGGTGCCTGCAGGCGCCTCTTTACACACGACGCTCATGAGACACGACTTTGGGGATTGTATTCCACGTTGATTTGCTTGGACATTGCCAGTCGGACCTGCTCTGTCACTGACATTGCATGGCCCAGTTGGCTAGAATGATCCACTGGCTTTCGCTTAATACTGGGATGAGATGTTCTAGATAGTTTAATCAAACTTCAGTTATTTGCTTCAACTCCTTTCTTTCTCAACGTAAATTGTTGCTTGTAACTTAGTATATACCGAGTTTCTCTAGTTCTCCGCAAATGCAAGTGTGGAGCTCTTTGCTTATCGCCAGCTTATCTGAACCGAGGCATGTGAGCCGAGGAGCCGAATGGGACACTGCCAGCGATCAGTAATCTTCTTCGACTCATAATTGTCGCCTTGACTGTCTTCGAATATCTGTTCATTTGCCTTTGATCACCTCTCGTTGCTATCGAACACCCCGGCGACCACCTTCCCTTGATCCTCTCGTGGGTCACTACCACCTACCAACTCCTCTACCGCGGCCTCCATCTCCACGTCCACCACGAACACCTACCTCACCATGGCGCAAAACTATTCTTTCAAGTACTTCACTGTTCAATTCCCAGCTGAGAACCCATATGTTGCCCATGTGGAGATCAACCGGGCGGACAAGATGAACGCATTCTTCGAAGCGTAGGTGTTCCTCCATTCCCTGTACGAGCTCGCATCACTAACACCAAGGTGGCGGCCAACCAGTATGTGGCTGGAAATGCGTCAAGTCTTCAATCAGCTCTCCGAAGACCCCTCCGTCCGGGCCATTGTCCTGAGTGGAGCTGGCGAAAAGGCATTCACCGCTGGGCTAGACGTCAAGGCCGCGCAGGGCGGCATTCTCTCGAGCGACTCCAACCTCGACCCCGCCCGCAAGGCAGTCCACCTGCGCCGTCATGTCCTCGAATTCCAAGACTGTATCACCGCCGTCGAACGCTGTGAGAAGCCCGTCATTGTGGCCATGCACGGGTTCTCCCTCGGCCTAGCAATCGACCTGTCCACCGCAGCCGACATCCGTCTCTGCTCCAAGGATGTGCGATTCGCCGTCAAGGAAGTCGACATTGGATTGGCCGCAGACATCGGTACCCTCAGCCGACTGCCCAAGGTTGTTGGCAACTTTGGCTGGGTGAAGGAGGTCGCCTTGAGCGCGCGCATTTTCGGGGCCGAGGAAGCCCTTCGCGTGGGATTCGTGAACTCCGTGCATGAGAATCGGGCGGCTACGATCGCGGCGGCTCTCAAGCTGGCTACACTGATTGCATCGAAGAGTCCCGTGGCGGTGCAGGGTACCAAAGAGATTTTGAACTGGTCGCGCGATCACTCGGTGCAGGATGGTCTGCGGTATACGGGTGTGTGGAATAGCGCGGCGCTGCAGACGGGGGATGTGCCTGCTGCTCTGCTGTCGGGGCTACAGAAACGCACGCCTACTTTTGAGAAGTTGTAGGTCGATAAATTATCGACGATCGGTGCTAGTTACTACGTCTAGGTTGACTTGTCTCCACTTATTTTCTCGTGGTGGCCGAGACCGGTGGACATGTTGTATATAAATGAACACTTTGTACTCCGTCGCAGTGAGATGGAGACGCCTCGATGATATCAGGTCACAAATATATTTTCTTTAGAATAAACACTAAAAAAATGCTTCTATCAAGGACTCTCAATTGATAGAGTACCTGGGCCAGACTACACACCATAGAAAACAAAAGAGCTCAACACAGCAGCACGAAACACGCACCGTTTCAGACTTGCACCAATTTCACCCTCCACTCGCCAGCCAAGCCTTTATAGACATGAAAGCAGACAGCCCTCCGCACATCCACAACGGGCAATAGCGACAACCAGGGAAGCTCCGGATCACAAAAGGCAGAATACCGAAGGTCCTGCGCAGAAATGCAGGTTCCATGAATCAAAGACCACCGACGATCAGCGTCTTCCCCGCAAATACGATGGCGCTGCAGGTTTGGAATTCCGCCGTCAGCAGGTGTTAATATGGGACCTCCGTTGATCCGAACCCGCAATTTCTCGTCGGACATCACCCGTCCTGGACAGGACGAACGTGAAGAGACAAGGGGGGCTTTTTCCACGTATCGTCTGGCTCTGACAGGGGTTGGTTGAGATGGGATACTCCGTTGTTCGGTGTAGATAGTCCCGGTGGTGATGGGATGTGCTTGGTTTAAGAAGCAGCAAGAGGAATCGTGTTGATCGTTTTCGATTTACAATCGCAAAAGAGATTCCTTCCTGTCTACACTTGTCTGCATCAAAAACATGGCCATTATGAAGTCTGCCGTATTGCTCTCTATGATCCCCACCGTGCTGGGCACAACCATCTACTTGGCCGGTGATTCCACCATGGCCAAAGGAGGCACTGGATCCGGTACTGCAGGTAGGTCCTTCCAGAACTGTTCCAAATATTCAAAAGCAATTCACCACTCGAGCATATTCTAACAACATCTAGGATGGGGCGAGTACGTCTCCCCGTATACATCCGCCACAGTCTCCAACCAAGCCGTCGCCGGCCGCAGTGCACGATCGTACACTCGCGAAGGCCGCTTCGACACGATCGCCAGCGAAGTCCAATCGGGAGACTGGGTGATCATCGAATTTGGACACAATGACGGTGGCTCGCTCACGCCAACGGATAACGGCCGCACGGATTGTTCGGGCACAGGAGACGAGACATGCACCACGACCTATGACGGGGTGACCGAGACCGTCTTGACGTTCCCCAAGTACTTGGAGAACGCAGCAAGCACATTCAAGGCCAAGGGTGCCAATGTGCTCATTTCCAGCCAGACACCCAACAACCCCTGGGAGACGGGGACCTTCACATATTCACCCTCGCGGTTTGTGGGATACGCCGAGCTGGCAGCCCAGACGGCGGGTGTCTCGTATGTGGACCATGGAGCTTATGTGGCGGATATCTTTGAGTCTTTGGGCGCCGATGTTGTCGACGCGTACTTCCCGCTCGATCATACTCATACCAGCCCTGCTGGTGCGTCGGTCGTGGCTCAGGCATTCTTCAAGGCCGTGGTCTGTGGAGGCGTTGGTCTGGAGAGTCTGTTGAACACTGAAAGCTTTGAAGGAGAGTGCCTCTGAAGGCCAGGTGGGACCTAACCTGTATTGCAGGGCCAAATCAATTGGTGGTTGATTGTGGAAAGGAAATAACAGATATCGAGTAGTGGATAGGAAGTATCACTCTGTCGATCTTCATAAGCTGGCATCCAGCCATTGAATTCATTCACGTATCGTCATATGTCCATAATTGTAGAAGAGGGTAGAAAGCTAAGCAAGCACCAGGTATGAAAGTAAACCGGCACCATCAAGTCACTATATGCAGACCCAAGGTCTCCTGCCTCACTGCGAGCCCTCGAGAATAGCTCTCACGATGCCTCGTTTCTCCACACGCGCGTAGTATTGATTAAGATTAACCCATCGAGCATCAAATGGACCCTGGGACATTACAATCTCGCGCAACACTGGCCAAAAGGAGCAGTCATCAATGCTCAAAGACGAGCCTCCCAGGTAATGTCTCCCTTCCAGTGCTCGGTCGCAATCCTCCAGGTTGGTTTCAAATGTGCAATCTGGATTGATCGCGCGATGCTCACGCCACCGGTTGAGGAACCCTTCAATCCATTGAAGTTCATTGCCACCTCGCAAGGCTTCTACGCCTGGCCGGATTGACTCCGCGGGCCGTTCAGCCAGGTGCGTCAGGATAGCCACATCCCCCGCAATAGTCCTACCATCTGGGTCCGTATACAATGGTTGTGGGCTTGGTGTGCCATCTTGACCATGTGGCTTATCGTCGACAATCTCATATCGAAGACCATTCTCACCCAAGCCCATCTGCACGCGCAGATCCGCAACCAGATTTCCACAAAGTGTCAACCGTGCGGGAGTCGTAGTGACAAAATTCACCACGTCGAATCCAGCGCCATAGAAGGCGTCCCAGTCGAACTCGGTGGCCCGATTCTCCTGACCGAATGCGCGAATCAGTCGTTCGGTTTCTGCAGGTTCGCCATGAATCACAGTTCGCGCGGTATCCGGTGATTTGCTGATAGCGCCTTGGCCCCAAATGGTATTCGTATTCGGGTTGAGATAGGTACCGATGTGTCGGAAAGTAAGGGAGATACGCTCACCACCAAATGCTTGCTCCGCGGAAGACTTGATGGATGCGGCGCGTTTGTCTGGTCGGATCCCGTGAAGCCAGCGCATATTGGTTTTTTCACCGAGGATGAAAAGAGATCGATGGGGCAGTGGAACTTGTTGCTTGAGACGACTCGACTCAGCGCCCTCATGGGACTCGGAGGCCGAAGCCTTGGTACGGAGCGTCATAACCCGCTGTGCGCCCAAGCTGACATTGCAGATAAAGGATCCTCGAACGATGTCAAGAGTCTTGTCGGAATGCTCAGAAATTGAATCCTGACCGTCACGGTAGAGCTGGATGAGGACATGGTTGAGGGGGTGGCCAAGGATTCGCTCGACCAGGATGCGTGCTTCATCCACGGCCGGCGTGAATGGTTTCAATGGTGGAGATTCGTCTGCAGGGTGTCGGTAGATAGGAATAGAGCCATCGGGTTGGATATGCCCTTGGACAGCCACAAGCCGAGGGACCTGGCCGGACAGATGGTACATCTTCTGCCAGGACACTTCCGCCCGCATACGCTCAAAGGCATCGGCAGGCAGGTCGATTTCTGGGATAATGCGGGAATCACCTTCACCTAGACTGCCGTCTGACAATCCCTTGGTCGATCCATCTCCAGCTCCTCCACCGGGTGTAGGTTCTCGACGTTTCGGCCGACGCACCCGCGCACGAACTTGTTTCTTTCCTTCAACGGGTATACGAGCGGCGGCGGCTGCGACTCTCGTTGCTCGCGTTTGCGAGGCGAGCTGTGCCAAACTGTAGCTCCCCTCATCCGGAGCTTCCTCGGGAATGGAATCCACAGGCATTACATCCAAACTGTCCATGATATCCTCGATGCCCACGGGCGCACCCGCAGTGGTCGATCGTTTAGGTGGCTGCGTCTTGTTTTGTCGGGCAATCTCATCTGTCTCCTGCCACTCCAGCTCTTGATTCAACTCTTGGGCCGTTATTCCCGCAGCTCCCAGGATATCTGCCATGCGGCGCATAGCTTCCTGGTGACGCTGAAAGTCCCGATATCCCAGACAGTCTTCAACTACTGTCACCGAGAAGCCGTTGCGCACGGCATCAAGAGCCGTTGCATAGACGGAAACATTCGACAGCGAGCCACATAAATACAGGTCGGTCAAAAAGCGCGTGCGAAATGATAGTACCAGGCCCTCCGACTCCAAAGCAGAGTAACCCGTCTTATCAAGCACCGTATCACGATCCGGGTCAATAGCAGCGAGCACAGGTGCGGGGAATTGAAAGCCAGGCGATTGTGGCGCGCAACACTTGGCAGATCGACCGGAGAGGAAAGCTTCGGTGTCCACAGGCTCCGGTGAGTCACGGTCGGATGATACTTCGATCACATCGGATGTGGGTAAGGGCGGTGCTGGCTTCGGCGGCCCATTCTCCAAGACGACGCGATCTCCAAAGTTCCAATCTTCCGTAGGCTGTGGAGATTCATACTGCGAGCGCACCCAAATCACATCGCCCGAGCGACGAAACGCTGCCGCCAGTGGAGGCAGGATCTCTAGGATATCTGCTGTATTGGGGACATGGAGGGCGCCAGCTGGGCGGACAAAATCATTCTGAAAGTCCAAGAGCAGTAAAGCCTTGCGGGTTTGAATGGCGGGAATATCGCCGAACGAAAAGAAGCTCATTGTCGAGTCGACATGGCACAGCGCGAGGGGGTGCGCAGCGCAAGGAGGGAAGGCAGTCAAACAATCATCAGCCGCTTTGTTTGTGTTCGCGGGGGAAGCTTTGAGGGGGTGGATATGACACCTGAAGGATGAGGCAGGGAGGCCAATTGCCCTCGGAAAGGAAGGCCGCAAGGCAGTCAGGCCACAATTAGAAATCGAGTCACGAGATAATAGATTCATAGTGTAATTGTCGGGGGTAGGAGGCCCAATTCCGGTTGACTTGGCTAGCAATGCTATCTAGCCACAATTCTTAGCTTCAGTCAGGATCAATTGAGTAATTTGAGTGCCATTGACCCCCCGCATACCCTCCTCATTGTCGGAGCAAATGGACTCCAGTCCGTGCTTGGCCCCAGCTCATTAAGCTATGGATGGGAGACATCGTTACATCCTAGGAACAGAGCCACCCCACAATGAACGATAATAATGGGACCACCATGAGTCAACAACGCCTCGAATAACTAACTAATCAGGTAGCCATCTTCTCGTCCCCCTCTCTCTCTCTTCATCGGCCCGGAGATCTCACGATGGACGGTTGGTGCCAGTGGGAGTTGGCCATTGGCCAGACCTGGCGCCGGTTGCGGCAGCCAATCACGGGAGCTGGACCCAGCCGGTGTCGGCCGGGGAGCTCAAGTTCTTCTCCGGCCCAGTCATGTGGAGTCAAGTGCCCAGGATGACTCCAACTGCGTCCGGCCAAAGGGCCTGTTACTGGAGCTCCTACCCACCGAACTTTCTCGGTTCACTTAAATTCCTCGTCCTTCCCAGCGACTCCCCAGATTCTCTTTCTTCTCTTTACACACTCTCCACTCCTACTCCCTCCCCCTTTGCCCTCCCTTTCCTTCCCTTCACACATACACACACATACACAATGGCTGCTCGTGGTCTTCCCCGTGCCCTCCGCCTCGCCCGCGTGGCCGCTCCTCGCTCGGTCGTTACCGCTGCTCTCCCCCGGCCCGCTCTGGCTAGCGTCGCCCGCCGTGCCATTGCTCCCATCACCCCCGTCCGTGGTGTGAAGACCATTGACTTCGCTGGTGTCAAGGAGGATGTCTACGAGCGTGCCGACTGGCCCCGTGAGAAGCTCCACGAGTACTTCAAGAACGACACTCTTGCCCTCATTGGTTACGGTTCCCAGGGCCACGGCCAGGGTCTGAACCTCCGTGACCAGGGTCTCAACGTCATCGTCGGTGTCCGCAAGGATGGTGCTTCCTGGAAGGAGGCCATTGAGGACGGCTGGGTCCCCGGCAAGAACCTGTTCGATGTCAACACCGCCATTGAGAAGGGTACCATCGTCATGAACCTCCTCTCCGATGCCGCTCAGTCCGAGACCTGGCCCACCATCAAGCCCCTCATCACCAAGGGCAAGACCCTCTACTTCTCTCACGGTTTCTCCCCCGTCTTCAAGGACCTCACCAAGGTCGAGGTCCCCAAGGATGTCGACGTCATCCTGGTCGCCCCCAAGGGTTCCGGCCGTACCGTCCGCTCCCTGTTCAAGGAGGGCCGTGGTATCAACTCCTCCATTGCCGTCTACCAGGACGTCACCGGCCAGGCCAAGGAGAAGGCCATCGCCATGGGTGTTGCCGTCGGTTCCGGCTACCTGTACGAGACCACCTTCGAGAAGGAGGTCTACTCCGACCTGTACGGTGAGCGTGGCTGCTTGATGGGTGGTATCCACGGTATGTTCCTCGCCCAGTACGAGGTTCTCCGTGAGCGTGGCCACTCCCCCTCCGAGGCCTTCAACGAGACCGTCGAGGAGGCCACCCAGTCCCTGTACCCCCTCATCGGTGGATACGGTATGGACTGGATGTACGCTGCCTGCTCCACCACCGCCCGCCGTGGTGCCATTGACTGGTCCAGCCGCTTCAAGGACAACCTGAAGCCCCTGTTCAACGAGCTCTACGACAGCGTCCGTGACGGCACCGAGACCCAGCGCTCCCTCGACTACAACTCCCAGAAGGATTACCGTGCGAAGTACGAGAAGGAGATGGAGGAGATCCGCAACCTCGAGATCTGGCGCGCCGGCAAGGCTGTCCGGTATGTTAATTTTCCCCCGTTCATCACCACATCATCCATGACAAGATTGGCTAACATCTGTTCTTCTTTCCAGCTCGCTCCGTCCCGAGAACCAGAAATAAATAATATCTTGATACCACGGAGGGATTTGGACAAAAGTTATGATGTACTATGATACTGTTTTTGGGCTTCGGGTTATAGCAACGAAATATCATTGACAGCTAAGCAAAGCTGGAATTTGCCATCAGTCATGTCCATGTGCTGTACTCTGTAGTGATGATTGTCTTCGTAATTTTGGATTATAACTAAATATTGGATCTCCTTGGATTGTCTATTTCTCGGGCATCGCGTCCTCGGAGTAACCCCGACGGAGGGGAAGACGAACAGTCCCCTCTCTCGCACAAGTTTGACTCATTCTGAAGATTGCAACTCCTCTCACACCTCAATAGAACCGCACACACACACAACCATCACACAGCCATCATGACATCCTCAGCAGAAAAAGCTCAATTGCTTACTCCCGCCGCCGTTCAAGCCGCGTACAGCCTCATCCAACCCTACGTCCATCGCACCCCACTCTTGACATGCAAAACCCTTGACACGATCGCATCCACCCCGCAGACACCAGAAGCCCTCGTCGGCACACCATTCGAGGGTCAGACACCCGCGCAACCAAAATTCCACTTCTTCTTCAAGTGCGAGAATCTACAGCGGATTGGCGCTTTCAAGGCTCGAGGCGCATTCCATGCTTTGCTGCGGTTGATTGAGGAGCGGGGGAGGAGGAGGTTAAGAGGCGAGGGGTGATTACGCATAGTTCTGGTATGGAAGAGAATTGAACGGCAGAGAATGATACTTGGAAAATGAATATGGAGACTAATATATGCTTTTTCTGGTTCTGTTAGGAAACCATGCGCAAGCCCTCGCCCTCGCCGCGTCGACGCTCAACGTTCCAGCTTATATCGTGATGCCGAGCATCAGCACCCCGTCCAAGATCGCAGGCACACGCTCTCACGGCGCAGAGGTCATTTTCAGCGGATCAACGAGTGTCGAGCGTGAGGCGGTGGTTGCAGAGATCCAGGCTAAAACAAATGCTATCCTGGTACCTCCATATGATGATTTCAATATCATCTGCGGACAGGGAACAACGGCGCTGGAGCTAGAGGCTCAGTATACAGAGCAAGCTGGGACTAAGACTCTGGGTGCAGTCATCACTCCGATTGGTGGAGGTGGACTCAACGCTGGCGTGGCAACGTACTTCTCGGATAAGCAGACGAAAGTGTTTGGTGCGGAACCCAGCTTCCAGGGCGCGGATGACTGTCGTCGGGGGCTGTTGGCTGGCAAGCGTGTCGAGGCGGTGTCAACGTTGACTATTGGAGACGGTCTACGTACACCCGTGGGAGTGCTGAACTGGGAGGTGATCTCCAATAAGAAGAAGGTTGAGGGGGTATATGCGGTCACCGAGGAGCAGATCAAGGCGGCCATGCGCCTGGTATTGGAACGCATGAAGGTCTTTGTTGAGCCAAGCGCTGTCGTCGGACTGGCTGTGTGCCTCTTCGATGAAGATTTCCGACGACTCGTCGAACAAGAAGGCGGCGATCAGGGATGGGACGTGGCTATTGTGTTCAGCGGTGGTAATACCACCGTCGAGGCGATCGGCAAGTTGTTTGGCTGATGTTGCATAAAGATAGACAGCCCTGAATTTCAAAGTACAGCGTCATATAGAATGTATCCTTCATTCAATTGTCTGGCAAAGGCACTTCGACTCCAGTCGCTCGCACGTAGAACGAGAAGCATCCGCCATTATACCAGCTGACACCATCGATTACTCGACGAGGCCACTCCTCGCGGCCCCAGGCATTGACCCAGGCCGAGAATTTGCCTTGGCGGACCACACTTTGGCGCATGGGGGCATCTCTCCGGGCATCATGTGCACTCATGGCCGGTGGGAACGGACGGACTGTATCCCTATGAACCACTAGCCGGAAGATCGGAAAGGTACCCCAAGGCGCTGGCAATGCAGGTGGCAGCGATGGCGTCTTAGATGGCGGGCGATCATATGGTCCAGGAGGACCAGATGGGCCGTTGGTATGCCAAGCAGACGGACGACCACTCGAGACTGTTGTCGTATAAACGATGGCACATCCGAACCGACCTTGCAGCCGCTTCAACTCGTTGACTATCTCAGCGTACAGGTGAGAGAGATGGAAATTTTGGTTCTGGTCCCGTTTCTGGCCAACCTCTGCTCGAGAGCGCCCAATCTCTTCGGTGCGAGCCACTTCGTCCCTGAGCTTGTCTGGCCAGAGGAATGCAGTGGCGCTGTCAATGACTAGCATATGCAGTGGCCGTGAAGCAGAGCGATGCCGAGACAGGTCATAAAGATACTTATCTAGGGTACACAGCGTGGCAAGAAGGGCCGAGGATGATTGTGGGCGAAAGACATGGACGTGCTCAAGGGCGGAAGTTAACATTTCTGTCAGCTCAGCCTCTGAATAGCGTGCGGAGGTTTCGTCGAGTATTTCATCATCAGCTGATTCTCGTGCTTGTCGCACGGCTCCTCGAGCCACATCCCGTAGTCTGTAGACATCGAATCGATCATCAGCGTCCATCCAGACCACAGCTGCCTCGAGTCCTCCGATGGAAAGGCCTGCAAAAGTCCTCGGCAAGATGGCACGCGCAGTCATATAATATAACAGCTGTGTTTTACCAGCACCTGAAAGACTGCTGGAAATCTCCAGGACTGGACTTGGTCGCTTGCGTCTAGGGGCAGAACTCGAAGAGAGGAAGTTGAATCGCTCGGGGTGTTCTTGGACAGATGGTTCCCCAGAAGCAGCGGTCGTTTCGTCTTGGCCACCGCAATGCAAGAGGATCTCGTCATCTTCCGTGATGATCTGCTCGGGCGGTACAGTATCATATAACTGCCGTTCTGTCTCATTGGACGTGCCCGGTAAGCGCTGCATGAAGACTTCTAGCAAGGCATCGATGACAGGAACTCCCAACAACGGCAACTGCTGGCCAGGACTAGCGGGGTATACATTGACGAGATCATTCAGTAGCTATAAAGATAGATTAGCGATGGAAATGGACATTATGTCAAGAAGACTCCGTGGATACCTGGTCCAGCCCTTCGTGATGCACGTCAGCCAGCGACGTCGCACCCAGGCTGGCGGACATGACGGTCAGAAGCCTGCAGTCTCATAAATCACGCATGCCTGACAATATGAGATGCATGCAGCTCTCTGCAGGTACCGCTGCGTCCAATCTCCCTGCGAGACGCGTTGGGGTGCAGCAATGGCCGTCCAAGGCAAAAGGTGGTGTAGTTCGGGGGACGGAAGCTTCCGCGGCCGGAGAGAAGTTCACAACTTCGGATCTCATTCCACTCCGCCGACACCTCTGGAATAACATTTCCCTCAACCACGCAGTTTGCGGCGAACTCGACTCCCGTTCAGTCACTATGGCACCTCTAGTCCACGTGTTCTCTGCAGAGAACCTTCCCGATCATGTGAACACGATCCAGCGCAACTTCCAAGAGAAGCGTCGCAAAGGTCCCGCCGTGAACCTGAAAGAGTGCCAGCTGCTCGAGATGGTGCAATACTCCTGCAACCCGCCTCAAGAAGAGGTTCCACAGCCGGGTGTGATTACATGCGAGCCACTCGTACGGCTGTTTCGACGGTGAGGGCTTGAATTTGACATAACGGAGGCCTAATCGAGACTAATGAACACTCCAGATGCGCCGGAGGATTGACAGTGGAAACCACTACATGGGAACCGATCAGGCAAGCCGCGGAGGAAGCTCAAAGGAAGCCGACAGACACAAAACGATGATGGGCCAAAGGACCTTTGGACAACAACACGCACACATACATTGAGCTTTTGCATTGGGCGGAGTTATGGGATCTATACAGGGAGCGAATGAAATCAAATAATCATTGTCATGCTGCAACTGCCATGGGGTATCTATCTCCTCAAGACCGACTCCGGACTATACACAAAAGCGCCAACCCAAAAAGTAATCCCAAGGTCCCAAAATCAAGAAATGCGAGAACGCCGGTAATGAAGTCTTGTCAGGACTGACCCTGTTCAGCACCATCATCTCATGTGCCCAGGAGGCCATCCACCGCTTCGACAGCGCTTGTCAGCTTCAGCGTCTTGTCCTCCACGCCTCGTCTGCTGGCTGCCGTTGTTCGCCGCCAATAGTCTCGCTCGCAATTGACAATGGGCCCCATCTCCATGTTCGACGATGCCTTGGCCCGGATCTTCACGTCTCCATCCAAAGTCGGGCCGAAATCAATCTCCATGGCCGGCGCGGGAGCAGCATTCACACTTGTAGCAGCAAGGGGTTCTTTCTGTACCTTCTTGGCCAGTCCCTTCACCGTCTTCTCAAACATAGTCTCCATACTCTCCATCCGCCTGCCCCAGAGCTTCTTATCCCGCCCGACCGCGCCGGTCGGACTATCGCGGTACGCAGCGCTAGCCAACTTTCGCAATGCCTCTTCACCATGTCGTCCGTCTTCGGCAGCACGCTCGCGAATTTTGCGCGGGTCATTGTCGCGCTCGGTGAACACGGCGGTGGAAGAGTAGGTATGTTTGCTGGGAAAATCGGGGAAGTGCTTGGGCACGTAGGACCTGTTCGTCTCGCTCTCTTCGCCCCGCAGCGCGTTCAAGAATGGCAGCTTTCGTTTTACTTCATCCTCAGGTGGTGGAGATGGAAGGAGGGTGGGGATTGGCGCGACCTTTGGAGGCGCCTTGAGATAGGGACGGAGATCATCGGGTGTGATGCGATGGTGATTCAACGCGTATTCAAAGTCTGGTGGGATTGGTTGGAGACGTCGTGAGGACAGCATGGACTGGCGAACGAATTTGGAAATGTGTAGCAGGTCTAGATCACACCACGCGCAGTGTCAGGATTAGTTCAGATCTTGCCCAAGGATGGGATGACCCTCGCAGTTCTAGTCTGGAACGTACATTCTTCCGCGGCGCTACGGAAGCTGGACAAAGCAGCTGGATCCGCCAAATCAAATCCCGCATCTCGAAGGAAATGCCCTATCGACCGGTTCATCATGTGCTCGATGCTGTCGTCATCTTGCAAGGCGGGCTCGCAGGCCAGCGGCAGAGTCACCGGTTCGACGAGGCGGTGGTGGTGATGATAATGGTGCTTAGTTCGCTTGTTGTCAGCTGCTTCTAAGTGAGAAGAAGAGCGCTTGACTTGGCCCGACGTCGCCATGGCCACTGGAGAGGTCTGTCGAGGGCGAAGCTGGTCGAGACGAGCGACAGCTTGTCGCAGGACGGGCGGCCCTGGAGTCACGTGTTTTTGATGCCTGAGGCATGCTACTTTCTCTTGGAAGCTACGTGAACAGGAATCAGTCAAATCAATATGTAATTGACCTGGTAGGAGAACTCATAGAATTGCAAGAGAAGAGAGAAACCAGCCTCAAATCCCAAATCAAATCTCAACATCATCCAACTCCCATCAATGGCGCGAGGTGCCAGCGAGACCCCATCGACCAATCCGGAGCCTCGCTTAGTCCGCCCGAAAGCTTCAACTTCACTTCCCGTCCACCTCACTCCGTCACTCTCCTCTCCTCCACCTTTGCCCACCCCGCAACCCCTCGAGGCAGGATCATCTCTGTCCAACCCCGTTAAACCTCCCACCGAACATCGATTGACGTTGTCTATCTGCTACAATGGGCGCCGCTATCCCCCCCATCACCGGCGTAGGTGACCCCCCTTCCCTACAAGACCCGGCTTGCCCCGAGCGGGCTGGTCGGGTGCTTCGTTACCTGGGGACAATGGACTAACATACCTTGATGGATTTACAGATGCTTCGCCGTGGTCTGGTTCTGGACCTGAGCACCGCTTTCGGTGAGTGATTGAGTCTTTTTTCGGAGTTGGAGTTGGGGTTGCGAGTGGCATGATCGCATGATTCGACGAAGATTCGGGATACAGCAATTGCTCTCGGCGCAGAACGCCCTTCAACACACCGACTATCTGGAGTGCAATGGGCAGCGATACGATCATGTCTACCTCGTGGAAAAGGATCACAACCGACTAACCAGCAACTTTCACCCTCTAGGCTTCGGCACCACCTTCGGCTACCTCTGGTGGTACGGTAAGTAGCATGATTCCCACCCTTTCATTCAGCTACACCGTCTCCACGAATACCAGTTCTAACAAGTCTCCCTCTTCGGTTCCAGGCTACCACCTGCCCCGCGTCCGCGAGCGTGATGTCTACTACACCCGTCTCGAGCAGGAGCGTGCCGCTCAGCGCGCATAAATCGGTCAACACTAGTCGCATCCCCTCGACTCTCTCATTTTCGCCCATCGGCATCACCCCGTTTTCCTTTGTGATTTGAGATCCTCCAAAAAAAAATACAACCAATACACCGTTTGTCAAGGACGTTTGGGTCTTATGCGATCTCCATGAGCGGGGATGCGTCGATGGGTCCTGGCCGAGTGTGGGTGATTTCGTGTTGGAACCGATTTGTACATATACGCCTGTGATCAATTTCTTTCCATTTTCTGGTCCTCTACACTGCAGGTCTTCAGTTGACTGGCCGGTTTGAATGCCGCCCTGCCAGGTCTCTGACCAATGTTCTTGACTTGTAGATCTAGATCAGTGTCTGCCTCTACGTATCAGATCAATTCTGCACGCGTCATCTCCATCCCAGATTGATCGGACGGGATCTATTGAATTCAAACGCTAATTACGCCGGTTATATGTACTTGAAACTCCCACCTTTGGAGATAAAAGTCCACCCTGTAAAGCCATAGATCATCATGTTCGCATCTCTCATCATCCAGTCTCGCGCGCCAGCCACAACTCCCCCCAACCTCATACAGGCATCATCCAGATGATTGGGGTAGAAGTCCAGCTAGGCCCACGAGACTCCGTCTGGAGCAACGAATCGATCAGGTCGTACCGGTTCTATCGAAGCACCCGCTCGAAACTCACGCCCCGGACGGACCCGCCGGCCATGGAGGAGCGCACATTCCGCTTGAAGCCTTCCCGGTTGGTGCGGAGGTCATCTGCGGCGTCTTTATTCAGGGGATCGGAGGCATTCGGCTCGAGGAAGAGGAACTGCGAAAGTTGGAGGAGAGGTTAGCCCGAATCACATTTCGTCCACGCGGAGATGGCGTAAAGGAAACACACCTGCATGCCCACAATAACCGCATTCAAGTTCAACACGGGCTTCCAGTCCTCGCGCAGGATGTTCAAGCACACATTGCCATCCAGGTCGATGTTGGGGTGATAGATCTTTTGGGTACACTTGACCTTGGGCGGGTCATGAGGGAAGTTCTGGTTGACGGCGAAACTAAAGTTGAAAACGCCGCCCTTGTACATGCCCTCGTCCGGCTCGATGGTCAATGTAAAGTTCAGGATGTCGTCGGGGTTCGGGAAGGTCATCTTCATAGTATTTCCGAGGGTGAGTTCTTGGAGGTCTGCAGATGGAGATGGGAGTGTCAGAAGGAAGTCATAGTCATCATCAGGCTTGTACCAGATACCAGGGTACAGCGCATCGATCGAAATGCCATGGGGAGAGACACACCTCGTTGCACGCGCAGCTGTGCAGCGGTGACCTTCTTCTTTTTCTTGCCAGCTGCGCCTTCGGCATTTTCAGCCTGCGCCTGCTGCTGTTTCTGTGGGAGGGATCAGTACACGATTTTCTTTTGTATTGGATATCTAGATTATCCGCGGTGTAGCCCTACCATCGACCAGATCTTCAACATCTTGGCTCGGAGTCACCACCCCACCTGGTGGAACGACGGAGAACACGAGATCGTTAGGGGGAGTCCGGGGGGAGGGAGAAGCCTGCCAACGAGTGATGAGAGCAACGATCAGGATCGACACAGCACGAATGCCACAAGTCGAATGTAAAGTCGAGCTTGACGGTGGTCGGGAGGTTGAGAGGTGGGAAGTGGGAGAGGAAGACTTGCGGGGGAGGGAATCATTTCTCAGCCTGGCGGGTTCTGTCTATCGCCGAACTCCCAACTGGTGTCCGCCTTTCATGCCGGAGGATGACGTACTCCGAGATGGCGAGTTCTAACATAACCACCACCACGACAATACAAACATTATTTAAACTGGAATATTTCAAGCACTTGGTTTTAAGATCTCACAAGGATTCATTGCGCCCCGAATGCATTCCCATTGCATCGCTGGTCCGACAAAACAAAAAAGAGTATCAGGGGATTTCAAGGTTGCTAGTCAACCTTCCACGACAGTACATACTGACATCACAAAAAGAGAAGGTCAAAGGTAACGGGCATCTTTAGGTAGAATACAGATTCGCAATAGCTGAAGATAAGAAGGACAGAACCGAGGAAGAACAACATGAAGGCGGAAAGAAGGAAAAACATGTGCCAAGAAGGGGTGTTTTCATGAAGAACAAGAGAGGGGGAAAGCAGTACGTCCACATATCCCATCTACCGGCGGGCGAAGCAGCACTTGATACCAGTGCGGCCCAGGAACCAACAGGCACCGATGAAGCGGAACAGCGCCATCACGGCGTTCGACCACAGAAGGGCCTGGAAGAAACGAGCGGTACGAGTGGTGGCAGTGTTCTGGAGATGTTGTTAGTAAGTGGGTTCCGGGGGATAAGGGATAAAAGAAATCTAAGGATGATGAAACATACCGTAAAACCGAACTTGTCAACCGCCTCACTAGTAATACACACAGCCAAGAAGGCATTGCTGAAAATCCAGAAGGTGACGAGACGAGTACGGAAGCTCTTGTACGAATCCTCCAGGGACTTCTCATCATGCTCGACGGGAGCAACGTAGGGTGTCAACGCGCGCTTAACAGTAGCCTCGAACTGACTGTCGATATCGGCCTGCGGTTTATCGATTTCCTCTATGACCGTGTCTTTACTGCCTTCATCCTTGGTGGTTTTGGCAGAGGGCAGGGCATCAGCCTTGTCCGAACCCTTGGTACCCCAAGACACATCGTGCCAATTGCTGAATGCATAGACGTTGAGGATGTTGATGTACGAGGACTGCAGGACCATGTATGCGGGGAACGAGGTGAACATGTGCCACGGGTCGGCGTACATGAACGAGGCGACGAAGTAAAGACCAAAGGTGGCAGCCAGGGCAATGATAATGATACCAGCGCCGGACGAAGAGAAGAAAGACTTGAGGAAAGCTCCCACACCTTGGTTGGTAACAAAGTCCATCGGGGCACCTCCAGTGAAGGCGCGGATCACCAGGTATAGCGAATCCACGACGATGTACACCTGGATGAGACCAAACGCGACAAAGGAAGCAAGATACGAGAACTTGGAACCCTTGGGACGATTACCAAGGGCAAGGATGAACTGGAGCAGCAACAAGCCCAGGTAGACATACTTGACGATGGTGTTGACGATAGGAGTGGCAGTTTTGCCGAAGGGGAAAGCCTTGTCGCCGTTCGTGTCACTGGGGGTACCGACCAAGTCGATAATGACAGTAGTGGTCAGCCAGTAAGAGGCGAGCGAGAACCAGGTCAGGATGGTGTTGAAGATGTTGTACAGCATCTGAATATGCAAGAAGAACATGCGAATGATGTTGTGGCCGGATTTGTACATACGACCGAAATGCATCAGGGAGTAAATACCGGCAGCGAACGAACCGTTCAACCAACGACGACGCTGGGAAATGAACTCTGCAGCGCCTTCGGGCACGTCAGTCTCAGCCTTGGAGGCCTTGACATAGGACAAATGCCACTTGGAACCGGCCTTGGCCACCAACTCGAAACACAGGATACGATCCTCGGCCAAGAACATGTTCTTCTTGAAAATGTTCATGCCTTCAATACCCTTCTTGCCCAGCTGCTTCGACAGGGTGTGGTCACCGTGGAAGTACTGCTCCAGCGGGCGACCCATGATGGCACGGAATCGATACGCGGAGAAAGCACCGGGCAACACGGACACGTAACCGAACGAACTCTCGAGAGGCTTATCCAAGATATTACTGATCTTGTACTCGAAGTTCTGTGCCGCCACGAGCGGGTTGACCAAGTTCCGCCAGCCTTTACCCAACATGGCGTGAATTTCACCACAGGCACCTCCAAGATCCTTGTCATTGTAGAAGGCCTCCCAGAGGGACAGCAGAGACTTGGGGCCGGGCTTGGTTCCTGCGTCGAGCAAGATACAGATCTCGGGGTTGAGAATGCGACCAAAGGCGTTGAAGAGCCAACGGTGAGAGTTGATCTTCTTGCTGTTCTTCTGCTTCAGACAGAACATCATCTGGACGGGGGGCAGGGTGCTAGGGCCATCGTCGGTTGGTCGGATCAGCTGCTGACTCGGCGTCACCGACAACTGGGTGGTGTATTCGAAGATGTGAGCCACGGTCTCTTTGCCGTCGACATCACGCTTCATGACACCATCCTGGTAGATACCAATGGTGGCCAGGACGTCCAACGTATCCTTGTCACAAGGGTCGATACCGTCAAACACCAGGGCCACAACAATCTTCTGCCAAGCAGGGCCACCCTTGTTCCAGAACTCGGACTTCTTGAGGTTGACGATATCACGAATGTTTTGCATGACACCGTGCAGTGTGCGCGAGGTCAGAGTCTTGTCCTCGTTATAGTAGGTAATCGCAATAAGCAGCTCGGTGTGACGGTTGTACATGGCGGGACGCAGGTTGTAACCATTGTGGAGGGTAAACTCGTTGGGATCGCAGGTTGCAGCGGTGTCTAGACAATGAGGGAGATGCGTTAGCCACGATGCTTGATCTCTGCTGGATTGCTCTGTTTTGATCCAGAGCGTCAACCTTCGCGAGTGCCGCTACTTACATCGCATGTGAGTGAACTCTTCGCTGCCTCCCTCGAGGTCGTTGCGGTACTTGGCCTGAATGGCATTTTGAATGGCACTGGGCACGGGGTAGTCGACGCTCAGGACGGAACCCTGGACCAGCTTCACCTTACGGGTGGCATAACGGCGCAGGTTACCACCACCGCCAGGTCCCCCTCCCGGAGCTTGTCGCTGGCGCCAGGCCTCGGTGGACGAGGTCTCGCTTCGAGCGTAGGGGGAGGCCACCCGGCCAGGCACGCCAAACGCAGCCGCGGGGCTTTCAGACTGGCCCGAGTAAACAGAGCCTGTCGCATAGGGATCATGATAACCGGGGGCGGCGTCCGTGGCGTACGTCTCGGTCAGACTGTATCCCGAGGCAGGGCGAACGGGAGAGGCCCCACGGGAGTGCGGGTCGTCAAAGGGCGTCGCAAAGGGACCCTGCTGGTGGGCCAGGAGTCCCCGCGAGGCATCTTCATCTTCCCGATACTGTCGAGTGGGTTAGTACTTTGGTTTGATTTTTCTTTGTCTTTGTCACAATCAAAGAGAGCGAAAGGGGTCCGGGGGGGAGAAAAGCCACTCCACATGGAAGGGATTGACCGTTGGGGGGGCGCGTACTTGAGCACCGGGCGCATCTTGATGACCCTCGTAGTTGGGCGAGTGCGCGCCAGACCCTTGGTAGGCCATGATGGTCGCGCCACGGGATTGACAGGTGAAATTAAACGGCGGTTGTCGTCTAAATCCGAAGAGGGGTCGTTGAGAAAGAGGAAGTCGTGGTCGATGAACGCAGGAGGAGCCGAGAGATTAAGCCACCAGGGCTGCAGGTCGTAAGGGTTGGGCTCTGGGTTACTGCGTTTCGAGGGGCCTGGAGGGTCTCCGCAGGGATTTTGGGTTCCCGGGTGTTTGTGTTTTGCCCTGAACCAAGGGGGGGGGAGGGAGATAGTATTAAAAAAGGTCAAGTGAATTGCTCCCGACCAGAAAAAGAAAAAGACAATACCCGAAGGGTTTGGTGGGGAGGGGGGGAGGGGGAAGAGAGGATGAAGAGAGAAAAGGCGAAAGGGCGAAGGAAGAAAAGAAAAAAAAGGAGGAGCCAGCGATGTGGTGAGACGAGCGATCGTATTTTGCTTGGGCGCAGGGCTCAGGAGGAGGAGGGCCTCTCTCCAGTCAACACTTGGGCCTGGGACTGGGACTGGGCCTGGGACCGGGCAAAAATAGACTGTCTCTAACCCGCAGTGGGCTTAGCTTGGAACCTCGAGCACCGAACAAACGGGAAATTATCAGAGAGAGGCAATAATATCCTTCATAAATAATACATCAAATACAATCCATCTTCTCGGGTGACGTGATTCGTCCATTTGGATCATCATCATCCGTATTTACACTCCCCGGTTGGCCGGTGGCCACGCTGCAGCATGACTGCGTGAGGCGTTGGTCCCAATGGAATCACCTACAGGGATACTCCCGTATACCTCCGTCCGAGGATCCCAGAGTCATTGGGAGATGATGCCCCGAGCAGGAGTCCCTGATGCATGATCCAAATATGCACATACTCCATCCCTTGAGAGCGGGTACGACGCGAGGCGGGAGATTCTGCAAGATCTCGCGGTATGGAGACACCCTGCCATGGAGCCCATCAGGGACGTGGGAAAAGGGGACTGTCAGGGACGGCAGACCCTGACTGGTCCGGCGTTGGGAGCAGAGGGAATTTCCCTGGCATCCACGGCTCCGCTTGGCATGGTTCTTCGGGCGAGACTGGCGCGGCTATGGATAGGGACTCGCTTTTCTTTGAAGCGTGATATAGGAGTACTTCATACTCGAGAGTCGAGAGTCGAGACGGCGTTTCTACGATGTATACAGTAGTCTCTCTCGAAGGCGTCTAGTCTGCACATCTCCAGCCAACTGGGTCCCCCCCCTAGTCACTTTTTTCTTTCCTCTTTTTTTCAGCCCCTCGCCCAGCGCTAGTCCTTCTCCAGATCTCCACACACGCTTAACCGTCTTGGGGAAGACCCGCTGCACCCAATCACCATTCACCGGGCTCCACTGGTGAAACAGTCGGTGAGATCCAGGACATAAGCACCCAGCCAAACCCCTCCACCGTAGATTCAGCTCGTTCAGCCGTATTCCGAGAAGTACCACGCATTGTATACGACGACGAGTCGATGGCTGCAGCTGGAGAACACCTCGAGATAGTTGCGAGGATAGAGACTCCTGGTTCCTGAGGATCTCCACGGTCGGCACTGGCTCGGTCGTGCCAGGTTTTGCCTGCATTCCTCACTTCGTGTGGTATGTTGGCCCGCAGGATCGACTGTGCAAGGTACACAACACAGAGCGGACTGCGTACGTCAAGTCCAGGTACCCTCCAACGCAGTCGAACATCTTGAAATGTCCTTCTGTAGGTACGGTGTCTTGCAGCGAATACCATCGCTGATGGTCCCCGCTCTGGAAGCTTAGCTGGATGATAACGCTGGATGACCCTATGTCTATCTGCACAACCCCAGTGGCTCCATATTCTCGGTTGGTGGGAAGGACCTCATTTGAAGGCAACTCCTCCAGCTCTGTCCCACTGTCTATGCTACAAAGCGTGGAGATTGTGCTATAGTGCGAGTGCGTAGGTACTACTGGTTTGTATCTCCATAGTGTACGGAGTACTTTGAACAGTGTAACTATATATAAATTAACCTGATCGCATATTTTGGGCTGACAGGGCTGATGGCGGTGTTGGCTGACTTGGCGGCAGCAATAATAGCATACATAGCACCGGGAACAATTCTCGAGACCTAGTCAAGGGACTTTCCATCGGCTCCATGTCCATGATCCTCCGTCTCATAATTCCCCTTGAGTTGGGAAGTGAATGCAGCATTGCCTGGATTAGGATGAGCAGCGGATCCATGATTCATACGGAGTCCATAACTACTACAACGAAAGGCGAACTAACATACATACTCCACCGAACAAGTTAAATGGCAAGGACAGGACTCAACGACTGGAGGTGTATTTCGAGGTAAACCAGATACTGTATGATGGGTCATTGGCTACATGCAGTCCCTCAAACGGCATGGAGCAGCAATAACCAAATACGGGAGACCGTTGCACTGACACACTTCGCCACAGCCACCAGCCAACCGGGGCTGGTGGCTTCGCTTCCTCCCGTGTCTGGCGTGTCTCAGATTGGCAGATTAGAGGGGGCTCATCCACCTGAGGGCGCCATTTGCACGCTTGGCGGGATCGAGGCTTAGTGAGATTACAGTATTACAGTATTTTCAGCCACGCTCACCAGGTGCAGCATCGCCCCCAAAGGTTAAGTGAGTTAATAATGGAGGAAATCATAATAATCACAATAATTGACGATCCCTATGATTATGATCCAGTTCGGAATCTGCCGACTGGAGAGATGCCAACCTGGTCAGTGTTCATTCGTGTTCCGCGTTCTGCTCCAACACGTGACCGCTTACCTCAGCCTAATTTCCGGTTTCTCCCGGGCCGACTCTTTGTCCGAGTCTAGACTGTGTGTTCCTCACCTTCCCGGTCCACTGCCTCGCCGGACCAACTGGTTTTTCCGGGCCGTCCAGTCTCTGGTCCCGTTCAGGTACTCCCGTCCTCGTCCCGTCCGACGGTGGTGCAACCCAACCAAGGAGCGAGGCAAGGTTTGGAGGACGTGAAACACGGCCAGCCTCGTCGATGAGAATTCCATCTTTCTTGAATAGATTCATATCCGAGAAAAGACTGTGCTTCCTCCTATCTTTCCTCCTGTATCTCTCTCCCCCTATCACACGCGTCCGCAATCCGCCCGGAACTTGAACCATCCATAATAATCCACCAAATCCCAAAGTGGAACCCCGTCCACGTCGTGCTCAGGCCCCCCCTCCCGTGACTGTCTGGACCAGACTCCCCCGTGCTCCTCATTTCCCGTGTGAATCTATCTCTCTCGCTCTCGCTCTCTCTCCCTCTTCCAACTCCTCCTTCTCGTCTCCATCTTCGTTTCTCCCCGGTCTCGATCGTATCGGGTTCCGTTCTTCATCCCTCTTGGTCGCCTTCGATACGCGGATCCGTGATGCCCGTCCATCATCCGTGAATCTTCCATCTTCGGCCTCCTTTCCATCCCACACTCGTTTCCCGCCGTGCGCCCGTCGAACTCGCCTCGACTTTCGTCTCTTTTTTCTACTTCTCATGATCTAGCGATTCTGCTCACGACTTGACGCCGTTTGAGCCCGACACACTCTCTTTGTTTTGTTCATCGCCTCGCGATTCCTCTGCACATTCATTTGCCGCCCGTTGACCGGTCGCCTTTGTTGATATCTATCATTGTTCTGCCTTCGCCAATCCCCCGTCCTCCTCGCCCATCATGCTCCTCAATCCCGTCGACCCCTCCTCTTTCTCGCCCATTGGTATGATCGACCTCTCTCTTCAGTCTATTCCGGCTGCCTCTCCTCTTCTATCGATCGTCCAAGATGCACGAGATTTTGTCTACTAACTCATCAACCCAAACCTTAGATGGCTTCTCTCCTTCCCGCTCCCTCTTCAAGCGTTGCAAAACATGCGACTCCGTCCCGACTTGTCCGGCCTGCCCTGATGGCCAGACCTGTACCATGACCGCCCAGACTTGCGACAGCTGCTCCATCACGAAATGTGTGTCCACGTCCACCAACACCGCGCCCCCGTCTAGTGGTACCAATGTGGGTGCTATTGCTGGTGGTGTGGTCGGAGGTATTGTCGCCCTGGCCGTGATTCTTTTCCTCGTCTGGTGGTTCGTGATTCGTAAGCGTCGCAATGCTCAAGAAGAGAAGGACCACAGCGCCTTCAATACCGCCCGGGACGGACGCCAGTCCACCCAATCCATCGCCTCTACGGTTCTCACCCGTGCCTCCAACGTCATCCAAATCGCCTACATTCCAGGCGTCACCAATCGCTCCCCTCCAGAGACCCCTGCGACGCTGGTGCCTCCCGTGCCACCCCTTCCTGGTGCTCATCCTGATCAGCATTTCTTCATGCCAGGTGATCTGCGGGACTCCTCCTGGACCACGATGACGGGTCACCAAAGCATGTCGCCAACCCTGCGCAGCAGTGTTGCAACCACCGTCTACCGCAGTGACGCCATCGTCAGCGCGACCCCCGCACAGCAGATCCAACGTTCCCGCGCCAACATCGTCAGCGTGCACAATGGTCCTGGAGGCCCGGGTGCCAGCACCCTGGCCCAACCAGTTCCCGTCATGATCACCCCCAAAGATGCCCCCGCCGTTCCTGCTATCACCTCGAGCCAACTGGCCAAGGCTGGAGCAATGGCACAGAGTGGTAGTTCCATCGTGGCGCGCCAAGTGATGGCCAAGCCCGTCATGGTCCGGGGCGCATCGGTGAAGAAGAAGGACGCACAGCCCGTTGCCAAGAAGGAGGAGCAGGCAGAGAAGAAACCGACCACCGCTGAGTCCGACGGCAGCCGCCAATTTGACCATCAAACGTCTACATTCGACGGCAACTCCTCTGACGATGAAGCCAATGACAACGAGACACAACCGACCACCTCCTCCAATTCACCCAAGGCCAAGACCACTTCCCCGTCTGAAGAGTCGGCCCCGAGTGCCGGCCCCTTCCAAGATCATCTCAGCGCAGCCGACGCAGGCTCTGTAGATCAGAAACGCAGCTCTCGTCACAGCGACCGTACCCCACCACCCCGTGTACAGAGTCCATTCTCTGACGACAACGAGGTCAAATGAAGGCTGCCCAGTCATACTGGTCACCTGTGATGTCACGTCTTGTTTTTTTTTTGGGTCTGGTTTCTATAAGCATGGTCGAACCTCTTTCCCATTCCCCCTCCCTTCCTCCTTCCCATTCTCATCTGATCGCTCTCACTCTCACTCTCACTCTCCCTCTCCCTCTCTCTTCCATCTACCCTTCTTTGTACGTATGAACCTCCCTTGGCACTTGGTATATTTTATTTGGGCGTCGATTCGTGTTTTATCCTCGGGTTGCTATGTACAGCGAGAAAAGCACTCGTGGGAGACGGAACAGTTTTATTGAAATTCAACGATTCAGTTACTGGTCATTTCTTGATTTGAATGCACGTATTCTGGAGTACATCGTACCTATCTATCTGGGGATTTACGAATGAAAGAGTAGATAGACTCTACTAGTGTAGATTGCTTTACATGAGGTTGATGATCGATATTTTATCGAATCGATCTGCATTCGTGGTGGGTCAACCTTATCGTACGGTTGAACCTCTGTCCCGGTCCATACTCACAGATATATATATCTTGCTTGACGACGGGACCGCGCCGACAACCTTACCACCCCGTACACCATATGTAACTATCAAAATCCTTGTCTGTAGAAGCGAGGCTAAACTTACTGAATGCACGCATAAAAGAATGTCCCAACGAGTAAAGTCTAAATATATCACGAGGGTATCTACAACCTGACGATCACACATCTCTCCCCCAAACCCAATTAATCACAACAGAACCAGCACCACCCTCCCCCTTTCATCCCCAATCAAACAACACTCACATTCTCCTCCAACCCCATCCCACGCCCAATCTTCCGAATCAAAGCGCGTTTCAAAAACGCCTCCCGCGCCAAACCACGCGTATGTCTCGACCACGAATCAACCCCAATCACACCCCTCACCAACGCAGCCTGCAACGCATACAGCGCATGCTGAATGCCCTGCTCGTCCGCGACAAGGTCGTACAGTTGCTTCCCTACCACCGTCGGCGCGACGAGGACGTCGTCGATGGCGGGTAGACCGGGGTGGGTGTCGGCGGTTGAAGACGAGGAGGGTACGCTGGCGGATGTGGCTGATTTGGCGCGGGCCTGGGCGTCTGCGATGGTTGCGTCTGCGCGGTGGATGGTTTGTTGGAGGGTGGAGGTGTTGGATTGGAGGGTTGAGTGGAGGGTGTTTAGGGCGGTGATTTCTCCCTGGAGAGTTGTCATGGCTGCTTGGAGGGAGTGGGACTGGGAGAGGAGGGGATTGCGCCGCCGAGTCGGACTGTGCGGCGTGACTGGTTATAGTCTCGGCGAGAGTTTGCGAGACCGCGTGGAGGAGGGCATCTTTCTCCGGATTTGGGGGGATGGGAGGTGCTGGTCCTGTGGGGTGGAATGATGGGAGTTCGAGTTCGAAGGGGGAAGTGAGGAGATCTGGGGTTTCTTCCTTCGGTGCTGGTGCTGCTGCTGGTGGGCTTTGATAGCTGTTTTGTGGGTAGGTAGGTCGCTCTTGATATGGAGGCCCCTGAGGAGGCGGCTGTTGCTGTTGAGGTTGCTGCTGACCAGGTGGGAGCTGGTATGCCGGATACTGAGAGGGATGTGCTTGAGGTGGCGGTTGAGCATACGGCTGCTGCTGCTGCTGCTGCTGCGGTAATGGTATTTGGGGCCCAGAAGGTGGTCCAACATGATGTGAGAAACCCGCATGTGGCGCGTAACTACTACCAGGGCTGATAGGACCCGCCGAATTTCTATTATAAGCCGCCGAGTCTGGTTGCATATGAGGCTGTGTAGGCGGTTGCGTCGGAACGTATTGCTGAGATAACCGGCTCCCTGGACCTATCGCACTCATATGTCCTGGAATGGAGGATCGAGAAGTGTCAGTTCCCTTCGGCGGCAATGGAGGGAGTGGAGGAGGAGATTGATATCGCTCAGCGCCTTGTGCTGGCGGGCGTTGAGTCTCCGCAGCAGCACCTGGTTTTGGCGGCAGCTGTGGCGGAGTGTCGGCTGCCCGGTTGGAGGGCTGACTGGGTCCTGGACTCTGAGATGGGGCTGTCGAGGGTCCCATCCCAGGAGGCAAGGGTGGAACTGGGGGTGGTGTCTGCACCGGTGGCTGCTGCGACTGGGATTGAGGGGGCATCGGTTGCCTGTATTGAACCGGAGGTTCCTTGGCGAACACTTCTCGGAGGATTGAAAGCATGTCGGAAATGGTTGACCTCTATGATAGACAGAGAAGCATGGTCAGCCTGTAATTCCAACGGCCCCTCACCCAAAAGAGGCGATTATACTCACATCCCATGCCTCCGCCCAGTGGGCGAGATAGTGATGATATACCCGCCCCTCCAGCGTTACATGTTGGCCAACGCGGACCGCCATGTCCTGTGTAGGGGTCACGTAGATGATTGGAGGCTCCCGAGGGTATGTATTTGGGATCCAAAGCGCGATAGGGAATCGGTATGTTGTGCCCCGGAAGTCGACAGGGAGTGTGCCCACCAGGTGGAGGAGGAGCGCTGAGAAACCATTCTCGTATGCTGTAAGATCATGTGTGTGAGCTTCATTCTAGCGTGGTGCATTGAGTCGCATAGCCTACTGTAGACGTCGGTTCGCGGAGAGAGCGAGGGGTACTGGGCGAGCGCATTGGCAACATCGTGGTAGGTCCGGTTGGGATCGTGGTAGGTTTGTTTGGGGTCGTAATGATCCTACAACGAGGTCAGTAGATTAAGTACCGGGGGTTCGAAGCCACATACCTTGCTCAGGACCGAGTATAGCCAGGTCAGCGTCCGCTGGGGGACCGCCATGTTGATGGAGGTTGAAGGTGGGAAAGGAAAGCTCGTCGCACTCCGCACCACGTTGACTTCCCCGCAATCGCTCTTGGCGTTATCCGGTGATGTCTGCGGGTTCTCACCATCGCACGTCAAGATATTCTCCACAAGCTCAACGCAGAACGACCTAACTTAATATGATCAGCTTTTCTCGGATTGTAGCTGGGATGCTCGCCTAAATTATTACCTCGGCCTTGACTCAATGGAAAGAGGATGCGCATCTTCTGTTATATTAAAAGTTTCCTCTTCATTATTTTGAATACCAAAAAGCTTCTTTATCTCAATTCCTAAATGCCAAGCAAGTATCAATCTCGGCTGTATCAATCATCATTGTTCGCTCATCATGCTCTATATCTATCTGTACGCCGCTCATGCAAATGAAGAAAGGAAGGATCTAAGAATCTAATCAAAAATGGAGGCCTTCATCGAGTTGGGCTGAATGTACTCCGAGGCATTCCGGAAACTGGTAAAGCCCCATCGAATCTGCGCAGCCATGGCAATCTCAATATCCAAGTCCTTCGCAAAGGCCCAGGCCAGACCGCTATCACGCTGGAAGGCACGGCCAACCAGGATGACATCGATGGCATTCTCGTTCATGATCTCCTCGGCCAGAACACCAGTGTTGATAGTGCCGACAGCCGACACAAGAATCTTGTCACCGACGGCCTTTTTGACGGCGGCGGCGAAGGGAACCTGGAAGCCAACACCGGAGGTGACCTTCTGAGCGGCATGAACACCGCCGGTACTGATATCAATCAGGTCAATGGCACCCTGCTCAGCGAGGGCACGGGCAAACTCGACCGTATCCTCCGACTTCCAGCCCTTCTCCTCGGGCAGGCTGTTCTCCAACCAGTCGGTAGCAGAGACACGCAGGAAGACGGGGATGTTGGGTCCAACGGTGTCACGGGTGAGTTGGGCAATCTCCAGAGGCAGACGGATGCGGTTCTCGAAGCTGCCACCATACTCGTCGGTGCGCTGGTTAGACGAGGGACTTAGGAAAGAGGAGAGCAGGTAGCCGTGGGCATTGTGAATCTCGATGAAATCCACCCCGGCAGCCAGAGCGCGCTTAGTAGCAGCAACCCAGGCCTCCTTGACATCCTGAATATCCTCCTTGGTCATTGCCTTGGGGACAATATCACCCTCAGCAAAGGGGATAGCACTGGGGGCCTTGACATTCTCGACCCAGCCGCCAACAGCGTTGGTAGCCGTGACACCACCCAACCAGGGGGGAACCGTCGAGGCTTTGCGACCAGCATGAGCCAATTGGATACCGATCTTCTGGCCCTGGCTGTGAGCGAATTCCACGACCTGCCTGAGCGGCGCAATCTGGGAGTCCTTCCACAGACCCACGCAGCCGGGAGTGATACGGCCCTCGGGTGCGACACCGGTGGCTTCAATGATAATCATTCCGGGACCGCGCTGAGCGATACCACCGTAGTGGGCGATGTGCCAGGGAGTCATGTGTCCATCTTCAGCACTGTATTGGCACATGGGCGCCACCTGTCGAGAACAGATGTGAGCATATGGTTTCGGAAGAGACGGACGAGCCTGAAACAGGGAGGAGGGGGAGGGCGAGAATGCGAGAAGACAGACGAGACATACACCAAGACGGTTTTGGAAAGTCTGACCTCGAATAGTCAGGGGCTGGAACAGTTTAGGGATGGCCTTGCCGCTGGTTTGCGGGTTGCGCGCGGTTCCAGCAGGCGGAGTCTGCGCAGGCGTGAAGTACGAGATGCCCTCTGCGGCAGCAACTGGGACATTGGGCCAAGTCATGGTGATTGATGTGCTTGCCAAGTATGAGTTGGGATATATTTAAATTGACTAAATTGTCGAGATCGAAACTGAAGTGCAGTATAGTCCCTTTTATACTCCCATCTTGATTTCTAAGCTTCGAAAAGTTTGCGGCATAAGCCTAGGAGACCCGCTGTGGTCCCAGGCTAAATCATCACGATAGTAGCGGCTGATTTCAAAGAATTCCAGCGATCAAAGGTTATGGCATTGGAAAAAATCCCTTGGAGACCGTCGGAGAGAAATCCTATGCGTTGTACAGCTCGAGAGCCCCCCTGTTTGTCAGCACTCTAAATTATCGGCCGTACTGAATGCTGTAGAATTCGTCGATCTGAAGAACCTGAAAGTCTCCGAGGCAAGTGGGTCGGGCCAATGTGCCTCCGATGATGAGGTGGCGGTGTTGTCATTGTCCTGGTGAGGAAGGTGTATGGTTCTCGGACAAGGGGAAGGGAATCGAAATCAGCAGTGGATGATAGTTCAGATGCTGACCGTATACTGCATGCTGCATTGATGGATGGAAGGATGCGAGATGCGAGATGCAGATTTAAACTTTGAAGATATCAAAAGATTCAAGTATAGCGCACGTGACCCGCACGAGATGTTGGGTGCCTTGGGCAGTTAATCCATTCCATCAACACACCAACTACATGCCAGGTGAAATCCATGATCCATGTCCTCCAGCTCGACAGGTTGGGCTGAATGACTCCGGAAACCGTCTTCCTCCTGAGGGAGGGAACTTGACCAGGTCAACTTCCCGGGGAAAGACGTTTACTCCCAGTGACAGACCAGATAGGACTCACCACCACCACACTCTGTGCAAACTCCAAAACCCGACCCATCAAGACTCCTCTCCAGTCCTGGCAGTAGTGTGCTTGTCATCTCAAAGCCCAGACTCGATAGGCGCCTTCCTGACTGAGCAACACTGCCTAGGGTTATTGCCTGATTGCCTGGTTGGGTCTGGCTTTGTTCCCGTCTTGATATTGTTCTCCCGCCCCCACTTAGTATTGTTCTCCCCACTCGACCTGCCTGGACCTCCTCACTGGATTGTTCCAAAAGCAAAGAAAGTACCATTCAACTGTTCATTGTTTGTTTCGGCTTCAGCATGCTACAGCTACACAATCTGCCCGCTGCCTGCAACATGGCTGCTCAGCATCTCATCCATAGCAACCTGGACCATGCTCGTCCGTCTTATATAGTTCAGCGTGATCGAGAACTCCCCCTGGACGGCGACGAAGATACATATGAACCCAGATCGAATCTCCAATACCAGCTATCCACAGACTCCTTGAGGGCATTGCAAGATCCTTGATTGACAGCGTCCCACCAACATCACAATGGCAACCTTTGAGCCCTACACCCAAACCCACCCCGAACGATTGCCAGGCTTTGACCCATTCACGCAGAGCTTCAACCTGAGCTATCCGGATGGGCAACCATTCACTGTGGGTGTGACTGATGTGGATGTCTTCATCCAGTACAACATCCGAATCTGCATCAACTACGGCTCCCAATTCGGCGCTTCGATCGTGCTGTTCGTCCTCCTGCTGCTCTTGACCCGGCGAGAGAAGCGTGCATCATCCGTCTTCCTCCTCAACTCCTCTGCCTTGCTGTTCAATATCATCCGGCTCATTCTTCAACTGATCCACTTTACCACCGGATTCGAGCACTTCTATCCCTACTTCTCCTTGGATTACTCGAATGTGCCTCGCAGTGCATATGCCATCTCTATCACAGGCAGTGTCTTCGAGTCTCTCGTGGTGGCCTGCATCGAGGCTTCGCTAGTGGTCCAGGTAAAGGTGGTATGCGCAACCATTCGTCGCCGCTACCGGTGGCCACTCCTGGCTCTGTCAATCGCCGTGGCTCTGGCCACCATCGCATTCCGCCTGGCATGGATGGTCGAGAATTGCATTGCAATCATGGAAGTCTCCTACATGAACACAATCTGGTGGCTGGAAAGTGCTTGCAATATTGTCATCACAGTCAGCGTGTGTTTCTTTTGTGCCGTCTTCGTCACCAAACTCGGCTTTGCCCTCCGCCAACGCCATCGACTCGGGGTACGCGATTTCGGCCCCATGAAGATCATCTTCGTCTGTGGATGTCAGACTCTGACCATCCCTGCGGTCTTTTCCATCACCCAATATTTTGTCGTCTTCCCCGAGCTATCCTCCAACCTGTTGACCCTCGTCGCAATCTCCCTGCCCTTGTCGTCCATCTGGGCGGGCGCCAACCTCGACCAGGGTCGCCACCACGAAACCCAGCCCCTCCACCGCCGCAATCTCTGGCATGGTCTCGCATTCGGGATCGGCGGGACTACACTCAACCACACTGCCTCGGAGAAGCATATGACTACATCCACGATGACGGCTAGCACTGCCGCGCAGACACTTTGCTATTCAGATCAACCTTTGAGTATGTTGAGCAAGGGTTCGCATGATTCTATGGATCCTCATGGAATCTGTGTTGAACATGATATCTCAATCGATAGTGTTCAGCGGAAGCATTCTATGGTTTGAGAGGCTGTTTCGACTGATGTATTCGAAGGCATATCCAGTGTGATTGGAGTGCGCAGCGATCAGAGAGGTGGTAAACGGGGGTTTTAGATTTTGAGGCCATTCTTTTGACATTCTAAGTTACTTTCTTGCTGTGTGTTAACCTTCTTTTACCTTTTTGCTTCTAGACCAATAATTTCGTACCTTCAGACAAATTACAAGAGCATTTTCTTCTTGGTTATCTTAAGTATTGCCGTAAAGTATCATCCCACATAGTAATATTGAATGAATCTTCGTTGGCCTCTCGTGATTTATAGCATTAGAAATTCCCCAAGATTCTGTCCTAGATGCATATCTGAATTCCCTACGCGATCTCAGCCTCAATAATCATCTCATACTGCTGAGGATCAGGCCAGAATTTCACAATTTTGAAGCCAGACTCGGTCAGTAGCTTTTCCCAAGCGCCTTGAGTCCGCTCAGAAGCTGACAGGAGCGACATCATATTCACGTCCATCGTGCTCTGGCTAATGCTTGCCCCAGTCGGGGGCAGAACAATATCGTAGACGAGAAGCTTCGAGTAACCCTTTGTCATCGCGTCTCTGGTGTTCTCGAGAAGCAGACGGGCCTTGTCATCCGGCCAGTCGTGAAGCACGGCGTGCATAAAGTAGGCACGACTCCCTGTAAAACAGATGTTAGCCACTGAAATTGATTTCGTTGGAAATATTGCGTTTCCCACCTTTTACAGGCTGTGGCAGGAAAAAGTCATGAGCCATCGCCGTCACCTTCTCATCAACTTGGGCATTGACAATCACTTCGGGAACATCCTGTAGGACAAGCGACCCGACAGGGAGATTTGGATGTTTTTCCAGCACGCGAGAAATATCGATACCAGTATTTCCACCCACGTCCACCATGAATGGAGACCCATCATCTAGCTTCGCACCCTCCAGCAGTGTTGCCGTATCGTATACCTCTGTCAGCGGGGTCTTCCAAGCGGTCCATGCTTCCATATGACCGGTGAAAGCCTCGAAGTAAGCGGGACTTTTCTGCAACCGCCCAAAAAAGTTGAGTCCATCCTTGTCGGCTTCCGAGTAGTTGTTCACGTTGATATCGGTAGGTTCTTTGTAAGAGGTCTTTGCGAGGTAGGAAGGCAAGTTATGACCAGCTGCAATGTATTGATATGTTCTAGTCAAATATCTAATTAGCTCGTGACATGGTCTTGGGTGGGGAAAGGGATATACTTACGCTGCTTGCAGAGAGGCGCGAACTTTGGTACTATCATCACCGATGGCATATGAGAATGGGGTGGGTTTAAATCTGTCCTCCCCAGTCTCTTCAACCACGTTGAAAGCCGCCAATAAGCGGAACAACCGACCTATCCTTCGGTGAGCGAGTATTCGACACCGATAATAAACTTTGAAAACATACGCAACAGGTTCGTCTCCACAATCGGAGTCGTCAATTGAACCAGCTCATCAATGGATTTCTCACCCCCTTCGGCATCAGTCCAAGCCTTCCAAAGACCAACATCAATGCATGTCTGCAAAGCTGCGAACACAACCGGATGCTCAAAGCAAAAGCCCCAGGCACGTTCATACGGCGTCTCGACTCTAGCCAGCAGTCGACGCGCAGCAGCACGCACTTGGAGGCGCTCTACCTCATCGCCACTAAAAGCATCAGGTTGGACACCGTCAAGAGCAGCAATGATCTCTTGGGCTCGAGATGACATGGTAGTACTTTTAATCCTTGGTGTAAACAGGAGGGGTATATGGCGGGGCGTGATATGTAGAAGGGTAAATTGCATCAAATCAGGTTAATGGAATTGCTACACTATATATGTCCGTCTATTTGGGAGCTGTCATTGCCACATGGGTAGTGCATGATAGCACAAGGGAAGGGAGGGGAGGGGCATCCTATTGAGCTAGTAGCGCTAAGAGCCGGGTAATAATCAATTTCATGGCCAGTTCAAGCACCGAGCGTCGCGTTCAATTGAACCAGTGCGTAGGCTTTAACACCAATGGAGATAATGCGCCCCACCGGATTAGTGGCCTATGTGAATATCGAGTGCGGATATAACAGAACGACTGTTGATCTGGTAGTGTAATAGTAGTCGTCTTGACTAGCTAGCTCATACATTTCATCTGGCACAAGAGCAAGTAAATGTACGCAGGCATATCCAGTGTGTGAACTATCACATAGAAAATAGCTGAAGTTGCATGACTCGCCGTGAATGTTGGAAGCCTCCTGACTATCTCAACATGAAGATTTGTCGAATGACGATCCCATCGAGCCGAGCTAGCCAAGCCGCACCGGCGTGTCAGAATCCCCAGAGTACTCATTGATCTCGTTTGCAAGAAGCCTTTTCAGAAACATGATGAACGCCCCTAAATCATTCGTCTCCACAAGCTGGTTGCATCCGTGCCTTCGGCTCCCCAACTCCGCGTCCTTGGTGTTGAACTTGGTCCACTGGCGGGCCCCGGATCCATTCCGTAGCTCGGGAGTACCTCATACGGCCAAAATTGTCTCTCTAGATGGATTTATCTATCAAAACGTATACATCACTCGTAATATTTCAAATCTTCAATTGATGGTAGTAGCTCTGAACAACAGGCAGTTACTCGACCACGAGTGTGCCTGCCCAAGTCTTCGGCCCTACTTCTGCATCAGTGTTTTAATTGAGACTTTCACAATGCCATAGTCCAAGAATTAGAACAAGCAAAACAGTAGCAAGAACCTAGAGATCTAGAAAAAAGTCCAGCTCAATAGGCTTCAACTTTCTTTTTGTGAAGATCTTTCCGAAGGTCTTTTGGATAGCCTAGGCAAGATGCTTCAATTGATCTTCTAAAGTACTCCGTATAACTGATGAAATAGTTTTGAACGTCTCCATGAACCCCGATGTAACACAGAGGGCCCTTGTCATCTGGGCACAGACCTCCTGATCTTCAGCGTTGAAGTTGTCCAGCCAGTAGAGATTCCCCACTCTGGAGGTATCGAGCCTTTTGCGAGCCTGGCAGCATCCTCGTCACTAACCAACGGTCGGTACATTTGAGAATCGAATTGAGTATCCACATGAATGGGGGAAGTATGTAAGTACTTTCCAACGGTCTGCTAAATCTGATGGATCCCATTTGATAAGATCCGTCTGAATGTCTATCACGCCACCCTAAGGCCTAGACCAGTATAGACGGACAAGGCCAAAACGTGCTGGCGTCCAGGAGTTAGAGCCAAACCTGCCGCTAGCCCTATTGCGAAAATTGGCGGCAAAGGATATTCTTAGAGTAGTGAGCTGTCAACTTCGGAAGACTGTCAGTCTCCTTTGCCGAATTGCCACCCACGGGGCAGTGGGACATCGGCTGCGTCCGCGTTGGCCGTTATGGAGATTAAGGGAACGATCATCATTTTGTTTCAACGACACGCTTGACTGATTACCAGCTCAAAAGACTCTCGCGATGGTGTGCTTGACATGTCTGATTTCACCTTTGTTTTTCTGAGATAGGACAGAAAGACAATTGCATGCTGGAGCGTCAAATGCGACCTTCTGAGTCGAGGGGATTCGGGACAGCTGTGTCAAAGTTGGGGGTCATGAATTGACAACACGAGAGAACGTTACAAGAAAAACATACCCATTTTCCCATTTCTACACAGACGTTGCCATGTTAAGCTAACTTCGGGGATAGACCGAGGATAAATCATATTCGTATCTTTTTGTCATCCCCCTTTACCCTCTACCTTCATCCGTTCTCTATCGCATTCTCAGGAATGAGGATTTTCCAACATGATCAAATCTCGCGATGGTACCCCAAAATCATGTCCAGTTCTTGTAGAGTACATTTTCAAGTTCGTACGTGTCACGCTGAAGTCAATTAAACTAAGGCGGGCCTAGGTCTACTCAGAATCTCCTCTCGAATATTTTTCTAGCTTTCTTCATAGAGCTCCTTTCAAAGTTCTTTAACTTTGAAGGATTGTACCGCCAAACCCATAATTTTTTTGTATGAATACTTGGTAATTCATATACGAGCGTTAGCTTCACAAGTTGAGTGATTTGACTGCAGCAAGTCAGTGGTGCGGATTCACCGGAGAATATCCTGGCGTTTGAGGGGGAATGTTTTCCCTCGTGGCTCTCTCTACCGAGTACCAGGGACATTCCACACGGTTTCCTGTCAAAGCCCTGAGCGCGCCACGAAGGATTTAGCTTGCAGGATCAACGGCCAGGTCGAGCTGTCAGATATCCTAGTATGCTTTAGCCCCATGTATGAGTGTGGGGCAATGGCTGGGTGGCGTCAACACCGACCCGTGGTCAAGGTTTCTGCAACAGGTTGAATAATATTCTGGTTCATCACAACGCATTTGCATAGGCTGAAAAGCTGAAACCATCATGTACTTTTGTCTTGGCCCAACGACAGGAAAGAACGCTGCTTGAGACCCAGTGCGACTTGCTTAGCGCATCCTGATATCGAGGAAGAATTCAACAGCAGGAAAGACGGACGCCGCTCAACATACAGGCCAAATCACTGCCCATACTAATAAACGGAGCAGAAGACGCCTTACCCGAGAGGTATCTTTCTGCCTATTATCTCGATGGTCATTTCTATACTCTCATTGACCCTGCCATTGCCGCCTTCAGCATGAGCGCATACGGAGGAAAAGGCCCTATGACCAATGCAGTCCTCTGGGTGCTAGTTGTCATACTTGCCACCTTTGTGGCTCTTCGACTCTATACTCGAAAGCAGATTTTGAATTCAATCGGTGCCGATGATTATCTAACTGTCCTTGCACTGGTGAGAAACAATGACTGTCTACTCTGATGGCGTATTCCCAAAACTAACGAGCGGCAGGTCGTTCACATTCTATACACAATCTTTGTCACCATAGCTACAACGTACGGTCTAGGGAGACTCTTTGCGGATGTCAATGATCTTGCAAGCTACATCACCGCCACCAAGTATGAAGTCTTCAGCCAGGTGGCCGGTCTGATGGCCATCGGGATAGGAAAGTTAGCCGTCGGCACGTTCCTACTCCGAATCGTGAGAAACAAATTTCAGATTCTTTTTATCTGGGCTTGTATGGCCATAACAACTATCATTACGTTATTTGCGAGCATTACTGTTGTTGTGCAATGCATACCCGTTGAGAGGACCTGGAATCCATATGCGAAAGGAACGTGCTGGCTCAATTTTTCCAACGTCGGATACACGGTGGGATGTAAGTGATGTTTGATGTCGCTTTCAATTAATTGGTCTGATGAGCATGAGCTAACGTATCAACTCTGTCCAGCGTGGTTCGTTGCCGCCGACTTTTGCTTTGCGATTCTACCGTGGTTTGTGATCTGGGATCTCAACATGAAGAACAAGGAGAAGATCACTGTTGCGTGCGGTCTTAGTCTTGGTATCTTGTAAGTTCTGAGCTGCTTCTGGATTCTGAGGAATCCATCTGACAAAAATAGTGCCGGGATATGTGGCATTGTTCGCACGGTGGCTTTAAGTGGACTTGACGCATCCGAGTACATCTGTAGGTTTTCTTCTCCTCCCCAGCAAGCCCAGAAACCGCTGACAACCCCCAAGATGACACTGTACCGATGCTTATCTGGTCCGCAACCGAAAGCTGCGTGACGATAATGTGTTCCTCAATCCCCGTCCTCCGCCCTCTCTACGTCCGCATCAGATACGGAACAGAAGGCAAAGACAGCTCTGCTGGCAACACATCCTACAAACTGCCCATGTACGGTAGCGGTCGCAAGCATGGCAGTATTTCGAAATCCGGTCTTGAGCATTCGATTATCGAGTCCGGTGACAAACCGTACCCGCAACAGACAGTGGTGAGGTACAACACGAACAACATGAGTGATGAGAATATTCTGCAAGGTGCTGCGGGTATTGAGAGGACGGATGAGTATCTGGTTAGCTATGAGCCGTTTCCTAAGAAGGCCCATTGAAGGGGGGTTTTGTTCCCAGAGTTGGCGGTTATCTTTGGAGTTCTTATGTAAATTAGCAAGGCACAAAATTGTCATTGAATCAAAATATGGAGTACCCGGAACTGGCTGCCTCTATGCATGTATTGGACCATGTAGGCCGATTTGCCGTAGGAACTTCCTTCCAATAGAGGTCAAACATCTCCTGACACGCATGTATAATAATTATCCATAGAAGGACCCAATGTACCTATTCATGGGTTGCTTGGTCGTACACCTTGACACCAAACTTCCAGACTTGATCTACAACCAAATCAGAGGTACATTGACCCTGGACGGCTTCCTCCTTCAACACAACAAAGTCGGCATCAGCACCCACTCTTAAAGTCCCTTTCAGATGTGACAGACCAAGAACCGCAGCCGGCCTCGAAGTCACCGCTTGAAGAGCAATGGGAATAGACACACCCGTCCACCGACGAAAATTATTCAAGCACTGGAGGAGTGTCACACAGCTAGACAGCGACTTGTCAGCACTTCGACACGGGTAATATGAAAAGGGGAAATTATGTCATACCTTCCAGCGATAATATCAGTTCCTTCCAGGGTGACAGAAACGCCCTTCTTCGTAAGCCTCCTCGTAAGCCAATCGATCGTCCCATCCTCGCCACCAAGAAGTAACAAGGCATCAGTCACCAAGACAAGACCACCCGGATGCATCAGCTGTGCCAGCCGGATACTAGCCGGGTGAACGTGGTTACCATCCGCAATGATACCGAAATAGGGACGGTTTATATTCGTATCTTCTCCTTTCTGGTCTTGTTTGAGGATCCTAGTCTCATTCTCCTCGTTCACATCCCCTGCTCCACCCAGTATCCCAAGGGGACCAGGCTCACGGTGATGGTGGCCATTCATCTGATTATACAAATGGGTGATCATAGTCGCACCCGCGTCAATACCAGCCCTGGACTGTTGGTAATTCGCTGCTGTATGGCCAATACTCATGATGATTCCCGCTTGGCTGAGTTGTTTGATCGTGTCCAGGGCACCTAGTCGTTCCGGAGCCATGGTGATCATGCGAACATTGGATGGGATAGATCTGGGGCTTGCCCGGTTCGACAAACCATCTGTGTTTATCAGGTTTCTGGCTCCGTAGGTTTCAAGGACACGCTCTGGTTCGCTAGTTACCCCGGACGCATGGATGGCATTCGGTAGATGAACACCCATTCGATTGTGGGCAAAGAACGGTCCCTCACAATGAGCGCCGAGGGACTCGGCTCCGTCGAATGGATCTCGAGACTTGGAGGGGCCTAAGAATGGTAGGTTCTGAAATAAGTGATCATCGTAAGCGCTTTCTTCCATGCAACAGGAGGAAAGATGCATCGACGTGCTCCAAGAATAGCTTGTGATGTACCTGATGATATCTCTCTGGCAACTGACTGGTCATCGTAGGCAGTAAGCTCGTAGTCCCAGTAGCGATGAGCTTCCGTCGGACATCCCGGTATCGCTCAGTATACGATATGCCAGCATGGTTATTGGCGCTATCCTCCGAAAAGTCAAATCCATAGGCTCCATTGATCTGTAGATCCAAGAACCCTGGGGCCACAATGCGATTCTGAATATCGATGACTGTTGACGTTGGAGCGGGGTTAGGTGGGGGAACGAAAACACCAGCCTTGGGGTCAAACCACAAGTCGCCAGAAACCAGCTGGTCCCCCTGGGCCAGCCGTGCATTGGTAAGATGAACAAGATGGGACATGGTGACTTGATGAAATCTACAGCAGAGTATGTCAGTTGCCAGCGAAGACGAAAGAAGTTTGATTATGTTGGTAGGTAGTATTCACCCAACAATAACTGGGTCCGACGTCGCATCGGCCTCATACGGTCATAATCCGCAAGGTTGAAGTAGCAAGACATTAAGAAACGAAGGTTATGTACACACGGAACGCTCTATGTTATAGAACCATGATGCGCCAAGAAGCAGAATAGCAACACAATCAGAAAAAGAAAAATCGAGAGAGCTAAAAAAGAATGGACATGTTGACCGTCTCCGCTTTCTTGCTATTGGAACTGGACATAGTTTGCTGGAGATGATTGTTAGTACTCGAATGGAAATTGGACCAACTGGATGCTCACCTGGGAATTGACCTTCCCGGCCATCAACCCGCCCAGTCCACCACTCATTCTGATTGTCTGTCCGGGACACAATTTCGATCACGTCACCCGCAGAAAATCCAAGATCACCATGGGCTTGGGCCTCATAATCGTAAAGAGCAACCACTGTCTCGATGTGTTTGTTGAGATGCGCGGGTTTCGCCCGTGGAGGAGGGGGAGCAGGCTTGCCCTTGGCTGCAGCGGAGAAGCTGCCCGTTGGGCTGGAGGTGGCAGCGGAGGAGTATGGAGGCGGAGGTTGTTCGGAAGCAGTCGACGATGCACGTCCACGGCCGGTCTTGGCCTCGGAGGCCTTCAGCGAGCCCACCTTCGAGTTTGACCGGCCGAGTCCCTTTGTCTTGAAGTGTACGATGACCAGTTCCTCGGCGCGTTCCTGGACATCACCGCGCTTTTGCTCAAAGGCCTCCTCCACGTCGAGAGTGAGATTGAAGTAGCTGATGCTCATGCCCTGCATCTTCTCGTGCAACGTATAGAAGACGTTGAGCTGCATATAGTAGAAAGACTGGAATAGCGGGCGAATGAACTCGGCCTCGAGCTGGAACAGCTTGGGGAGCTCCTCCTTCAGCAAATCGTTATAGTAATTGTATTCTTGAGTCGCTTGTTCGACATCGTTCTCCGCCTTGTACAAGGCCTTCTCGTCCTTGAGCGACTTGTCCTTCTTATCCTGCAGCTTCTTCAGCGATGCGCGATGCCGATCGTAGTCCAGCTTCTTGTGGTCACGTTTGACGGCGACCTTTCGAATCACCTTGATCACTTCCAGCAGCTGGTCGGCGGGGCTGATGACTCGACTCTCGATCATATCCAGCTCTGGGGCGAGAGACTCCTGCAGTTCCCGCACAATGGCCTCATAGTCTTCGCAGGCTTGGATGCCTTCGGGATTTCCTTCAAATTTGAAGGAGTCGGGATCTGAGGCACGGCCGGAGATGGGCTTGTAGAGTTCGGCAATTGCTTTTGAGAATTCGATCTGGTGGTTTAACATGCCTGAACAAATGGTTAGCAAATTTGTTGCGTCGCACACCCAATGGTCGGCGCCCGCAGAGATCAGCGGGACTGTCGGAGGGAGTCTGTCGTACCGTTGATAGCTTCAAAGTACTTCTTGGATTCATCGTGCAGCTTCTTGGTCTCCTTCTCGAGCTCATCGAAGCGCCGCTCGGCGTCGGTATAGACGGCATCCTTGGTGTGTTCACCGATGTTGAACTTGACCTTGAGCTGCTGCGGGGCACGCACGATGCTCTTCTGAAAACCCTTGAAACTCATGACGGCGGGATGTGGCGGAATGATTCGTTTCGAGGAAGAATGTGAAGGAGAAGAGAAGGGAAAGGAAAGCAAGTGGGAAGTGCCAAGGGCCGGGGGGGGGGGGGGGGGGGAGAGAATAACCCAGAGGGCGTCGTAGTCGTAGTCGTAGTCGTAGGAGTGTCGGCCTTTCCGTTTCCTGACTTTGGGGCAGTCCCAACTATGACATAAGACTCGTTCGACTGCGGACGGGAGCTGACGGGAAGGCCTGTGGCTTGTGGCTTGTACCCGATCGTGACGATCGGCTCTTGGGGAATGCGCTATGCGTTTGGGAAATGGCAATGACGAGTTTCAGGCCCTCGGACTCCTGATATAGTTTTGGTAATTACCCAGTTTATGCTTCCCTCCCCCCAATTGTGGCGCATATGTCCTTCGGTTTGTATAGGCACCAGAATTCTCGGAGAGCTGCTCCGGTGGGCCATTATTTTACTGTGCCCCAGTTCGAACCTGCACAGCCCTACCCGAAATAATAAATCCGAACTACCAAAGCTGGAGCCTGACCCAAAGGATCATCCATCATATTCCAGTACTCATAGTCGTGGCCTTGAAAACTAAATGATCCGGTACCAGTTGCCAACTACTTGATCGGGCTTCGAATAACTGACAAGATACCTACCTCCATCAATTGGGGGATAGACATATGATATACCCGGCTAGTTCCTCCCAGCTAACAGCATGGCAGATTCTCATAGACAAACATCAAATAATATCTCAGATTACACGACTATTATCTTGCCTAGTCCAGTCCGTGAACTAATAATTCAACTCGTGACTTCTTATGAAATGGCATAACTAACCGGGAATGGAATGGAAGCCTCGGAATAGCTGACTAATCTACTTCTTGTTCCTGCCTCAGGCTGCGGCGGAAGTGGAGAGATCGCATGGATATTTACAAGCTACGGATAGATCTAGCCGAATAGGAACAGCAGAGCAAGAGCCTAGACGCTGTCAACGAATAGATCATCACCAATTTAGATCCAATCAAAGATACCTCTATGCTTAACTACCAAACTCTATACGAACGGCTGGTGTATCTCCAACCTCGATTCGGTCGATCAATAGCGGCAGAGGAGGAAATCCTTGTTGGCGCTCTTCATCTCCGGTAGATCTAGGCTAACTCCTTACTCTCTTAGGGAATCCTATTCGTTAATCCACTACTCGATATTAGCACCTCTCTTCGGTAGTGATGCTGATACCCGCTTCTATTGCGCACGTATATCCTCCTCTGCCGCTGTTGATCGACCGAATCGAGTTTGGAGATACACCAGCCGTTCGTATGGGGTTTAGTAGTTAAGCATAGAGGTATGGTTGATTGGATCTAAATTGGTGATGATCTATTCGTTGACAGCGTCTAGGCTCTTGCTCTGCTGTTCCCATTCGGCGCGATTTAGCTTGTATACTCCCCCTAGCTGGCAATTTATGTGGGCAAAATAATGACTAATCTGACGGATATACAGTATCTCCTTCTCCGAGTATCCACCAATCCTGCAGCTCCGTCAGCGGAGCACCGCGGAGAAACCCAGACTCCGAACTCCCAAACGGGAAATCCCCGAGTTTATCGGAAAATGTCACCGCCCGGCATCACAGACCTTGGGCTTCCCTTCTCTTTGCTCTCCTTCGCTTGCAGTGCATCACTCCACTTATCATCTACATAATGTCTGCTGCTGGCTCTGCTGCTTGGAGACAGGCTTCCCGAGCCTGCTCAAGGCGTCTGTCCTCGCAAGGCGCCTGGACTGCCCCTCGCCGCGCCCTCGCCACCCCCGGCGTGCGCGGTGCCCGCTCCTTTGTTACCGAGACCAAGGCCGGACAAGCTCAGGTCAACGTCGAGACCGCCATCAAGGAGGAACAAAAGTCATTCATGAAACAGACTGGTATTGCGCCCCAGAATGCCACTTTGCCCAGCTCCGCAACGTCGGCCGATGCCGCCATGAGCCCGTCAGCCGGCATCCTCAAGCAAGCTACCGTGATGGACCAAGGCACTCGTCCCATTTACCTCGACATGCAGGCGACCACCCCGCTCGACCCCCGTGTTCTTGACGCTATGTTGCCCTACCTCACTGGCATCTACGGTAACCCCCACTCCCGCACGCACGCTTACGGCTGGGAGTCCGACAAGGCTGTCGAGCAGGCTCGTGAGCATATCGCCAAGCTCATCGGTGCCGACCCGAAGGAGATTATCTTCACCAGTGGTGCGACCGAGAGTAACAACATGAGTTTGAAGGGTGTTGCGCGTTTCTTCGGTCGCTCGGGAAAGAAGAAGCACATCATCACGACCCAGACTGAGCACAAGTGTGTTTTGGACAGCTGTCGGCATCTGCAGGAGGAGGGCTTTGAGGTGACCTACCTGCCAGTCCAGAGCAACGGTCTCATCCGGATGGAGGACTTGGAGGCGGCTATTCGCCCGGAGACTGCTATTGTCAGTATCATGGCTGTGAACAACGAGATTGGTGTGATTCAGCCTATGGAGCAGATTGGCAAGTTGTGCCGGTCCAAGAAAGTCTTTTTCCATACGGATGGTGCCCAGGCCGTTGGAAAGATCCCTCTGGATGTGAACAAGTTGAACATTGACCTCATGTCCATCTCCAGTCACAAGATCTACGGCCCCAAGGGTGTCGGTGCTTGCTTCGTCCGCCGCCGCCCTCGTGTGCGTCTGGAACCTATCATCTCAGGTGGTGGGCAGGAGCGAGGTCTGCGCAGCGGAACTCTGGCTCCCCACCTGATCGTTGGCTTCGGCGAGGCTTGCCGCATCGCCGCGCAGGATATGGAGGTAAGATTTGCATTTCCTTATTTGTCCCTTTGGCTTCTCTCTGTACCGTTCTACATGTTTCATGATTATGCACTGCATGAATAGCGTTGGATGGGCCTTGGGCTGTAGCTTCATCCCCATTGGGGAATTTCGCTCAAGGTCAAGGACGCCGTTGCAGGGGTAATGAGATGGAGATCTATCTTGCAGAGGAAAATTTTCAGTTCGCGTGTGGTTCCAGACAATACAAATGCTAACTTTGACATTGCTTTCTAGTACGACACCAAGCACGTTGAGCGTCTCTCCAAGCGTCTTACCGAGAGTCTGCTCGCTATGGAGCACACCACCCTGAACGGTGACCCCGAGCATCACTACCCCGGCTGTGTGAACATCTCGTTCGCCTATGTCGAGGGTGAGTCTCTCCTGATGGCCCTCAAGGACATTGCCCTGTCCTCGGGTAGTGCCTGCACTTCTGCCTCCTTGGAGCCCAGCTACGTCCTGCGTGCCCTGGGCAGCAGCGACGAGAGCGCCCACAGCAGTATCCGCTTCGGTATTGGCCGATTCACCTCCGATGCCGAGATCGACTACGTTCTCAAGGCTGTTCAGGATCGCGTGCACTTCCTGCGTGAGCTGAGTCCCCTCTGGGAGCTGGTTCAGGAGGGCATTGACCTGAACACGATCGAGTGGAGCCAACACTGATCTGCTGCTTTTCATTTCTTTATCTGCATGACTTCGTTTGGCATTAATTATCTCGCTGGAGAAACGAAAAGTCTCCTCGGACATGGCGTTGAAATTCCCGGTGTAACAATAACAACCCTTTGTACAGAATGCAAATACTCCCATCTTTACAAGTAATAAGGAGTTCGAGAAGCTATGGGCTCCTTGCTTCCATACTAGCCTTTCCGTTTCATTACAAACAAAAATCAGAGGATTCCTCATCTAGTGGGATTTTCCCAGTCTAAAAGGAAGGGGTTTATTTCACATTAATTATAGTATATTAACATTGAGTCCCGAAAATCCAACCATATTTCATCCAGGTGAACTCGGACCCGCAATCCCCTGCTCAGCCAACTCTATAGATTCATCCCGCACATCCAAATGCACCGTTTTCAAAATCTGCAACCCCCGCCCATCAGCCTGATCGATAATCGGATCTTCCTCTCTCTCCCACCCCCTCAACCGATCCGCACTCGCCGAGCTATGTGGGCCCATTTTATTCGACGCCGATGCAGACGCAGACGCAGTATTTCCTGAAGCGAATTGTTTCGATTTAGGCTTCGACCCAGACGTCCCGTCCGTATAAGAAAGGCCATTCTTATCCTCGAAGACTGCGATGAAAGATTTTAGGAATGCGGATATGAGGCAGACGACGCTGATGGCGATGTAGATCTCGGTTGTGACTGTGGAGTATGCTCCGAGGAGGATTGGGTCGTCTGAGACGACTTGTTTGTTTACGTAGTATAGTCGGATGCCGGCGAGGGGGATCAGGCTGGTTGAGAGAGTTCATTGGGTCAGTTTATGGTAATTGGCTTTGATTCTCATAAGACTCACAGGATGCGGCTCTCCAGGGTGACCCCCACCATCAGCTTCTTTTGCAGGGATATCTGGATCTTGTGGATTGCAAGTCCAGCATATAGAAAGAGCAAGACCTCAGTCAGGATATCGAAGACTGTAATCGCGATCCAGCGGGCAAACTGTGCAATTGTTAATACTTGTCTAGTGACTTCACCTTTGCGTGGTCATTCTTAAGCACTTACCAAGCTGCTACATTGAGCATCACTGATGTCGTACCACGGTTTGTCGCTGCAGCGAACGGCCAGTAGAATAATCGACAAAATCGTCCAAGTAACCATCATACCAAGAATGCTCCGAATAAGCCGGAGATTCATTTGCGAGAAAAGAGTCTCATAGAATAGACAGGAGGTGATTTTTGAAAATCCCAGGACAAGGACGGAGAGAATATCCGCCGCGTATGCCGTCTGCTTGCTTATCAGTATTTCAATAAATGCTGGTATTCAACTTTGGACTTGACTTACCTTGAGCATTGACTCGTCTGTAACTGTGAGAAACTCTGATCGAACTCCCCAGCCTTGGTGAACCTGAGAATACACAACTGCTATCTGGAGAAATGCCACGATCTAATGTTCAAAGAACGTCAATGCTATTCTAGGAAGGGGGAGGGGCATAGTAGGCAAGATGCTAAGCATGGCCCGCCAAGGGATAGATGGACCATGGACCGACCTACCACAAGAATACCAAAGAGAAGATCATCTCGTTGGAAGATATGTCTCTGACTTGCAGAGTATATGCGAGCCGCCAGAGAAGCCAGTACCAACACCAACGCCAATGAAGTCATAATCACCACCAACCCGCCATGATTATCATCATTATCCGTCGTAAGAGGGGGACTTACGCCCGAAGGCAACGGCGTCGCAGTAGCCATCGGCATGGCTGGCTAACGAGTAGCAGCAGCGACAGCGACAACGACAAATAAACAGCATTGACCGGATGGCCGGAACAAGAGTAAGCTTTAATACATGTAGAAAGGATAAGGTGTGATTTTCAGCGCTAGGGCGATCCTCTTTTGTCTTGGCTCTTTTTTCTTTTTATGTTTCGGAGAAGGCAGCCATCGAAGACCGGGATCATTGGCTTATTTGCATTAAGCAGGGTTCATGAGAAGAAGGGGGCTAAGCAGGAAAGGACCAAGGTAGTAATGCTGAAGAAGGGCTGGAGTCTGCACACTCGCTTAGTACAGTAATCGGTGGGAAGATTTGCTCCCAAGGGGCCCACGAGGGTTACCAATAATCGCCACAACATGGGTATGTGGGATCCAGTGGGATCGGGCGCAAACCAGGGTGATAATTATTGGGGGAGATGCGTTACGGACTTGCAGAGTGGTACTTTGGCTGTTCTTCGGCCGGGCATGGGACTGGTACGCCTGGTTCCGATCGGCGTTGTGCATGGGAATAGCCTGCTGGTTGGTCTATTGCCTTTTTGTAATTATAGAAACTGAAGTGCAAAGTGCTGCATGGTCCATAGGCTGTCAGGACGTGTTTCATGAAGAATTTATGTCATACATATCAGATTTCTCGAGGACACATACAAAATACTGCTATGTCTACTAAGGACATCAAGAGACCATTATTATACAACGTAAGCCTATTAACTTTACTGATCATATTCGACCCAATTGAAACATGAGTATACAGCAGGTAAGCACATGAGCCCGTGTATTCTGGTGTCGAAGATCAGCCCTTCTTCAGGCGCCGTACATATGCAGGGAGGTTAGCCCCCCAGCAAACAAGTGCTAACCAAAGAAGGCTATCGCCAAGCAATTTACATATGAGCTCGCAGCCAAGGGTGGCGCCATGGGTGAGGTAGGTTTGTACGGTTTCATTCAAAAAGCTACTTTTCTTGCAGAATACTGGATACGGAGTAGTAGTGGCTACCCACAAGGGCTTTCTCAGAACCTTATCACGACTCACCATGGGCCCATTCCTCGGCGCTCTCGGAAACGTTGAGCGAGGAAGGGGCCTGAGGATCGCGTTGCATGCGGCACTGCAATAGTTCCCCCACATGGTCAACACGCGATGGAATAATCGGCTGCTGCGGTCGCAATGTGAGTAGTCGAGTCGGCTTTAGCGTGGTCAACTCCTCTCTTGTTCTTGTGACACGTAAGCTGCCTTGGCATTTATTCGGTGCTTGCCTGGTTTTCTTTGCACTGATTATCTCTTGGGTCTCCAAGCATGTTCGGACATTCTCAACCACATGGCTTTATGGATGGGCCACATCGACGTCAATTTAGTAGGATGATTGAGGTACTTGGTCTGTGGTGGGCCAAGGCGGGCCGAGGATCGACAATCGGCCCACTAAGTGCAATAAGCAAGAGCGGAAGAGACTGAAGAGACTCCTCCGAACTTGAGACTACCACTTGCAAGCGGCCCAAGTAGTACAGGAGTAGTCAGTACATACTGGCGTGGCCGCCCGAGGAGGCCAAGTCTGCCAACCAGGCCGACCCCGGAGGCCAGCCCCAGTGGAGAATGCAAGTATTTCGAACAGACTATTTCGACTTCGGTGCATTCTCCGTAGGTACGTCGATTTAGCAGAAAGTTTAATACGATATCAGTGCCCCTCATCAATAAATAATAAATAATATTATATCATCATCGGACCGTGGGCTGCTTCTCTTCTCTTGCCGTGCGCCCTTGTTTCTGTCCTTTGTTCACCCCTGCGCAGTCACCCGGTCGTCGATAAACCAGCAAACCCTTCGATCGCCGACCATGCAGGCCCCTAACAAAACAACGCGATTAGAGACGATGGACATGGAGGTCCATCCACTCGATCAAGATGTGCCGCCCACGCAGAAAGGAACCGTCTTGGACGACCATGACATGCAGCGCATGGGAAAGATCCAGGAGCTCAAGGTATGTCGGCTTCTCGCCGCCGAAACTGGGGACACGCCCCCTTCTGATCAAGCCTCCTCAATCTCACATTCCTCGACCAGCGAAATATGCGACCAGTGGCTGCCTTGAGTTTTGCTTCGATTTTACAGGCAACGTGGGAGTTCATTCTGATGTAAGTTGTATACGAAGTACTCCGGGTGAACAAAGATGATGGCAGCGATAGGAGAGCATTTTGCTAACCGGAGACTGGTCTGACTTCAGCTCGAATGACCAAGGATTGGAAAATGGCGGCTTACCGGGCATGTTCTGGTCGTTTATCTGGACCTTTATCGGGTTCGGGTTTATTATTGCCTCTCTCTCGGAAATGGCATCGATGGCACCAACCTCCGGCGGACAATATCACTGGGTGTCTGAGTTTTCCTCCCCGCGACATCAGAAATTCCTCAGTTATATCACGGGTTGGATGTCGGTATTGGCCTGGCAGGCTGGAGCCGCATCAGGATCCTTCCTGACCGGAACTATCATCCAGGGCTTGATCAGTGTGCGGAATCCGGACTATGAACCTCAAAACTGGCAGGGGACTCTGTTTGTGTTTGCGATGGTATTGGTGATTTACATCGCCAACGTTTATGCTTCTGATTTGATGCCGATTCTGAGTAATCTGCTCATGATTCTTCATGTCCTATCCTGGGCAGTGGTGTTGATAGTGCTGTGGGCGTTGGCGCCTCATCAATCTGCCAAGGCCGTGTTTGTCTCTGGATGGCAGAATGGGGGCGGCTGGTCGACGATGGGATTGAGCGTGATGATTGGCCAGATTTCCGCCATCTATGGCTCGCTGAGTAGGTACCAGAAATGATCGACGCACCTTTCACAATGTACTAACCACTATCAGGCTCCGATGCGTGCGCTCACATGTCCGAAGAAGTCAAGGACGCCGGACGATACGTCCCCGTCGCCATTGCCTGGGGCTATTTCAGCAACGGGATCATGGCCGTAATCTTGCTCGTTACCTTCCTCTTCTCACTCCCGTCAGTGGAGGATGCCTTGAACGATAATACCGGGTTCCCCTTCATCTACGCCTTCAAGAACGCAACCTCGATGGCAGGTGTAAACGGCCTAACCTCGATCATTCTTCTGCCCGTCATTTTCAGCAACATTCTCTTCAACGCGTCAACCTCCCGGCAAACCTTTGCCTTTGCCCGTGACAAGGGCCTACCATTTTCTCGCTTCATCAGCAAGGTCGATCCAAAGCGTCACATTCCCGTGAATGCCATCGCTCTATCCTGTATCTTAAGTTGCGCGCTCTCGCTGATTAACATTGGGTCCCAGACGGCTTTCAATGCTATCATCTCGTTGAACGTGGCCGCCCTGATGTATACCTATATCATTTCGATCAGCTGCGTTATCTACAAGAAGATCTGGAACCCGGATAGTCTTCCAGCTCGACAGTGGGATATGGGACGTTGGGGACTACCTGTTAACATCATTGCCCTGATCTATTCCTGCTTCGCTCTGTTCTGGTCACTCTGGCCGAGCGAGAGCAGTATCACGGTGGATAACTTTAACTGGAGCGTTGTCATTTTTGGAGGAGTGTTGTTGCTCAGCCTCTTCATGTATGCGGTCAAAGGCCGGAAAGAGTATGATGGACCGGCAGTCATCGTACAGCATGGATAATGGGGATTGTATAAATAATGACTTGATAGACATATTTTTTCGAGAACATTGCCGGTTCTTTGTACAAGGGTTGTTTCAATATGCTCCACCAAAAGTTCCAGGTACAGTATTCGGGGTAGCTTCGTGGTCCAAGCTATCACCTCTATAAGCAATCTGCTCAAGGACATGAGAGGAATGACTCACTTATATATGCACTCCTCTGATGTATATCAGTATTCATCAGATTCAGATAGAAGAACACCTGGGAGAAACGTCTAGCGAAATACTTGCTATTTCTGTCCAGCATAGTCTTGGAATATTTGGACGCTCGATTATCCCGCCCAGCATCCCTGACCGTCGCACCCGAGGCAATTATCAACTAACGATCCACCAAGCACTTCCTTGAGGGCACGGACTACAGTGTTTCTGTCGTTAGCTATTTTGTGTTGGTTTGAAGGAGCACTAGGTGTACAAACCCTCTGGCTGAAATATGAACTTGTCTCGAGACATATTACCCTACGGGCGGCATACCACAAAATAATCTTACCCTTGGTCGGTAAAAAAAAGGGTAGGCAATGACGTCTGAATGGAGTTCTTAGTTCTGAGAAAGCTTCCTTAACCAATGACCAAAGTTAAAGCCATGACTGAGCGAGGGAAAGTCTCTCTGCAGGTGAAAGCGATGGATAGCCAAGTATAGTGGTAAGGCATCCATATTTAGTGCCTTGAAACGGTGGCATAAATTATGATATTTGATAATGCGATCATGTGATCCAGTAGATAACTGATCATAGACTCTCTGCTGCGTGCACAAGTTCTTGCGTGCATGATTGCCTGAGTGGAAGTTTCTTTCGATTCATGTCTTAATGCTAGCTCTATCCATCAGGACAGCCAAAGCCATGGTGACCAATCCATATACGCTGAGGGAGCTGTACAGTAACTAAATATAAGGAAAAGCCTCTCAACCATGAGAATCCGAGAGAATGAACGCACACTAAAGAAACCTAGCCAGCATGTGAGCAAGGTCTCAAGTTCACTTAAATTGATCATTCGCGCCCCCGCAGAGTCGAACCATCGATTTCTCGTTTCCCATACAATCCAGCATTTTTGCGCCTTCCTCGCCTATCGATGCTCATCAAAGTCACCCAGTGCCGCCGTCGATGACACCCCCGACATCGAACACCCGTTTTCAGAGCACCAACACTCTTGAATAACTTCCAAAAAGATATCAGTGTTTTCTCCAGGACTTGAGGATTATACAGATATCAAAATGATCATGAGAAGTCAAAGCAAAAAAGAAGACCCGGGCAATCCCGATTTCCCACCCACCCACCTTCCGACACCTCCGCGACGGAACATGCATTGGCAATGCCGTAAGGCGCAAAGCCGCACGAACCGTACAGCTGACCCGGGTAAATCAGGCCAGGGCAGATCGGGTCAAAGACCACTACACCACCAGGCGGGGAAGGTTACTGGGGCGGAGGGGGAAGTGGGTGATAACCCACGATGAGGTCTGGACTTGGGATTTTTGGTGTTCTCTTTCTCTGTCCACATTTTGAAATCGGGTAGCACACCCAGTTAGCAGCTACACCTGCGAAGAATGGAGGTTACAGTCATACTATTCAGTCATTGTATCCAAGACATGATCACGTGGTATATACATCAGGTGATGCTATTCCCATTTTATGCACCCTTCACAGCACTATACTTAGTCAGCATCGACATTGAACCTTCACGGTCGGAACAAGAATGCTAGTGACCATGATGACTGAAGACTGCCTAGCATGAGAGAACTTCTTCTAACCATGTATAAAATCCGGTTATCTAATTCTTAAAGGGATGCTTTTACTGTGACCCTCTCAACAAGCTTAGACGTGACGTTGACACTGCCATCCCCAGGATCGCCCCCCTACCGTCTCACCGTGAACTTTTTGGGGTAGCGTCAGTGAAGGCGAACGAGCTAAACTCTCGCTTAGCCACCGACCCTCGGAGAACGCACTCTGACACCCAGACAGTGCCGCGTCCACAGGGCCTCCGGTTCATTCTCTAGCACTCAGACTAGTCGTGTTAGCGCGAGGACCCCGTCTCGCCGTCACCCAATCTAAATTGGATCACCCGCGGAATGCAGCCTTAGACTCTGGACGGAGAGGGTCCGTTCCCTGGAAAGCGTCGAAAAGGATGGACCCAATATAAACCCTCCTTTAAACTGAACCTACCGTCGAGTCCCAGTTGCTGTGGAATTTATTTGACCTCCCCAAGCTGACCTGCTCGAGTGTCCACTGCCAGTCTGAACGAACCCCAATTAAATGCTGCCCATGCCCCCCTCTAAACAGCCTACAGACTCGTCCTATATCGGACATCCCCCCCCCCCCCAAAGCCCCAGGCGGCCCAGACAATCCTCAAACCCGCTCTTCGTCCCCTCTCTGAGACCTTTCAGGCAGCTGATGATCTGGTTTCGGACTTTTAACCCGGAAATAACGAGAATCGAGGGAATTCTCCATCCCGCTGCTTAGAAATGTCTCCTCGCGGTGAACTATTACGTGCTCTCGTTCTCGGGCGATTCATCCCGCCGGACCAGAAATGAAACAGAAAAACTCTGCTGGACGATCAGACAGCACTTCTTCTCTACAATTCCTGTTCTTTTGTAAATGCCCTTCTAGCAACTCACCTCGAATTCTTCCCTTCGGACCAAAAGGCGGGAGAGGTTCAAAGTCTATTCTGCCTGACCTTCCTCGCCTTCGCCGGGTCGTGCCATTGTCTCCGTTCGCATCCGGCTCTCGATTAGGCTTTCGGAAGAACTGACCGTACAACTTCTGGACCACCGCCACCCCTTTGGTGCCTGGTCTTTCCTAGAAAAACATCATCCCACTCCTCCATCTCCTGCTTCTACAGATAATTCCAGGAAGATATCTCCGCGTCACATATTCATACTTGCACAACCGCTGCTGAACCTGGTCGGTTCCTGCATTTCCACGCATTCCCGATCTGCATGGGCGAGTCTCTCGTCTATCGCGTGCCTCATCTCTAACCACGTGCCTGTCCTCGTGCTTCACTTCTCTTGTCCGCCTTCCTCTCTTTTCCCTCACACATTTGATCAAGAATGCTACCTCCTGTGCCCTCGCTGGCAGCCTACGGCATCTCGCCCGAACAAGGCTTTCTCTCGCCAGAGCCGCCACTAGAGTGCTTGCCAGACCTCTATTACGCGAAATGGGAGGCTGTCGTTGCGAACTTGCAGCCGCTGCTGCTGAGCAAGCGCATTCGACCAGTCGTGGATCGACTGCCTATTCTCTCTACAGAGCATTTGCACACAGATGCCGAGTGGCGTCGAGCCTATGTCGTTCTGGTGTTTATGCTACACAGCTATGTCTGGGGTGGAGATCGCCCAGCCGAGGTATGACACACGGCAGACCATCATGCTGACCAATCTCTTGACCATATACTAATCACTTGTTGTGTTACAGAGGATCCCTCCACAGTTGACGGTCCCCTTGTTCGAAGTCTGTGAACGGTTAGAAGTGCCTCCAGTAGCAACCTATGCCGGGGTCTGCCTCTGGAACTACAAGCCGGTCTTCCCGGATGAACCCGCCGATAATCTCAGCAACCTGGCATCCTTGCAGACCTTCACCGGCTCCCTGGATGAACAATGGTTCTATCTGGTCTCCGTAGCCATCGAGGCTCGGGGTGCGCCGTCAATCCCTCTCATGCTACAAGCCATTACCGCAGCCCGAGTGGGCAAGTCCCGCGTGGTGACGGAATGTCTGCAGCGACTCGCGGAAATCCTGGATGAGATTACCTCGCTGCTACAGCGGATGTATGAAAACTGCGACCCATATGTTTTCTACAATCGTATTCGACCCTACCTGGCGGGCAGCAAGAACATGGGTGATGCCGGGCTCCCACGGGGACTGCTATACGACGATGGCCGCAACCCACCCGAATACCGGCAATACGGCGGCGGCAGCAACGCGCAAAGCTCAATCATCCAGTTCTTCGACATTGTGCTCGGCGTGGAGCATCGCCCTACCGGCGTGACCCGTCAAGACCAGAATACCGCCCCATCAACCGAAGACGCCCCCAAGTCCCGCCATGGATTCATCCACGAGATGCGCGCTTACATGCCCGGTCCACATCGACGATTCCTCGAGGACGTCGATTCCATCGCCAACATCCGTTCTTTCGTCGAAGCGCGACGCAGCGACCCCGCCCTACGACTCGCTTATGACGCCTGTCTCTCTATGCTGCGCAATATGCGCGACAAGCATATTCAAATCGTCTCTCGGTACATTATTGTCCAGTCTCGCGGGGCCCGTCGTGCCTCGCAGTCTGGTCAACCCCCGCCAGCGATGAACCTTGCCACGGTGGTACCCACCGATGGCAAAAAGCTTCGCGGAACTGGTGGCACAGCACTCATCCCGTTCCTCAAGCAGGCCCGAGATGAGACCGGTGAACCTACCATTGACGCTTGGGCTCGACGGTTGCTCAGTAATAGCCCGGGCGTTATTGACTCTGCCTCGTTGAGCAAGGTTGGCGAGCAGCCCGACGGTCATTTGGAAGTTGTTGGTCTTTGCGGGACATGGACAGCCGATGACAGCGAAGGGGGGATCTGTCACTGGTGAAATCGTGGCCAGTCCGAGAGATACTCGCTGCGGGTACTGTTTTCTTTTCCGTCTTCCAAGCGTTGCATTTAGCATGATCTACGTTCCCTGCAGTTGCGGCGAACATAGGTGTCTGGCGTCTGGGAAATTCTAGCGATGATTGACTGTGTTTCTGTACATACATTTTACAATTCTTATGACACTCCAATCATTCTCGTCATACACCTGTACAACAAGTATAGTCTACGGTGTACTCCGTGTATCTGTGCAATTTCATCATACCCCCCTTAGGCTCATCAAGTCCTTGTCAAGAAGCTCCCCACTGGTTGCCCATGATCAGCCCCACCGTATGCTCTGGAAGCTCTCTGTTCGTTCCTTTATCTTCCATGACGCAGTTTGTGGTGTCAGGCTTGGATACAGTCGACGCCAGTCACGTGAGGTGACATCATCCACTGATGTCACCGATCGTGGATTGTTTGGCCCTGAAACCAGGACGAGGATGAGATGTATATAAGGAAGTCCAATGCCATGGCCAAGACGAGCTTCTTGGATTCAGATCAACAAACAAACTTCTTCCATCTCACAACTCTCTATCTCCATCTTCAACTTACCAACTTTCAATTTTTCCAACTCCATACTATCATCTACTATCAACATGTCTGACAACAACTCTTCCACTCTCGGCTCCTACGTCAACCAGGCCACCGGCATGGCCCAGCGTGCCTTCGGCGCAGTAACTGGCGACTCCTCCACCCAGGTACACCTCACCCCTGCATCACCCCCTCAAACCCAAACCCAAACCCAAACCAAAAACAAAACTAACAACCACCCAGGCCAAAGGCGAACTTTCCCAAGAGCAAGCCGACATCCAAAACGCCAACTCCCACACCACCGCCAAACTGGGCAACCTCACCGCCGACCCCAACACCGGCGCCGTCGCAAAGGACAACTCCACCCGCAGCGACGGCTCCTGGGACCAAACCATCGGCTCGGCCAAGGAAGCCGTCGGCAACGCGATCGGCAACGAGTCCCTGCGCCAGGCGGGCGCCCAGCAGAACGCGGCTGGCAAGGAGCAAGAGGCCAAGGGCCAGTTGAAGGACTGGGGTGAGGGCATCCAGGACCGGGCTCAGGGTCACCTTGGTGCGGTGGGTGCGGCTATTACTGGGGATCGGGAGGAGCAGAAGAAGTTCGAGGATATGCATGATGAGGGGAAGGTGCGGCAGCGTGGTGCTGAGGCGGATATGGCTAAGCAGCAGGGAGTTTAAAGTGGTTGTTTTAAGTGAGAGTCGACGTGATCAGCTATGGCTGTGAGTGTCGACCTGGATGATCTCCCGTGCGGCTGGTGCTAGCTTTGCCTCTCGATTGTGTTTTACTTTTTATGACTCGATGACTATGATATCCAATTTGACAAGACGATTCGAATTGACTTCCTTCCGTTTAGCCTGTAGTTTGTAAGAGTACATAACTGTTGTTTACATAGGCTTCTCAGGCCTATGATTTTGTTTTATGCCGTACACTCTACGAACTATGTAGGTGTTAGATCTATGATTTACTAGATCGACCGCAGATCGACTCTATCCCGCAACACCTCAACGTGCAGATTCAAAGTAGAGACGCCCACTTGAACTGGCGACACACCCCAAACCACTGTCCTCCAGCAGGACACCTTAGAAATTCTCCGAGCGATCAACAGCGAAAGTGACATGCATTTACAACCCCGCTTCAACAGACACGCTTCCTCCCATCGGTGTCAGCACGCTGATCCTCGGTCCGTCTCAGTCCAACCCCAGGCCACGACATCGCTTGAATGGGATTGGACAAATCGCTGGATATGACCAACCAGTCAACGGCCCTGTCCAGGCCGTTGCATAAACCTGGCGCGCCGGCGGAGAAGTAGATTGCACGGACTACCGAGGAAGCCCGGATCGGCGGTCCAGCAGGTGGAGGGTTAAGCGTTTGATCTATGTACTCTACTAGTCTATGGACTTGGTATGGTGGACATACTTGTCGTCCCAAGCCAGGGCCTCTCTCAGTTTGACTAACTTTATTTTTCTCTTCTGCTTCTCTTCTGCTATCCATCTGAATTTCAACGCCCTATCTTTCCATTCTCACGACATTACGAATTACGATGAAACTCACAAGCATTATCCTCGCTCTCGCAGCGTCTGCGTTAGCCGTCCAACCCCAACGCCGTGATACCGTCACCGTAGCAGCAACAACTACAACCGATCCCAGCGGATTCAACATTGGAGAAATTTCCAGTGCACTGTACAAGCAACCCCCCTGGTCCCCAATACACACACTCACACTCACACTCACCATCAAATCCACCAAATACTAACTAACCTCTCCCTCCTCCCCCACAACAGTGCAAACCTCTCCACGAACACCACCGCAACCGCCAACTTCGGCAACATCTCGCCACCCCCGAAATCGCTCATCCCCGAAATCCTCTCCGTCGTCCCCGTCACCGTGCTCTGGGACCTGATCAACGCGCAGTCCCGCAGCTCGCTGGCCAGCGCGTTCAGCGCCGGCAGTACCCCGGCCTGGTATAGCAGTTTACCCGCGGACGTGAAGAGTTATATGTCCGTGGTGAAATCGCAGATTTCGGGCGGTGCGTTGACGGCGACGACGGGGTTGGCTTATGAGACTAGTAGTGCGAGTACTAGCAGTGGCAGCGGTGCTACTACGGGTACTGCTGGGGGGAGCTCGACGTCGACTTCGAAGGGATTGGCGGCGTCGCAGCCTACAGGGTTGACGGCGTCGGTGATTGGGGCGGTGGGGGTACTTGGATTGGCGTTGGTGTTGTAGGGTGGATCTGGATGGGAGAGCTTGTCGGGGCTTCTTGTCTTGGTCTTGGATGTGTTCAGCTGTGGCTCTGCGGGGGAGGTCCTACAGTACGATCTCGAGTGGGGTGGATGAAAATTTAGAAATGATCACGAAATCGAGAAATGCATTATGATTACGAGTTACTACTGTAGTTACAACATCGTGGGTAATGGCTTCAATTTTAGCCGATAGAGCCGCACGTTCTAGGTTCGGAGTGGTGGTACAAATGTAGTTACACTCGACGTGATTGGTTGCACAGTACTAGCCTATCCTGTATGTGACTCGATAATCTCACAAAAGCACATTTTCAATGTGATGAGAGTGCATGACATTGATAACATTGACAATGATAGTCACAATAAACGAGACCATTGTCAAGACCAACATTACTACTATTTCTTTTGTTTCTTTCCCCGCCCATATTCCTGTTCAACTCCATTTCCGGGTTCCATTCCCCAATTCTTGTGTTCCTGCTTTTCGGTGGTGGCGTCGTTCCACGGCTCCTGCACGGTCAACCATGGCGTCTTTCGCTGCAAGCCCACTTTTTCACAAGGGGTTTTAGTTCAGAGTTCGTCGTTCTTCCTTCTCGGGTTCCCCGCTTCATATGCGAATTGCATATGCCTCGCTCGAAGAGAATCGGCCTGGAAGGCACAAGACACAAGACACAAGAGACAAATATGTGGTTTCCTCGCCACAAAATAGATTAATGATCTTCCATAGTGGACCACGACATCTACCAAGAATAAAGTAGGAAGTGGGCTACTGTAACGATTAAATGGAATTGACATCCCAGTCGACGGAGTATACTTCGTGGAATCCGCCGATCGCTACTCAAGTCAACTCGAGCTCCGACCTGCAGGACCACTCCTCGAGTCCTCGACTCCACGGTCACGGCCATCAGTGGAGATCACATGAAAAGAAATCACCATCTTCATTCGGCCTCGACGAGAAATATCCTGCAAAGTGACAGGTCCAGCCCGTCCACACACCCAATCACCAGCCCCAATCCGGACCTGACTCGGTCCACTTCACGCCCAGGGCTGGGGCGGGCACTAACTACTCCGTTCGGCGAACCGACTGGGAACTTGGCTGCGAACTAGACCCGTTCCGTGCTGAGTTGACTCGTTAGTCAACTTGTTTTCCAGCAAGCCCCTACACGAATCCTCCCTTCTCGCAGGGGTCCGATCGCCCGGCGGTCGATCAGTTACCGCGTTGGGCCATCCGGGGAGGCTTTGGGGGAGGATGGATCGTGGATGATGCGGGGATCGCGACCGAATTTCCATTCTTCCAGCCTGTTCCAACCTATCAGGCCCCAATTGATTCCTACGCTTGTGTCTCGTCGCTGTTAAGTTGTGAACGAGGATGACTGCGAGTTTGCGGACCCGGGACGCCTCTCACATGTTGATGGGCTTCGATATTTCCCGTCCCGGAGCGATCGACCTCGGCGTGGCAGGTCCCGATTCTCGATCGCGGAGAGAGTGATCCATGCCATCCCTGTCGGACTGCTTGTGATGCACTACGGGACGGACATTGGCTGAAGCCTGGCAGGTTTAGTCCTTTACCCTCGGGGAATTTTTTGAGTTGTCTGTCTACTTTTTTTTTGGACTCGGATCGCCTAACGTTGTCCTAGTCGGAAAGCAAGTAATGAGACCATACTGTACCGTACTCCGTTGACATATCTAGACAAAAAAGAGGAGAAGAGGAGACATGAGCGGAGCCCCATATGAGGGGTCTCTGTTAGTGTTTAGAGGGAAAAAAATAACCAAGACAACGGTCGAGATGGAAGGAAGCTACCGAGTTACCGAACAGGGTCTCACTTAGAAGACCAGCCAGTAGAAAGTGATTGACTCCAGTACTACCGTACTATACGAGCACGCCTATCTTACTTTATCTACGAGAGATCTGGATCTGTAGTGTCAAAAACCGCTTCTATTTCTTCCCTCAACTGGACGATCATTTCGTTTTCCTTTTCTTACCTCTAACTAAACATCCATCCCATATAACCCTATACCACCCACCCATCCATCTTCCATAACCACACTCATATCTCTCATATCTCACGATGCGTTTCTCCTTCCTCCTCCCCCTCGCCATCGCCCCTCTGGCCCTGGCCGCCCCCGAACCCGCTCCAGTCCCCAATCCCGTCGCCGCACCCGCTCCAGACAGCACCGGCTTGCTATCAGAGCTCCCGACCATTCTCAGCGGTGTCCAGTCCCTGCTGAGCCAGGATACCATCTCCAAGCTGGAGACCATCATTGACGGGGCGGCCAAGCTGTTGTCCTCGGATAACATTGTTGTCTTGCAGGATATCCTGGGTAATGCACACACGCTCTTGACGAAGGAGTTTGTGGATAACACGACCACTTTGATTGGAGATGCTACGCCGGTATGTTTGACATTCTACAAGATATCATCTATCTTGCAACAAATGGAGAATGTATTTGTATTTGACTAACTCAATTCCTCTCCCAGCTTGTGGAGGATGTTTCCAAGTTGCTGGGTGGTGTGCTGGGCTCACTATAAGACGAATGTCAGTGACAGTGCAGTGGAAAAGGAAACGAGGCCATGAATATTCTTTTACACCATTCTTGTTTTTTGGTACATGTTTATATTTCTTGCAGAAAGAATATGATTTGACGATAGCATACGAAATCGAACGGACTGGATTATTTGTAAAAAAACGAAACATTCAAGACTGTACAGCAAGAGTGGTTATCTCGGGTATGGCGGGCGAACAGCACAGCAGCGAGCGTATCTCATAGAATGGGTATATACACATGAAAGCAGAGAAAAGTAAAAAATCAACAAAACAAAAACATGATAACTAGTGACAGTCGAAATGAAAGACCGAAAAATCAACCATCGGTCATACTGTCCGTCCTGTAAAACCCTCGCGTGCTGTACATTGCATTGCATTACTTACCAACCCATCTCCCATCTCCCATCTCTGATCTCCAATTTAAATCACATTCAATTTACCCCGCAGCCGCTCCTGATAATACTTCAACGGATACGACCGCACCTTATTCGGCATCGCCGGATACACGGCAGTCGAAAAGCCCATCCAAGTGCGATACAAGAAGCGCGTACTCCCCGTGGACCGCAAGCCGTACGCATCCCGCAGGGTCGGCGGCAGCATCTCGATAGTCACCGCGCGCAGGAACGGCTTCAACTTCTGCACCCAGCCGGGCATCTCGGTGCTCTCGCGCAGATCCTTGGCAAACTGCGCCGCATCGGTCGACACGGCCAACTGGGCAATCTGGTCATCCCAGTAGGTCCAGAACGCCTGGCGCGATTCGGGCCACGTCCCCGCCGGCACGCCCAGGTAGCTGATCAACAGGGTGAACTCGGAGTAGCCGCGCTGGGCGGTCTGGTAGTCGACGCGGCCGTAGACGCGCTGGTAAAAGTCGGTGGCAGTCGCGTACAGCGTTGCCGCCATCCACAGTTGGAGCTCTGGGTGATGGGCGAAGCGGTTGTTGCGACCGCCGCCCAGGCCGGGGGCCTCGCCGCGGTAGAGCATGTCGAGGAGGGCCTTGCGCTCGGCGCGGGTGCCGAAGACCAGGGTGGAGATGTAGCTGATGTGGGCTTGGAGGGCGTCGATGAGCTCGGTGGCTAGGGCCTTGTGGCCGCCGGTTGGGTGTTCGGTGTCGCGGATGGCGGGCAGGGCGGCTTGGAGGAGGAGAGCGGCGCCGGAGCCGGCGAAGAGGATGCCCTCGTTCAGGATTTGGGGGAGGATCTCGAGTTGTTCGAGGGCATGGAGGCGACCCGCGTCGGAGGAGGAGGCGGCGGCGCCATTGGAGTTGTAGTGGGCGGTGGTGGTGCCGTTGGCCTCGAATTGTTTTTCGTCGATGGGGGATGGAGGGGAGGAAGACATGTTGGGGATGATAGGCGAAGGAGGAATCGCGAGAGTGGTGATAATAGTATAGAGGTCGTGTCAAGAAGGAGAGAGTGCCGCGAGTTGATCGTCAAGGGGGGTTTTGGTTGTGTATAGCTGGGGGAAATCCACGGCTCTAACTATGAGGTTTGCTGGGAGGATGTGATATGCAATTCCATCAATGTCGAGCACATGAGATGTCGGCTCGCCATTAAATTCCTTTCTTCCTTTCTGCTTTTCGTCGCCTCCCCCAGTCCCCGCAACCGAACCCCAGACGAAAACCAGAAAAGGAGAGAGAAAAATCAAAATCCAAAATCAAATCCAATCAAAAAAAGGAAAGTATTCCACCGTCCGAGCCCGAGGCCGAGTTCCACCAGAGCCACCGGGTCCATACGTCAGGGGACTCCTCCCCAGTAACTACGATCCGTACAGTCCAGCGTCTCCGACAAGAGTCGATAAATCCCATGAGTACCGAATAGTATCTCCTCAGAGGATCAGACCACAGTCGTCGTCAATATGACTCGGTCAACCAAGGACTGTAGAAGGACACTCGAGTATCGCAAGTCTCTCCAGGCGTATACTGTCCTCTGGACGGACGACTGACGACTGCCCAGTCGGTCAGTGCCGATCGTCTCCAGCTCGGCCCATGTGAAGGTCCCCCCTTTTCCGCATTCTCACTCGAGTCTAAAGCCCAAACGGGCTCTTCAGCCGCGGTTCGCAGCAGATCGCCATTTGGCCCATGCCCATCTTGCCTCCTTTCGGGACCAGTTCCTCGTGGATCTTGTCCCAAATGAGGCATAGTGCTCCGACGCCGAACACAAGCTTGCCCTGATCCACTTTCTCAATACTCTTTGACTCTGTTGACTCGGATGGCTTGGAGTCTTGCTCGGGTTTGGCTCTCCCCCGCTCGTCATCCATCACTCACTTGCAATTAGTCCTCCGTACAGTACTCCAGTCTCCAGTCTCCAGGTCTCGTACTGGTCATTCTACGGACCCAATCCGGGGCACGAGTGGATTCGCTTCTGATTTTCGCCGCCTCTAATCCATCCTGGAGTCCCCGTGACGGAGGATTGTCTCCCTTTCGGGTTGGAGACCCAACCGCGGGCGCTGGTCTTTCCCCGGAGGCCCGATACCCCGTACATTCCCCAAACCTGGGCGCGACTAAAAGATGCTAAAATGCCGCTAAATACAAAATCCCCAAAGAAGAAAAGAAAAAAAAAAAAAAACCCCTAAATAATAGTCCGTGTCGCGCCGGCTTTCTCGTCAAGAGGGACTGTGCCAATTTCATCACGAATTGTGGGCAGAGGCTCCGTCGTCCATACATATACTCCAGACCTCGTGCCCTCCCCATACAAATCCACTCCCTCGAGCGCTCTCCCTCCCTTGCTCGTCGTCTCTTCTCTCCTCCTCCTCCTCCTCCTCCTCCCCTCTTCCCCCGCCTCTCTTCTCCCCTCCCAGTCGTCACCATGGGCAAGAACACATTAGACGACCGGCCCGCCTACCTGACCTCCGACAATGCCAAGTACTCGCTCGGGGTGCATCGCGGCCCCTTGCCCACCGGCGGCGATGAGACCTCCAAGCTCGAACAGGTCGAGTCGGTCGGTGGCATCTCGCTGGCGATGACCCACCGCACGCGCAAACAGAAGATGGCCCGCCATTGGAAGCGGTTCTGGTGCTGTTACTTGGTCGGCAATATTATCTTCCTGGCCATCCTTTTGCCCATCTTGTAAGTCGCGTTGTGCAAGAGTCCCGAAGTGGAGAACAAGACCCTGAATCTTGAATTCTGGATTTTGGGCCTTTGCGCACACCCGCAAAGCGCGTTCCTATTTTTCAATTAAGCATGAACTAACCCTGACTATAGCTTCCTCGTCGTTCTCCCCGCTGTCTCTCAATTGGTCGTCAACAAGTCCGACCTGGTCCTCGTCAATGCCGCGGTCATGCAGCCTCGGCCGGATTCCATTCAGCTGACGCTGCAATCCGCATTGGACCTGAAGATCGCCTTGCCCGTGCGCATTGACCCGATCGTGTTGAACCTATTCAACCGCGACACTGGCGCCGACAACCCCTGGGGCAATATCACCATCGAGGGCAAGACCATCAAGGGCAACACCACCCTTGGAGTTGTCGGTCAACACACCCCGCTCTCCAATGTCACCGTTTGGACCAACTATGTGCATGACGTTGTGTTCCAAAAGCAGTCTGCGCTGTCACTCCATGGCTCGACCAATTCCTACCTCGGAAAGCTCAAGTCTCATGTGACTATGAACAAGAACGTGCTCTCGCCGAGTGAGTGGACCTACCTTAGCATGAAGAATGTATAAAGAATCGATCTGACTAACACTCCATTCTAGCACTCGACTCGTTCACTGGTTTCAGCATCTCCGACAGCACACTTCTCCTCCCCGCCCGCTCAGACGGCACCAACCTCATCGGCAATGCCACCCTTCCCAACCCCTCCGTGCTGACCATCGAGATTGGCACAATCATCCTCGACATCTACAGCGGCAGCCTCCTCATCGGTAACGCCACTGTGGAAGATCTCACCCTCAAGCCCGGCAACCACACCAACCCCATCAAGGGTGTGCTGGACCTCAAGACCATCATCAGCAACCTGGGCGAGGTGCTCAAGTCGCAAGCCTCCGCTCTCAAGACCGGCAACCTGGCCCTCTCCACTGTCACACGGTCCGTAGTCTGGAACGGCACCGAAGTCCCCTACTACACCCAGGTCATGCACGATCTCACCCTCACCGCGAACGTGGGCTTGGTCTCGACCCTCAAGAACACCCTTCACAGCCTCCTGCATCCCGATGGTAGCAGCGGTACCAGCACCGGCAACTTGACCTCCCTCATCTCCAGCTTGAATCTCACCTCGGCCGTTGACGAGGCCAAGGCCACTCTCAACTCGACCGATAGCAATGCGGTATCATCCGCGCTGAAGCGCAACGTGCATCTCCTGGATGTGTTCAAGGATGAGCACCCCGTCAAGCGAGACGCGATAATCGATTCGCTGGCACATCTCTATACAAAGGAATGAGCGTTGTAAACCTGCGCTTTACCCTTGATTTTTCCTTGTTTCTCGTTTTTGGATCTCTTTTCGGACGTACATCGTCTGCCATGCACCGCGGACCGGGCATCCCCCCTTGTACAGAAACCGCGCCCTTATCCCCCGCACCGGCCACGCTCTGCTTGATGCCGACATGATTGTGACTTGACTTGTGATATCCCCTCCCCCCTGGGTCTATGATATTTGATGGTGGCCTCTTATATCCCCCCCCCAGGCTACGGCGTTTTTACGGATTTATGTTTTTGACTATTGACGGTTTTACATTTGATATACCTGCAGCTTTGGATGAGATGGCGCGTCTGAACTGGACTGGACTGGACTGGACCGGAGTATTCACTTCCATCGATTATTGGATGATGGAGGAGAAGCACCAGTTTACCAGTTTCAGCGGGTCTCTCGATGCAGAAGATAATACATAAATGATTAGATGATACACTCACTTATTACTGACTTCATCCCTCAAACGCTTTTCACTACGTACCCTTTTACGCACAGTATCCACAGTACAATACTCAGGCCCTGCGCTACACTACACACGGGCTCGGAAATTAAACCCATCCAAACCGAAATTGCCATGCATGTGAATCTGCACCAGCCCCGAGCCGCGTGCCGCTTACTGTGCATACCGCGTACAGACTGCCGTGTAGATGTAAATCGGAGATTTAAGATTCAACATGGCGCTGGGATTTAGATTTAAACTTTTGAGCTTTGACTGGCGTCTCCTTCTGTCTGGTACTTAGCGCATGCACGATGACCTCATTCACGCCGGGCGTCGTAGTCTGAGTGCTAGGCTGGGGTTGGTAACTTGTTACATCATACGTACTTGAAACTTGGGGGAATTCGCTGCGTGTGATGTTTCTTGGTTCATGGGATTGAATCGGTTTTTTCTGTAGAGAGTTAAGGTTCTGACATGGTTTTAGCTTGGGGATATGATCTGCATGGGGTGGGCTTGTGCCTCGATGGCGTTGGGAATGTCATTTGAAGATAGGGGTACGTTAGTATGCCAGTCTATCTAGGGGTGGGATGAACAGTCAAATCTTAGAGTAGTTTGATCTATTGGGTTGGTGTAACCAGATTATGTGACGAGACATCGCCCTTGGTCAAGGATGTCGCCACAATGATCTCTGACATTGGAAAGGTTTGGTGATATTGAGGTATACTATTCATTAAATCTGGAGGATGGAGCCTGCCAGTTAGTAGCCTGGAATATTGCAAATCTAGCTAAGTATTCACAACGACTTGTCGCGCTGTTCAGAGTCTACCGTGCTACCTAGGTCTGGCTTGGATACGCACCAAGGCGAAATGGTGATAAGCACACGCAGGAAGATGGTCTTTAGCTCGCAACCTGGGTAGATAATGTATTCCTGGCATAGGGTGGTGTTCTAGAGGGTATTGCGTGGGGAGATGAAGAAGGAGGACACCATATACCTGTCATCTCTACTCTATGGCAGAGACATCGCACACTGAGCACCACATTTCATTCAGACAAGTGCAATTAACTTTACGAGGAAGTGTGTCTTTCTCTTGAACCGGTATAAAATGTGTTTTCGCTGATATTGATAGGGATTGATTTTGTGTTATAGAATATGTAACCACTGCTCACTGACAACCCACGCCAAAGAATATCTCCATCTCATCCACCTCCTCCCGTCCCATCACCGCAACCAATACCCCCGATTAATAACCCGATAAAGCGCATCAGCCTCTCTAATCAACCCCCCACTAGAAGCCCTCGGCGTTGGCACCGCCACGGGGTACACACCATCCCGCTCGCCAGTAGCAGAGTCAAAACCAGTCGTCCCCAGTGAGGACAGCGGCCTCAGAGTAGGAAGATGAAGCGCCGGATCGAAACTGATCAGGATCAGCGCTTTGTGCTGGCTTGGTAGACCGGGACAAGAGATGGAGTATATGAGGGAGCGTTCGTCCGCGAGGGCGGTTACCACGCCGGAGCGCTGGTCAGGACAGAGGAGATTGTGTAGTTCGGCGGGGCTTTCTTCGGAGGGCCACAAGTGGACGCCGCGGGAGACGAAGCGTTCCTCTGAGCCTTGGATGGGAAGGTCGTTGGGAACGAGTTGGACTGGGAAGAGGAGGCCTGGATCGCCAGTGATGCCTTCTTCGTCGATGGGGCATTTACGCTTGCGCGAGACTGTTCGCAGGCGGAGACGATCCTGTACGCGGACGCCGGCTGCTTGGGGTGTGGGATCGTTGACTAGATCGATGAATGTGGAGCTGGCGAGGTCGTAGCTGTGATGCTTTGTGTAAGCGTGGATAAATTCCTGCCGCTCGTTTGGGTCGTCGCTGAGCTCGTGTTCCGGGTGGTAGTTGCGTCGGAGACGTTTCTCGGGCCGATGATCGTATGTCTGATCGATGACTGGATCTTTGCTAGGTCCTGCATCTTCGTTGTCGGAGTCGTCGCTCCATGAGGAGGGGGACTTGGGGTCTCCTTCGGGATGGACAGCTTGTAATTCTGCCGGTGTGGGTAGGGGTTCGATATAGGTTGTTCGGTGATTTTCGCTTTTGCCGTTTGGCCATTCACGGCGGCATTCGAGGATCATCGGGCGGCCGGTGGTTTCATCCTTGCGGATGGAAAGATCGGTCCACATCTCGTTGATGGGACCTTCACGGTGTTCACGACGCCAGAGGCGGCCGCTCCATTTTCGACTCTTGTTTCGGGGTGCGTAGCAGGACCAGTGGTAGAATGAAGAAAATCGCTCATCATCCTCCGAGGTGACCTGGGTGGAGATTGTATAGAGATGGTCCTGGTATATCTCGAAGCAGATAGTCTGGCCTAGTTCTCCGCCCACCACTTGCTCTAGATGAAACTCGATCGTTTCATCGGTAGCCAGGTCTACCCCGCGACATAACCAGGCTCCCTGAGAACCGAGTGCCTCTACAAAGACACCATACCAGAGATATGAACGACTATGACGCACAACTATCGGGCCAGATGATGGGATCGGCTTGTGGAAGAGGAGTCTCTTCCGACGACTCTGCCGTGGTGCCATATCGATGGCAACCAAGGAGTCAGTCTGGGCGCCGATACCCTCTAACCGAAACACGACGATACCATTGCTGTAGTGTAGGAGGTTGACCCGAGCCGCGGGGTCAAGGACCTCCTCCTGCAGGCCAGTATACAGTCTCGGAATGACCTCGTATAAATTTAACACCTGCTCCTGGCGGGCTCCACGATGCACATTGAGCAGACGGATTTCATGCCCGACGCGATAGCAGAGAACGCCCTGGTGGTACACAAAGTCGACCGCATATGCTAACATCGCCACTGCATACGGAGATGCCGTGGCAATCGCTTCGTGGATATCGAAGCGGTGCCCGACGGCCTTACGGTAACCGGACTGGGCCGCCAGGGCGGTGCGGCCCTCCTTGCTGTAGGCAAGCACACTCTGCAGTGAGATGTCAGCATCACGGCAATTATCGGTGTAGACTGGAGAAGAGGGGTATGCCGGTCGGTCTATCTTCTGAAAGCGAACAAAGAGAAAGAGAAAAACACAAATGGGCGAGGGGGTGGATTTGGGTTTAGGGCTTTGGTATTGGCTCTCGAAAGGAAGGGAGAGAGAGAGAGAGAGAGAGAGAGAGAGAGAGAAGGGCGCGGACCCTGAAAGTGGGGGCTTGGCTTTCGTGTTCGGACTGTGGAAAGTATGCGGCTCTTACCTCGACCGTTTTGCGTGCGATGAGGTCACTGATCATTAATTCATGGATGGCGCGGTTGCTGCGGCTCAGGTGGATGCAGTCGCGGTCGTCCAGCAACGTGGCGATCTGATAGAAGACATCGAATGGAAGGGAATCCAGGGTCGGGGGAGGACAGGAGCCTGCCATTGTTGTAGGCACCCCGATGTTGACGAAGGGATACGATAATTAGGGTGAGATGGAGTGAAGGAGGAGGAGGAGGAGGAGGAGGAGGAGGAGGAGTCGGTCAGGGTTAGCATGAGAAGAACATGCTGAATTAATATGGAAATTGAAATAAGAACTGTAGGATGGATGAGAGGAGATATGCGTGAGGGCCAAGAGAGAATTGTCGGAGGGAGTGGTCAGGATGAGAATGGAGAATGAAGAATGGAGAATGTGTAGGAGAATGAGAAGAAGAAAATGAAGAGCCGCCGTGGGCCGATAAAACCAAAAGAGATGAGGTTTTGGAGCCGCACGGCTTCACGATGGACGAGAACTGCGATAGTTCATGCCGAGCGAGGGGGGCGGATAGGATACGAAAAGGGCTGGGATATGGGGACTAGCGTGAGAAAGTATTATTATCGTTGAGAGGATAATTCATTTTTGATTTTTGATTTTTGATTTGCTTCTTTGAGCCTCAAGAGAAGACAGGCATCGGTGCTCCATCGGATGATCCAGCCAGGGACTTTCCCTCCCGTCGAGTACTTTCAGCAGAGCCGCATCTGGTTTCGTGGTCCAGACGGATTCCCGCTAGCGCCCTTGTCCTTTTCTTCTCCTTCGCTGCTCCTCTTGGCCCGCCACCCAATGGGGGCCACCGTCGTATTCAATTATACTTCTCCTCATCTGTAATCCTGACTCCGTGTAGTCCTGAAGAGCCTCATCATGATCGAGTGACTCGCAATCCTGGTCTGGCCACCTTTGGAGATCGTCTCTGCAGGCCCCCCGTGTGGACCGACCATGCGACTCCTGACCAAAAGGACTTGGAAGCCGGACTCATGGGATGCGGATCCTGGTCTCTCAAGGAGTCTGCACTAGTAGTGCATGGCTGGGAGGTCAGGGGACAGAGCGTAGAGTTTCATCATTGCCCTGTTTCACCACGCTGGTGGGAGCAGGAGCAGGAGGAGGAGTAGTTGTACGACTATCGTATCTACTACGAATCCAACTCCTGGGTCCGATCAATATTCCCCGCACTTTTGCCACTAGCTGGACTGGGTCCTGCTTTCCACTCCTCAGCAGTATCCAGTTTGGTCCAAGCCCACCGTCGAACAGCTCCTGTTGGGCTGAGGACGTGTCCAGCCGACCAAATCAGGTATTCCGTCGCATGGCAGTGCACCCGGTAGACCCCTATTCGTAGGAAGAGCCAACGAATTGGATCACGTCAGCATCCCCATCTCCAAAGTCCCCTGCCCGGAGAATCAAACCAAACAAACCATCCAAATGGACCAAACCAAGCAACCCGGTCCAACCTGCCAAGAGCCACCGTCGAATGAGGTTGCCTGCAGCCCTACGGCCGAAGTACCTGGGACTCGGCCTGGTTCCATGGAACGGAACAGAGGACTGTACCTTGCGAATCGGAGATTGGACTCGGACCACAACACTGGGATCGGATGGTTTCTCGTTCTCTTCCCCCCTTCAGGTACCCTTCAATTCAGCTGCCGAACAATCATCAATCAGCTCGCTCTTCCTCACTCGGACTCAGGACTACCCTTTCTCTCGGAGTCTCCGAGGATCTACGCGCCCCACCAGTCAGCCAGCCCGCCGAAAGACGTTCTGTGCTGACCCTGAAAAAAAATATCCCATCTCCGCCATCACATCAGCGTCCATCCTTGTCTGCTCTCCGGAATAATAACACCAGACGCGATATCTCCATGAACTATCCACCTCCAGGACCTCCTCCGCCAGGACCTCCTCCTCCATGGGCCGGTTATCAACAGCCTCCTCCCCAATGGTCGCAATCCCCGCATCCCCCGCATCCCGCGCCGCCGCCCTACCACCAACAGCCACCACCACCACGACAGCCGCAACCCTACTACCAACAACATCGCCAGCATCAGTCTTACTCGGGTCCCCCACCAGGAGCCTATCCTCTCACACCGCCCTATAATCACCCCCCCGTCACCACAGCCTCCTTATGGACACACACCGTTCCCCCAGCCTCCCTATGGCCAGCAACCTACGCCATCTCCCCAACCGGGACATCGTCAGAACTTGAGCGTGAGCAGTTACGGTACAGCAAAAGCCAGCACCCTTTGTCACCCAATTTTCCACGTCTTCATCAAATCCTAACCGTTGGTTCTACGACATTAGGGCCCCCTCGCGCCAATTCTCCGAATCTCCCACCCCGACCGCCGCAGAGTCTCCAACAGTTCGGTCATGGGGCGCCCTCCAGTTACCAATTCCAGTACTCAGCTTGTACCGGACGGCGGAAAGCCCTGCTCATTGGTATCAACTACTTCGGCCAGGCCAATAAGCTCAACGGATGTATCAACGATGTCACCAACATGTCCACCTTCCTACACGAGCGCTTCGGGTATCACCGCGAGGATATGGTCATCCTTACCGACGACCAGCGCAACCCCATGAGCATCCCCACCAAGAATAATATCATCCGGGCCATGCACTGGCTGGTCAAGGACGCCCAGCCCCACGACTCCCTCTTCCTCCATTTCTCTGGCCATGGGGGTCGAACGCCCGATCTGGACGGCGATGAAGATGACGGGTTCGACGATGTGATCTACCCGGTGGACTATCGATCCGTCGGACATATCGTGGACGACGACATGCACGCCATAATGGTGCGGCCTCTGCGCCCCGGTGTCCGACTGACGGCCATCTTTGACTCGTGCCACTCCGGAACCGCTCTGGATCTTCCGTACGTATACTCGACCCAGGGCATCTTGAAGGAACCAAACCTGGCCAAGGAGGCCGCCCAAGACCTTTTCACCGCATTCACGGCGTATGGAAGGGGAGATCTGTCCCGTATGGCAAGCACCGCCATTGGCTTCTTCAAGAAGGCAGCAAACGGAGGTCAGGCACGGGAACGTACCCTCCAGACCAAAACCTCGCCGGCCGATGTGGTCATGTTCTCCGGATCCAAGGATACTCAGACATCGTAAGTATCAACCCGTTTGTGAGGGGGGGGAGAAAAAACGCTCCGACCAAACCTTTTCCCCCTTCGTTTCCCCTCTCCTCCCCCTTTTATCTAATTTCCGCTCTCCGATTTGACCGGACTAACCGACAATCCTCACAGAGCTGACACCTTCCAAGACGGCCAGGCCAGGGGTGCCTTGAGCTGGGCGTTTATCAAATCGCTGAAACAATGGCCCCAGCAAAATTATCTGCAGCTACTGAACACCATCCGAGCTGAGCTCGACGGGAAATACACCCAGAAGCCACAATTGAGCTGCAGCCATCCCCTGGGTAAGTTGATCTGCGGTACTACCGAATGGAGCCCCAGGCTGACTCGTGCGGCAGATGTCAATCTACGGTTTGTGATGTGATGTGATGCGTTGTCGATCACGCCACTTGTTTTGCTCCACCGGTTTAGCCTATTGTTTTGTGTACATACATACATCTCTTTGCATCTTTGTGTTTAGCTACTTTCCGAAAATGAGCCCCCGATGTCATGTCGCTGATTCTATTGATCTACTACATCCGCCTACATCCGCTGACATCATGCCGGATACCTCTTCTCCAGGCATGCTGTCAGACAGACCATTCTGATCGAGTGGGCATAACCCTGCTCGTTTCTCTCGTCAGCCACTAGCCACTACCCATAGCGGTTCCCCCTTTGCACCCTTTTCTGATCCGAGGGGGTGAAAAAGATTCCATACATATCCACCGTCACCGTGTAATGGCAATACCGGGCGGCAGTCCTCCCGAGTCTCCCCTCCATGGGCCTCGTGTGCCGCAATGCGTGGCTGTGGTTTGCCAGGCCCCCGGGCCCGTCCACTTTGGGGCCTCCCCACTGCGTACAATCGCAGGGGTCACAATGGATCCATGAACACCCCCTTTACCCGAGACACCATGTCCCGGCCCCAACACCAAGAAAGTAAAAAGGAAACAGGACAAGAAACCACCTTGTCAACCGAGTTCTGATGACCAGCATCAGAATCGCTGTCGACCGACCATTTCTTCACGGTCGGCTGCAGCGCCCCCTGCGCCTTACCCGCAGCAAATAATTGCTTTGGCGCTAAACGGGCTTCGTTCGGATTTTCCAAGGTTCCCTAATAATCGCGCGAGGCTGTCCGCCCCCCCTGAGCGGGAATCGAACCAATAAGAGTTTCACGTCAGAAGATCCCCAGTGGGAACCCTGGATACATCCACAGCTCTCTCTCTCCTTCTCTCTCTTTTTTTCTGCTTTCCGATGCCCCCCATCGATGAGAAAGCCTTTGGGACCGCAAGCTCAGTTCCTCGGTTGCGCTGGTTTTCCACGTCGTCGACCACGTAGAGCGGGGTTCAGATGTCCAAAATGACTGCAAACCATGAGGAAGACGATTGGGGGGCTAGTGCCGCGTCATCGAATGGGCGAACCAAAGCAAAGACCTCCATGATGTGTCAGATCCAAGACAATCATCCGGACTGAAAGTTGACTGAACGGCATGGAAGAATGATCTGATATGGAGCATCTCCGCTCGGACGGGAAAAAAAATAGTGGACTCGGGGAGGATCGATCCCAGCATCGCAACCAGAATCTGTGGACGACCAGTCAATGAAGCTCCCCAGCTCAGTCTCCTCGAATCTGTCGAACCATTGATCCCAGATGATGCGAATGCATTGATTCTCCACAAGGATTCGCAGTCACCCGCTTCCATCATGGAGGGGAGGGGCATTATGAAACATGAGATTACGGTCATCTGTGTTACACGGGCCGGCACCTCGTAGCTTGGGAACTACTAAAGCGATGAATGTCTTTGATCCACTTTTCGTTGTTAGTCTTTTTCGGAATTTGATGCTCAGCGTTTGCGATGGCGCGTTCATATTTTTTCCCTCCTTCGCTGGTCTCTTCCTCCTCTCTTTTGACCTGAGATCCTCCCTCCTTCAATCTTCCCCCTGCTCCCTGCGCTTCTTCAAACACGCCCTCACGATACATATCACCTCGCGGGCTCTCCCTTCCTATCTCCTTCATACAAGCCACCTTAATACAAACCGGGCTAGTCACTCCCCAAACCATGTTGACATCATCCTCCGCCACGAACAGCTCCTACTCCTCGTCCGTTGCTTCCTCGGACCCTCATCTCCCCTATCAACACCCACAGCCCTCGTCAACCATCTCCCTGGGCTCACAACACCTACGTCGCACCCCAATGCCCGTCAAATACCCACGATTCTACTCCACGCCTCTAGATGACGGCCTCGAAACACCACTGCAAATCTACGGCTACGAACAGCGCGAGCCATCCATCTACGAGAAACCAAAGCTACTCCACCGTGTCTCGCACGCCCTCGACGATATCAAGGAAGATTTCTCGTTGAATCTGGACCCTGCCCGCTCAACTGCCGACAAGATCAAGCGTCGATCAACGCTGCTCCTCGACGCTAACTTTGGCGCAACTCTACGCCCGGAAACTGCAGATGGTGCCTTGGCCCGCCACTCTCGTCCAATGTCTATCATGTCCGTCTCCAGCCCGCAGCGCAGTCTGAGCCGGCGACTTAGCCGACGACTATCTATTTTCTCGGCGCGGAGCAAGAGTGCGACCGTGTCGAAGGGGGCGAGTATTTCGACGCCGAATTTGATCGGGTCGTCGATGCAGTATGCGAATGGCAGTCGGACGGCTTTCATCTAAGGCGTGCAATTTACCTCGGACGAGCTGAGAAGGACTGGGTAGCCTCTTGACGAGGTGATCGGATCTTGCAGAGGAGTCGGATGACGAACTGAATGAAACATAAAAGTGGAGACCGGAATAATCAGAGACAGCGGAGAGGAAGTGTCACCATCGAACGCGGAATCGACGACATCTGCACCATGCAATACTGATGAATCAGTCATTCAGCAATACATATCATATCTGCGACATGCCGCCTGGGTATGTCATTGAGGTTTTCATGGAAGGAATGGTGTTTGGAGCTTGGAATCTTTGTTTTGGAGTCGTCAATTTTCACAAGACGGCGTTTTACATTGTGCTATCATATCGGGCTTTGGGTTTTCTTTTCTGTTCATTCTTTTACACATTGCTTTTCGCTTGAGCTATGGTCTTGCGCATGCTCCATTTCCTATTGTTGGTCTATTGACCATCTAATCCTGCGATTTGGAAAACTTTCTTGTATTTACATCTGACTGGAACTGTCTTACATTGCCACTGACTGACGCTGACATTTGACTTGGGCATGACTTGGCGTTGGAGATGAATTTATTTTCTATTTCTGTCATTTTTCTATCGTGTATATGTTTCAATGAAGTATAGTTAGGTTAGAATCTTCGATTGTTGACCAATCGCATCACTAATTATCCAGTGACAAATTACATTTTAGTATTCTAATCTCTACCTCGTAGATCGCCTCCAAATAAACGTTCGACCGGTCGGATCGACGAGGGACGCCACCGGCCGCCCGCCAGGCGCCCCGCGCCAACCAGCCATTAAGTTCGGCCGGAGTGGACCGACATGCGTCAGCAAACGCCTCTATCTAAAAATAAAGCTAGACCGGAAATTTCAAGGTGCCGTACGGTGCAGGAGCTGGTCGCTAGCCACATTGTCAAAATGTGGCTGGGTTTGGAATTGGCGTATGGCTTTCGGCCGTACAGTACGGAGTACGGAGTTACTCCGCACATTCAACAAAGTTTCATCCAGGTTAAAATTTGTTTTCTCCCCTTAAAAATTACATATTGATATAGCGAGATACTCTGGTGGCTGCCTAATATTTTAACAGGGACTTGTACAGGGTGCCAGTGGTTTGTGGCTATGGTCCAAGTTTCTTGTGAGACATGCATATTGACGGGCAGCCAAGCTTTGGGTTGCTTTGGTGCAAGTAGTGGCGATGATATCTCCGAGCGTTACCGAGGTTGGGGTATTGGAATGCGTGGATTGCATACGATTGCCTCTGGAAAGATCCAATTAGAGCGAAGAGGTATCGAATTCGGTTGAAGCACGCACTTATGCTAGTCCTGTGTTTTCCATAGCTTCAAAACAAGCGACGAATACTGAACTTCAGGACAGGACTTCGTCTTCTCCAGCAAGTCATTGAATCTTCCCATCCGAGACACCCGGCTTTCTTGTAAGAAACTAGTTTCCCCAGGCTTTCCTCATTTCGAATGGCTCAATCATCTCTTAGACGTGTCTTAAATACTCGTTACAAATGTCATGATTGCGTAAACTCCCGACCATAACAGAATACTAGGTCTCAGAATTGACAACGGTAAAGTCCATGCGTCAATATTATGACCAGTGGTATAAGGAATTTCTCGCTTATCATGTCAACCCATCGACGAATCCTTGTTCTGGGGAATCCTACCCCTCTTCGAAGCGAACGCGCTAACTAGGCACCCGTAGATCAACGTTCACTTCCGCGTCATCCACTGCTCCACCTCCATCGGCTGATATGCCGGGGACTGCGTATCAGTGTTCTCGCCTTGATTGGTACATGCCTGGGTTCTTACCTTTTCCTGTTTTAAAACAGCAATTACTTGATTAGCTCGAAATGTGAAATATTTACCATATAGGGTATGGTCTCGCAGAGGACTTCTTACTTATGATTGACGGTGACAGAATGAAGGAGAATATAGCAGGATGGTTTCTATGCAGGAATGGCAAAATGATGTCTGAATCGCATTCATCTGCTAGCCAACTGCAGTAAGGGACGAAATGGTGCGTAACTTCGGACAAGTCGGAAAGAATAGCTCGATGGGTCTCGCTAAGGTGAAGCCAGAAAACCTCATATATTTTTGTGCAAGGATGGATAATGATAAATGAGAGCCGAATCTGAGAAATTAACTTCATGCTCCAAGTTATGTTCCTCAATTCCCACTGATTGGTTGGTAAATGCTACAAGCATGTTCAAACTCCGTGACTTGAGTTTACGAGTATGCAGATGATCTGCTTACTACTGCTCTCCTTGAACCCCATATCGAGGCAATACTCGAGCTCCTTGTCCGCCAGTTCCTTCACGTATCTTTGCTCATCTCGACGTGCTCCGCCGGCACTAACCTCGCCCCTTTACCAGCAGTAGTTCTCTCAAGTTCTTCATCCTCACGATCAATATACTTTTGAGGTCGCTTTTGGCAAATGGCATCGGCGTCTTTGGTAACGATCAAGGATGGGTTAGAGCGGTAATATGCGTCAATATCTTCGAGGCTTCGATTGGCTAAGACAGCGTTAGTGTATACAATAGAAGATTCTCTGGCTGATCTCAGTTACCTGTTTCTGGGTATAGGAAGTATAAGACTGGGAGAAACAGAGCGTTCGTCACTGTCCATACGATCCCTGTCATGTCCATTAATACACGCTCAACAAAGTTGGACGAGTTGAGGGCCGCTCACAGAATCTCCAGCCCAGATTTTGAATACCAATTGGCGTGATCTCTACAATGACAAAGTTTGTGATCCTTCATTCCATGTTAGTAGCTGGGAGAGATGAAGATTTATGGAGGCATCGACTCATACCAATCAGTTGCTGTCGCGACTGCAGCACCCTTTGTTCTCATAGGCAAGGAATTGATCTCTGTTGGATAGAGCCAGGGAATGCCTAACATTCCGATTCCAAAGCTACCGTGGAACTTTAGAGAGTCACGTAGTCAGCGAAACATCTCACCATAAAAGGGGTTTATGTATACCACAGGTACTGACCAAGAAGAAAAATGCAACCGATGCTGATCCCCAGGCCTTGCCGTTGCTCGAAGTCTCTGCATAGCGCAGCAGAATTGTAATGATTAGGAAACACAGAAACTGGCCAAATGTCGAGAGAATCATTAATCCACGACGACCCATCCGCTCAACAAGGAGCACCGCGAGCCCGGAAAAGACCAGGTACGAGATAGCATTACAAGCCGTCAGCAGCCGTGCCGTGCTCTCCTTGAGACCAACCGACTTCTCCAGGACTGTTGGAAGATAGTATGACATAATGTTGATTCCTCCGAACTGCTGCATGAACTGAGTGCCAGCACCGAGAAGTAACCGCCGCAGGGTCTTGGTGTCATGATCTCTTTTCTTTAGGAGATCGCGCCAGCGAACGGAATTTTCGCGCTCGTAGCGGATGGTAAAGTCGATTTCGTTTCGCTGGGCAATGACAAAAGGATCATCGATTGCCTTGGCCTCAAGGCAGCTGATCACCTCGACAGCTTCTTCCTCTCGTCCATGAGCAAGAAGCCAACTATAGAACGTTAACCATATCTTTGAAAAGGACGGGGCGTAGAAAAATATACCGGGGAGATTCTGGTAGCCAAGGCACGGTAGACCAGAGTATGAAGAAAAAGAAGAATTGGAATGCAAGTGGGAACCGCCATGCAACGGCGCCTCCGGCAAATGAAAGCCCATAATTGATCCAATTGACAATGCAATAGCCTGCAATGTTCATCATCATCTCAATAATTACCAACTTGCCACGCCATTTTAGCTGCGATGTCTCTGTAGAGATGTTAGCGTAACTATGATAAGGCCGAACAAGGCAAGCATAATATACCTGTCTGCCAAACTGGAGCCGTTGCAGTGTTGACACCATTTCCAATACTACAAGACCACGAAATTAGCGTACGCTTTCTTCGATGATCAGAGAAGACAGACTCACCCCACAATAATTCGACCTACAAACATCTGCGGCAAACTGAACGACGTCGCCTGGAGAATAGCACCCACTGCCATGATAGTTGTGCCCATCATAATAGCCTTCTTTCGTCCCAGTTTCTCACCTACAGTAAAAGCCAGGATGGCCCCGAAGAAACATCCAACATCATAGATGGCTGTTACGGTAGACAGTGTCTTGGTCTTGGTTGGGCCGACAAGATCGTGAAGTTCGAGGAAGTTCTGGGTGATAACGACGCCACCTTGAATCAAGTCAATGGCATTCTCGTCAGAATAAATATGGTTGACTGACTGAAAACGCCTTGGTCGTAGCCGAAAAGTGTCATGTCTGTCGCGCATGCAACCTAAAGTCATGGAAGGGAACAATTAGTGTATGCTTCGTGGGATAAGGTCTCTAGTGGAAGCGTACAGTAACCCAGAAAGTAAGCCATCCACCCGTGAACCCGAAATAGGGCTTTTTCTTTTTCTCTCCAGCAAATACCATATTTGTATCACAGTTTTGATTGGAAGCAAAAGTTTAACGATATATGAGAATTTTATTTAGGGCTTTATTAACTTCCCATTTTATGAACTCAAGACCTCGAATTTCAGATCGACGCCTCATATCCTATATATACGAAAACAAGAAGTGAGCCAGGCATTCCGGCTAAATAGAGGGTCGGCGTCACTCCGAAGTCTGGAGAGCATCGTGCGGGGGTGAAGTCCGAACATCGATTTGTTTGGTGAATCAGGCTGTGAAAGAGGATCATAAGTGGCCGGTCAAGACGGCTTAGTAGCCTAGATGGACCAAATATCACACAAATCCTGGAATGATTGGCGGGTGCGCTGATCTTCAATTATTTACCCGAGCGTGGGGGAGGGGAAGATCTCGTGAATGTACTTGGCTCTATACTTCCGTGGGGGAAAGCCGGGATACTTCCCCGAGGCTGCTGATCTACTCCCCATTTGTCCTACCCTATCATGAGGCGTTTGTATGTTACCATCTAAGAGGATACTCTTCTGTCGACTAAGTGGGCGAGAACTACTCCAGGCGATTATATAGGAAAGCCATATCGAGAGTGTCAGTGCATATTGCTTTGGTCATTTGTACTCCTATCTGAAATTTATAGTTCCAAGTGGAATTCCAGTGGCCATTCTCGGAGTCAGGGCTCTACGGCCTGATGATCCTGCATGAAGGCCTACTGTTTTCGCCCTTCAATCACAACCCCAGGAATCCCAAATATGCCCTTCAACCCAAAGGTCAAGAGGTTACCGTCCTTGATTTCATCCTTTCTGCTCTCCAGCTCTTCCATGTCCCAGTTTACGGTGATAAATCGACCAGTCAAAAACTTCTTGTCGCCAGCAGCCAGCCACACCGCAGTGCCTCCAGATAATTCTGGGGTATCGTGCAAGAACGGGGCAATGTAGGGCACACTGTGTCCCATATCCGTAGGCACGAGGCCCGGATGCAGACTAATGGCGGTAATCTCAGGGTTCTCTTGGGCCAGATAGGCTGTGAACTTGGACAATGCGAGTTTGGCGGATGAGTAAGAACTCGTGCCGGGCGGAGTACCTTGAGCAGCCGTTGAAGTCACATTGATGATAGTTCTGGTTGCTGAGGGGGCATCTCGAATGGCTTTCAGAAAGGCTTGAGACATGAGGAAAGTTCCTTTGACGTTGACTTCCTGTAGTGATCAATCACGGTCAGTGGCTGCATCATCACTGATCCATTCTTTGCAATAAACGAATAGATGAGAAAAATGGAAGAAAGAGGAGAAATTACAGATGAACAAGGACCATTTATAATGTCAAACCCTCACTCCTTCCCTCCCGGCTGGTTCAATAGGGGCGGGGGCTCGATCGTCGAGGGGGCCAATTGGTCGCCTGATTTGGCACCTTCACGTATCAATGGTCCATTTAGCTGGGAACACTCGCAAGCACGGATTTTATATTCAAATTGTCAGATATCCAGCTTTCATCAAGGGGCTGAGTGTCAGAGAGTCGTATTGTAAGGCTGTTCGATTTGAGAAGATTTGCTGATAGAGGTGCGTAGCCCCTTTGGTGATATTAGATGGCTTCTGCGAGGTCATCAAACGGGGACTTTGATTCATCATCTTTCCTGTCAATGAAAAGAAGTCTACTGCCATTGAGACGATCCCACTCCGTCGCACCATGAATAGCACACCTTTCTACCACGTAAGCCGACAGATATTTTACAAGACATACTGACAGCCAGGGATATTCCAGTCGGTAGGATCCTCCATCACAAGCGATTCTCGGGGCACACTAGACTCATCTTCTGTAGATCGAATCTTGTTTTGCCACTGCAAGTATACGCGCAAACACAACACCCAAAATACTCCCAGCCCAAGTCCCACAAGACTGGCTGTGATACCCCTTTTATACCGCGGTGCCTCGCTCACGCTGAAAAACTGTGGACCAACGATATTGCCTACACAATACATCACCAGGACACAAGCATTAACAACAGCGCGCTTGGTAAATCCTCGGACATTACTGGTAATCAAAGACAGACCAAGAGGCATATTGGCCGAGAAAGCCAAGCTGAGACAGTAGCCTGCCATGCGACCGGCTTGGTTGCCAGCATCGAGTGCATACATGAGAACCATACCGGTCAGGCTGATTAAAGTGAGCACGATCATTGTGATGGTGCGCATGTTGGGGACCCATGAGCAAAAGGCCGAGCTTAGGATCACGAAGCCTAGTTGTGTGGCACCCGCGGGCATTTGGATCAACAGAGCATCGAGACCTTTGTATCCGAAGCCTTGGATAACTAAAGACCCAAATGCCGTGAGTCCTCCATTTGCAATGTTGACACAGAATGTGTATAGCGACAAGAACCACGTTGTCGGGTCTCACAGGGCCTCAATTACCTGGGAGACTCGAAAGGTGCCTTTCACGCCGGCTTGGCCATCTGCGGTAACGCGGCGGACAGCCATCTCACGCTCTGTGGAGCTCAGCCAGAAGGTACTGGAGGGTGTATCTGGGAGTAAAAAGAACATGACAAGTCCCCATGCTGCAGTGATGGCACCGAAGATGAGAAACAGGTATCGCCAGGCCGCGAGTCCGCTCTCGAGATGTCCGATGGCATAGGCGAGCAATCCTCCCAGCATTGAGGCCATGCCATTACCCAAAAACCACAACCCGTAGCGGAAGGGCTGCTCGCGTCGCGTATACCACATGCCTGTCACTAGAGAGAATCCTGGTGCGACTGCTGCCTCGAAAGCTCCGAGTAGGAAGCGGGTGATCATCAGGCCGGTGAAATTGTGACAGGCTGCATGGAACATTAGGACGGCAGCCCAGACAATCCTATTTAAAGATGCAACCTCAGTAAGTCTCCAAACTTGATTGAATTAACGTGTACATTTGCGTGGGTTCAATAGAAATGCGTACACAGTAGCGCCTAGGTACTTTCCGATGGGCAGACGAACGGAAAGGAACATCGTCGGATATGACCAAAAGATATATCCAAAGTAAAAAATGGAAGCAGTCCATGAGAATTGAGTTCCATGAAGATCATTATCTTGCAGCATGCCAAGCAAACTGGCATAGCTGAGCGTCTGCTTATCCAGAAATTGCAAGAAATAACAGAAGCCGAGCAAGGGCAGGAGGATCCAGTCAACCTTTCGGCGAACCTGAGATGAGCCTTCTGCCAAGTCCTGGCTTACATCGCCATCCAGACTCTTCGATGGCTTTGTATCCTCCAAAGGAATCGTGCTGGGCTCGGTCTTGGTTGCAGGTGTCATGGTGAATGCTCAGAGCGGCGAAGAAAATGCGTTGCAAGGAAAGGAATAGTAATGGAAAAAGGAGAAGTAGGACCATGGCACCCGCGCCCTTTATGTTCTTCACTCTCTTTCTACATCTCTACCATCTCATCGTTATTTCTCAGCGTAGAAGACGTGAATAGAGGAATCCCATCCCCAGCGCGGGGAAAGGCCCACATTGATAGTTGGTCTTGGCTGTTCTCCACTGTTCCTCGAGGCGCAATTATCGCTGATTGGCTACAATCTCAAGTAGATTTTCATGGCACCAGCGGAGATGAGAATTTAAAATTCGGCGCTAGAGATTCGTTCAACTATATACTGTCCATCATTTCGGCAAATGCATGGCGAGTCTTGCGGTAAAACGCATCGTCCACTAGCAGACGCCATCCGGTCATTGCCATTGCTTTCCCAGCCGTGATCATTCTCTGATGGGCCTCGTCCGTTCCAGCTGCCGCAGTGAACTGCCGCGTATGATTCTTAGCTCCATCGCGCACCGGTATTCCAATGAGGCCGTGCAGAGCAGGGACTATCTGAGACACATTACCCTGGTCGGTGGATCCGCTCATGAGAAGCTCATCGTGGGCCAGAATAGTCTCCCCCAAATCGCTCATACATTCCTGAAAGCTTTCGCACAGGGGCGGGTTCACGACCAAATCGGCAAAGACCTGGTTTTCCTCTATCTTCACAGTACATCCAGTAGCGGTAGCTCCAGCTTCCAGACACTTTCTCACACGGGCCCCCAGTTCTCGTGCGCCGTGCATCGTTCGGCTGCGGATGGTGTACTTGGTGCATGTCAGCTCTGGGATGGAGTTGGTGGCCGTTGGAGCCTGCAAGATTGCTCCATGAATTCGCTCATTTGGACCGATCTGTTGGCGTAGCATTGAGATTCCATTATATGCCATGACCAGCGCATCGAGGGCATTCCTTCCTTCCCAAGGATTAGCAGCTGCATGGGCGCTGACGCCTTGGTAGACGGCTGTAATATCGTAGCAGGAAATAGAAGATCGGCCTGCGATGCCGATGACTTGGGATTTGACAAATTCTTCCTCGGCCATGGGGTGCCTGCAATAGTCAGTCATCGTCTCGTCTCCATACACCCTGAAGAGAGGGCTAGGGGTCGTACACCATCAAAGAAGCATCCACATTTTTGTATGCCCCGTCACGGATCAAATCAATTTTACCACCGCCATCTTCTTCGGCCGGTGTGCCGAGGAGCTGGGCTTGACCGGGAATACCAAATCTACCAATGGCATATGCCAGAGCCACGAAACCCGTGATACTAGCAGTTGCAATGAGGTTATGCCCGCAGGCATGTCCAAGATCGGGAAGAGCGTCGTATTCTGCATTAAAGTTCACGCAACGACCATCAAGTTTGCCAGCTATGGCTGTGGCCTCAAACGCGGTGCGAAGGCCGTAGGCGTGCCGAGTAGTAGGAATACTCAGTGACTCGAGAAAGTTGCAGATGTTGTCATGGGCATAGGATTCCTTGTATGCCAATTCAGGATTTTCAAAGATCTATCAAATTTGTAAGTAACGTACAAGTTTTTCCCGATCCAGATCTCACCTGCTTATTGAGTGCACGCAGAGGCTGTGCCAAATCGGCGATGTAGTTGTCGATGGCCGCTTGGACCTCATCTTTGGATGGAAACGCCATGGTTGTACCTCCTCGTTCTCGGCTTGCAACTCAATCCGGGCGCGGTCTGCGGGCGATTTTTATATTGGTCCGATAACGACCAGGTATGGTTGAAGACTAGTTCGACTACAGTATGCGATGCCGAAGATGCTACCGTCGCGGCGCAAAAACACGCGATTGGCCGCAACTCCTCACTTGAGGCCCCCACATGGAATGTATCACGATGTATAAATAATAGCCCAGGGTTATCGTATCAGACTTCATTCACTTTCAGAATTTCATTTTGTCTTACCATTTTTGTCTTTCATATTCCATTCAGCAGAATGACTGTCTCAACTTGGCAAGAAAAAGTCGCGGCCAAACAGGCCGAGGCCTGGGCCAAAATTCCCACCGAATGGCGTTTGTGTACAGATATCCTACAACAGGTGGAAACCGGCAAACTCGATATTCTCGATGCTCCAGCACGGTGTGGCATCCTCAGTGATCAGGAGCTCAAGATTACCGAGATACCTGACGCGACGGCGCTCCGAGACAAGCTCGCCGCCAGAGAACTCAGCGCCGTCGAGGTGACCACGGCATTCTGCAAACGCGCTGCTGTTGCGCAGCAGTTGACGTCCTGTTTGACGGAGACAATGTTCCAACAGGCGATGGTGAGAGCGGAAGAGTTGGATGAGCACCTCAAAAAGACCGGTCAGCCAGTTGGTCCACTCCATGGCGTTCCGATTAGTTTGAAGGAGACCTTCAATATCCAGGGTATCCCGACATCCCTGGGATATGTCTCCTTTTTGGATCGTCCGCCTGTCAGTCAGCATTCTGCATTGGTAGAAATCCTCTTGAAGGCAGGAGCGGTGCTATACGTGAAGACCAATGTCCCGCAAACTATGATGACAGCCGATTCACAGAACAATGTGTTCGGTCGTGTGTTGAACCCGCACCGTCGCAACCTCACAGCTGGCGGCAGCAGTGGAGGCGAAGGCGCACTTGTCGCCATGCGCGGATCTCTCCTGGGAATTGGGACAGATATTGCCGGGTCCATTCGTATCCCAGCGGTGTGCTGCGGCACCGTGGGCTTCAAGCCGAGTGTCGGTCGTGTGCCATATGGAGGGCAGACGAGCGCTGGTCGCCCAGGCATGACCGGCATCGCTCCAGTCGCTGGACCATTGTGCCACTCAGTACGTGATGCGGAGATGCTCCTGCGAGTAGTCTTCGATGCACCGAGTGATGACATGGATGATATGGCCCTGGGATTTCCTTGGATCGAGCCGAGCCAACAGGCTGCGAAGAAACTCCAGATCGGTATCCTGCCAGAGGATGCTCGGGCACCTCTGCACCCGAACATGCAGCGAAGCTTGACCAAGGCCGTGGAAAAGCTCACCAGTGCTGGTCACCACCTCGTGGATCTCTCGGAACAAGTCAAGTTCATAGGAGCTGCGGCGGATATCTCGTTCCGCTTCTTCCGCATCGATCCTGATCAGACACAAGTGCAACATATCCGGGAAGCAGGCGAGCCATTCATTCCGTCACTACGATTCACATACGATCTTGACTCAAAGGGCCCCGAGCCGACTCTTCGTGATTTGTTTGACTTGAATGTCGCCAAAGCGGAATACGCAGCTAAGATGCGCCTCATTTTCCTCGAAAACGATCTCGATGTAATCATTGGACCTGGATACCAAGCCACTGCTGTGCCTCATGATACATTCGGGATCCCCAACTATACAGTCCTTGCCAATTTGGTTGATGTAAGTTTTCTCTCGAGCCGTGGATCGTGAAACCCTTGATCAGTGTGGATGCTAAGATAGAGAGTATAGTATCCCGCATGCGTGATTCCTTTTGGACGGTCATGCAAGGCCGATGACTCTGCGTTCGTGCGCAACGTGAATTATAATCCACCGTGTGAGTGTCTCATTTTTATTCAAAATGGCAAATATCAGTACTGATCAGATTAGACCTCCCTGAGGAAGTTGAAGGCGCTCCATGCCACGTGCAACTGATCGGTCGTCGGCAGAAAGATGAAGCTCTGGTGCAACATGCGCGGATCGTGGAGGAGGTTCTACGCAAATAAACACCTGGATACGAAGCATAGCTCAATCAAGTCATATTCATCATGAGATGTAATCTTCGTAGTAAAAAGGTCTCCTGGTCGCCCTCCTCTAACGTGGTCCAGATAGTCTTCAGCCGATCTCGTAATCTCACGGCTTGTCCGCGTCCCCTGCGAGCCCATGGGTCAATAGTGTTATCGATCGTGCGCTGTTCACTCTCGCCCAATGCAATAGCGCCGAGAACGGCGACAGGCCATAGCGAGTAGCCAATTAGGTATTTCTGAGCATCAACAATCTCCAATGTAGCCAATCCTTTTTGAAACAAAACCCTCATCTCGGCGGTCCGCTGCATGGCTGTTCGCAAATGATCTGCTTTCAGCAAGAGAATTTGTGCGGTATATACATAAAGGCTCTTCATGACATCGTCCATCGCACCGGTACATTTATACTGAACCAGTTCGGCCTGGAGATGTGTCCAAGTCTGGCGCTCGATTGGAAATAAAGGTCGGGACAATCTGGCGAGGCGTGTTACCTCTGCGACCATGATGAAAAACTGCCAGGACTCTTCCAGGACGAAACGCGGAACATCTTGTTCTTGTCCTGGCGTATCGGCGGGTCTCTTAATAAGACAACAGGGTATGTTGCTGATGACCAGGTCCAAGGAAGGGTCCAATAGCATCATAAGCGTGCTGTGATATAGAAAGGACTCGGCACAAGTGCGTTCAAACACCACGTCAGGCTCGGATAATGATTCAGGACCCTTTCCCGGCTTTCTTCGGGAGAGCAGCACGCCAGCCGCCTTCGCATGCAGCCCAATACTTGGGGGACTATCTGATCGGAGATTCTATGCAGGATTTAGTGTTTGTAACTGAGGCATTTCACTATTGAAGAGGAACGGCGCGTACTTACTTCAAACACACATAGCAAGATAGTTGTCGCTAGGAATCCATCTTCATTCCCCGCATCGGTCGCATCGGCCAGACCCTCCTGCAAACCACGCAGCGAACATAGATAGCGATCCATAGCCAGCGCTTCCCTGCTGAGATCAACCGCTGCGATAGCTAGCATAATTGCCATCAATGGCGGAAATTCATGCGCCAAGTGCAGCATGTACGATTGATCGATACACTCGGACGGGCATTTTGGCCGAACAAGACGAGGCATCACAACCGTGGCGAAATGGGCGTATAACTGGCGATGCTCGTCATCTGCGGACGATGGCTTGCTCTTCCATCGCCGAGCTTCACGCCTTCGGCCATCGATGGGTTGGTTGATCTTGCTAGGCCAGGCGCATGTGGCATTATTGTCGATGCACCGGCGACATGTCGGTCGACGCTCGTCGCATTTCTTTCGGCGTTGGCGACCTGCTTCTGGTCAGTGGATGGGGCTTGTTGGCTGGTCAGACTCGATACTAACACTGTAGACAGCCGGTACGGGTACGCACCCGGGCTTTGGATGCAAGAGGGGTTGCTGGCATCGAGTGATTAGAGGTTGTGTTGAATAATTAGCCCAGGTTCGGCAATGGGAGAGCATCGGATGGATCACGGATCACTTCCCCGCGATTCGTGCTCCGAGCGGAGTCATCGACCCACATTCCCAAAAAGACTGCACATGTCTTGTATGTATTCACATGTGCATAGAGCATCCGCTCTTGGAGAGCAGCTTCAAATAGCAGGAGAAAGGGTTGCCTTCTAAAATGAACACATAATTTTAACAGACTAGGCGCCGTAAGTTGCTCGATTTCCCTTTTAAACTTCTCAGATAGATTCTGGGATCACCCATAGACGTTTCAATCGAACTCTTTTTCAGTCTAATGAAGACCTCTGCTAGGATCCTCTCTAAGTTGCAGCCGCGTCAGCCTTTCTGCCACCGACAATCCTTCATTCAGTGGCCCGCTCAGATGTGTGCCGTGATTCCCCGGGGGTATACATCTCACGTCAAGATGACATCATGTTAAGGCTCATCAAAGCCGAGTACTAAAGAATCAAAGTCAATTACAGCCATAAACACATCGATTGCATGGGCAAGCACAGAATCGAAGCCCTCTATCTCGCTACTGAAGATGACAGACACCAATTCCACAACGTCCTCCCCCGACTCCCCAGTCAAGAAATTCCGCAGCACAAGCCTCTCCAACAGCCCAGAGTCAACACAATCAATTGACCCCGCCTTACTAGACGAGGAAGAAAACCCGCTCGAAGAAGGCATAGCCGATAATGTGGTCCCGCCATCAAAACAGTCCTACGCCATCAGCGGGGGAGGATACAACGCCCTAAAGACACACAAGGGCCAGCTCTACTCCGGGATGGCAGTCGGCGGCTCTCATACCTGGAACTACGACCCCGGTACATGGAAAGAAACCAAAGAAGAACCCGATCTATGGCGAATCGACTATCAAACGAACAAGCGACGCGCGCGTAATGCACCCAAGGGCAGTGGAGCACCCGTGGGGACGGAATATCACTGGTTAATCGTGGGGCACCAGGTGAGCATTACAAGACCACCCAATATAAATCTCAAACATCAGAATATCAGGATAGCAAAGAGCAACCTTGGAAATCTAACAATGCCTTTATCATAGCACGTGCGAAAGATTGATGCCAACACGTACGAGACCCATTTAACGGGTGCCAAGTATAAGTTGGCACACAAGTCAGCCACAACAGGGTCCTGGTCCATCCCGACAGTGCGGGGTCAACGAGAACGGGAAATTGATTTACTCGAAGATGCGCAGCGTCGTGTACAAGGATTGCCGCCGGTGCTTGCCAGCGAAAAGGTCAAGGTTGATCGGCGCGAGAAAGGGCAACAAAGCCTCGATACGTTGTTTAGTAAAGCTAGTCGTGGGAAGGCGGAGATTGCCGAGGCTAAGAAGCGGAAACGAGTTTAGTTCAACAGACGACTTCGTCATGAGCAGAGCTAAGTAGAATTGATGACTATCGTCATTTTCATGGGGGTTTGCGTAGTCGTGAGAAAGCAAGGAACTCATCGGTCCGACATTCGAGGTGGGGTGATCCACTCTGAAAGCAAGGTAGAAGCCCTTCGAGGTCTAGGTGCTACTTGAACATACATTACTGAATCTACAACAGCAAACACGGATCGAGGTATATAATTTCATGATTTGGGAGTATATCATGGTATCAGGTCTGATAGCGAAAAGAGGTATAAGAGCCAATTGAAACGCCCTTGGTAATGTAACGCCAAAACCCAGAGATGGAGACCAAAAATGCACCATAGGGTGATCGACTGAAAAGCGAATCCCGATATCGTCGCACCCGCGGGGGAGCCTGCTGATTCGATCTAAGAGAAAGCCCATCATAAGATAGACGCCGTAGGAAATCCCACAAATATTTCACGAGCCCGGAGCCAGTCCGTAGCCATTAAGAGAGCAGCGCGCATGGTGATTGCAAACCATGGTGATACCTCTTTCAGGGACCTGCCCTCGTCACCAGCCACTAAGACTGTCCACACTTAGAGGGTCACGCTTTCAAGATCCCGCATGACGATGGACATCTGAGCCCGCTTGGCTGCTTCAGCAACCAGGCTGAAGTCCTGGAGAAAAGGCGCTGTGGCAGTAGGACCCCCTAGGCCATTTACTTGGTGGGGGTAGTCGGCGGCAGCTTGATTTGCAGGCGGAACCTCCGTTCTTGGTAGGGACCCGTTCATGTCTTGAGAAACAACTGGTAACCCCGAGGAGTAAGCTGGATCAGAGAAATTTTGTGCTATAGGTTGTGTCTGCGACATGGCGGGTTGTGCAGTGTATGCCGAGGCTGGTTGGAGGGGTGTCGCAAAGGCAGGATTGGCGGGCTTCGCAGGGAGGCTGAGGGGATTTGAAGGTTGTTCTACCGATCCTGTGGAGTTGGAAGATTGAAAGAGGGTCGTGGTGGAGGAGGAGAAGGTAGAGGACTGGGTGGGAGTTTGGGGAGCATGGGCTGGTCGTAAGGTAGTATCCATGTTGCCCTCGAGGAAACGACGTTCTCAAGCCGGAAGGGAGCGCGATGGGTCTGGATGCAACGGGAAAAAAATGTAGGATCAGGGGATCCACGAGTATCGGAGAAAAGCCACTATGAATGAAGGGCTCGTAGCGTCACGACTCCGCGGATGACGATGACGGAGATAGCGTCGGCAAGGAACCGAGGCGCAGTGAGCAGGGAAATGGACGGCCAATAACTATCGCGGGGGGGTTAAAGTTCCAAATCGCTTAGAGAGTGACGATCTGGAGGGTGGGGGGTGGGTGAGGGAGGAGAGGCAAAGAGGTGAGGTGAAAGTAAGCAGATGAAGAGAGGAGAAAGGAAGGAGAGGATGTGATCTGGAAAGTAAGGAGGAAACCGCCGAGTCCAGTCTCTGGCGTGATTGTGATTGCCCCCCTTCGTCAGGAAAAAAAAAGCGGCTCCCTTTCCAGTCGATCCCGACAATGCCCCGCCGTGTATTGTGACCGTATCTCCACTCAGTCCCCGCACGGAAATACCTGGGGCCAGTGGCAAATTACCGTATTACGTGACGCTGGCTCGGCTTAAGTCACATGACTCCGGCACATGTCCAGTCCTTCAAGGGACATGTCTGGAGCTCCTTCCCCACGGTAATCGACAATTAGCCGAGGGAAATGATGACTGAGTACTAGGATTGGCAGGTGGACTATTGAGACAAAGACACTGATATTGCCCAAAGAGGTCAGGTCTGATTGGCACAGGAGAAGTATATGGGGCCTCACGCACCAACTGGAAAACCTCCGTCTACGAGCTGACTGTATCAGGAGTAGGCTACTCTTGGACCTCGTGTCTTTTGGGAGATGACAGGTGCAAAAGCGGGCGATATATCACAAGGAGCTACTAACATGAAAAGATCATCATTTGATCCTTCTTGTATAAGCAGACTATATATCTCGAGGGTCCCGCAATCTATACTTCGTAGTCACGTCACCAGGAAGATCATGTTTTCTGCCTCAGGCGCCAAGGCGCCGCTCCTGATAAGGCCCGATAAGCGATAACTGATATTTTCCAGAGTTTCTTGTGGTCTCTTGAGAGGAACAGCCAAACCAAATTGCGCCATGGAGGACGATTTCGAGACGGGGGACATGTTCAAGGACCCCGAGGGGATCTATGAGGAGGAGAAACCACCCACCTTCGCCGAGCATCAGATGCTCTCGGGAAAGACGGTGCGCGTGCGTCTCGTGGGCAGCCATCCGCTCTATGTACGACCCCGCCCAAGGCGAGCACATCGCATGATCTACCCCTCCATGGCAAAGTAGAGACCGCTGACCATTTTCGGCTCATTTCTGACAGGGCAACCTTTTGTGGAATGCTGGGCGAACGAGTTCCCACTACATCGAAGAACGGACTGACGAGCTGATCCGCGATAAGGATGTCCTCGAGATCGGAGCCGCGGCGGGTGTGCCCAGCATTGTGAGCGCCATTCAAGGCGCTCGCACCGTGGTGATGACCGACTACCACGATCCAGATCTTGTATCGAACATGCAATACAATGCCGATCTAGCCATTGATATGATTCCCAAGCGCGCCGACTCGCAGAAGCGACTGCATGTGGAAGGATACAAATGGGGCTACCCAGTCGAGCCATTGCTGGCATACCTGTCCTCTCCCAAGAATGGAGAGCCTTCTGGATTCGATGTGTTGATCATGGCAGATGTGATCTACAATTATCCCGAGCATGCGAACCTGGTCAAGACCATGCAACAGACCTTGAAGAAAACCCCCGAGGCCGTTGCATTGGTGATCTTCACACCCTATGAGCCATGGCTGCTTCCTCAAACTGAGAAGTTCTTTCCGCGGGCGGAAGAAGGTGGATTCACCGTGACCAAGATTTTCCAAAAGATGATGGGCCAAGTACTCTTTGAGAATGATCCTGGCGTAAGTGTGCGAAGTCCTCCCTCGTGGAATATTGACACTGATATTGTGCAGGACGAGAGACTTCGAAAGACGGTTTTCGGATATGAGCTTCGCTGGAAGCCAGATCAATTGGAGAACAATGCATCTAAGACTGCTTAGAAGTACATTGATACCCTGGCGCCCATGCGCCTTTAAAAATGTATAGAACTATAGTGTCGATATCATACCATTTGATTGACATTTCTTGACCCATGGGCTTTACTACAAATTATTTGTATTGTAGGTTGCAATCTGTATCACTCTAAAGGACTTTATCTATCAGCAGGTAATTGATTTACTCGTATGCAGGAACAGTGCAGTCTCTCCAAAGCGCACAGTAAAATGGCCCCTCCAAAGTAATGCGGAGTCACATGTCCCGCAACCCCGCGGCAAAAAAAAAATGTTCGAGAGCTTTTGAAACACCACAACCGTCCACGATGCCGGTGAGTATTGCTACCTACAATTCTGTCGCAAGGACAAAACTGAAATAACTCCAGCTCGTCATTCTCACCGGATATCCCTGCTCCGGGTTGACTTACCGCGCAAATCAACTCGCGTCGCTAATCGACAAGGCGCAAGATGAGCTCTTCGCATCCGTCGAGCCAGGCTCGCCAGCCCCACTGAAATCCCGATACAAAGTCCACGTTGTATCTTCTCATGACAAATCGCACCCAAGAACTGTCTACGATCATGCGAGGACGGAAAAGGAGGCGCGCGGTGTGGCATATGCACGGGCGAAGCGTGTGCTTGCGCGCGACAGCATTGTCATCTTAGATGGGATGAATTACATCAAAGGGTGGAGGTATCAATTGTGGTGTGAGGCGAAGGCTTCTAACACAACGTGCTGTGTGGTATGTACTTGGATTAAGTCATCGAGACTGGAGCATCGGCTGATTGAATTGCTCAGGTTCATGTTGGAACTCCCGTCGATCAATGCGTCGCAAACAATGACGCTCGACTACGCCGGCAAGAAGCCAAGCAAATGGATACAAACAAACCTGAGGAGGCACAAACACCTCTGACCAAAGAAACCACGCCCAAGCCAGGCGAGTCAAAAGATGACGACGAAGAAGAAGCATACCCGCCAGAACTCCTCAACAACCTCATCTTCCGCTACGAGGAACCCAGCACCCACAGCCGCTGGGACAAACCCCTCTTCACAGTCCCCTGGTCCGACCCGGAGCCCCCAGTCGCGGACATCTTCCAAGCGCTCTCAGGTATCGTCCTCGCCTCCGACGAAACACCCGCCGAAAGCCCAGTAGCCAAGCTCACCCAGTCGCTCGCATCATCCACCCTCTCCGACATCGCCAGCACAACCACCACAGGCCGAGCCTTCAACCGCGGCCAATCCACCCGACCAAAGATCATACCCCACCAAGCCACCGTGCAAGCCGTGGCGACCGACTCCGGCGCACTCTACGCAATGGAAAAGCGCACCACGGCAGTTGTAAATGCCATCCGCGCATTCACGCAGGCCAATCCATCCGCCGAGATAGCCCTGGCACAAAGCACACATCAAAAGGGCATTGCCATCGAGATTCCCGATGTTTCTATTCCAGTTATCATTCCCTCGCACGTTGCCACGACCGGAACGACGGATGAACTGGCTGGTGCAGGCGGGCTTCTGGCATTGCCGAAGCTACAGCGTATGCGGCGGCAGTGGATTAGTCTCAACCGGAGGTATATCGGTCATGGACATGGTACAGGGCAGGGTTCTTTGGCACCGGAGCGGGTTGGAGATGCGTTTGTGCGGTTTTTGAACCATGAATTTGGAGGCGTGGAGAACACTCATGTGTAGATTTGGGTGTCTTGAAATGTCATACATAGACGACGCCGGACGGAGCGGTGGTAAATGCTCGTTCCGTGCTGATAGAGCTTCATAGCGTATTATGAGATAACGAGATTACGATTTGGACAGATCCTTGACGTGGTGGATTGGATGAAGTTATATAGCTTTTAATTTTTTGGTAGTATTTTGCATGGAAGCACAAAAACATCAAATCAAAACAAACATCAAGAAGATAAGAAAGCAATAAAGGAAAATCTATCAAACAAGAAACCAATCTCTGACATCCACTCTACTGTTGTTTTCAGTAGTCCTGGAGAGCCATGGTATCTGCACCATGTCTCCTATCTATTCCTCCTTACGGCTACCATATCCCAGGTAAAGCCAGCATTCTCGTCAGCAAAGACTTGAAATGGTTCAATGTCCTCTGTGCCCGGAGTGCCCGGCTCCGACGCACAGGGATTTCATCTGGATATCCTTTCGGGAGAGGTTGGCCCATTGTAAGTCCCCTTATTGGCAACGACCTGATCTGATGCAGAAGTCGAGCCGGGAAAATTTCATCCTGGAAGGCAGTGCGCAAAGCACGCTTAGTCCATGAATGATTTGATCAAAAGATTCTTTCAGTGTTGAAAAGGCACCGCGGTAGAAAAACGCAGCTTCGGCCATAGAGTCCCAATTCTCAGGTGGCAGCAAACGATCCGGTATCTCCGCATGGGTTCAAAGTTCAAAATCCATACTGTATCCCATATTCCAGGCTTGGAAGGCCGGGGTACAGATCCTCGGAAGCAATTCTTCACGCGGGGAGTCCATTTGGCACCTTGGAAACGGCGTGGCCGGCCTCGAGGTGGCGGTACTGCAGGCCCAGGGTGTACAATTCCTGCATACTGGCATTGACCTTCTCGTGCATGGAGGTATCCTGCGGGGTAATCCTGGCGAGTTCATCAACCAGACGAGCCCGGCACTTGTAATAGTTCCGCTCGGCGTTCTGGAGACGCTGGCCATTCTGAGCAGAGCTCTGGGAAGCCTTGCCGGAACCAGCCTGGGAGTGCACAGATCGTGTACGCTTCATAGTCGGGGCCGGGGTGGCACCCGTAACCCCTCTCCTCTTGCGGTTGGATGAGGTAGAAGCCTCCTTCTTCTTGGGCGGGATGCCGGGGGAAGTCTCAGGCGAGCTGGGCTGGGAACTGGGCTGGGAAACAGGGCGTTCGCAGGAAACGTAGTCGTGGACACGCTTCATGTGGTCGTGCAGGTTCCATCTACGTGGGAATCCAAATCCAGGAACGGATCGCTCACATCCCTCGAACAGGCACAGGTGGGGGCATTCTCCGTGGCCATGCATTCCATGGGCTTCGCGCTCGTGACGGAACAGGCATGCGTTCGAGGAGAAACGCAGCATGTTGTCCACGCAGGAGGCGTGTTTGCACCGGTAGGGCTTCAGGTGGGAGTCCAGGTATTTACTGTACAAGTTGAATCGGTTAGCTGTTGGATCAGTATTGTTGGGGGTCAAATGCCACGAGAGGCTAGGGGGTACTTGCTGGTAAGCGCATTTTTGGGTGGTGGGCGTGTGGGTGCACGGTTTCTCTCCAACAGAATACGGGCAGTGGTACTTTCCATCATTCTGGGGGCCAGATGGTAGAAGTGGTGATCTCGCGGGTTGCGGGCATCGGCACTATCCTTGGATCTCTGGCGGGCTGGCTCTCTCACTGGCAGAGGAGGGAAGAAATCCGGCTCGGTCTTTACCTGAGGGAAGAACTCGGACTCGGACTTGACCTGGGACTGGGAAGTGGGCAATGTTCCACGGCGAGACTGCGTGGAGGGCCGGATGGTCCTGTGATGACAGGGGTGGTTGGTTAGATACTGTGATGGATTGACCGGCAATAGTTACGTCTAAGCACCTACCTGTTTGGATCTTTCTCGCTCAGAGGCGTTGTGTTTGGGAACAGGGGCTCCGCCGGATTGATAATGTGGTTGCCAAGGGGTGATGAATTGTAGTCTCCGAGAATAGTGTCATCATGGGCCAAGAAAGAAGGGAACCCAGAGTGGGAGCAAGCAGAGGTGATGGGAATATCATTACTGGCTTCCGTCAGGGGTGGAGAGACCGGCATGGTCTGGAAAAGGTTAGACGAGAGGTGATCCAGGGTAGTTCCTGGGTATTGGCCATCAGCCATCATAGCATTCCATGATTCGTGACTGGCAATCAATTGGCCATCCTCAGTGTGGGAACTGTGCGCAACAGACAGAGCATCATCTGGAGTGCTCGTTTGCACGCAGATATCATTATCCATGGAAGAGAGGTCCACGAAGGAGTAAAAGTCCCGCGGCATTTCATGATCATGCAGGTCTGAGACTGCTGGGAAGTCCACGCCTGTGTACATCACATCACTGGGTCCGACCGTGGGGGTCATCAGCTGTTGAGACAGCGAGAAAGAAAGCATTTGCACCTGGGGAGATTCCTTGGAAGACATGGCCTGTTCGAGAGAGTCTGAAGTGTTCAAGCTCCAGTCTTTCATATCCTGGGGATTTCCATGGGCTGTATGGAGAGAGCACAAAGACGAAGTGTCTTGGCTTGACAAGTCATCATCCTGGAAAGTTCTTGAGGCCATATTTGGTAATCCTGAAACCATGGAGGTCTGTCTGGACTGAGTGAGAGAAACCCTCTCGGGCTCGTTGCTGGTTCTGGGAGACATTGTGTATAGGTATGTTGTGAGAGTGTCTGTAGAAAACAAAAGCTCATCAAGTCAGTAATCTACACCCCAACTATTTAGAAAGAGCAAAATGAAATGAAATGAAAAAAAAAAAAAAAAGAACAAGGTCCAGTGGTCCAGAGAGTTATAAAGCCTAGGAAATGTTAGCATAGTCGTGGATTGTTGTGTTGATGGTTACGGACGCACCAGAGTCACGTTGTAGAGCAAGCACAGTCCGAGGTCGACGAGTCAGGATCCTGGGTATATATGGTGACAAGCGGGATAGATTCCAGGAGCGGCTGTGGTGCCAGCCTATCGCTATAGAGGTGGGTCATCTGTCGAGTCAAGTCGAATGTATCATGGCCAGCGATGTACTTTTTAGGATTCATCATCATCCATGGGTAATCCAGAGAGAAGAAAGAGCATTACTTTCTTGGTGATGACCAGCTGAGGCTTGCATGGCCAGGTCCATTCGGTCAGTGGCCAGTACAGTTCCAGAAGCGGCCGCTTCAAATTCCTTTTGAATTGGTGAGCAAAGCATAACAGCTCAAGATTGTCCAGGCAAAATCCATAGTGGCTGTTCGGTAAATAGGCCATGTTCAATATCCACGGAATAGTATTGTTCTGAAGAGGTCCATAAGGGAGTAAATCAATCCAGGGTATATATAGGCCAGTAGTAAAATCCAGGGAAAATCCATCCACTTCAGTCCAGGCTTGGACGAAGGGAAACCAGGTGAAAGGAGAGCAAGATCCAGGGCAAAGTAATCCATCGGAAGTAGGTTTTTTTTTTTTTTTTTTTTTTTTTGAAGAGTGTGCATCATTAACAGCGCTCAGCAAAGAGTCCAGTCACTCAGCGGATGCTAAGAACATATCCACGGCAAAAGAAGCATCATTCTTTTGTTTGTACTGCCAGAGACTGACAAGAACAGAGGCAAAGTACCAGCAGGTCAAGGCTAAGATCCACGGAGTCCAGGGAAGATGGCTGAAGTGTCGAAGTCCGGTCGATAGTACAGGTCCATTGGCAAGAATACTTTGGAAACAAACTTCGCATAGGAGAACTAAAGCAAAAAAAAGTGTAAAGAAACGTGATGGGGACTACCTGTTGTGTGTCGGCAATATGTGCAGACTGAAGAGAAGCCTGGGCAAGAACAAAAAAACAAGCAAAATCCTGTCCGGGGAGTATGTGGCTAGAAATCCTTGGGCAAGAAAAAGAAAACCACGGCAGTGAGTCGAGTATGATGGTTGTCCAAGTTCCAAGGGATTTAGAAGGCGTAGTTGTTGGTATCTGTTGGGGTATATAGAGGGTATAGATGTAGCAAGGCAAGAGATATAGTCGTCCACAAAAGGTATGGTCGAGTAGTAGAGGGGTATCCAGAGTTGGGAAAGGAAGAAGAAGAAAGACGAGAGGAAAGGGGGGGGGATCATCGGGTTTTGAGGACGCCCAAAAAATAACCGTGCTTTTTTTTTCTCAGGAGGGTTGAGGGGGTTGTGGGATTATCCACGACTGTTCAGCATGGCGTGTGCCAGACTCGCAGCATGCAGTTGCTGGCCTGCCTTGTTGGCACCATTGACAGCCAGTCCTGGGGGGGGGACAGGTCAACGAGCGGTGATGGTATTGCGAAACCCGGTTTGTGCGATGGATTACGGCGGATGTGCCCCGAGTGGGGGATATCCCAGAGAGTTCTAGCGGTGAGAGACTAGTTCGGCGTCTCGAGTGCTTGGCGCACGAGCTTCAGCGTCATGATTGGATGTGACTCGACGCTGACGCTGCAGGATGTCCCATTTGAACGATCGGCAGGTGCTCCGTCGCGTGTTGACCGGGATTGAATGGAGGAGGATAGTCCACGTCGGAGGGTTACGGGACAGGATCATACACCGTGAGCACCAGCTTGCGATGAGGGCGCAAGCAGCGCTGCAGGTTACAGCTGTCAAGAGGGGATCGTTGGATGAGAAGCGACGGGGAAGGAGGGAGCAGGGTGATGCGACCAGGGGACCGCGCATGATGCAGCGTTGCGAGCAACAGGTTGAAACAAGGCAGATTGGAATCTTGGTATTATCTAGGATGTCTAATTTGCTACGGACAAACTAACGACGGGACTCCTTTTCTCGAGCGGTCCATTTGCAGACCCATGAACGGAGAATGGAGGAGAGAAAAGAGAATCATCATTCCATGGATCCAGCGTTGCGGGACGGGGCGAACCATCTCGACCCACGTTGGGCATCATTGCATGATTGCAGGATGTTCGGGTGCCCAACCCGCTTAGCTCTGGTTTTGGAGAGCATCTCTGGCGGGCTGTGACTGGCTGGGGAATTCCAAGCGTGCACGGCCACCGAAATAATCCCGAAGATGAGAATATTCGATTTCATATTTCAAATCTGTGGGCATTCGAGTTAGCCACACTATTGAACTCTCTCGCAGACACGAAACAGTTGCAAACAGAAAGGAACACAATGGATATCAGATAAAGGTGAAAGATGGATCAAGTTTTTCGTTCAGCAATCCGAAGATTTCAGGTGAACTATGCTTTTGGTAGATTGGTTCATCATCCAAAGAAAAGAGAAGCACACAAAAAGGGCAAGGCAGTCCAGCGGACTTGAGATGGGGAGGTCCGCGCACCGAACAAAGCACGGGAAACCAAAAAAAGAATGGCTGCTTACCTGCGACATGGAAACCTGTGGACCCGGATGAGGTGGTCAGTTGGGATGAAATGTAACACTCTGAGAGATCATTGTCAGTGGTCGCTAGGCCGGTTGAGACTGTGCATCACATCTCAATGGCAGCGCTGAATGGCTGGTTGAGGGAGAAGGAGGAAAGGAAATTGGAGTTGCAGCAATTTTGTGCGATCAATCACGTGATCTGTTTGCACGTTTTGCATTGCCGTATGGTCCTCAGGCCACCATCGAGTCTCCACTCCGGCACATGCCTCCCATGGTTCTGTGCCCAGCTCAAAATAGCTCAAAATATACTACAACAATACCACTGATGATTTGACAATATCACACTGAGATGACTGGACAGGAGGACAGCTGCGTCGACATTCTGCTCGTCAGGGCATCCTGTCCAAGACTCAGAAGCAGAATTTCGCTAGGTCCCGACAGCAGGCCAACAACCCAGCGCCTCGCCAGCCCTCGACCTTTCGCGGGATTCCAGACCCGGATAACCGTGATGATGATAGGTTGAACAAGGATACAACCTGCAGAGATGGGCAGATGATGGGGGAAGAAGCACAGAACCAGTCAGTCGTACTGTCAACTGCTCACCATCGTTAGCTGCGGCCTGCCCTCTGCACACAATCCCCCCTCGCCCGTCAGATTGATTACTCTCGAGTCGTTGCACTGACCCTCAACCCTTCACGGGCTTCAGCACTACATCCCCGAGGTCTTCTCTATTGGCCGGGTCTATACCCGTTGACAGCACTGGCCGTCTCAAGACCTTGAAGCGCCGCCTCCTTCAAGACCCTGACTGGGCAGCAGTCGCCGCAGCTCGCCCGCTCAAAGTCACATTCACCTCAGCTCGAGAGGCGGAGCACTTTGGGAAGCGACGCAGGTTGACTGAAGAGGATCGAAAGCGTTTGTCAGCTACTCACGGGAATCAAGCGATACTTGCATTTCCCAGGTCCCATTACTGGAGAGATAGGGAAAGTTCCCTAGACAAGATTCAAATCAAAATCACTAGCCAGCCTGCCAGCCAACACTTACAGAACAGCCAATGTCAACAGACACACCCGGGTAGACACGCGAATCATGACTTCCCACAAAGTCCAGATCTACCCGGGCCCAGACTCTCAGCTAATGCACGCTGCAGCGCCCACTCGAGGTCAGACCTCTCTGCCTCGGAAGCCCCTCCTTCTGCTTCGCTCCCAATCCAGCACAAACGGCATTTCACAGTCGAGGACCAAGTACTTGGAGAACAAACTGACCAGGGCCTACGACTACCCTCATCATCACACCAACCTCGGCGAAAGCCCTCTTGTAGTCCCACGGAAACACTACGAGTCTCTCCCACTCTCATCGCTACTGACTCGCTATCCACTAACGGGACTCAAAGCTGGCTTCCACAACCCACCAGACGCACGTTCCCAAGTAGTCCCCTCCTTCAACGTGCGAAAAATGTTCATACTCTCGCGATGGCATCTCGTATGCCCTACCCGAGTCAAAATTCCTCCGATCCATTTGCTCCTCGCGTCCAGGATACGAGCCCTGCGGCGCCTGTGAAGATATTTGGGCAACTTGTTCGGATGTGTAGCATCGATGAGGCTGAACCATTGTGAACAGAGATGTTTGATTTTCAACCCATGTGCCAGTTTTAAAAAGCCCTTCTTTATCACGAAGTTGCTAATCATATACGTTATTACAGAGCCGCTCGAAATCAGCTTCACTTTTTCTTTCTTTTCAAAAGTTTTCTGAACTTTATCTTGCATACAGGGCCGCTCGAAATCAGTTTCACCTCTTTCTTTCATTCGATTCTTTCTCGAACTCTATTCTGAAACACGCTAGTATATTTTTAACTTAGCGTATCGTAAGATCTTGAAAGTACTTTTACTCAAAGTCACATGATTGTTTTCTTCTTGTAATGTACTTGAAATTAAACACGTTCCATTAGGGTGTCGAGGTCTATGATCATTGATAAGAGGCTTTGTTTCCACGGAAACATGTAAGGGCAAAATACGCTGGAGCTGCGTGGCCACCACCCATTATGAAAATAGACAGGAAGCAACGTAACATCTACCTCTGTGGGTATATCAGGAGTAACTGTAAGATTAGGAAGATTTGCTTGGTCAGCTTGATCAGTCACCTGATTGCGGGGTACACTTACTATTTCGTTCGCTGCGAACAAGACTCTGCCTGATTCAAATACTATCATGGCATCGGCGATATCATTTGGCGAGTCAAACTCTGGCTTACAAGCAGGTATCATCGATTGCAATGTCACTACACAGTTCTGTAAGTTGCGACCAAGGACTCGAATGCATCGATGACTGATTCGCGAGACTGCCTTAAGTACAATCGGAAACGTCATTGAATCAAGCGTGTTGCGGGATCTCTAAGAACGACTAGCCCTCACGATGACAAAGACCGTATTGAAAAGATCAACGGAGGGCTGCTCAAAGACTCATATTGCTGGATTATAGGCAACGAGGAGTTCAAACAATGGCAAGACAACCAGAGCAGCCGTCTCTGGATCAGGGGTGATCCAGGCAAAGGAAAGACAATGCTTCTGTGCAGTATCATCGACGAATTGACCCGATTGATCGGGGATAACTCGAATATCTCCTTCTTTTTCTGCAAAGCTACCGACGTGCGAATCAATAATGCCATCGCCGTTCTCCGTGGCTTGATATATTCTCTGGTCGAGAAGCAGCCATCTCTTCTCTCCTATGTACGGAGCCGGTATGACCAAGCGGGAAAGACACTATTTGAGGACATCAACGCACGGAACGCCCTCTCAAAGATCTTCACCGATATCTTGAAAGATCCGGCCTTACGAAATACTTATTTCGTGATCGATGCACTCGACGAATGCACAACAGACCTCCCTTTCCTTCTGGACTTGCTTGTCCAGGAATCATCCGCCCACTCGCGCGTGAAGTGGATTGTTTCGAGCCGTATCTGGCCCGATATCGAAGAGCGTCTGAACATAGCTCCCCGGGCAGCGCCGATTTCATTAGAGCTAAATAAGGCATCTGTATCCGACGCTGTGCGAAAGTTCATTCGTTATAAGGTTCACCAATTAGCAGAAGTCAAAAAGTAATACGATAAAACCCGGGATACTGTTTACCACCACTTGTTATCAAATTCGCTAGGAACTTTCCTCTGGGTAGCCCTGGTATGTCAAGATCTGAACAAATCATCGCGGAGGCATGTCCTTAAAAAGCTTAAGGAGTTCCCTCCTGGACTAGATGCTTTATATGGTCAAATGATTAATCAGGTTCGAAAGTCGGAAGATACTAAGCTCTGCAAGCAAATATTAGCCGTCGCGTCGATAGTGTATCGGCCTATCTCACTTGACGAACTGACCGCTCTAGTTGAAATACCTGCTGATCTCTCTGATGACTATGAAGCTTTACAGGAGATTATTTGAATATATGGCTCATTCCTGACTCTACGTCAGGGCGTTATTGTTTTCGTCTATCAGTCTGCGAAGGAATTCCTACTCGAGAAAGCGCGAATTGATGTTTTTCCTGGAGACAAAGAAGCCAAACATCTTGCAATTTTCTCGCGATCTGTACAGACCATGTTCAAAACACTTCGACGTAATATCTTCGACATTATGCTTGATAGAATTTCGACCGAGGAATTCACACAACTAAGTCCGAATCCTTTGGCAGCTGTAAAGTACGCGTATGTGTATTAGGTTTATCACCTTCAGGAAGGGTGGTATAGTGAAGACAAGGATCACAGCCTTGATAGTGGAGGGTGTGTAGATGGCTTTCTACGGCAAAAGTATCTTCACTGGCTCGAAGGTCTCGGCATTTTGGGAAGCCTATCAGAAGGCATAACCGCTATGCTGAAGCTGGAGGACTTACTCCAGGTAAGTGTTACTTAAATTCCGAAAATATCTCAACTTCTAACCAGGCACCTCATATAGAAAAAGGAAAGTCACAGGCCCTTCTAGCCCGAGTTCAAGACGCGTCTCAATTCATTCAATACTACATACATACAAGCAATCGAAAGCAGCCCCTTCAAGTGTATAGTTCAGGCCATATCTTTATCCCGACTGAAAGTATTACGAGGACCTGTTATCACAAAGAGAAACCAGATTGGATTTTGAACAGCCCAGTGTTAGATAAGAGCTGGAGTTCATGTCTCCAAACCCTTGAGGGGCATAACAACTGGGTTATCTCGATTGCCTGGTCATCAGATGGAAGCCGACTCGCATCAGCATCAGGTGATAGCACCGTCAGGAGCTGGGATCCGGCCACCGGCCAATGCGGGTCTACCCATGATATTCACCCCCCTCACTTCCTCCAATTTGATACAGTACTTCCGGAAATCGGTGTCATACCTACACTCTTTGATTGTTTCTCGAACCCTAATGCCAAGAAAAAGTTAAGCTACTTTTAGCATAGTCAATAGGACCCCTGGTTTGTAGACCTTGTACCGTAAAATACCGGATAATTGTACTTTATGGCCAAGCCCTGTGTATATTACATGTCATATCCATGTACAGCGGCGTTCCAAGAGTATTTGCGGCTAAAGCATTGCGCTGGTGATTTTCTTATATAAACCGCCGCCTGAATAACCTATTCGCCTTCTCCGCTATCGGCACAGCCGGAAACTTTGAGGGCTTCCAGGGTCATTGAACGTCGTACTCGAGGGTCGCATCTACCACAGGATACTAGATTTGGCCGAAAAGGGTCATACTCTAAAGACAAAGCTTGGGAATAGAATATGTACATATCAAAGCTTTTATAGTTGCCCTCTTGGATATTTCCACACTCGGATTGACTAAATAATAATAATAGTAATATACACATTGAACGTGCGTCTCCTCATCACTTTCCGAGCACCAACTCCAGTTGCGCATCTAACTTAGACACCCAATAGTCCAACTTAGGCGCACCCCACATGATGCCCATGATGGACAAGCAAAGAACATCGACCTCTGGTACCTCAACAAACGGAATAATCAGATCTGTCTCATGGCAGCGCACGAACAATGGATCCTTACTTCGGACAAGCCGCATCCAAGTCTCTGCAGACTGCGCATCCCACAGGCCCCGACGCGCTGTGAAGGACACGCCTCCCGAGCAGCTGGTTTGACGGTTTCGCATCATCAGGTACACGCACTGCACATAGTTGCCAATGAGCCAGATCCTGCGCACACTCTCTGCGAGTAACCAGTCGCGCCACTGTTGGCCTGAAGGGTCATTCAAGCTCTTAGTGCCTAAGCCTTGAGAGAATAGCCCGCCGAAGCCAAACGAGGTCTCAAGATAGGCATCTAGGTTAGCTGCTTCCCAAAGCTTGTTGATCCAGCCGTTCAGAGTTAGGATAAGGGCTTCAGCTTGTGCTCGTTGTCGAATATCTCTATCGAATAAGCGGATGAACTGGTATATGAAGAGCGCTTGTACGCGTGCAAGTTGCTCAACCGTCCGGAGAGAGGCAGGACCTCCTACTCCGGATTCTGTGACAAATGATTGCTCATTCAGTAATTTGTTGGCGTTTTCTTCTATAATCCTCATAAGGACTTCTTCATTTTTGTCATTCTTTATCTCGTATAAGGCCACAGCTGCAAAAGCATCCTGCAAACATAGTGGTAGCCTAGATTCGGAGTATAATTGCCTGTGCAGGAACGGACAGTGAGTATCCTGGACCCACTGGGAGAGCCACTTCCTGATAGTCTGAATGAATTGCTTCAAGTCAGACATATGGATGTTAAAATTCTCGTTATGCCGTGCCGAGTCAAGATCATATATAGTCCACGTGTCTGTCTAAAGGAACCAAGCGCTGTTTGCGACTTGGGTGTTATTACTCACGGGACTGCTAGAGTCCAATATGAGAAATTCCTTATTAGTGCCATCTTCACAAGAATAGTTGGAAACTTCTAAATTTCCTGGCACGATTGTCTTTTCTGCCCTCGGATGGTGCAACGAGTTGAGCTGGCTCGGCTCGAAGCCCTCGGTGATTCTTAACGCTCGGACGGCTCGACGCGCATACGGGCGACCTGAGGGGTACTGGCAAGATACGTCCTTTTCTACGCATCGATGACAAGCTGGAAGACGTTTGTCGCATCGGCGCTTTGCGCGAGTACACGGCACGTATGCTTTCCGCCACGTCGGGCTCCACGCGGTAGGTGCCTCGGAATCTATGTGGGTTGAACCCTGCGAAAAGTGTAGCAAGGCGAAACTCTGACGGCTCCTTGTTGATACGCTTGGTACTTAGTACGTACAGCTTGAGTGAAGAAATACAATCACCGTGGATGAGAAATGGTGCAAGTTGAGTCGGATTTGGGCGGGCGGAAAACTGGTGGAACTTTACGGGGCCGACGTTAGAGCCGGCCCCGCTTCGCCACTAGTACTCCGCCTACCGGACCAATCAACACACGGTAGGCTGGTGGATTGTTCGACTGAGTACACGCAAAGTTGCGGGATGGAGGTGTCAACCTTCCGCAGAGCCACATGAACGACCACGTTTAGAATCACGTTATAGGGATTTGTAAGCCTTGGAAATAGTACTATATTCCCGCCTTTGATCGTGGGGCTGCTGCGTGATCTATGCTAGAAGGCAATATATATAATAGTCTTCGGTCTCGGCATGTAGAAAGAACTACAAAGTACTGTCTATCCCACTCGCTTTCTTCACTGCCAACTCTTTCGATATTGAATCTACTATCGCCAAAATGCCCGCTGTCGCCGACAACTTCACTACGGTCACCCACCGTGAGCCCTACGCGTCTATCTCCCCTTCCCGCCCGCAGCTCTCGTAGAAAGGCAAGGTCGTTCTCGTAACTGGAAGCTCTAGTGGTATTGGCTTCGCTATTGCGCGCGCCTTTGGCAAAGCAAGTGCCGCGAAGGTCATCCTGACCGGTCGTAGCTAGGGCCTGCTCGATACTGCCGTCGCCACTCTAAGCAAGGAGTCACCCTAGACTACCTTTATTGCCCGTCTGAACGACGCCTCGGATACTGCTAGTATCGAGGACCTCTGGAAGTAGTTTGATGCCGAGGGTTTGGTCGTCGATGTCGTCGTCCTGAATGTGGCTCGAATGCAGCCTACCGGGTCTATCCTCGAGATAGGGTACAAGGAGGTAGTGGCCGACCTTGCTACAAACGCCAATTCAATCGTAGCCTTTGTCCATCTTTTCTATCATCAGGGTAAGAGAGATGCAAGCAAGAAGTTAGTATGTATTTCAACATGATAGCGCTATCTCTATATAGTCTAAAGAGTGATAATGACTGACCGATTTCTCTTGCACTAAGTCGGTGGTGAATATATCGTCCAGAGCTATTCACGATTTTGGGCTTACAACTAAAACCCCAAATTACTCGGTATCTAAGAGTGCAGGAACAATCTTGGTCCAGCAGATCGCCAAATGCGTATCGCCAGACGACCTGCAAATCGTCAGTTTCCACCCAGGATTGATCTTTACAGGGGCGGCGGAGAAGGCCGGGTACACGCGCACCACGCTCAACTGGGATGATGGTATGTGCAGAACGTGAAACTTTTACGTGGAATATCAGACCTCCGCAAGAGAAGTTACTAGGAGATCGAAGGTCACTTTGCTAACGATATTCTGTTGCAGAGGACCTTCCTGGCCACTATGCCGTGTGGGCCGCATCGGATGAGGCGAAATTCCTGCATGGACGCTTCACCTGGGCAACATGGGATGTTGATGAGATCTCTTCGGGCAAGATTAGAGAGCGTATTGATGGGGACGCCAACTATCTCAAGGTGGGCGTCGTCGGTCTCTAAGCATGTCATTATATGTGGACGTAAGAGATAGGCCCAATACAGATCTTCATGAAGAGTTAAGAAAAGTGCGTTCTACTGAAGTCTAATCAACGGTGGAAAAGCCATGGTGGGTGTGTGACCTTTACATAATGAAGAAATTGTGGGAGTTGCTTTGCCTATTCTTGAAGTGGGCAAACTGTCCATTCTGTGACCGGTGGTCAGTTCAAAGAAATGAAGAAGAGGTTCTATTGATTGCCGTGATACATGGTAGATCAAGTCTGGAGAGCTACGAAAAGACAGGAAGCTACTGGCTATATGTACTGTAGGCGATCGAACATGATCGCTGTCCCCCTACTGTCCTTAGCCATCCATCCTGTATTCCTCCTGACTAGCGGTCTAGTCATCTGTCTCGGCTGGTGGTCTCGTCTGTCTCGGGCTAGTCTGTCGGATAAGCATAGTCCGTTGACGGGAGGACGCGGTCGGTCCCGTACTGTCGTCATGTTGGATATCCGTCTGACCGTCGTCGAGGCTGTCGTGTCTCCTGTATCTCCGTTCGGTCCGTGGCGTCCTGCCAGGTCGTCGGCCCGATCGTCACACACTCTCTCTAAGGCCATCTACACGTACTGTACACGTATCACTGCTCTGTCAATGTGTAATCATCGCTTCACAGAGCACGTAAATGGCATAGAGGTGCAGTACTAGCATCTATAATTGGTAAAAATCACAAATACACCTGTTCAATTACAGTTAAGCCTCCCTGGCCAATAGCTGCTAAAAGTTGTATGTCGGAGGTGGGGTAGGGGTTAACCAGGGATATGCTGGTCGGATTTTGCGAAATAAAACCGACGAAGACAAACGAGTCGTTCTATGGAAGGACACCAATACTGAGTTTCCAAACCGGGTCGTGATCCACAGGAAGGACAGAGGAGAGTAACAATTTCTCTGCTGGGATATCATCGGAGACACAGAGCCTGGCCAAATCGGGCGTATTCTTGGCAGCTATACGGAGTTAACTTATTTTGAAAGGACCTCCCAAGTCGGACTAGGCCGACACTGACAGGATCAACGACAATAGTAAACTTCTTGCCGCTTTTGGTGACGGCATATTTCATAATTCCAGACGTCGTCGTTCATGTGGCTCTGCAGAAGATTAACACCTCCATCCCGCAACTTGCATATACTCAGTCGAACAATTCATCCAGCCTACCGTGTGTTGACTGGTCTGGTGGGCGGAGGACCAGCGGGCCCCCACCGTCGGCCCGAGAAAGTTCCGTCAATTTTCTGCCCGTCCAGTGGCGAAAGGGCTAGTATGAGCGAAAACGTCATGTATAAATTGCCACCTAACAAAGTTACCGGGGTATAAGAGCTTCTGGACGTCATCATTAACCCATGCCATTTTACGGGAAGTAGGTGCATGCAACACAACAACCATGAATATCATCATCGCGGGGGCAACTGGGTTTGTCGGAGGCGAGATAGTGCGCCAAGCTATCGTTAACGACAAGATCAATCATGCATACATCCTTACCCGCAAGCCGATACCGGAGGAGCTTGCTCGAAGCCAAAAGGTGACAATCATCCAGCATGACGATTTCTCACATTATCCTTCGGAGCTTCTATCAAGACTTCAAGAAGCCGAGGGCTGCCTATGGTTAGTTCTCATATCAGCAAATGTCCAATTCGACTTACATTGACCAGAGTGCGCATTTAAGGGCTTTAGGTGGTCGTGCGTCGCAGTTCCCGGACGTTGACACGGCGAGGAAAGTGTCTGTTCAATATACTCTTGCCGCTGCAGAAGCTTTCTCAAGTATCCCAAAGGGCAAAAAATTTAAATTTGTCTTTCTCAGTGGCAGATTTGCTGAATGGGACACAAACAAAAGACTGTTTTTTATGGCAGACACAAGACGCATAAAGGTAGGAAACTTCATCTGAAAAAAAATATTACAGTATTTTCAGAGCTGCGCTTACTCATACCTACGTATAGGGGGAGGTTGAAAAGGGCCTTTGTGAGCTGGCTGATACGAATCCTGGAAAATTGGAAGTCTGGGTAGTACGGCCGTTTGGAATCATCCCGGTTAATGCGGGAGTGATGATGAAGCTACTTGGACACCTATCCAACTTCATTGATGTTGATCTGCTTGCAAACAACATGATACGTATTGTTTCCGAGGGCTACCCCGAACGAATCATTGAAAATGAGACTCTACTGGCCATGTGAAAATAATGCCCACGTTACAGTGGATGGATCGATGGATCGATCATCGCATTTATCCTGATCCCTCGCAATTAGTTGAAACTCTGAATCCAGGTACAGGTGTGATAATCTTCAGAGCTGTCTTGAGGACACATACCGCTATTTGTAGCCAAGGTAGCTGCCTGCATCCTGCAAAGCGCGTTATTCTCAAGAATCCGATCATAGTTAATAGGAGTAACATGCCGCTGGGGAGTCTGTTAACATCCTTGCGTGTTAGGTTATATCAGGAGGGTGTCACGAAGCGTCGAGTAACGAAAGCTGTGGCTGACAGGCTGAGTATTGTGATGAGCAGGGTCATAAGTAGTCTGGAGGTAATCAGTCACCGTTGCGCTGTTAGCCCCCAGACCATCAGTTGGATACGGGAGTGGTAAAGGGAAGTGACTGACACTGCCAGATTCTAGCCAGACCGGCTCAACGATCTCTATGGGCATACGTGGGATCTCGGGCACATGTTCTAAGGCCCTGCTCACTTCTTTGTGTTTGACTTGTTTGCATTTTCATGGAAAATCCTAGCAAAGATTGATATCCCATACAGTTTCGAGACATGACATCATACGATAATCAGAGTAAGATACTGTATGGACAATGTTACAGTACAGGAACATTTATTCCGGGTTTCTTCTTAATATACTATAGTGGATCTTGGCATTAGGGTTCGAGAAATCACCGAGGAGTGTAGGTACAAACAAACCAAACATGTCAAGAAGAAGGGGCAGTTGGTTGTTTGGCCACCTTTGCAACTCAGATTCCCACCTCCGGTCAAATGCTCTCATTCCACAGACAGAACTTGTTGAATGAGCGAAAAGTAGTGCATAAGTAAAAAGTATTATCTGGTGGGGTGTTTCTTAACAACTTGGTTATTATCGATTCTTCACGATGCTAGATTTCTTGCTGATTCCACCGCCTGTTGAAACTAAGAGCCTTGTGTGCTAACGTTGCCTTCATCGGGAGAGCGCTGACCATGTTCAACGACACATTTGCCGACCGTCTAGATTCTCAGGCTCGTACGCCCGATGTTTCGAACCAGGATTGGCAATACGCACCCACTCCAGGATACTATGATCACACACCACCCTCAGGTTATGGATTCAGCCCTTCGCCGGATTACTACACTTTTGTATTCATACCCTAGATAGGGGATTGAGTTCTGAGAGCGCGAGGAATATAACACGATCTGATGAACAACCGATCGCCACTGTTATTTGAGATATAGCAAATAAAGAGGGTCTGGATGGTCGATACTCTGCTGGCAATTACAACAGGTTAAATCCGTTATAGGTTATCCTGGAAGAGTCCTCACTTAAGCCATACCCATATGTTCCTGGCAAGGTCGAATGGTGGGTCCTAGACGTAACAGGGTCAGCGGATCCTAAAGAGTAGTTTCTAGAACGAATAATTCATCCAAGACAATACAGGGCTATTTTTATACGGTTATTTAAAGTAGTATTAGATTACAGCCAAGTACGGAGTAAGGGGTAGCCTAACTAGAATAGGCATAGTATGATGCAAGATAAAGTTCAAAAACAAAATAAAGAGAAAGAAACAGGTGAAGCTAATTTCGAGCACCCCTGTAACATTATACCCGTTCTAGTTAGGCTGCCCCTAGCCCGGGTTTCGAGGGTAAACCAGAACAACTGTAAATAAACGCTTAAAGATAGTCATTGTAATGTCCTGTATGGGCGATTCGTTGTCTACATAGAACAGACTCCTTGAAAACAAGCCAAACAGCGCAGTCGGTTGTCTGGCCACCCTGCAGCTCGCATTCATACCTTGACTCAACTCCCTCCCAACGGCAGGAGAGCAGACGAAAAGTACACAGATGAACAAGTAAAGGGAGAGAAAAAATACGGTAGGGTGTTTATTCAAAATGCGTTACCATCGGCTTTACATCAATTTACAGCTCTTCGATTACACCACACCGCCGTTGAACGTGAAGACCAAACTACCCTAACATTGAAGCGTTCAGGAACTGTTCACTATGATCAACGATTTTCTTACCCTGCTAATTCCCAAGCTTACCCGCCCAACGTTTCGGGCCCGCATTCGCGATACACCTCCACTTTAGAATTTTACGACGACACAACCCTTAATTCATGGGTTCAGCCCTTCACTAGATTATTACCTCCAGAGCGGCCCCGTAGCCCCGACCCCCCCCGAGCAAGACGCACCAAGGCTTCTTCAACTCTGTTAGTGGGAAGTAAGAAGTTAGTCAGATGACGAGCTTTCACCGAGCTGCATCCGATATACAATAGGAGTAGAAAGTCAAAGTGAACAATCATTTCAGGGGGAGGACACAATCAAGAATGCGGCCCCGGCTATAAGTGCTTATTGGCAGTAGTAGGCAGAACAGCTGATAAGGCAGTCTTCCTTCTATCTATATATTGAGAGGAGGGGCAAGCTGATACATTATAACATCGTGTTGTGTGCAGCTCAAACACTCCAGTGCCACTTCATCCCCAACCTTTGGAAATAGCTAAATAATGAACCTTTGGGTATATATCCCGCATATTCGCTCTGCCAACCGGCCGCGAATGATCCTTCAATGGGCCCCAGCTCACCAAATCCCAAAATCTCAAGCGCCCATGGCATGAGGATAGCCAGTATTCCCAGTGCGATCAGTGTCGCATAGACGGGATTGTTTTCGGCAAATCCAATCGCGGCATCTTTAGCTTGCGCAAGCGCATGAGACGAAGCCTTTGCCATTTGGGTTCCGGTTTTGATGGCGCTCTCGAGGCCGTGAAGGAGAGCAGTTGCTATGGCTTCAGACCAACTCTCGGTAGACATTCGCTCCTTGAATTGTTTATGTAGATTGTATGGTGTATCGGCTGTCAATATTATGTTGAGTATATCGGAGGCAATGGACGCGGGGCCTCGAGGGTCGGTAGGAGGGGTAAGGGGAGGATCGGCGGCGAGCGTGCCAGAGATGCATTCGAGGATGTACTGGAGGAGCATTTTTCCGAATATGATGCTGCTTGTGTACTATATGTATTCCAGAGAGCACTGGAGAGATTATAATCGCTATATGACTTTATCGATGGATCTTTCGTGTCATCGTCCCCAGCCAGGAACCCAGGAACCTTTTATAAGGTCGAAAATAGGAGAATGCATCTCAGCCATGGGGCGTTTTGGTCATCCCTTGTCTAAGGCAGGGAGATCATACTGTAAGGGACGAAAGAATAACTAGCTCGTGATTATACTCGCGGCCCCCTTGCACGCTGCTTAAAGAATATTTAGGAATATTGGTAATATTCAGGCGAGGGATCCTGTCATCGTAAAAGTCAGTCATTATGTGGGTAGATTTCTATACTTGGAATGAATCAGTGATAGTTCTCGACGATGACGCCGGCATGCCGGAAATCGCCGATTGTAATCTCCTTCCGAGGCCCTATAGACTTAGGGATTTATTAACGGCACGTCATTCAAATTTATTGCACGACAAGCTAAACTTAATTCGGGGAACACTTTGACCCACCCATCAAAAGTAACATTCGGCTCCTGCATAAACACTGCCAAGTCCTTATGTATGCATATTCCTATACATAAGCGCTTCTTGCGGTTACCCTCGATACCAGCGGTGACTTAAGCACGTGACCTTCATATACAAAGGGTTAATAATAAGAGTTGGATACGACACTAGACTAATTAAATCAAATACAAGCTTTCAAATAATGATAGATATTCATTACTCTAACTCAAGTTAAACAGACCCTATCAATCTAAACAAACGTGAGAGTAAACACAGTAGATAGTGACATCACAGTGAATCTCCAGAAAAGGCATATTGACAACACCCTTTTCTCAATTCCAACATCATATCCTTTCAGCCAGCTCTGACCTATGTCATCCAATCACTCATCCAGCTCGAACATAGACCCGTCCCAGTTGAAAATTCGGGTCAATCGCTTGCCCATAACCCGTACAAGACGAAGAGGTTGCGCGTTCTTGGGGTGTGGATCATGGAAGGTCACAGCGTGACCTCCCAGGTTGGCCGGGGGTGTGAATACCCACATCGATCCCCAATTCTTCTCGATCGAGAAGCCCAATCTTCCCATGGCCTGAACCAGTTTTCTCCACGAGAGCTCTTTCACTGGCTCTTCTTCTGGGATGCGAAACAACGCACTGAAGACTTCGAAGTCTTCCTTTTTGACTAGGAACTTAACTTGTTCAGGTGCGGGAGCTGCCTGCCGTGCCGCTCCCTGTTTCTCTGATACGGCTCTGGATGGATCAGCTGTACCGCGAGTTTTCTCCTTTTTGGGCTTTCTTGCTGAAGGTCCTGGTCTCGGCTTTGTTGCTATTTCTGTCGTGTCCCATGAACGTTCAGATACATGGGTTGCTGGTGCTGGCTCTGGCGCTACAGCAACCCAGTTGGCGCGCGCAAGCGTTCCTGGTGAAGGGGCTCGCAAAGATCCCTTTGCAGAACTTGGAACTTGATCAACCACTGGCTGCACAATCGAATCAACTTTCTCCCAAAACTTGTCCAACAATTTTTCGGATGTCTGCCTTCTAACCGTGTACTCCCGAGAAGGCTGGCCACCAGGCCAGATAATTGAGAGCTGTTCTTGGTAAAAGTGCCCGCTGAATGGATTCCAATCTTCGCTCATGAGATCGGCCTGGAGTTGTGTGCGGAGTCTTGTGAGTGCCTGCGCAGGGTGGCCAACTTCTTGGACCCTCTTGCCCGCGGTAGACATAAAGGCTGTCGCCCAAGGGTGGAATAGAGATATTCGGTTCCAACAGTCTGCAAGCAGCAATATGTCTGATATTTGTTCCATGCAAAATGATGTTAGGTACTTGGCTTTCGCAGGGTTGTTCTCCATGTAACGCGCCATTTCCTCTGCAAGGATTGGAGTCATTTGATAGTGACGTAGGTGCGGATGCAGTATTCTCCCAACAAGATACTGCAGCAATTCTCTGCAGTCGGCATTCGACGGATGGGCGAGTTGATCTGCCTCCCTGAACAGGGGCTGTTGGGTATCGGCACCAAGGTGCACCCGGAATTTGTGTCTCAACTTTGGGCAAGTCGGCACAAGAGTAAACAAATTTACACTGGCTTCACAAATTGAATCGACAAGCTTGAGCCACAACTCAGAGAATCCAATCTCGAGAGGTTTCGGCAGGTCCTTCGTGGTGTCAATTGCAGCCTGTTGCTCTTCAAGTAGATCTCGTAGCTTCACGATACTGTCGTGAAGATCATTCCAAAAGACAACCCCGAAAAAAGCGTCTGGGATCAATGACTGAAGAACGGAATTCCAAAACTCGGGAGTCTTCAATCTGGGATTGGCTTTGAGGTCGCTTTGTTTTTCAAGGCGTTGTTCCTCACTGCCCAGAAGCTGCTCCGGCCGGTGGAGCGCGTATTCTGCTAACTTGGCCGCAAAATGCCCCGGGTCCTCTCTGAGCAGCCAAACTTCATGTTCAGCAAAGGACTTTCTTGCTTGCAGCATGTTGACAAGCTGGTTCAGTTCCAAACTTCCAGGCCGCGAATATGGCCCGAGAGCAATTCTCTCGGCCACGCTGGTCCCCAATGGTGCTTGCAATTCCCCAGTGGCACCGGATTGGGACGCTTGGATAGGTGTGCCGACCTTTTCAACAAGTTTGGCACTAGACTTACCCAACGCTCCTGGGTTCTGAGGCAGAATTGCCAAGCAGCAGTCTGCTAGAAACTTATAGACGCGCGCCTGGACTTCCAAAGTCATGAGCCCCTCGTGCACACTCAGTGCTCGTTGCGTATCGATGAGCCAAGTGGCTCTATCTCCATCTGTCGATAGAATGATTTCTCCATAGCCACGGTAAGATTCTTTCTTTGTAAACAGCATTCCAGCGTCAGCCACATATGCCACCTTGAGTACGTTTGCATGGACCCCAATCTTCCACGACTCTTTGTCGATATAGAAGAATGCCGATGGTCCAAATTGGACTCGGTTCCTCAGAAAATCGAGAAAAGTATCCTTCCTGCGCAGATCTTCCAGATTCATGTTGGGCCATTTACAACTTTGTTCTGTTGGGCGTTTCCCGTCCAGCATGTCCTTCAATGCCAAATTGTGTTCTGAACTGATATCCGGCCAAGCCCCCCGGAAAATCTTGTCGCGCTGTTTGCCATTCTTTTGTTCCAGGAATACGTGATAAACTCCTCATTCTGATGCATCAGCTCACACAGAGTGGCATAACTTGTCATGATTTGCTTCGATAATTCAAGGCGTTCATCCTCGGCTTGCTTCAAAGTTGGAAAGGATCCGGGTCTGATTCGGATGTTTGCGATCTTCTCGACGAGTGGTGCAAAATTTCCACGCTTCACAAGGTCCATGAAAAGATCTTCAGTGTGTTCCAGTTCGTATTCAAGTGGGTCGCGAAGGTGCAGTCCGGTGTCGTGGAAAATGGTGACCATTGAATTCATAGCATCGCGTAGCCATGGCCACATCCTTTTTAACAAAGGGCAATGTTCGTCCCTCGGGGACCCCATGATGTGAGCCAATCTGGGTATCCAGGCCATTGCCACCGTTCGAGGGAACTGACATAGTGGATCTTCGATGGCATGTGTCCATTGACCCGCCGCCTTTGCCGCAGTTGGCTTCATCTGTTTCAAAGTAGCATCCCAGAGGGCGTCCTTCGCGACTGAACAAGTCCGGCGTCATCATTTCCGCTAGGCCTCTGAAGACCCATTCGGGGCCAAGGTCGCTCATCTCGTTGAGATGCTTTGAGGTTTCGGTGGTCAGTCTATTACGAGAGCAAGGCTTCGGGGGAGAGAAGAGAGCGGACCTGGAGATCATTCACAAAATATGAGAGGATTACTCGTAGGTGGACGGTCTTGAGAAGTTCCGACTGTGGGTGACGCGAAGGTTTGCAAGATTTGTGTAAGATCACAACAATCTATGGCGAGGCCAAACTTGGCTTTGTTATGATGAGTCCGGAAGAAATCCAGCAGGGGCAGGGGGGGGGGGGGGGGGGTCTCCAATCTGCTGCTTGACACAGCTCTTGTATGAGGTACTTTTTTTCCAGCCCAATCAGTCTTGCTCGGTATCATTCGAGAACTCAATGACTCCAGCCAGCCAGCTATAAGGCCTCCGAGAGTGTAGTTAAAAGAGGGTTCTAGCTACATGGGCGGTCGATCTTCACGACTCCTATATCAGGGTTTCTATGAGCCACAGAGCTATAAAGTTATTGGGAATTTTATTGGCTTGATTTACGCTGGGAGCTACACGAAATTTGATCATTTCCTTGGCCCCATAAGTGCACCACTACCACCCCCTACAACACCACCAAAAAGTATGGTGAGTGTCCTGACCGTAACCTGATGCTTCAGCCACAGTGTTCGAAGTAGGTAGCTCGACCGCCGAGGTTCTCCTTTGAAAGTGTCCGTTTCTCACGTTGGTAAGCTCCAGTACGTCACTATCATCAAGATTCCTCCTCTGTAGTACTCGAGACGCCTGTACGCCGGACTCGGTATTCTGAGCTTCTATCGGTGGCTATCAGATCACATGTGGCGGAATATTAGATGGAGTGGCTTGCTTGGATCATTGATTCAATAGGGTATGAAGTCGACAAATTCTACATCACCACCGTCGGCACCGCTCTCTTTGGATAAATCGATAGGCCCCCGTAGAATATCTCTTGACCTATCCAAATTTTCCCATCGATTTTCCAACAGTGCAACTGCCCTCAGTATATTCCTGATGCGGAGTTGAGAGTATAGCTCCAAGAGGAGATACCTCACCAGGTCCCTGTCTTGACCTACAGCTTCACATCTGCGAAACACAAGATTTGTCAGTCCGGATGAGGGCATGGGAGTTATTCAATAAGTACTCACCCAGCTGTGTATATCGGCGTAGTGAGTAGGATCCACGGGGAGAGTTTTGTGACTGGAAGTATAGCACTCACGGTGTCCAAAATCTCCCTCACACATCGCTGGACCTCGTTGGAGAAGGTAGGTAAATTCTGAACACGTCTGTAGAGATGTATCAGACTGGCATTCTGGTACGACGTGTTGCAAGCACCAAATTGTCGAATGGTATCCATGTCGAGCGAGAGATGGCCAGGAGTTTTCAATCCCATCGTCCTGTCCCGATGGATCATATCTTGGATGACTTGTTCGAGATGACGGGCTTTGTCGCCCTTCTCCCCGCTGGTGCAATATTCAAGGCTTGATTGGTGGGCATACTCCGCAGCTTCCTGGTTTTGAGCCAATAATCCAATTTGCATCAGAGCAGGATTGAGATCCGACGAGTATCCCGTATAAGTGTCGAAGAAATATTCATTCTCCATGACTTGCTTTGCCGTTTGTTCTGATGCTAATTCTGATAACCCCCCTATATCGGTAACTGCCGTCAGGGCTTGGATGGACAGGAACCATCTCGACCAAAGCCAGAAACTGTATTCAGAACGATCCAAATCTCGCCTTGACGCTATTTCCGCAAATATAGCGCCAGCTCCGTTGACATGAACACGCCATGACGAGTTCGCTCGCCCTGAATAGATCTCGCAATGGCAGAGAGTCCTGATTGTGTGGAGGAGCGGCTGAGTCGGATACTTTGGGACCTCGAGATCACGGCGAAGACAACGTATACTGGCGGAGATCAAGTGCGATATGAGATCCTCAGGGATATATTGGTCAGGAAGAGCATTTGTGAGGGTAGATCGGTGAAGCGCGGAAAAAGCCATTGTCGCATAAAGTAAAGAGTCGGATTGGTGAACCATAGGAAGAATATCGCGACAAATTTGATCTCGAATGTATGCATGACTGGATATCATTGACGCTTCGGTGATGAAGTGGTAAAGAAGAAGCCTTGCTGTTGAAGAGAGCGCAGGGCGTGGTTGTTGGCAGGATAGGGTCACTGCACGAGATGCATTGGGCTCATACTCCTTGGGGCCAGTAGATATAGAGCTAGGTGTCTCTGGACCCGTGCTCTCATAAGTCGGACTGGAGACTTTGTATTTCTCGCGTGATGATTTGCTTTCTCTGGGCACGCGGCCGTTCCACTTTAGAATGACTTTGTATTCGCAGGCAGCTCCAGCTTTCGAACATCGACCACAAGTCGGCTTTCGCTCGTCGCACTTTTGCCGGCGCCTCTTGCACCGTGCGCAGCCATGACAGGAACGTTTTGCAGCTGAATTCATCAGTGTCGCGTCAGAATAGAGCTAGCGCTCCAGTATCAAATGTCTGTACCCCGCACTGGTGGGCGGCTTCGTTTCTCCAAATAATGAACGGCTAGCGGGGTTGGCGGGATGCGTTGAGTAGGAGTATGAGAGAAATGGGTGAGTAATTGCAAGCTAGCAGAGATATAGAAACTTGGACACCTGATAGACTGATCTGTGTCTCCCGTGCTAAGCACCGATGCAGCGATAACCGATTATCGGCGTCCCTGCATCTCCTCGACTTGCTATATTGGGAATAGTGTTATCGCCCTCGTGTGGAGTCATACATCGACTCCAGTCTGCTGGCCTTGTGGGGATTCACCAGGTCTCAAGCACAGTACTACATGGAAAGAGCCCAGTAGATCGTGAGCCTGGGCTTTTAATGATAAATAACGAGAGTATGGAAACAGTTCAAGTTCCTATCAAATCCCAATTCATTCGATGTTCTGCAAAATCGAGATGACGTGGCATCACGTGTTGATAAACCTTCCCCAGATCCCATCGACGACAAGTGCCAACCCTCCTCCATCCGCAATGACATCCAAAGCTCAAGCACCGCCATGATGCAAATCATCACAATATTGGCGACCCTCGCCGCAGTGGCTCTTTCCGCTGCTGTCAATTCTCGTCCAATCCTCGATGACGACAACACAACCCAGCTCCCACTAATCATCTGGCACGGCCTAGGTGATGACTTCGAGCGCGACGGCATGAAAGAACTAGCCTTCCTGGCAGACACAGTCAACCCGGGTACACACGTACACATCATCAGACTAGCAGACACAGGCAACGGTGATCGCCAAGCTACCTTCTTCGGCAATGTCACCGAGCAAATCGAACTCGTATGCGAACAACTTGCCGCCGATCCAATCCTCAGCTCCGCACCCGCGGTCAACGCCCTCGGGTTCTCGCAGGGCGGACAATTCCTCCGCGGATACATCGAGCGCTGCAATAACCCGCCCGTCCGCAACCTCGTCACCTTCGGCAGCCAACACAATGGGATCTCCGAGTTCCAATCCTGCTCAATCGGCGACTGGCTCTGTAACGGCGCCGAGGCGCTGTTGCGCTCTGGTCGCTGGACAAACTTCGCGCAGTCCCACGTCGTACCGGCACAGTACTTCCGCGATCCCACCGAGTTAGACGCGTATCTCGAGAACAGCAATTTTCTCGCTGATATCAACAACGAGCGCAAGGTCAAGAATGCCACGTACAAGAAACATCTGCAATCGCTGAATCTGTTTGCTATGTACATATTCGACGAGGATACCGTTACTATTCCAAAGGAGAGCGCGCTGTTCGCCGAAGTCAATGCTACAGATGGGACGGTGACTCCGTTGCAGGAGAGACGGATTTACAAGGAAGACTGGCTTGGTCTGAAGAAATTGGATGACCAGGGGAAATTGCATTTCAAGTCTGCGCCTGGACAGCATATGCAGTTGACGAAGAAATTGTTGAAGAAGACCTTAAAGGAGTATTTTGGTCCTGTGCAGGACGAGGATAATGCTTCGCTTCCGCGACTCGTTGCTCAGCCGGGCTACTGAAAAGTGGTTTATTCCAGTGGTCTTTTATGATATTGCATTGTATTTTTTATAAGCGAGAGGCTTCTACCGCAGGTGCTGATTGACACTATCATTGTCTTCTTTTGTATTCTCAAGCATCTCCTAATTTATCACCACACAAAAGTGTATTTACTATCTCATCAGTCGGCTCCATGAATATGAGGACTTTTAACTACAATTCATGATGCAGGTCTCTTCCGGGCCTGGAAAAGCATCGTACTGAAATGGTGTATACCATATGGCGACATTTCGCTCTAGCGCCATCTATTTTGCATTGGCGAATATAATAGCTAGATACAGCACCCAAACACTAAACGTAAAGCAAATGGGTGGCCAAATGATACAAGAAAAGCATATGCAAAAGAAATAAGATACGAAGAGCAGAAGATCAAGTAGCGCAGCAAAGACTGGCAAAAAAGGAGAATTGGGGGAAGAAGTGATGGGCAGATATACCAAGCCCAACTAGTCTTTTTCTGGTTAGAGCAACCTTAGCACCGCAGGCTCGGGAGACGTGTGATGCACATGATGAAAAGAAACGAAGCGAAGAGTTCACGCAACGGGAAGGCGGCTCGAAGAAAATACAAACATGTACAGAGCAGGCAAAGGGAAAAGAAACGGATGAAGACGAGGACACGGGCAAACTCTGTACTTCCCGGAACCAACTGTACAAGGGTGCGCAGGGTAATGAATGGAAAAATGAGAATTAGTATGGGGGTCGGCCGAGACCACCACCGCTGACTTGGCGCCGGCTCGAATAACTTTCGGTGAGAGAGTTCTTCGATGCCGGGACCGCGGTGGATGGGCGGTCACCATTGGTGACGATGCCGTCCTCGGGGGAGAGGAACCCATCGAGAAGTTTCCTCAGTTGATCTCGTTGGGCATTATCAAGAGGAGAGTCAGACTCGTTGGGCCCGGCGCTGTAGAACCCATCAGAATATCCGTAAGAGAGGTTATTGCTCGAACGACTCTTATTGCGGTTCAGTGCCTTCCCATTCCGACGGGCCTGGGATGACTCCGACTTCGAGGCGCTCTTCATCGCCTGTCGAGAGTTACCCGGTGCCGTATATGGACGATCGGACACCAAGGACCTCTGCGAGTCGTTGGGGAAGCCACCAGGAATGGCCAATCCAGCGGGAATCGGAGGGACCGGGGGGATTTCTTGGGAATTTGTTCGGCTCATCGTTGAATCCTGACCTTGATCCGTCGATGGCTTGTCTTCCGAAAGAGCGACGGCCGACGCATTTGCGCGAGGGGTCTCAGCTCCGCCATCTTCGGGCGTCCGTTGACCTTCACCTTCCAGAGTCGAGATGGCATCCGGCTCCATCTCCGAGACAGAATAGGCACCGCTGACCATGCTCTCGCTTCCAGAAGAAATGACACTGATATTCGAAGGATCAACTTGGCCGCGTAGAGGGCTACGTCGCCGAAGATGAGACTCGGTGTTGACGGAGAGCGCACGGCGCAACTCGGTGACACGGACAGGGGATCCTCTGCCCGAGCTCGGCTCCGGAGTATACGAGATATCTGGAACACTCACGGGGCGGTTTTTATCAGTGGCTGAACCAACGGGCGAGCCATTCGTTATGCCGTTGAAGTGACTGTTGCGAGTCATAGTGCCACCACGAGAACCGGTGAGGGAAGCAGTTCTGATGCTTTCTTTCTCAATTGCAGCCAAGCACAACTCACGAGACCAAGAGGACAGCATCTGTTCCTTGACGGGGGATGGGAGTCCATTCTCTTGCCGCGATTGCTTTGATGCTTGGGTATGATTCAAGACCGGGAAGTTGAATCCACGAGCCGGGGAGGTTGGCGGACTCTGCGGAGGGGATGAGATTGTCTGGCGGTACGCTTCATCGATATCATTCACCAGACCGTCAACGTTTCGGAAGGGTGTGAGCGTGATTGACTGAGTGGAGTCATCCTCCATGACCTTCTCATCCAAAGCAATGCCATCAAGGCCAGTTGGGGGCAACTTGATCCTAGAGAACCACTGTCCCTTGCTCTGCCGCTTTTCAATCTCGTTGCGAATCTCCAGTCCAGGGTGGGTGGATTCGAGGTTAAACTTTTCTGCAAGAGCCAAAAGATACCCATGGACCAAGCTTCCAACATTGACGCGAGCGGCAGAGGATCCTAAGTCGACCGACGTGAACAAATCGTCTTGCAACTTCAAGACCATGGGGAGCCCAAACTGAGCCGCATTCACACCGAGATTTTCTACTAGACTTGCCAAAAGAAGGTGCAGAACAAGCACTTCGGATCCCACTCCGGGTCTGTCGAGCACAGCATCATAGATATCCAAGTGCAGCAGGCGAAGGAAATTGGTCTGCGCGGCTAGAACCGCCTTCTCTCTCTGATTTCCGGGGGCCGAGGTACTCCGTCGACTGGAAGTCTTATCCAACGCTTCTGAATCGCGTTTTGATGCGGGCTTCACGTATTTGGGGGTATCCAGTCGGACCTTGAGGTCTTGCTTATTCGTCTCCAGTTGCAACCAGGACAAGAAAGCGTCAGCGTAAGCGTGACGAACTTCCTGATCGGAATCCCGAAGGAGGCCCTGTGTCCCTTCCCAGACGTGAATGCCAACCTGGTTTCTCGATTCCGAACCCTTGATAGACGCTGGCGCTCTGAGATTAGCCACAATGAGGATAGCCTTGACGGCTTTGAGAGCAGTCAACTTGGCAGCTGCGTGAAAAAAGGTCTCGCCTGGAGCCTTCTCTCCATTGGTCTGTTCAGCCTCAGTGTTCTGCGGGGCCATCGAGACTGCTCGAGTCTCGTGAACCGTGGCCAAGGAAGATTGTGCAGCACTCTCGTGGTTGGGGGCGGGCTTGAAACGATGAAGGATCGCACGCATCATGTCTGCAACTTGATCGCCATAATAGTTGTGAGTCGCTAGGTTTCCAATGCACTGCTCCAGAAGGGAAAGAAGAGCACGTCTCCGGGGAGAGATGAATACTGCGCTATTGGCAATTTGATCCGCACTCTTTTCAGCATCACCGTCGATTCTGTCCGTAGGCGATAAGAGGTCCGAAATGTACCGCATGAGCCCGAGCAAGATATCCATCACGCTTAGGCCGATCATGTTGACCGGGGATTTCAACAGCCAATCCACCACAGAGAGAATAACGAATGATGACTCCAACGCATCTTCCTTGGGGGGTGTCTCGTGCAAGATATCCATGGCCATCATTAGAATCACGAACCGGACCTGCACCGGGCACCAAGTCGCGATGAGCTCGATCAGAGAAGTCGCCCAATTTCCATCTTGCTGGCTCATTCCGCTGGACTGATCACGAGTCGCGGTGCGCGGGAACCGTTTGTTGGCGATGAATCGCAGGATAACAGTCGCTGCGATGCGGATTTGGCCGCGATTGCTTCCCGATACGATGATCTGCTCCAGACAACGGAGAGCCAAGAGTCGCGCATCCATCTCGGCTTGTCGGTCCGCGTCGGCTGTCGACTGCGCGGCCAATTCAGGGTCGCCCTCCGCAGTGTCAACAGTGTTTACCGTTGCAACGCTCGACCGTCGCAGCAGCCGGGCTGCATCCCGATCGCCATCATCCGTCTCACGAAGCTTTGCCTTCAATGGGATGAGAACGTCTTCGTTCGGGGAGTACAGGTTCTCAAGAATGACTGGGAGGATGATGTTGAGGGAGGTCCCCCCATCCGCGGCCAAACTCTCGGAACTGACAACAGCCTTGATCGCGCGAAGTCCGGCATTTCTCCATCGAATGGCGAGCGGAGGGCTGAGTTTGGCTGACGAGTAGGACTGGGAGGATGGGTCGGCGAAGCTGGCGTAGGTTCGAATGACTTCGCGGTACTTCTTGGCGAGACCTTGTTCTGCCGAGATGATTGCAATGTCCTGGTGGTAGCAGAATGTCTCAAAGGTCGCGATCGAATCTTCCACCATAGAGATGTCGTTGGATCGCAAAACGGTGTCGATGACGGATAGGACGTAGCGGGCGTAGATGGGCAACTCGCGAGGAACTTTCTCGATGAGCGCGGTCAGAATATGAAGCGCAACCTGAACATTTCTATGGCGAGACGGACTGTGTTAGCCTTGCTCATTGCCTCTTTCGCTCACCAGTTTCTTTCTCTGCGTCTGTCATTCTGTCCTCGCTTCACTTACCCCAACCGGCGCCTCCAGACATCTTTGGCCACCCTCTTCTCCAGGAAAGCGCCGACCTTTGTCAGCTTGCTGCGACGCGTGCTGGCATAATATAGCAGGTATGAGAGTTCACTCGGGTTCGGCTTGACCTCCGGCACGCCCTTTTGGTATTTAGGAAAGCATTTGAGCGTCAAGACCTGGTGCCGCGGGCGACAAGACTGGCGTACGGACTCCATAGGGGACAGAGTTGGGCACCCCCGGAGGGAGGTCCGCAAAGGAGCGCGTGGGCAGGTTGAGCAATGGAGGCCAGACTAAGGTGAATAGAGGGTGAGAGTATCGGTCAGGATCGTGAAAGGGCCATGGGGGAGGGTGAAGCTGGCAATGGGCGGACGATTCGGGGGCCAACGTAGGCAATCAGAGGACGGGAACGGGGGCAGGCTGATGAGGTAGTTGGCGGCCGATCACCAGGGGGTGGGGCTCATCCGAAGTACCTGGATGTCAAAGGTATATGACGGAAATAAGACCACTAGTGGACAACAGAAAAAAGAATGGCTAATCTCCAAAGGTGTTTCTGAGGAGAAACTGAGGAAGACCCTTTTTTTGGGGTGTGTGGAGGGCGGAAAATAAAAAAGAAAGAAGGTTTGGGGAGGGGAGCTCGGAGCGGACGCAGACGGTGACGGCGTTGAACGATTCCTTTTCTTTACTTTTTACTGCATTTGACCCTACAGGGGAGAAACTCTCCGCTAGGCTAGAAAATAAGACGTGGGAACCAGCGTGTCATTGGTCTTTTTAGTGTTGGTCAATTGCCTCGGGGACTGGCCACATGGTGGACGCATGCGGCGGGATCGCATTCCAGCTGTTTCTCCATCACCAAGGTATCGAACCCTGTGCCAGTTTCCCAACAAAGACGCTTGGTCCTTTATGACCCCGCAAGCCCTGTCGCAGGGGCGAACCACTGCATGGATATTGTCGAGTCTAATGCGGGATCCGGGGGGTTCCCTGGGCTCGAGCCAGTGTCTGGTTCCTGTCCTGTTGCGGTTCGATCGACAAACCTCCTCCCAGCCGATCGGCCTGATGCCTCGGTCGCACATGAAGTCATGTCTCCCCGCCATGAACCCTATGAGCTTGTTGAAGTTGAATTACCGAATTGAGTGACGGAATTTCGCTGGTCGTTCGGTCCAGAGTGGTGTAGATCTCTACAGCAAAGTGTCCGTGGAGGCTATCCTGTCGAATGGCACTACCGGAGGATGGAGATGCGCTCGAGAAAGTAAAACGTTCCCACACGACCAGTGATCACGTCTGAGTCCCGTTCGCTTCTTCCAGCTTCTCGTCGGATTCGACACCGTTGGGCTGGTTATCGGCAGGCAAGTTCCCAGCCAAGCTCTCAATGACGTGAGGCAGGATGATGTCGCGGCGGAACTGGTCTTCCTGAAGCAGTCGCAGGGCGCGTAAGGTCGGGCCAGGATGAGTGAGGAACTGGGCGTATTCCGGAGTCTTCCAGTAGGAGTAGAGGTAGGTTAGATAAGCTGCGAAGGCCTGGGCATCGGGCGCCGAGGTAGTTTCGTCCTCATCGTCGGCTTGGGCGACTCCCAAGAGGTTTGGATAGGTGACGGCAAGGTAGGACAGATAGTAGGGATTGGCAAGGGAGGAGACAAACTCCAGCTCGAGGGTGAAGCGAAGGTTTGTTGGCGTGGGGGGAGGGGGTTGCGACGCAGGCTCCATGGTGAAAGTTGACAGAGGAGAAGTGGAAAGGAAGGAGAAGAGAGAGAGCAAAAGATGCAAGATTCGAGAAGCTGTGGAAGCTCCTCACCACCTCCAATTTCAACCTGAGGCCCCAACGGAACGCCAAGACCGTCGCCCTGTCCCCAAGCTGCTCCACGCCTTTTCTTAGAGATCATTCATGTCGATCATTATATGTACAATAAAAGGGACCCAAGGTGTCTCTGGGATCGAATGATTCCAGTCCACTTTGAGATTCGAAATATTTTATTTTGTGCAAATGCGTAGCTCCAGGATGGGCTTACCTTACTCCAATAATCAAGCAGCGTGCATCCAGCCATAACATATATATACGGACAGGGTTGTATCTGACCGACGTGAGCTTGACCTAGATTGGAACATTCCAGGAGGATGAAAAATGAACGAGGACGCTCTATGACATTTCTTCTACAACGATGCCGAGGTAATGCTAAAGATTTCACTCTGATTGATTGTAAATGGTCGTGGTTGACAGAAAAGGCCTATGCATAGATGCCAATGTTGCCAAGTCCATCCTTCCCACCAGTCTGAACAGGTTATGCTCGATTGGATCCATAAAGTTAGATACCCAGGCCCTTGCTAGATTAGAGGATTAGGCTGAGGACTACATCCAATTTACCTGCTGATATTGGAAGTCGCATCTAGCCCCTCGGTCTTGGTAATTCTACTCCCGTCATGCCCGAATGAGCTACCATGGATATATATAGATCTAGGGTGCGAAACAAGCTGCTTGGTAGAATAATCCTCCTCCATAGCTTGAGCAATTCGGAAAAAGTACCCTAGAGCCGTACAATGGGCAAGGATAACTCACCATTTGGTCAACCTTCTGGCAGCTTTCTCTATCTTGTTGTCCTGAGCTACGCAGAGGCCAGCCTTGAGCCCAACCCCCGGATAAAGAATTGTCACACAAGAATGCAAGAGACAAGCATTAGTGGCCACAAAGCTTGACTAAGGACGGCTAATTCCCCCTCTTGACCGGGATTCTTTATGACGATCTCCTCCTCCTCTTACAGAGACGTGAAGCTAACGGAAAAGTCCTTACCAGCGCCAATCAGACTGGCCCGCGCCAGACTACATTCTGTCATTTCCATCCTCACCCCACGATATTCCCTGAAGACTACACAAGCCACGACCCTTATTTCATCTCGGACTGACTGATCAGGTAGTTTCCCCCGCAAAGGTTGACCCCAGCCAGGTCAACCCCGGACTTCGGAGACAATCATCAGTACGCATCTCTACCAACCTCGGGCCTCCCCACTCAAAACTCCAGAGTAGCTCCCCACAAATGCTGTGGATATCCGCTTGTCCGTTGGGAGATTGAGCTCCCCCGACTATTTCGCCTAATCTCCGGGGAAATCTGGGAGTTTTCTGGGGTCTCCTCACGCTTGGCCAAAACTATGCCTCGCATACGCGGCTTTGACTTCATCCAAGCGGGGAATGAAGCTGGTCGGTCAATGCGAGGACGTTTTGTGGATATAAATACCGTCAAAGATCGGCGGCATTGATCAGGCAGACCGTGAGAAAGCAACTTTATTCAAGCTCATTATCTCGCAATGCGCACTCCTTCGACCCCTCGGGCTCTGGCCTTGGCAGCCATTGCTTCCACTGCCTCCGCAGCCGCGACTCTCAAGGACGTTTGCACTGTTGAGTATGCCAAATCCAAGCTTCCGGCCTCTGATTTCATCCAGGGCATCACCCTCGACCCTTCGTCCGTCACTACGAACATCGTGTACAATGCCTCCACCAGCGCGGACAGCACCTTTTACCCAGCCGCGACCTTTTCGTACTGCAACTTGACCCTGGCCTATTCCCACAATGGCCGTGCAGGAGACCAGGTTATCGTCCAATACTGGCTTCCTGACCCTGCCAAGTTTGAAAACCGGTACCTGTCGACCGGTGGTGGAGGCTATGCCATCAACTTCGGATCCCAATCTCTACCCGGTGGAGTCATGTACGGTGCTGTAGCTGGTGCCACCGATGGCGGCTTTGGAAGCTTCTCAACTCAAGCTGATGCCGCAATGCTCCTGGCTAATGGCACCCTTGACTACGAAACACTGTACATGTTCGGATACAAGGCTCACTGGGAGTTGAGCAAGATTGGGAAGCAGTTCACTCGCAACTTCTACAGCATGGGTGAGAGCACGAAGCTCTACTCCTACTACCAGGGTTGTTCCGAAGGTGGCCGTGAGGGATGGAGTCAGATTCAACGCTATGGCGATGAATGGGATGGTGCGGCGATTGGAGCCCCTGCTTTCCGCTGGTCCTTCCAACAGACCCAGCATCTGTACTCGAACATCGTCACCAAGACCCTGGGCTACTACCCGCCTCCTTGTGAGATGGAGAAGATCATCAACGAGACGATCTCTGCTTGTGACTCCCTCGATGGTCTGAAGGATGGTGTGGTCTCCCGTTCTGATCTCTGCCAACTGCACTTTGATCTCTCCTCGGTGATTGGCAAACCATACTATTGCGCTGCCACCGCTGCAAGCTTTGGATACGGTGGCCCGTCAGCCGCGACCCCCGTCCAGAATGGTACCGTATCCAAGGAGGCCGTGGAGGTCGCCAAGGAAGTCATCCGAGGCCTGCGCGACTCGCAAGGCCGTCAAGTATACCTCTCCTACCAGACCGCAGCGACCTTTGCAGACGTCACGACGCAGTACAACACCGCGACCGATAAATGGGAGCTCGAGGTCGACGGGCTCGGCGCCGAATTCATCGCCCTGCTGCTCGACAAGAACGGCACTGATCTCTCCAACCTCGACGGCGTGACCTACGACACCCTCAAGGAGTGGATAATTGTCGGCATGCAGGAATACGCCTCCACCCTGCAAACTAACTGGCCCGACCTAACCCCCTTCCACAACGCCGGCGGCAAGGTCATCCACTTCCACGGCGAGGCAGACAACAGCATCCCCACCGCCTCCTCCGTGCGCTACTGGGAGTCCGTCCGGAGCATCATGTACCCCAACCTCTCCTACAAGGCCGGCGCCGACGCCCTCAAGGACTGGTACCAGCTGTACCTCGTGCCCGGTGCAGCCCACTGCTCGACCAACTCGCTGATGCCGAACGGGCCGTTCCCGCAGACCAACTTGCAAGTCCTGATCAACTGGGTTGAGAAGGATGTCAAGCCCGTGACTCTGAATGCGACTGTGCTGCAGGGAGAGTATGTGGGTGAGAACCGGCAGATTTGTGCTTGGCCACTGCGTCCTATTTGGAAGAGTGGTAAGATGGAGTGTGAGTATGATCAGACTTCGATTGATACTTGGCACTATGATTTCAATGGCGTGCCGCTGCCTGTTTACTAGTTCGCTAGTATGATGTCGTCGCCTAATTGGGAGCATGTACCCGGGAGGAAAGATTCACGGGTTGAGTAACAAAGCATATATTACAGTGTGGATTAGTGGTGGATCTTGTACCTATCTAATCAAATCTAATATCAACTGTGGAAGATCACTCGCTTGTTCCACCACACTACACAGCATGTACGCACAAGGTTTAGATGAGGAGAAACCGGGGAGAATGTACATATCACAATGCGTGCCTGGGAATGATCTTGAAAGGAGAGTTTTGATGCTTTCGAATTCTGCTCAATTTTCCCCTTGTGGCTCACGCCCTTGGTTCCAATTAAGATGGCACAACAAGAAAGCAGACGGTGTATCTGAGGAGTGTAACAGACAAAAGATCCGACTATGCGGGTCAGATCTGGAGCCAAGGCCAAGTCTGCAGGTTCATGCACCATAGATCTTCTATGTGAAATGCATCAAGGCGACTTGCCAGTACCAGACGTGAGGAAGCAGCCGGCAGCTTTATCCTCCTATATTCTATTTTACCGCTAGTCAGCATCTCAATGAACTGTTTATGTACTACTGTAGTAGACTGTATGTGCACTATGTTGCGAAAGCATCCGACGAGTTCAAGAATAATGGGTCGTCTGGGATGAGCAGTGGGTCTGTTCTGAATATTGCCATGCGTTCCGCGGAATGAGGATTGTGAGATCTAACACTGGCCGGCCATAATAAAACCAATAGACTTGGGAACTACAGTATGTACATAGAATGTGCAGTTTATCAATAATCAAAAGTTAAATTGGTCAGATAGATCATCACCTCCAGGAATCTGGAGATAATAACCCAGGACTACTATGTAGGAATCGGGCATTGGAAATATTCAACATCACATTTAGCACTGGCCGCGCGAGACTATCGAAGCCAAGCATTAGGAGTGACGTGCCCAGCCGTCGTCATCAAGGATCCTCTGCCAAGGGAGGAGCCAAAGTTGATGAGCCTAGTGACGATGAATGACGCCCAGGGTCAAGGCGCTCGAATAGGGTGATCGCCATGACAGGGTCCGGATCTAGGCGCTCGATATCAATGCAAAATGTACCGAGTAAGTACGGCCCCTCGACAGGACCATGTCAGGGCCGTGCGAGATCGTATCCGCGGCCGGGACCAGCGGATCAGACCTTGACAAGCCCAACTCGCGTGCGTATCTTACTCGCCATGGCAAATCCGCATTCCGACCGAGGCAAAATGACATCAACTGGCGGAATCAAAGAGAAGACCAGGAATGCCAACGTCATTCCTAACGAGGAATCTGGTCCAGCCGGTTTGTTGTCCAGTTGTCCAATTGATCCGTCGTTTGATCGGTCATGGTCATGGTCATGGTAGTGAGATCTCGCTCAAGCCGGACAGTTGAATTTCGACAAGGTGGCTTGCCTTCCCCCTTAAGAATGACCGAGTGACAGGAGGAAAACTCCCGGAAACCCAAGTCCACTTGGGAGTCCACCTGTTTTGGTGGAGTGGAGCCCTGTCGATCGCGAGGATGAAGCCGCCAGTCAAGTCGGCCCGCTAGAGTTGCCCCTGGATTACTGTACTGACCCCGAAAACGGAGGTCGAATCGGCTACTGTAACTGCAGGAGTAGTCTGTTCGTTAGACTCTGGTGCAGGGTGCAGCCTGGGGGAGATTCTGCAGCATTGGAGAAAGCCACGATGCCCTAGATCGAGGGTTAGTAAGAAGATGTCCGTTCGGATTGGAGGATAAGGGGATACTCGTGACTGTACTCCGTAGAGACTGAGATGAAGAGAAGCTGACTAACTGTAGTAGTAGTAAGTTATTAGTAGTAGGAGTAGTAGTACAGTAGTCTCATCAAGAGAAAGGGGAAATAGAAATAGATCATGGACCTCCTAGGCTGATTGAAGGAGTGTTCAATCGGAGACGGGGATAGAGGGAGGAGAGAGGGATACTGAGAGTCTAAGACTTTGTAATCATTCGCAACGGTTCCTCTTCGTCCTTCTCTTCTTCCTTCTTTACGTCCTCCCCCGTTGATCCCGTGTCCCCCTCCCCCCCCAATTTCCCTTTTGCCGCTCTTCCCCCCCTCTCTCCGTCTCCTCTCCTCCTCTCCTCGTCAAAGCTGCTTCTTTTCTTCTTCTTCTTCTCTCTCTCTCCTCTCTCATCCAACCATCCAGACCTGCTTACCTCGTCGTTTCACACTTTCCTGCCTTCACACCTACTCTCCCCAACCCACATCCCTCCTGCTGCGCATTCGTGCGACATTGCGACACCTGTCAAAGACCATCCCCCCGACAACCTATTGACGCACCCCTCTCCACTCGACCTCCGTTTCATCTCTTCACCACAATGAATGCCCCTCCAGCGCTCGGGTACCCGCCCGGCGTGTCGCTGGCGCCGCGAGGTGCGTAATGCTGTTGGCCATTGCCAACTTTTTGCCCTTCCCCCCCCCCCTGATCGCTGCCTTCCATGCCTCCATCTGGCCGTTGTCTTTTTGTTCTACCTGAGACTTAAAAAGATATGACTGGTCCCCCTGTCAATCAATCCACTTGTCTGAGATTACGATCTCCCGAATCTAACTGACTGACTCGATCGTCTGCGATATAGACCAGGTGTCACCGACAGCCTCCAACTTTGGCTCTAATAACCCCTTTCGCAACCGTGCCTTGTCTCCCTCGGCCGGCTCAACTACCTCCAACACTCGCCCTGAACGCCCGCGCTCAACGAATCCCTTTTTAGACGACGCAGAAACGTTGTCACCGCAATCCGCCCCTGGAATGTCAACGGGCCCGATTATGTTTTCTCCGACCGAGAAACAAGACATGACCAGCAACACCCGCGACCTTTTTGTATGTGAAATTCGAACCCCCATTCTGTGTAGGCGCGAGAATTATGAGCGCATAACTGACTGATTGCAGGAGAACCTCTCAATCAAACCCACTCCCGCAGCCCCTTCCCCTCAATCGAACGGCACTCGTCCAGCCCCGAACGGTACTCCCCGTGGACCCTCCAGCCGGCCCCGACCCCCCAGAGAGCGCCCGGACCGACGGCCTGCGGAGGCCCGGTCAAAGGACCCCTTTGATATCTTTGCCGATCCCCCAAATCAGTCCAAGGGCCCGACGTCGGGCTCCCGCGAGCACACCTCCTCCCGCCGACCTCGTCGCAATTCCGAGTCTTCAGTGATGGATCGAGCTTCGAAGCTATTTGATGACGACGACGAGAAACGCCGACGTGAACGACGCCATCGTGAACGAGAGGCCCGTCACCGGGATGGCAAGCCTCGCTCGTCCCGCAAGGACCGCCGATTGGATATTATTGACAAGCTGGATGGGACGAGCATTTACGGAACTGGAAGTGCGTGGCCTTTGGAATCATTCTGATCACATCTCCTCTGCTTGATATGCTAACAGTTTCCTTTCTATTTCCTTTCTAGTGTTCCACCATGATGGTCCATTTGACGCCTGCAATCCCCACCGCAACCGAAAGGGCTCGCGCACAGCGCCAATGAAGGCATTCCCCAAGGGCTCTAGCAACATGGCCTTGGGCGGTGCAGGGCCCAATAACTCAAACATTGACCTCAACCTTTTCCACGGCAGAATGGAGGAAGCCCACAACGATTTCTCCCACACGGTGGTTCAACGCACCGGTACCGAGACGGTCGCCTTCGACCCGGGTGCGCGTATCGACCCAGTTCACGGCGCGGAGAGCATGGGTCTTGGCACGAGCACTTTCTTGGATGGCGCGCCTGCCAGTCGCTCCGCCATTGCACGTCGCCAAAGTGAGAATGATGACTCGGGGGCTGGGGGCCTCCAGCGCAAGAAGAGTCTGGCGCAGCGATTGCGCGGGAAGAGTGGGACCGGCCGTCTTATGCTTTCCTCCCCTACCCGGCACGACTTCCCCTCTTCTAATCAAGTTCCCATGGGTTCGAGCCACTCCGCATCCTCACGGGGTGGTGAGAAGAACCCATTCTTCCAGGACTACGACGAGGAGTACGATAAGAAGGCCGCGCGGATCCAGGAGGCGCGACTGGAGGGTGGAGGCCGGACGCGCTCTTCCAGTAGCCCGAAGCAATCGACAAACCTGGAGCGCAAGGCGACCAATGATCGCGGCTACGATGAGACAAAGTTGAGTGCAGGTGGTGGCGGCTTTTTGAACCGAATGAAGAGCTTGCGCAAGCCGCGGCCCGAGCGTCGGACCAGCGACTGAAGCATGTGTGAAGTGGGGGAAAATGAAGCGGGAGGCGGAAAAGAGAATCATAACCTTATCTACCTTATTTCCCCGGTAGAAAGGAAAAGAAGCATTGGGAGGATGTGTGAGCAGGACTATCGACTTTTGCATCTATGGCGCCAGCAAGCGTCCGTTGATAGACCGTGTTCTTGATGATTTGTTTAAGTTCTTTGTGTAATACCCAACATGGTTCGCCGCCAGCAATTTGGCGCCGAGAAATGGCGTTGATATGACTGGAGTCGGTTGCTTGATTGATGATTACTTTGGTTGGTTCCTTTTTTTGAGACTCTGTCCTTTCTTCTTCCATCTTGGCTTCTTTGTCTGTGCTCCGTTTGCGAGGCATGTATGAAATAGAAACACGATGTTTTATTCTAGTTCCCCCGCTCGTGTTTTGCTGTCGAGCGTCTACAGGTCTGGTACTTTTTATGGAATGCTCTGCTTTGATGGAATGAATCTTGACATTAATAGGGATCTCCTGTGTTAATAGTCGAGCTTTACTCAGAATCATAACCGAGTTTTCTCCGAATAGAACTAGAGGTGCAAAGCACACATATGGAAATGATTGGATAAGTCATATGAGTTAATTCTAGAGCCACACTCCAGCGAGAACAGATCAAGCTGGCTGCAAGATAAAGACCCTTAATTACCAGTAGGTATGGATACCTAGAAACCCAGAGCTGCCATAAATGGGTACTATGATGTTCCTCTTGTCAAGCAGATGGCGCTGGAAGTTGAACACTTGTGTGCAGATGCCATACTTGGGATATCACATTCGGTCAGTCGCATAGAAGTCTGAATGGTAAAACCCATTTTCTATTTTGGCTAATGGCTAGAACCCTAAGCTACCGCTCCTCCTTCTCCTCCTCCTCCTCCTCGAGTCGCATCTTTTGAGCAAGGTTGCGAGCGTGGCAGTCCTATATACACATATAATCCCGAAAGCTTGGCCAGTGCTGTAAGGGAGGAAAATAAGGTTCATGAGGTGCATAAGCTCCGTGGTGAGAAGACAAGCCGGCTGTAGGGAGTGGGAGCTGGGGAGTATGCAATTGGCGTGCAATTGGTTGCTGCTTGTTCCTCTGATCCCTCTGTAAAAATTGCCCTGTTTGAGCTTTGTCCCAATGGTTGGAGGAAGTTAGTAGAATTTTCTGGAATAATCTTTTACATTTACATAGTAGACTTGCCTGTTAAAAGAAGACACAACTCAGAAGCGTATGCTAGCGTGATGTGTCATCATCTACTCTAGATCGTACATCTTACTCCATGCTCGTCCCTGCATCTTCTCCGATTGTTGTCATCGTTAATAATGACTTCCTAGGGACCCGCAGCCTCTGTGACTAGGTGAGTAGCTACACACTGGTCTACAGTTTAATCAGCCTTAAGCTTATTGCCGCCGGAGACAAATCAGAGTCGGACTTTACGGGCCTATCCCCGAACTCAATGGGTAGGTCCGGTTTGCATCCACGGTTCGATGGGAGATCTTGACCAATCAGGTGTATTTTGTCATCATCTTGCATTGCAGGAGTTTGATAATGACAGCTTCTTCAGTCTGGAAAGGGCCTGGAGATACAGAGACACTAGAGGTATAAGTAGAGGCGTACTCCTCATTTCCAACTTGGATTCATATTTTCAAACTTTTCTGTTTTCCCTTTCAAAAACACTCCAGGCAATATGAAATACGTACAACTCGGAAGTAGCGGTCTTCGCATCGCCCCAATTGGTGTCGGCTGCATGAGCTTTGGAAACCCAGAGGGCCGTTTCAAATGGTCAATCCCAGAAGAAGAAGCCCTGCCCGTGCTTAACCATTGCTATGAATCCGGCCTCAACTTCTTCGACACAGCAAACGCCTATTCCAACGGCTTGTCTGAAGAAATTCTCGGCAAAGCGATCAAGAAATACGGCTGGCGCCGGGAAAACATCGTCGTCGCAACCAAACTGTGGGCACCCGTCGGCCGTGGTCTTGAACAGCCCATGGCTATGACGGATGATGAAAGGGATAATGCGGGCTACGTGAACGAATACGGCCTGAGTCGAAAGCATATCTTCGAGAGCGTCGACGCCAGTCTCCGAAGACTTGACCTGCCCTACGTCGACTTGCTACAAATCCACCGGTTCGACCCTAGAACGCCCCCAAGGGAAACAATGGAGGCGCTTCACGATATCGTCAAGTCCGGCAAAGTGCGCTACATCGGCGCTTCATCGATGTGGGCTCATCAGCTGCTCGAGTACCAATACACCGCTCGTCTCCACGGCTGGACAGAGTTCATCTCGATGCAGAATCTCCACAACGCCACCTACCGCGAGGAGGAGAGGGAGATGTATCCCGCCTGCGCCAAATTCGGAATGGGCGGGATTCCCTGGAGTCCCGTTGCAATGGGCTTCTTGGCTCGACCCTGGCGGGAATTCGCGAAAACTAAACGTGGTGAAGGACAGGGCTCGGGTTTCCTCGGTCAGCCTACTACGGAGACGGACAAAAAGATTAACGAGCAGATTGAGAAGATCGCTGAGCAGCACGGTGTGTCGATGGCGACTGTGGCGATTGCTTGGTCCCTTTCTAAGCCATTTATTACGGCGCCTATTCTGGGAATGAGCAAGAAGGAGAGAGTTGATGAGGCTATCAAGGCTATTTCGCTCGTGCTTAGTCCTACTGAGTTGAAGAGTATTGATGATCTATATGAACCCAAAAAGGTTGTGGGCCACCAATAAAGATCTGTACATAATAATTCGAGACCCCGATCGCGAGTTCCCTTACTAATGAAATGGAGTCACGAAGAATTACCGCAGCCCAACTTTAGAATTGATCAGCTCTCGAACTCTTTAGCTTATTCTTTACTTAAGTTCCTTCGTTCCAATTAGGCTGGCTAGGTTTCTGAATAAGATGGCTTCTGAGTTGTGTGTGTTCAATCAAACATTGGTCAAAATTGGGTTGAAGAACGAGGCTTCGGTCCAGATCTTCTGCCTATTCTGAGTTTGTGGTAATGTCTAGTCGCTTTTGTTCGCATTTCTAGATTCCCAAAACATGCCATGCCATGCCCTACGAAACACAGGGAAATGGCCTGATTAATCATCGTTTGGCTCATCGCGCAGGAGTGTCAGACATACATACTCAAGATCCACCTGTATACTCACTTTCAAACCTTACTAGAAACAGATTAGCGTCATGCAGGCGGATGACATGGTGGGTCGTGGGCACAAAGATTTACTGGATGACAGTGGATGTAGGTTAGGCCTGGCTTTAATAATCAAGACTAAATCCATTCAGACGTGGATTCACTTTCCTTCCTATTCTTCACCTTCCCCTTCCATATCCCCCGGCAAAGGCTGGCTAAATCGGCAATCCACTGGCACCCCGCATCTTCCAGTCATCCAGCTGCATGAATCGGTGGATCGTAAGATTGACTTTGCTGTGATTTAATCGCAAACATGAATCTCTCAGCCGAAGGACCTTCCCCAAAAGGGATCGCTTTAAGACCGCTCTCACAGCGCATTGGCTTATGGCCAGAGGAGGATTGGTCGGGTATCACAGACCCCAAAACACGCAGGAGGCTGCAAAATCGCCTGAATCAACGGGCTCGACGTAAGTCTGCCATTCGTTGCCTACTGGTTGGCGAGTATCGTTTTGACCGTGTATCCAAAATAGGTCACCAAAATAAGACAACGATAAATGCTTCGAGGGAGGGAAAGATACAGGGATCTAATGGCCTTCATTCAAAGGAACACCATGAATCACTCACGCTTGCTATCCCTCCTCAGACCATTGATTTCACCTCCCTAGAGGAGATCGAGGATGTACACATCCTGGAATTCAACACCCCAGCCACAAAAATCAAAATGACCCGATTAGAATTGACAGCTCTTCAATACTACGCCACCGGATCCCCACGAACGGATCTATTACTCCACCTCATCTCCCTGAATTTCACCAGAGCTCTGATGGAAAATACAAGAATCCTAGGCCTCAGACCTGATCAGCTCCACGATGATGCAATATCACCTTTCAACACTGCCGGCCCCTGGCAGCAAGACGATTCTCTCCACACCCTCCCATCAACTCTCCAACCTACGTTGATCCAGCGCTCTATCCCACATCACCCGTGGCTAGATGTGCTTCCTGATCCCCAAATGAGGGATAATCTCATCGTTGCTGGCGATTTTGAGGGGGAGACACAGCTTTGTCTGGATATGAAGGGCTGCGGAAGTACGGTGTCGAGGAGAAGTGGTATTATCGTTTGGAGTGATCCTTGGGATCCGGCTGGGTGGGAGATTACTGAGTCTTTTGCTCGTTCGTGGGGCTGGGTTATTAGGGATTGTTATGATTTGGCCCATTCTACGAATCAATGGCGGGCGAGGAGGAATGAAAGACCGCTGTTTAGTATGGTTTGATTTGGACTTGGAAGCTGGTTGGCAGAGGATATCTGAATGGAAAGATACGCACAACAGGCACAAGTTATCTGCTAGTCCATGGGGATACGGAATCTTTTTCCGAGTAAACTCGAAAGGAAAAAAGGCTTGAACGGGACTTCTCGGTACAGCTGACACCAGAGTAAACAATTTCACCCCTACTCAAGCTCAAGCTATCCAGGTTACGCGAGTCTCGATATTGATATTTGATAATGTTTTCATGTTCATTCGTTAAATCATGGCCCGACCAGCAAGGCCACCTCCACAGATAGAAAGATATAGATGATGATAACGCCGTACACACCAGATGCAAACAAAGATGGTATTTTACTTCAAAGAAACCCAGAGAACCCCCAACCAGCCCATACGATGGATGTTTAGTGACTCGTGGGCGTGGCACGAGGTAGATGCGGGTTCGACACTGGGATGCCCGCACGGCGCTTGGATTGCGGCTTGGGCCGAGAAAGTGTGTACCTAGAAGACAACGTGTTAGGAAAATATGGTTTCCAAAATGCAGCAGAAGACAGATAATGACATACTTGGCAAATGTGCGGGACAGTGCCTTCTTGCAGCTGACCTTCTGGCTGCCGATAAAGGACTCGACAGTGACAGCGATAGCACGGTCAATGTCCTGGGCGGAACAGTATTCTGACAAGCGCATCTTGCAGAAAGATTCAGCAATACGCATAATGGCCTCCAGGTGACGGACCTAGATAAGAAAAAATGAGTATGTTGAGCTAAACATAGCGGAAGGCAACAGGTGAACTTACAGTAATAGGATAGGCACCAGTGGCCAGGGACTCGCGACGCATATCCGCAAATAGACGAGCGATCTTGTCCTGGTCGATTTGATACAGCTTGGGGTGGCATCGCTCACGAGCGTAGAGAATGTACTTCCGGAGCAGTTCCTGAGGAATCTCGCCCTCCTTCTCCTCTTCGGCCCTCTTTTGCTCCGCAGCGCGACGGGCGAGCTCCTCCTGCGATGGAGGAAGACGACGCCCCTCTGCATCGATACGGTAACCCTCAATGTCAATGAGGTGGCCTTCCGTGTCAACCAAATCACCCTGGTCATTCCGCAGGGGCTTCGCTGGGTTGGCGCGGTGGTGCGACTCGATCACAAAGTTTGCCAGGCGCTCGTCCTCAGCAGGCTCGACCAAATCACGAACCACGCAAAGAATATCGAAACGAGACAAGATAGGGTCGGTCAGCTCGACATTCTCCGAGAAGGACTTGGTGCTGTTGTAGCGACCACCGACGGGATTGGCAGCAGCAACAACGGCACAGCGGGCCTGCAGAGTGGTGACGATACCAGCCTTGGAGATAGAGATGGTCTGTTGCTCCATGGCTTCGTGGATGGATGTACGATCCTGGTCGTTCATCTTGTCAAACTCATCAATTAAGCAAGTGCCGCGATCAGCTAGAACCAAAGCACCGCCTTCAAGAGTCCATTCACTCGTCAGAGGGTCCCGACGAACGCTAGCGGTCAAACCGACAGCACTGGCACCCTGACCGGTAGCAAAGACGGCACGGTGAGCAGATTTCTCGACATACTTGAGCACCTGTGACTTGGCAGTACCAGGGTCACCAAGCAGCAGAACGTTGATGTCACCACGAATAGACATCTTACCCTGAGCCTGCTTACTGACACCACCAAAGAGTGAAAGGGCAACAGCAGTCTTGACATCCTGGTGACCGTAGATACTAGGGGCGATAGAACGAACGATCTTGTCCACAATCTCGGGGTCGCGAGACAGAGCACGAATCTCACGCTCGTCCTCTTCGGTCAGATTAAAGCCAGCAAGTTGATCGTGGGCCTTGACAACATGATTGGCTTCAATGACCGTCGCAAAGACTGGGAATCCGTTCTTGTTGTTCAGCTGGGCATCGTAGCTGTTACGGTAAATACCAGTGATCTCAATCTCATCACCAGGTTTGGCAGAATCGATCAGATCAGCCAACAGGATAACCTCACGCTGACGGGGCAGACGACCAGCAGGCACAGAGCCAGGAGACTCTTGTAGAGTCAGCTTCTGGTAATTGCGGTAGACAGTCTTCTCAGAGTTGACGGTGAAAGGACCGCGGGACTGGCAGTTCTGGCAGTACGAGATCTTCACCTCGGCGCTAGCCTCTTGCTGGAAGGGGCCAAGAGTGATACCACACTTCTGGCAAATGAACATGACATACTTCAACTGTGGGAAGACGCCAGTACGGCGCGTAACCACACCGCCGACACGGACCAGACAGTTAAGGTGCGACTGGCGCAGCTGGCGCAGAGTATAAATGATGGGCACATCAGTGATGCGCACGTGGATCTCGTTGTGAATGTCATGGTACTGAGGGTAGTGGAAGAGAGTGACATCGAGAGCGACTTGGTCGAAGACCTTCAAGACTTCGGTGGGCTCGTTGGCGAGGAAGTAGGACAGAGCGGCCTTGGTCTCGCTCAGATGGGCATAGGACACCTCGAGAGAGGCAGAGTTGACCTCACCGAGAGTCTTAATGCGGTTTCCGTAGACGGACTGACCAGATGGGTCGATAAATTCCGTCAGGAAGGCCTTGAATTCGCGATAGATAGAGCGGAGCACTTGGGGCTGGGTGACCCAGTCTGTGATATTGGCGGCCTTGACGTCGGCCAATTCTTCCAAGGACAGCTCCTCCATACCCTCATCAGCCATGTCAATATCCTCTCGTTCTTCATCGTAATGGTGGCGACGACGGCGCGGCTGGCGCGACAGGTCGAGATCCATATCATCATCGTCCTGCAGGAAAGCCGCAGGCATGCGGCGCCGACGAGCGAGTTCTCGGTCTCTCTTGTTAAGTCGAGCGTCCAATTGTCGGCGAGTCGAGGCATCTAGTTCATCGTGGTCTTCGTCGTCGTCAATGTATGCCTCGTTCACGTATCGGTCATCTTCAGCAGCGCGGTAATCCCGCTCGAAGTTGTCGCCGAAGAGATCGATTCCATCCTCATCCTCAGCCAACTCATCCACGTCATCAATGTCGGGAATCATCTCAGCTTCCTCATCGTCATCGTCTTCACCTTCGTCAAAGGGGGGCATTGGAGGGGGTGATGATCCCAAGGCGGCGGCTGCTCACTGTTTGTCAGTTGGGTCCACATAACATTCGCAAACTTTTTCTTCGGAGAACCAGCTCTGCACATACGGCTAGATGGGGGCAATTGCCCCGGCGAAGACATGTCCTCTGGCTCTCGCGAGCGCTTACGAGTGTTAGCCCTGGGGCCGCGGTTTGCGGCCGAGTCACTGGGTTGGAGGGGACTAGAAGCGTGTTAGTTTGGTGTGCATTGGACGACCAAAAACCCCCAAGTAAATAAATAATCGGCGGGAATTACTCACTCCATGTTGTGTGAATGTGGCTCAATCGTCCGAATCGAGTGGATTGAGGCCGAGATGGGGGAAGGGGGAGGGAGTAGTGGAATGAGTGAAGCTGCTAAATTTCGTTTGACGCCCACAGGAGGACGAGGAACAGGAGGAAGGGGCCGGCAGCACGAGACGCGTCGCAGCGGCCCGAAACGGCAAAACTCGACGCGACGCGTTTTCAATTAAACCCCATTTGGGCGGGCACGTGATTATTATATGCGGCAGAAAGACGCCATAGAAGTTGATCAGGGAAGGGAACATGGATTAACGCATATACTTGGTGCAAAACATAGTTAGAAAGATATGAGAATGAATTTGAGACTTTAAACGGACCACCAAAGTCCCCTTCGGTTTGGAAAAATTCGGTACAGGAGAGCACTTTGGGTCAAGTCAAGTCAAACCCAACAGATTTGGAGAGAGGGTGATCCATCTCTCGGGGTATAACCTCCCAAACAACGACCAGACTTGGAGCTCAGTGACATCTCCCCCACCCTGCCTCAACATCTTCGGAGCACATCGTTGACTCGAATTCGCGCCGACAAGACACTGATACCAGACCGCGGAAGGGTCACCACAATCCAACGTCACACCGCCTGCGCATCGCGTTTGGCCGAGACTCCGCAACTTCCTTGGACACTCAGTCGCAACTCAGCACAAACCTGACGCCTAGCTGTTTGCTTCTTCGCGACAAGTTTTTCGTTCAAGCAGCACAGATACCTTCTTTTCGCGATGGAGTCCCCGCCAACTGGCCCCCTCCTGGCCGATGTCGCTCGTCGCGAGAGCTTCGGATCTCAGAATTCCCAGACGGCAAGAGAGTACGCGTTCAAGCCCATGCATTCCCCAGAAGTGATGTGAAACTGACGGCTCATTCGCTCCAGGTTTATTGACTCTCAGATTCGACTCGAGGCCGATGCACGAGAAGTGCTACCATATGTGAGTGCCATCAAGCCTGAATGCGCCGTACATCCGCAGACTGACCGTGCCCAATACATAGTCCTTCGACTCCTGCACCCATGAGCTCGGTCCACTGCGACAGAATCTCTTTGCCTGCCTGACTTGCAATCCTCCCCCCTCGAGCCCCGATGATGATTACACCGCCGCTGCCGTGTGCTATTCCTGCTCCATTGCATGCCATGGCGAGCACACGTTGGTCGAATTGTTCAACAAGCGCAACTTTGTTTGCGACTGTGGTACGACTCGCATGCCCTCCACCTCTCCGTGTACTTTGCGCGAAGACCCCAATACCGGCCGAAAGGGCGTCCACTCTCAGGAAGCTGCCCCGGGCAACAAATACAATCACAACTTCCGCAACCAATTTTGTGGCTGTGGTGAGAAATATGACCCACACCAGGAGAAGGGTACTATGTTCCAATGCCTTGGCCTCGGCAGTGTTGAGACTGGGGGATGTGGCGAGGATTGGTGGCACCCCGAATGTCTGATTGGACTGCCGCGCGATTGGTACAAGAATCTTCCGAGCAAGAAGTCTGCGCCTTTTGGTGAAGACGGTACTGTCGAAGGTGCTGTCGATGGCCTTGATGAAAACGGCGAGACTCCTCTGCCTCCCGGCTTCCCAGCCGAGGAAGATTTCCAGCAATTGATCTGTTACAAATGTATTGAGTCTACCCCGTGGCTCAAGCGATACGCTGGAACCCCGGGTTTCCTTCCGCCAGTATTTCGCAACGGGGGAATCGAGAAACCAGCGCATGCCATTCCAGAGGAACCTGCAACTGTGGAGACAACGAAGCAGGAGGACAACTCAAAGAAGCGCAAGGCCGATGACGACGAGCCTGCTCAGGAGGAGCCCTTAGCAAAGCGAACCAAAGAAGATGGCGCACCCGCGAAGGATCCCGAGCCATCCACACTCATCACTATCAAAGAAGACGATCCCTCCCCCAACTCATCCACCATCACCGCCCAAACACCCACAACAGACTCCTCAAAGCCCAAACATACCTCCCTCCCCTCCACTACCCCAGAAGCATCCTTCTCTCTCTTCCTCCTCGAAAACTTCCACGACCGCCTCTGCCGCTGCGCAGAATGTTTCCCCAAACTAGCCCCTTTCCCCCAACTCCGCGAAGAAGAAGAAACCTACGAGCCGCCCCTCTCCGACGACGGCAACGGCGCCGGCGCCGGCAGCACCGGGACAGGCAGTCTCCTCGAGCGCGGCGAGGCAGCCCTCAGCAACGTGGACCGCGTCCGAGCTATCGAAGGCGCAATGATCTACAACCATCTTCGCGATAAGGTGAAGGATTTCCTCAAGCCTTTCGCGGAGAGTGGACAGGCTGTTAGCGCGGAGGATATCAAGGGGTATTTCGAGAAACTTCGGGGTGATGAACAGGGCATTAAAGATGCGGCTGGGAGGGCTTCTGCTATGGGAGATGGAGGCGGTGATACTGATGGTGATAATCGCCGTGAGCAGAATGGTGAGTCTTTTCTTTTTGAAGGATACTCGATTCTTGAGTGGAACTGACATATTTGCAGGGTACTGAATGTGTGAGATCCTGTTGTTTTCGGGATGATATGTTTGCATTTGTAATTTACACTGGGATTATGGTATGGAATTGTGCTGCCGCTGTACCAACTACAGTCTGGATCAGCTTATGATTAGGTACTTGATGGGATCGACTCGGACTTCAGGATTGGGACATGGGAATGGAATGGGACTGGGCTTTAGCACTTATTCAAGGCGCAATATGACGTGATGGAATTGAATTTGTGAAATGCGTCCGATGCAATATGGTATCTAGAAAGCAAAGTTGAAAGAACCTAGAAACGCCATCCAAAAGTACAAATCCCTGCTCAAGATGGTGGGAAGAACCCCTTAGGGCCCCATCAAGGGCTCTGTGTATAGAAAATGAAGTGTTCATATGCAATGTACAACGCTCAGCGGAAAGAGGAGGTCACTCCTTTAGACGCTTGGTGGCCCTCAACAGCGAATCATCCGGCAGACCACTACGCTTTGTACCAGGCAAGCTACCCGTGCGTATATCATTATCATCTTGGGAGACCCGGCGATGCGGGTACTTGTGCTCGATGCCGTTGAAACAGTCCCCGCTAATAGGGCCTCCATTGGCGAAATAGGGATGCTCTAGAGCTTCTTGAGCCGTGATCCGTTTTGTCGGATCGTACTCGAGCATTCGTGAAAGAAGATCAAAGCCATCTGCGCCTGGGGTCCCCGTTTTCGAGGTCGCGGAGTACCCTCCATTCTTGAGACAACTCTGATACCAGCCCTCGAGGTTAGGACCGCGGTGGAAATGTGCTGGCTGTCGATGCAGTACTAGTGACTGCAGCTGAGTATACTCGGGCATAGCGACGAGACCGGGCCACGTTTCCTTGCGAGGAAGGCCGAGAATCTCGACAATCTTCATCATCTGATTCCGCTGGAAAGGAACCGTCTTTTTGCTGTCCATCTTGGCTTCCTCGCCTTTGAAGATTGGACGCAAGGAGAGGAGTTCGGCGAAGATGCATCCCACTGCCCACATGTCAACGGCCGGGGTATAGTGTCGACTTCCAAGGAGAAGCTCTGGAGCTCGGTACCATATTGTGACAACCACCTTGTCTCCGGAGAATAGAGAGTTCAAGGGTTTGTAGAAAAGACGGGCCAGACCTAAATCACCAATTCGGATAGCTCCACTGGACGTGACCAGGATGTTGGCTGGCTTGAGGTCGCGGTGTAAGACCCAGTTGGTATGCAGATATAACAAGCCGTTGAGCAGCTGGAAAAGGATCGACCGGACCATTGTGGCAGGAATCGCGTGTCGTTGGGGTTGTGTGTGATGATGGATGATCTGAAGCAAATCGTGCTCCGTATACTCAAACACCATGAATATACATTTATCCTCTAGGATAATTTCTTCCAGCTGGACAACATTGGCATGCGAGAGTTCGGTACAGAGAGCCATCTCACGGATGGCTGATTGGGAGAGACCGGTATACTGGATCGATTCGCCTTCCTTGTCCGGCTTGAATCTGGAGATGACAGGTTAGTACTCGACGAGGCATGGCCTAGAGCATAGACCCCAAGGTCAACGGCAAAGACATACTTCTTGATCGCAAACTCCCCCTTCTGGCCATTTTTGCCGATCGCCTTATACACCCGGCCATAGGTACCACTGCTGATGAAGCCCACGATATGATACCGATCACGCACTCGAACTTTGCTCGTATACCCGCCGGGTCTGCGGGCGTCCAGGGTCTCTGTGCAAGCAAAGGCAATTGGTCAGCTCATGTACGGAAATCCGGAGTCTCGCAACGGGCATTGCGGGGAACAAGAATAGCGGAGACAAATCAAAGGATCCATGCGTCTTTCGATGAAACCGACAAGGTATGTGAAGATCGCAAACCAGAGACATAGGCCACCCTCCTCTTTGAGAATCTTTCTTTTCTTTGTTTTCCCCAGGACAATTCTCCGAGACGACACACCAGCAATTTACAAGAGGAAGGAAGATTACCCCGAGGATAGAAGCCTCCAGCAGAATTCAGAAACGGGAAGCCTTTCCCAAACATCGCGGAGATCAACAGGGACGATGAAGGACAGATCGCGCACAGGTGACGTTCAACAGAGGCAGCAGGAAGAGGTGCGACCAAGAACCCAAGAATGTATAATAATTACCATCGACGGTGGCCTGGAGACTCCGTTTAAGATTCTGACCGACAGTCTTGGCTCGGGCAGAGATCGAACCGGAGGAGGAAGGAGGGTTTGTCAGACTCATTGGGTCGTCACTCGTCCATCGGAGGGCTCGGGGGGGTGTGGAGGAAAGGGCCACGGCAGAGGCGAGTTCCGTCGCGATGCGCAATTGGAAGGTGGACGTGTGGAGAGGCGACAATTCGGCGACTCGGACCGGATGGAGAAGGCAGGTTCAACCTTAGTCAGCGGCGAGAGCGAGCCTCCAGGGCCGAGTGCAGTGATATTATCGGAGAATTTTCCGGGATAAAGTGGAGGGAAGTGGAACAAGGGAAGGAATACTCCGTGAAGGATGGGGAAATTATTTAGTGGCGGCGGCGCGCCAGGCCCGGAAAAGGAGGGATTGGATAAACAACTTGGGTTGGGAAGTTGGGAGTTTCGGGGCGAGGAGGCGGGAGGCGGAGGTCTCGAGGAGGAGTGGCCCAGTCCCCGCAAAGTCCGCCGCCAGTCCGCAGGTCAGCCAGGCCCAGGAGATAACAGCAGCTTCCCTGAGCTTATCATACACTCCACTCCTCGAACATCAGCTGGAGTTTCGCATCTCGTTGTCTACCTCCTTCCTCCCTTTACCCCAGTCTTATGAATTTGATCATCTCTTGATTGTCATCATGGCTCCGGGTGGCTCAACGCGGTCGCAAGTCACACCATACTTGATTTACCTGGTGTTTATCGCCACGTTAGGCCCGCTCCAGTTTGGCTATCATCTGGTACGCATGGCCTGATCTCCAACTAACGTTCCCTGGAAGCTCTATCACATCATGTGCACTGCCTCGTAGCCCAGAAACCATCACTAACACACATGAAAATAGGCCGAGCTGAATGCTCCGCAAGCAGTCGTGACGTGCGCGAAGAAAAGTATCCATGGCTCTACCGCTGGCATCAAGGGCCTGCCACAATGCATTCCCATGAATCCCTCCCAGTTCGGCTTGGTCTCGTCAATCTATACCCTCGGTGGTCTATTAGGAGCCCTGCTGGCAGGGCCAGTATCGACCAAGTACGGACGCCGAGTGGCGATGCTTGCGACGACCGTTTTCTTTGTCCTCGGCCCCGTGGCAGAGACTCTCGCGCCCGCGATCCCAGTCCTCGCTCTGGGCAGGTTCCTCTCCGGCATTGGATCTGGTGCTGCGATTGTGGTGGGCCCTATCTACGTGTCTGAGATTGCGCCGCCGCAGTCGCGAGGCTTCTTCGGCGCATTTACCCAAGTCATGACCAATGTTGGTATCCTACTGACCCAGGGTCTGGGATACTTCTGGAGCCATGATAGCTCCTGGCGGCTGATTCTCGCCGTGGCCGGTATGATTGGAGCATTAGAGCTTCTGGGCCTATTTATGGTCCCGGAGAGTCCGACTTGGCTTGCTGAGCACGGCTCCGTGAGCCAGGCCCGCCGGGTCCTGCAGCGCATTCGCGGCAAGGATGCCGACATCGAAGCTGAGACCCAGACCTGGAGAACGTCGGGCGCCCCTGAAGAGGAGTCTCTGTTGGCTCCAGCGGCCGGCACTACGCGCTCCAAGCAAGATCCCGTGACTATCATGCAGGCCATTCGCGATCCCTTCTACCGGCCCGCCATTATTGCTGTCGTGGGCGTCATGGTCGCGCAGCAACTCACTGGTATCAACAGCATTGTCATGTACAGCGTCTCCTTACTGCAAAGCATCTTGCCCACGACGGCGGCCCTACTGACCGTATTCATCTCAGCCATCAACCTCGTCATGACGTTGGTGTGCTCCCCATTGCCCGACCGGATTGGTCGGAAGACCTGTCTACTGCTTAGCATTGCCGGTATGGGCAGTAGCTCGATATTATTGGCCCTGGGGATCTACTTTAACCAGAAGATCGCATCCGCGATCGCCGCCCTATTGTTTGTGGCCTGTTTCGCGGTTGGTCTGGGCCCGGTGCCTTTCATCCTGGCCTCGGAGCTCGTGGGGCCCGAAGCGGTTGGCGCGGCGCAAAGTTGGGCGCTGGCGGCCAACTGGACTGCGACATTTGTGGTCGCGCAGTTCTTCCCCGTGCTGAATGATGCGCTCGGGGGCCGCGGAAAGGTGTACTGGGTCTTTGCAATGATGGCGGGGCTTCTGGGAGTGTTCATATACCGCTGGGTTCCGGAGACCAACGGCAAGGCGAATGCGGATGAGGTTTGGGGTCGAGTGGACCGACGAGAAGACTAAGCTTGGGATGTATTGTTCCTGGAAACTCCGGAGATCTGGGTCCTGGCTCGATTTGGCGGTGGTTCTTCCACGAACTCGATGGTGGCCCACGCGAAAAAAACGAAAGCGCGCCATTGGCCGTGGTGGGGGACACTGTTGGATTTGATCCGGCGATCTTCAGCGGTTCTTGTAGTATAAATAGTCTTTCCTGACTTTGCTACTTGGCTAATCAATGGGTTTGGATGCCCTAATGGCGTAAGGAAATGGACTATCACAAGAACTCTTTGCGGTGACGAACTGATGTATCCGATGTATCCCAATGCGATCGCCACGAACCCGGAATGGTCCGTCACCGTGTGTAACGCACGCAGCAAGGTGCATTGACCCTTGACCCTGCTTGACCATTAACCATCGCCCGTTGACCGTCAAAAGGTATGCTTTGCTTCTCTCGGACAGACTGTGATTGCGGGGTATTTAGGATTGTTGTTTGTATGTCCGAGTCCATACAATACATACAATACATACAAGAGTTAGTGTGATTCGTATGACGTTAGACCGCCCTAAAGGCTGGGTGCAGCAGGCACATAAGTTCTCACCCTCGGGGGAAAGTAGTTACCGGAGGTACTTCAACTTGTTATCTGGATGGATTCTGGATGGTCTGATCCAGTGAGAAACTGAAGTGCTCCAACGACTCTTTGAGCGCCCTCGTCCATCCTCCCTCAGGCTGCAGCCAGGCATCCAGATTTCCAACCTCTCACCCCATCCCTTTGCCCCGTTCCCACCTGTTCACTTTCCACATTCCACCAAGTGCTGGTCGGCTACCAGTGATTTTGGTGGAGAAGGGCCACCGTTTTGTGCGAGTGGAGTCGCTCCAAGGAGCCTGACGTCGCAAAGTCTCAATGATAAACCAACGAGGTCCAGGGGTTTCATTCGTGATGTCTCGGCCCCTCTGCCACTAAACCGAACTATTATTTGCCCGCCAGGCCACCAATCCTCCGACAATTATTATTCCCTTTGACAGGGAACAACTGTGAACGCTTCTCCTGGCGGACTATTTCGACTTGTATTCTACTTGCCAGGGTCACTCACAGACAACCGCTCGTGCTCTGAGGCCCTCGTGTTGTTTGTTCTCTGCTCGTTGGTCCCTTTCTCACGCAGCACTCCCACACTGGGTGGTCATCGCCTCTCCCAATCCTTCAAACTAAGACTCAAACGGAGACCCCGACAGGATTCAGGGTCCAATCCTTCAATTTCCCCCGTCACCATACTGTATCTGCGTTTGTTGGGGGGTCTTGTTTGGGTCTGGTGGCCCCGTCTACGGTCTTGGCTCTTTTTTCGTGTGGGATCGACCCGAGAGCACCTAAGCAGATCGCAGATCCGCGACCTGGGGTCCTCCTAAATTAAAGCCACCCTCGGACGACTGGCCAACGACGCCAAACAGCCACCAGGGGCCATTGAGCCTAAGCTCCTGCACTCGTATTCTCTGTGCCCACTTCTGCTGTCTCGTATTCCTGTTTCTTTTTACCCTGCCTTCTGCTAAATTCTGCTTCTTCCACCAACTTGCTCCTGATCTCACCCACGCGTTCGCCTCTTCCGCCATGGTCCGGTTACCGTTACCCCAGCGGCTCAGCTCGCACTTGACCGCGAGGAGCGCAAGCTCGACTCCGGGCCAGAGCAGAAGTACCAGTCCAATGCGCTCAGTGGATTCAAAACCATTACTGATCAAGGTGACTGTGGTCAAGGTAAGTCGACCACCAATGCCGACCAGCGTACCCCGCGCCACCTGGCCTGAATCTCGCTGACCGGGGCCGTCATGGTCTTAATAGGGTCGGAATCTTGCGGCGAAAGATCGACGTGGCACAAGCGACCCGGTAAGCACTCACGCGACCAGGCAATGCTTAGCTCCCAGCCAGATCGACAATCGCTGACAACTCCCTGGGGCAGTACTTGGTGGTCACATTGGGCGACGCGAGACAATCGACCCCTACGATATCGAAGACATTGAACCCGGAATGGAACGTTTCCTTCGAAATGCCCATCATGGGCGTCCCTCTACTGGAATTCATCTGTTGGGACCATGACCGCTTTGGCAAGGATTACATGGGTGAATTCGACATTGCATTGGAGGACATATTTACAAACGGTCAGGTCAATCAGGAGGTGAGCTGATACAACTCAATTGGAACGATCGGTGTGGCCTACGGTGTCGCTAACGGCCGGCCAGCCCACATGGTACACACTCAACTCAAAACGGGTATCCAACCGGCCCAACCGCAAAATGAAGAAGAAGGAGAAGAAGGATAGCAATGTCTCCGGTGAAATCCTGCTCCAGTTTTCGCTGTCAGACTCGGCCAATCCGAACGCCTCGCCCACCGAGACGTATCGAAAGTTCAAGAGTCTGGTCTGCGCGAGTGACGAGGATGACCAGTCGCCCGACGACCAACTCCCGCAACTTGACCTCGACGAGCTTGAGCAAGAGACTTCTGATGAGACGGATGATCTATCGAAACCCGAGGTTGTTGAGAAGCGCCGCCGTCGCCTGAGGTTGGCTCGCCTGAGACGCAAGTCCCTAGCTGCCCGCGCATATCAATTTTCAGGCTCGGGAACTGGGGTCCAAGGCATTCTGTTTATGGAAATTGTGCGAGTACGAGATTTGCCTCCTGAACGCAATGGTAAGATTTTCTACCTCTTTTGTTTCTCTGTCTTTCCTTCATAGCTCCTAACCCCATCGGAAGAGATCATTGACGCTTTACTTGCCAGTAACTCGCACATCATTCGATATGGACCCCTTCGTCGTGACATCTCTGGGACGTAAGACGCTCAGGACGCCCGTCATCAGACACAACTTAAACCCGGTCTATCATGAGAAGATGGTTTTCCAGGTAATGAAACACGAGCAGACCTATACCATCAGCTTCACCGTGATGGACCGAGACAAGTTCTCGGGCAATGACTTTGTCGCCTCGGCCAGCTTCCCTTTGCAGAAACTCATCCAGTCAGCCCCAGAGGCGGACCTGGAGTCGGGTTTGTATCATTTTGTAGAATTGGATCCCCCCAGTCCGACCAAGTCCAGTCCCCGTTTTGCCGTCAGCCCATCGCCCTCGTCCCAAAGTCTCTCCAAGATGGGCAGACCCCCACTAAAGTCCCGCGGCTCCGCAAATTCAGTGTCATCCCAAACGGTGCTCGAAACTCCCAACCGACTCCCGCCTACATCCGTTCCCGAAGAGAGTGGCTCTGAAATGGATAGCAGCAGCTCTACCCTGCCGGTTCCGCCGGCTTCAATGACGAATTCGACAACGACTGACAGTAGCGACTCAGTCCCTCCAGCAGACGAGGAGGGCTTGCGCGAGTACAAAATCCCCCTGATCCTCAAGAACCGAGACCGATGGGAAGACAAGCACTCGCCCGAGTTGTTCGTCAAAGCCAAGTATCTGCCGTACAGCGCGTTGCGCCAGCAATTCTGGAGACTGATGCTGAAGCAATATGACGCGGACGACAGCGGCCGCATTGACAAGGTCGAGATGACCACGATGCTCGACACTCTTGGATCCACCCTTAAGGAATCCACGATTGATGGTTTCTTCAAACGCTTCAGTAACGAGACTGAATCCGAAGTGGCCGATTTGACCTTTGACCAGTGCGTGATTTGCTTGGAAGACACCCTTCGATACCTTCAGAAAAAGAACTCGGTGCCCGGTATGCCCGCAATACCAGTCCCACGGAGACCAGGTCTCGGGCCATCACCCGTCGGAAGCCAAGAAAGTGAGGAGCCATCCAGCGACGAGGATCTCGTTATAGACACCAGTACCCGCCCACCGTCCAATGCTAATCTCCAGGAAACAGCGGTCCCGACCATAAGCAGTGACGAACAGCCCAGTTCCAACGACGAGGAACTGCAACCCGGCGATCTTGGTGATGAGCGCGGTGAGGAGCACGTCGTTGAGGTCCGCGAGTGTCCGCTTTGCCATCAGCCTCGCCTCGCCAAACGATCTGATGCGGATATCATCACTCACATTGCGACGTGCGCCAGCCACGACTGGCGTCAGGTTGATAACTTGGTCATGGGCGGCTTTGTGACATCCAGCCAGGCACAACGCAAGTGGTATTCCAAGGTCATCACAAAGATCTCGTACGGTGGGTATCGACTCGGAGCAAACTCGGCCAATATTCTTATCCAGGACCGGATTACTGGTCAAATCAATGAGGAGCGCATGAGTGTGTATGTCCGTCTTGGAATTCGGTTGTTATACAAGGGTCTCAAGAGCAAGGAAATGGAGAAGAAGCGAAGTAAGATTTTTTGACCTACCTTGCAAGAATGAAATATGCTGACTTTTTTTTTTCTAGTTCGTCGCGTCCTGCGTTCACTGAGCATCAAGCAAGGCCGCAAGTATGACGATCCGGCTTCTGCCAGCCAGATTCGGGACTTCATCAACTTCCACCAATTAGACATGTCCGAGGTCCTTTTGCCTATTGAGAAATTCCGTAACTTCAACGAATTCTTCTACCGCGCTCTGAAGCCGGACGCACGCCCGTGCTCGGCTCCTAATGAGCCAAAGATTGTTGTGTCGCCTGCCGATTGTCGGTCTGTCGTCTTTGATCGCATGAGCGATGCCACCAGCATCTGGGTAAAGGGCCGTGAGTTCTCGGTTGAAAGATTGCTGGGCAATGCCTACCCTGAAGATGCGGCGCGGTACAAAAACGGCGCGTTGGGCGTGTTCCGACTAGCACCGCAGGATTATCACCGTTTCCATATTCCCGTGGATGGCGTGATGGGGGAGCCCAAGACCATCGAAGGCGAGTATTACACCGTCAACCCGATGGCCATTCGTTCGGCGTTGGATGTTTACGGTGAGAACGTCCGCATTCTCGTTCCCATTGATTCTGTTGCCCATGGTCGTGTCATGGTCATCTGTGTGGGAGCCATGATGGTCGGCAGCACGATCATCACCCGCAAGGCGGGCGAAAAGGTTTCTCGAGCCGAGGAGCTGGGATACTTCAAGTTCGGCGGTAGCACGCTTCTCGTCTTGTTCGAAGAAGGAATGATCAACTTCGATTCGGACCTTGTGGATAACTCCAAGGGTGCATTGGAGACATTGGTATGTATCTAGCGCTGCGTTTTGTCCTCTTTTATCTTTCATTTCACCGATACTGACAGTTTTCCCAGATCCGCGTGGGCATGTCAGTAGGCCACAGTCCCGACATCCCCCAGCATGAACCGGATATGCCAAAGAAGGCAGAGAATGTCACAGCCGAAGAGATGCAAGACGCCAGGCGCCGCATCGAGGGCAGCCTAGCGCCTCCAGCTGACCCAAAAACGCTAATGAGTACCTTGCATTGATTTTGATTCATAAGAATGCATTGAATACCGAACATCAGGGAGGGACAAAATGGACCGGGCTCAGCTCCGTTCCACCGCTTTCGCTGATTATATTGATTGAGTGTGATGGTTACTTTTTTCTGCAATGCTGGCATTGAGGATTCATTCTGGGTACATAGCGTTTTATCATCTAACAGCAGCTGCGCATTATCATGGAGGAGGGCCCCCTCGTGAGGAGAACCCCCTGAATAGGATCTGACAGACATTATACAATATTTTAAGCACTTGACTAAACTTGACCTCTTTCCATTTTATGTATTCTTTCTATAGGCTTAAATCAACGGCATCTGTAGACATTTATTGAAGTAATGAAAGAATAGTTCAGTCAATCGTTGAGGGTATAGAGAGGGGGTTTCCTAAAAAGGACTAGCGGCCCACGCGCCCCGACCAAAACAACCGCGTGCCCGAACCTCCAACCCACCCACCTTCTGCGCATCCTTGCCGCCCGCAGCTTCTTTCGCATTGCGGGCGTGATACTCGAAGTCTACGCTGAACTATCATCGGTACATGCGACCGCATTTTCCCAATTGCAAACACCCCCTGACCCGCCAATCCCGACCGACGAGACGTGGAAGCAGGCGGATCCGACCCTCGAGCGCAACGTCAACGCGAAAAAACGGCCCAACGGCGCAGCAACCGACCACCTCTCAACGCCGCGCGAGCCAGAACTCACAGGCTAAACGACGCGCAATCTTTCTGATCGGCGGAATTCTCGTCAGGGGTGTCCGTCAACGCCCCAAATAACCCATTACCACGACGAGCCCGCGTATCTCCACTCCTGACATGACCATCGCGGTCCTGACGACCTCAACGACCAAGACAAAGCGCCGCGAACCGCTGAGGACAATTGGAATGGCGGCCACTCAGGCGCAATCGCGTTCTGGCGCCGCGTCTGGCGGAGCGGGAAAGAGTGGTGGGGGGCAGAAAAGCACGCGACTGAGCGCGAGCAAGCAGAACCTCGAGGAGATTTCGAATAACGAGTCGAAACGGAAAGCGGGTGAGTGACCGACTGGGTTGTAGGATGGCGATTTACAGCGCGGGGTGGAGTAGTACGAGCGAGGTTGCTAATGGGGACTCTCTTGGGTTTGATTTACAGGTTACGACGAGGACGCGGATGGATTTCAGTTTTCACTGTTGCCTTCGAAGAAACCGAAACCTTCGGTTGAAATAGCGCCGCGCCTTGCTCACTCTGATGTGGAAAATGCGACTCCGAAACCATCACCACGGAGAGGACGACCACCAAAGAAGCGAGTGGAGGAGCACGCGGTGCCAGCTAAGGGGAAAACGACCGAGCTACCAACTGGGAGGCCAAAAAGGGGATCGGTACGGGCGATAGATGATGAAGCAGAAGTACAAGGCGAAGCTGCGGCGCGCTCATCACGGAACCGCGAAATTCATGAAGAGCAACCGGCAGAGAGAAAGAAGAAGAGGGGACGGCCGGCGAAGACGAAGACCAATGAACCGAACGGCTATTACTCACCAGAGCAACCTCCCGCGGGCATCAAGGTAGCTCTACCGACGGCCGACACGCCGGTCATTCAGCGCAATAAGGAGTTCAGAGGAGCGAAATCGAGTAAGGGTGGACGACGAAGTAGTCTGCAGATGCGTGGACGAAGAGCGAGCGACTTGATTGACTCGGGGACGTCGAACGGTAGGGCAATCCGCTTGGGCGATGGGCACTACGTGTTCAACCAAATAGGAAATTGAAAACTGACATGCTCTCTTCTAGCATTGCCCCATCGAGAAGTGAGCACGGCGGACTTTTATAAACACATTGCCGATGAGGGACTTCCCGAGCCGCGCAGGATGCGGCAGCTGCTTATCTGGTGTGCGACTCGTGCGTTGCCTGACAAGCCCTCGGGGTCTCACTCTGAAGAGATCAGTGCGCGTCTAGCAGGTAAAACCCTCGTGTTCTCGTTTGACCATGGTGGGACATGACGCTAATGACTATTCTCTAGCCCGCGCTATTCAGGAGGAAATCTTGAAAGAATTCTCATCCAACTCCGACCTATCCAATTGGTTTAGTCGTGAGGACGTGAGCCCTCCAACGGTGGTCGTGAAGAAGCCAAATCCGAGGAATGTGCAGAACACAGATAAGATTAAGGAGTTGGAAGAGCAAATACAAAAGTATGGAGTCAAACTCAAGATACGGTCACTAAGGAGAGGGCAATGAGCTAACAGATTTCTACTTGGCAGACTCCAAAAAGAGAGACATGCTCTGAACGCACTCCTCAAACAGCCGCCAATTCCACGCATCGATGTTGAACCTCCCAAGAAATCTCCTAAGAAGTCCCCCCGATCCAAACGCCAGCCCCAAACCTCACCCCGCGACGACATCAACACCTCCCTCCTCGACCCCTCACAGCAAGCTATCTACGCCAGCCTCAATCCCTCCTCCTCTACAGCGTCTCAATCACAATCACGAGGAGACGCTACTTCCTCAACTCGACCACCCATGCCACCCTCCGCCGTCTCAGCCCGTCTCTCTCGGATCACAACAGGTCTCGCACCGACACTCGATGCCTTGGCTGCAGGAGTCCACGATATCGAATTATACCGCTCTACAGCTGACGCCGTCTCCTCTCAGATACTGCGCATCTGCGCCCAACGCCTTGAAGAGCGCGATGCTCTGAATACACAGCAACGACTCGCTATTGAAGGTGAAGACGGCGAACAGCGTGTAACTAGAGTATCACGCTCTCGGCCACGGGAAGACTTGGGCTTTATACTTGGAGCGCTTAGTCGCGTGGAGAGGCGATAGCCCTCAAACAAATGAGTTTTTTTCTTACCAGTTTCCAAGCTTCGCGGCGATTGTCATCTTTCAGCGTATTTATTCTTTCTCTTTTCTCTTTACCCGTCCCTTTTCATTGTGTTCAACCGCACAGAGGGCGGACTGGAGTTCTCGATGATGATCCGAACGAACCCGCCGAGAAGCGGGCTGGACATGGCGCAATTTATTGGTTAGGTGTTTGCAATATGAAGTTGGAGATGTTCGTTTAACGAGGGTTGGTCTGTCTTTATGGACAGCTTGGTACGACGGATTGGGCTGGATGGGATGGGAATGGGTTGGATGCATTGCACTTCCCTTCTGCAAGCATGGAGTTTTTGGTGTTGTGTTTTGTTTCCTTTAATATACCGCTTGTCGGATTGGATCTATGTTTATCATTACTCTTGTCCTTTTCTCCTTGTGTTCCATTAGATGGAATATGGGTGTGAGCAGCGTAGGCTAGGCTAGTGTATGTTCCAATGCTATGTCTGCCCAGGTGTACAGTTAATGTTCAAGTTCCAGAATGATGCAATCTTGTCTTATCTTAGCTGGAAGTGGCATAGAATAGGGCATTATGTTAAACCTTTAGATGTCTTGAATAGGTACAGGCAATGACATTCCCCCGCTTAGCATACATATCTTGGCAGGATGCAAGGGACGCAATATATGGGAGGATGATTCGGGGGCTTGACAGAGGTAGATAGGTACTAGATAATCTGCGTACCCTCCACGGGATACTTTGATAGAAGTTTTTGTGAACGTATTCTATTCTCTGTTCAGACTACTGTTCAGTGGCACTCAGCTCGTCATCGGTATCTGGTACTACCCAATATGGTAGTTAGGTAGCCTGGGCAGTCTGGAGATGAAGATGAGAAAAGCATCACCTGTAGCTACATCTGCACTATTCAATTGCACGCATATATCTCCGATAATCAACTGAGACGTCTCTTTGGGTTAAGCGACATTCTCTCAACAAAATAGATGCATCTCTCAAGCCACAATCCAACAACCATCGCCCGGATATATCTCAGTTCTAGGATACTCACAGTCCCATGAAACACACACCCACGTGGGCGAGGACCTCAACCCCAAGAAAGCACAGTGATGCAACAGCAACACCCTACAGGAAGTAATAAGTATCTCCGTAACAGTCGCAGACTCGAGCCGTGGATGTGGAGCCTCTCACTTGGAATGATTGAGAGCGATTTCAGGTTAGACATGAGGTCAGTTGGTTGGACGGCAGATGCGGTGTGCAAGATGGCTGGGTTGGTGGCAAGATTCGGTAGGGCGATCGGCTAGAGGGTTTGTACGAAGATCCGATATAGGAGATAGGTGTATTGTGGCTCCGAAGGATACATCGGGCGGGTGGAATGTTTTGTATGAGCTTGGAGGGTCTTCTTGTGATGAGAAATGTTTATTTTTAGTAGATTAGGATACATATGACGCAAATAGATCACTTTGGAAAAAAAATAAAAAAAATAAGGGGTTTGATCTTGAAGATTCAGAGTTGGATCACGCGAGAGCCTAGATGAGGATCTATGATGTCTTCATAACGACATTTGGCGGTACTTGAAGTATACAATCTAATTAGTAAAAATGCATGAATCATTACACCCCCCATTACCTAGAATGTATGCTAAGATCACTATCTGATTATCAATGCCTACTCTCCTTTGTCCTTCATTGAGACAGCCCGTGTGACATTCAGCAAGAGGATCTAGACATGCCGGCTCGGATCCGAGAGTGCTAGCAAGACAATTTTATGGACCATAGACTCTATCGAAGGCACCTTGTAACCCACTCGGCCGTCTAAACGTGAGCTCAGGTTATGATAAAACCAAAAAAAAATCGAAGGAATCGAGGCAGCAGGCCCATTGGCGAGGATAGTCGTGGGCCGAGACACTCTGACACATGGATCGGACGGTTGAGTACAACTATGGAGAATGGGGTAATCTGTGACTCCATGCAATGCTAGGGCGACTATAGTCCGTGGGGATATGATAAAGATGTTCACAACTTACATGGTAGAGCTACTTATCATATCGGCGTATTAATTACTATTGTTGCTCTTTTTGTGTTTTCTCTAACCTCAAACTCTCGAATCAGTTCCTAGATCGCCGGGTCCTTTCATGCTATCTATCCATGGTTCACTCCCGCAAAGTCACCTATAACTTTGACTGATCTATGGAAAGCTTTTTATCAGAAGTATCCAAACTAGAAGCCAAGATCCAGAAAAGCAAGGAGCGTATATCATCACTGAGACAGTCAGACTTGACCAAAATATCCCAATAGACGAGGCAATAATCCTACCATCCCGTCTTGATTTCACTCTCTTAGCCCACGGTTCCTGTTCCCGGCTCCAGTGCAGGGTGTCGGACATGCGTGTCACGGATGACGGGCACTACGAGCCGGCTATATCGCAAAAGATTAGGTATTGGTCCCTGCGTCTGTCCAGGTTGGACGACCATCCTCGGCAGGCCTAGGATGGTTGGGGGGGGGGGGAGGGGAAAGGTGCTGTGCAACGCCAAGGAAGGGGAGGGGGTGGTACGGCGCGGTGATGCGGTCGCATTGCTGCAGCGAGGATGGAAAGAGAGGTGGAGAGCTGCATTCTAAGTTTTAGTTGTTCTTTTTTTTTATTTAGTTTACGGATCTGCACAGGGAACAGGGCACAGGTGGAGAAAAGAAAGTGACGACGGTGTTGAATCGATATATCAACATGTATGTGGATAGAGTCTAGACCACAATGGGAGGAGAGGTCCATGCGGACGCTGGGTGTCAGCATCCCGAAGATAATTCAACTTGGGTCCCTTCATCCACGGCTCGCATTGTTGTCTATCTGCTGGCGTGGCCAGTCTTGGCCAATCCACAATAAGCACTAGACACTAGACGGACATTTAATGGGAATGCGCTAAGAGGAAAGAGTCGATTTGTAGCCGGTAGCAACTTGTCTGCCTGTGAAAGGCCGTTGGCCAGGGCCAAAGTAATCCAAAGCCACGGGAAGCTTAATTCTTCTAGGATTTGAGCCAACGGCTACGGCGTACACGAACATAACCTCCCATCCTGCTGCAGGTCAGTTGCTTCTTTTTTTTTTGCTATCGCCCTTGCTGTAGGCGATGGACCGGTGGGTGGCACAATGACGCGCCAAAGATTCCTACATTGAGACACCGGCTGACATCATGAAGGATGGCAGTGGGAGGGTCTGGTCAAGCCCAGAGTATGTGCATGTGCATGGGTCTTTATGTTGAATCTGAATTTGAATCTGATTTCCTCAATGGTTTGGTCATGGCTGAGACGTACACACAGTACTTTGTACCGTGGATGTCGTCGAGAGAAACCCAACGCAGAAGGAAGGAGGAAAGCAAACCAGTTTCCCCAGAAAACTGTGCGACCTGTCTGGTATCTCCCATATGCGTAGCTTGCGAGGGACTTGTGTCTTGCTCTTGCCTTATGATCGAGTGGATCCCGTGGCTGGGTTTGTAGATGGGGCGGTTCAGGATACTTGCCTCCGCGTCAAAAGGAGGGCGTGATTCCTTCCGAGTGGTGATATCTTGGAGTAGTCGAATTTTCAGTCGATCAGGAACGAGGAATCTTGCATACCTCCATTTCTCCTGTCGGGTGATTTCCTCTGGGTATTTAGTGTGCGTTAGTCTGATGTGTGGTGTCCATCATGAGTCATGGATGGCACCAAGGAGAGGATGGACTGGGCCAATTTGCAACAGATAGACGGGGAAAGACGATATGATAGGTCCAGCAGCCCAAGAAGCTTATAGGAAAGGAGTCCTAGTTAAACTGGTCTAACTACTTGACTGCTATTCATCATACCAGCCTCGATGATCGCTAAAGGAGCAGTTTACTAAGTTCAGCTCAAAATGTTAAAGCTAGATACTCAGCCCTCGACCGATTCCACTTATAAATTGTTTCACTATCAATGACTAAATATATCATAATAACAATAAATCACAGGAATTCAAAGTCTCTCTGTTCTCCTGGATGTACTGTAGCTGTGAGCGAATTATGCTGATGCTCTCGGTGGGCCAACCTCTTAGCGGCGGCTCTTCGAAACCTTTTCCCAACAACGACCCAGTCTTCATCACTACCACATCAACTCACCACCACCACCATCACTATCACCATCATTACGACATTCAATTCGGATTAATCCGCTCGATCCCTACACAAACAGCGGGTCTAAGCTGCAATAGGCTCTTGTCACTTGTGGTACCTCCCTCCGTGGAACCGGGAGTTGCTGCTAGTTCCTTTGCCAATGGAGCTCGGACATCCTTGGCCCCCCTTTGTGGCCCGTGAAATAATAAATCGATTTTGGATAATTTTTCCTTTTTCGGTATTCTAACTCCCATTTTCACCGGCGCTATGCTGATCCGGACAGCTTCGATAAGCCCCAATGCCTGTCGATCAGTCTGTGGCGACGGAAGCTGGCTCCTCCTCGATTGAGTGTCTTTAGCTCTCGGAGCATACATTGAGCATGGCTGATTCATTATCGTTCCAGACTCGTTCCTCACGCCAGGAGGTTTGAAAGGAGTCTTGAAAAAAAGATATCCTAGCTCCCAAATGGCCGCCGGAGCCTCTATCACTCCCAGCCAAGCACCGAATCAAGCTCCGTGATTTTTCATCGTGGCGAATCAACTAGCGCGGACTGAGAGTCTACAATGGCAAACCACTGGGAAACCCCAGCACAGGGGGGTCTTCCTTCCCCTCTCGTCTATTACTGGATGGCTACACATTGAAATCATTTCCTGACCCTACCACTGCCCGAGGTACTTCCGATCTCTCTGTGCGGTCCACTCGGTTTGGTCTTTTTGGCTTCTGGGCTCTCCGAGTTTCCTGCCTTCATGTGGCCCGTGTGTTGCTCATCTCAACGGCACCGTCTTTGGAGCCTGTCTCTATCCGTGTAAATAGCAGAGGCACTCGCGGGGTCCGGGTTGTTCACGATCCTTATATATCAGCTTCCCCGCTAGGCTGCGGCCCTTCACCCATCGAGGTTATACTACAGGTCCATTTTCCATTCTCGGTCTTCATCATTTCTTCAGCGTCAGATATCGTTATTGTCGGACCTTAAATTGCGCGATCACTGATTATGCATTTGTGACATAATTCATCATTCCTGACTGCGTGCCTCCTTCTGATCTGCACATTTTGTGTGTGAAGAAAAATTTAAGCTCCTGCTGGTGGGCAGCATCACGCTAACCATTCGGGTGGCCAACGGTTCTGATTCTCTGCTACCTTTGAAAACAAGGTTAGTCACTTGATCTGTCTATCGAGTTTAATAGGTGATCTCATGGAGCAAACAAAAAATAGGCCCTTTTTCTTTTACAAGGCCTTTCCCTGCTAGCAATATGATTTCGCATAGTTGACTGTTGCTAGGCGAACACCTTACCATAATCAACGATCACCTCATTTCAACGCTGCTATTCTTAGCTTGGCTACTGGTTTTCAAAAATTGGAGAGCGTGCTGTGATCAAATCACGAATCAAGAAACAAGAAAGGAAGATCTGTGAGAGAGTTGCAAGCCAAAAGTGTCCGCCCGAGGATGGCGGGGGGATACTTCGACCTCCCCGTCTCCCGCCGGTCCTGTACTTCTGATGCCTTGGGAACATCCATCAAAACATCTTCAGGCTCGCGGACATCCTCTTTACCCGCGTATACCGAAGCTGTTAATCCTGCAGGCCCGCAGTCTTCGCCAGAAAGATCCAATGACGTGGGCGCTCAGGGCAGGCATCAGAATGCCGGCATTCTACCCAGCACCAATTGCGTCAATTTTATCGTGGTCGATCCCGAGCCGAAGGAGTCCACTGGTAGTGAAGCTACAGTCGAATACCGACTGGACTGTAGGGGGAGCTCACAGCTCCCTCAAAGACCCGCCCCCACTGCCAACATTCCATTCATCCAGGAAAAGGGAGCCGTGGACGCTCAGCGGGAACCCTCAATAGAAGATAAGCAACCAGGCGTGTCAGCCTATGTCACCGACCTGACGACCAATGGGAAGACCAGCTCTTTGCTTGTAGGGGACAATGAGATCAGTCGCGGGGCCAAAGGAGGTACGACTGACAAGGGGCGAACAATATGCTATGCCCGCCAAAGGGCCCGACGACTGGCATCCCTTCTGAGTCGACGCCAAAAATCTCCGAAGCCAAGTCCTCAAACCAACTTGAGCACATCAATTGCTTCCACTTCCATCCCCAACGAGACTGTGTTCTCTTTAGAGGAGGGCAATGGAATTTCTTTGATCAGCATCTCCGAGAAACAACAACTGTTTGGCGACTTCGCTGCAGCGACTATCACGTTAACCGATGAAGAGGAAGCGGGCGAGCTAGACGGGCGATCTACAACGCACACTGCAGAAGCCCAGTACATCGTGCGCCAAATGTCCCGACGAGATTTTTCCTCTTTTATTACCGGCGTTCGAGCCCCCTCGCCCGGCCCGCTATCTGGCCAGGTTACTCCGTCCGAAGGCCGGCACTCGGAGAGCTCCCTCGAGCGGCCCAAGCACTATAGGAACGGTATCCTATCTTCGATTCTGAAACTATACGACCAGCAGGGTGCCGCGTATAACAATCACAACCACGGCCACTCCCCATACGGGCGGGGCCAGTATGGACATTCCCGGCAGGGCAGCGTCTCCGACGAATATAGCGGATGCGACTATTCCCCAGACCCTGTCTGGAAACCATCCCGGCCCAGAAAGTGGTACGAGAAGTCGCCCAGCCAATCCAGCACTTCCCTCACAGGTTCGCTCAAAAATGCCTCTCCGATTAATATGCTGAGGCGCTCCCGCAGTAGCGGTGCCGTTACGGGAGCGTCTGGGACACGTCGATGGGCGAAACCAAAATTGGAACACGATATTCGTATCACTGTGCATATTGAAGAGCTTCTCTCTCGACAAAGTTATCTCATCAGACTCTGTCGAGCGTTGATGAAGTATGGCGCTCCCACGCACCGCTTGGAGGAATACATGCGGATGACAGCGCGTGTTTTGGAAATTGACGGTCAATTCTTGTACATCCCAGGTTGTATGATTATCTCGTTTGACGATGCCTCCACGCATACGACGGAGGTGAAAGTTGTTCGATCAGACCAAGGCATTGATCTTGGTAAACTGGCTGATGTACACGAGATCTACAAGGAGGTGATACACGATGTGATTGGTGTGGAGGAAGCCATCCAGCGACTCGACGAGACCATGAAGAGACACAACAAGTTTCACATTCTCTTCCTGATCTTCGCACATGGGTGCGCGAGTGCATCGGTCGGCCCTTTTGCCTTTAATGCCCGACCAATCGACATGCCTATCGCCTTCCTATTAGGATGTCTCTTGGGCGTGCTCCAGCTCATCTTTTATCCAAAATCGAGCCTCTACTCCAACGTCTTCGAGATCTCGGCAGCTGTACTCACATCCTTTCTCGCACGCGCTTTCGGAAGCATACGATATCAAGGCGAGCCGCTTTTCTGCTTCTCCGCTCTCGCCCAGGCCGCCATCGCCCTCATCTTGCCAGGGTACACCGTCCTCTGCGCCAGTCTCGAGCTCCAATCCCGCAGCATCGTCGCCGGATCTGTACGCATGGTCTACGCCATCATCTACTCACTTTTCCTCGGGTTCGGAATCACCATCGGCACCGCTGTCTATGGACTACTCGACTCCCAAGCAACGACGGCATATACATGCCCCGCCAGTCCAATCAACAACGAATACCTTCAGCGCTTCCCCTTCGTACTCCTCTTCACGGCATGCCTCGCCATCGTCAACCACGCAAAGTGGAAACAGATCCCAGTGATGATGGTCATCTCTCTAGCCGGATACGTCGTCAGCTACTTCAGTTCCAAGCGCTTCTACTCAAATACGCAAGTTTCAAACGCCCTGGGCGCGTTCGTCATCGGCGTCATGGGCAACGTGTACAGTCGAGTCCGTCATGGTCTCGCAGCTGCTGCCATGCTACCAGCGATATTTGTGCTGGTGCCCTCCGGCCTCGCTGCAAGTGGATCCCTGATTTCGGGAATCACCTCTGCAGAGGAGATGACCCGGTCGCCCTATGCCGTTGTCGCTAACGGCACACAGGGCTTCGTGGACGCGGCGAAGAACCTGTCTGCGGCTGAAGCGAGGAATCAGAGCTATGGTGTTGTATTCGATATCGGGTACGGCATGGTTCAGGTGGCTATTGGTACGACCGTGGGCCTTTTTCTTGCTGCTCTTGTGGTATACCCGTTGGGTAAGAAGCGGAGTGGGTTGTTCAGTTTCTAGCCCTTAGCTCCAAGGGATATTATGTTCAGGATTGGCTTTTGCTTGTGTGAGAACAGTCAATTGTCTCGGACACCTCGTGCCATGTGTGCTGTACCTTGACTACATATTTCATGCCAGGTCTAAGGAGGAGCTTGTCGTTTCCCGTGGAGTCCCGTGGAGTGACCTTATTCGCTTTTTTGTGTCTACCAAACCGTTTCAATCATTCATCATAGTGTGGGAGTAAACAGAGCCTACTCACTACTCACATGCCCTTGGTCACCATTCTCTCCATTTGCATATTTCACTTCTCCCTGCTACCCTCACTCTACTATACCCCTATCTTCACCCTCCTTCTTTCCTCCACCACCGACAAAGTCCATATCAATTCATCAACCAGGCCAACCAATGTCCTGTCTCATCTGTCCAGCCATACATAGAAAGCTACGATTTCCACGAGTCACGATCAAATCATTAAGGCCCTCAATCCCTTCACACGTTTTGCCTTGCTTTATGTCTTTCATTTGACTGATGTGCAATCTGGACCCTTAGTTTTTGTTTTTACCTTCGGCAATAGTCCCTCCGGTTCTATTTTATCAGCTCGAGAAAGTATATCTGTGCCGCGGCGTGTTTTGTTTTCTTTTTCTTCCCACTGGTTACTTAGTAACGGTGTGTCTGGGGTCTGTCTGTTTCTGAGCGAATTTGATTCTACTTTTTATGCATCTAGGCAATGACTGTGTTATTTTGGGGCTGGGTGTTTACCCTTATATGAACCTAGGGCCTTAAATGAAGTCAAGTCATGCTGAGTACGAGGATCACAGCTATTCCCGTAGGGTTAAGCGACTCCCTCGAACGTAAGGTTATTTCCCGGTTGGATGGAAGAGTAGATACAAGTGTACTTCGCACTACACTCTTGAGAGTTACGGTGGTTGTCTGGAATTTGTAGATACCTCTACACACTGAGAGTTACATATAAGGCACAAGTTTAGCTGCAGAGCTATGTATTGATTGATTGGACTAGAAGGCCCTTTGCTTAGGCCCCTAGGGGTAGACTGTACATAACCCGATGTACGTCAGAGGCCCGAAAAGACAAAAAGAGAGAGAGAGGACAGGTCAAATTCGACGCTGTCAATCCAACCTCAAAGCTTGCGATCCACGGATCGGCAAGTAAATCATGGATGTGATTTGTGAGCTCCCACCTCGATAAGAGAGGAGGAAAGCTGAACGTCGCCAAGTGGAAAAAAAAAGTGAAAGAATTGGGCAAAAGCCGGCAAGGATCAAGAAAAGAAAAGAGGTCATTGCAGACTGATCCAGGTCTTTCGTCACACACACACATGAAGTCTGACACGGGTGGTCAAGATAGAGGAACAAAGAGCGAATAGAAGGATAAGAGTCATCGGCGAAACTAGGCGATGAGAGGAAGCATAGAAGCCCACCCGATAGAATGAAGATGAATAAGAAAAAGAAAAGGCCAAGAGAAAGGTCATACGTCGCTGTCACATGATGGAGTCGGCATTACATCAAAGGGTCTTGCGCTTTTCAGCGCTGGACAACACAAGCATTGGCGTCTTACGGCGTTCAGGTGCTTGTGTAGCCTGCCCCTGGCCCGCAACGACGGCCGCCACAGAGGGAGAGGTAGTGACAGACGTCGGGGATGAGACAGTGTCCGAGAACCTGGACCCAAAGTAGCCGTCCTCACTGGTTGGGGTGACGTTGTGGAAAGCGCTATCGGGGGACTTGCGCTCCCTGCCGGTCTTCTCCTTACGCTCAGATCCAATAGCACCATTGGCCGCAGCCCGAAGACTGCCCAAGCTAGGCTTGCTAGAGAGACTGCCGCTGCGAACTGTGGCATCATCGCCATCGGAGAAAGTGAACTCCTTTTCACTGGCGGGAGTGTTGGTACCACCGCTGCTGTATCCGAAGCTGCGAGTATCGCCTCGACGCTCAATACCAGCACGGACTAGATTGTGAACGGCACGGCGCCGCTGGCGAGTTGCAAAGTTCTTGCTTCCCTCATGCTTCGAGGTTGGCTTGGCCACGAGATCCTCAAGCGAGGGCGGTCCACGGGGCTGACGGATGGGATGCTCACCCGCACGGGCCTGGCCGGGACCGAATGTTCCAGTCGCCGGGGTAGGAGGAAGCACAGCAGATCGAGGACCAGTTCCAATGTTCGCCTTGGTAGTGTCAATGTTGGTCTTGAGCGTCGGGTTAAACAGCGCGCCCTTTCGGTTGTTGCGACGGAAAGCAGAAGACTCGGCAGGGGGAGACGGGGTGCCACTAAGTGGGGAGACCGGCTGAGAGGACTGAATCGGGGATAAAACAGATTCGGCTGGCGGAGAGATCTCAGCACGGAACTGAGGAACCTGTTGACCAGACGAATAGTTCTCGGCATAGCCGTGGGACAGACCGTCATCCTGGAAGCTGTTGTCCATGATATAGCTCTGTTGACCGGTGAGAGGGTTGTAGACGGAGAACCAGCCAGGCTGTCCAGGGACAGGCTGCACAATCGGCTGCACGCCCTGCTGAAGCTGCTGCTGATAGAAACCCATGCCAGCACCCATTGCAAGCGTAGGAATGGGCTGCTGTTGAGGAAGAGCCATTCCCCCCAAGTTGAGGCCCTGGAACTGCTGCGCAGCAGCGGTGACGCTGATCAACTGCTGTTGTAGACGTTGCTGCTGTGCAGCCAGGAAGAGGTTGGTCGACATCAGCTCGGCGTACAGGTTCTCATCAATGCCATTGTCAGCGCCCATGTCAAGAGTCGGGGGTGCGAGCACCTGCTCCGGCATAGTGTACATAGGACGACTGTGGTGGGTATTCATCCCCTGGCTTTGAACGTAAGCGTGCTGCGGGAATCCAGCTCCCGTCGCAGTTTGTGGGACACGGTCGTTCCCTCGGCTGGTATAACCACCATATCGGGAGCTATCCATGCCGCTGCGCTGCTGGTGTTGCTGCTGATGGTGGGAGGGGATGGTGGCAGACCGGGGAGCAGTACGGAGCCCGGCCAAAAGGTGCGAACGGCTAGTGCGGGGAGTTGCCAAGGGCGCAGTAGCTTGGGACTCATCAATGGTAGCGACCTGAGGAGGCATGCTCAAGCGCTTGATGTGCGAGCCCTTCCCCCGTGAAGCGAAGCCAGAGCCCGGGACACCGAGGGAAGTGCCATTATTGAAGTTGTTGTTGTAGGTCATTTGAGTAAGACCGCCAGCGTCCATACTCATAGTTTCGTGGAGTCTCGGAAGAGGGTTGGCGGGTCAAGGGGGGTATGTGCAAGGAGCTGAGAGTAGAAACGTCAAGTTGCGTTCAGTTCTCCGTGACGGGTTTCGGGAAGCGTTTGGGATCAACCACAAAGCTTCAAGCTTCTCTTTTGCCCTGGGGCGATTAAGTGATTATTGGAGGTCTAGGACGGAAAGATCTCAAACTGAAAATCCAGATCGAGTCGATGAGATTTCAGTGCAATCGAATGAAGGGATCGTGGGGACAGGTCGCGAGGTCTGCGTCCAGGAGGTAAAGTGAGTAAAAAGCAGGGCTGAGGAGTCGGTCGAGAAAAGAGTGGGTCGCGTACCACAAGCGAAGATATGCAGTTAAGAGCGAAGGACAGACGGGTCAATGAAAGACCACGGATGCAGGATGTCAATATTATCAAGCTGTACAGAACAGTGCAAGTGTTTCTTGACCGAGGATCGAAGTGTCCAAAAGCCAAGAGAACGGTGAAAGGACGAAAGTCACGGCAAAGAAAAAGGCGATGCAAAGACACCAAAAGGCAATTATGGGAATATCGAGCTCTCTCACGCGAGATCGAGAAGCAATAGAAGTTGGCGGGAGATGCTCTGCAAATCCCAGCAGGAGAGAAATGAAGTTCGACGCGGTCACTGGGGCACGAGGGCTCGGGAGGCTGAGAAAAAAAACACAACCAAGTGCGAGTCACGACCGAAGAGGCAGGTTCAAGAACCGGCGGAGAGTGAGGGCGAAACAAAGCAAAATCAAACCCCTAGCACGATGATCGATACGAGGGGAGACCGTGCTGAGGGGAGAAGAGGAGATCGCAGGCGAATCGAAGGGTGAATATCGGGCTTTCGGGTCTCGGCCAAACGCAAGCAACCTTTTTCTCTTTTCGAATCTCTCAGGGGCGGAACGAATCGGAAGACTATTTGCAGTATCTTTTTGGAAGAGGAGAATTTTCTGAAACTTTTCCCAATCAAGATGAGCTGATAATGAAAGAATGCAGGGAAAGAAAAAGAAAGAAGTGAAGATTAAGATCCGGGGGGAGAGGGGGGGAGAAGAGAGGAGGATGGGGGGAGTGAAAGAAGAGAAGAGCGAGGGCGAGGGCGAGGATGTGGGGAGAGAGGGTTTGTGCCTTGAAGCCTTTGGGCCTGAGGCATTAATCAGTGGTTGTCAGGTACGGATCTCCGCTAGACCGAATCGGGACTAGTGTAAGCACATGATTGGCCCATATTTCTATTCTGGCTAGGCCTAGTGTCGGTTTGTCCATGCTCTTTTCTACTCCTATACAGTCCTCCGTTCGTCTCTCAGTCAGACATGACGGGTCTTCAGTACAATCCAATTCTCCTCTAGCTCCACTTGTACGCGAGCAGTCACTGCCTGCCATTCGAGCGGGGACAGTCGAACAAAGAACAAGCTGTTCCGCCCCCCAAACGCACCAATGGGGTGGTCTCAGCGCCCGACCGCTGCAAAAGGTTCTGGCCTCATCACATCTCGGGCCCATCCATTGGTCGGGAGACGCCCACTAGCGTCGCCCAGTCAATCACAACAACATCCAGTCAAACTTGCTCTCGGCGTCTCACAGCGCCCCTAGAGCCGCCTGGCGCTGCTGCCAAACTCCCGGTGTCAGCCAATAGGTACAACTCGTCCCCGTTGGTGAGGCTCTCCGTGGCAATTCGCAAGATGTACATAAGCCTTTCGCCAGGGCTGAATGATCGAGTGACTTGCATGACCCACAGGACGGAAGACTTGACTTGGTAGCTGAGGGGTTCGCTTGCGACGAGTAGGACAGTGTCCTGCTCTGCCAATCATGTCAGAAGGAATGGTTCCCGTCGAGATATATCGATTAGCGAGCATTGGCATCTTACATGGGTCACACGCTCGCCACATTCATGAGCTGAGCATTGAGGGAATGATTCCTGATTCTGCTAACCCAGCAGATTTGTCCAGTCGTACTTCTAGTTAGAAGTCTCTGAATATGTACATCCGGAGAAAAGCTCTAGTGTGAGGTCCTTCAGCTTTTGTTAGAGACATCTCTCCGAATATATTATGAACTATATTTCTCGATAGCTATGCCGTTGTCTCTTGGATTATTATTCGACGCATGAAGTCGTAGTTTCCGCGGGGCCTCGACCTTACAGAATGCAACTGTATGGAAATAATGTCTTGCAGAGATCGGCAGCGGGGGATTTGCATTTTGCACAGGCCTTAGCGTGAAGGGTGCTTCCAATTGCCTCCGGAGTACTAACAGGTGGAGATTGGGATATGCATTCTCGACTACGGAGTGTATTCGCATGACGATGGCTGCTCGCACAGAGTGATTGGTTGGTTTCCTATGTACACAAAAAACTGTCTATACAGACAAGAAACAAGAAACACCCTTGTCGGGAAGTAGCAGCCATCATCGACATTTTGCGAGTCAAACAATATGCAGTCATTTCAGAAATGGTACAAGACCTTATCCTCCCATGAGGGAAGCGGTTTAGTGGGCAAGGAGAATAGTGAAAACATAGACAAGACACGGAAGAGAAACGTTGGGGTATCTGCTGGCCACGGAGCCTTGGTCTCTAGCAGAGAGACTGGTATGCCAGAAGTCGAAGAAAAATAATGAAAGTCGTTACGGATACAGAACAGAAGCCAATGACCGAGATCAATTAGGCATCCATGACTGGAGCACCAACCCGAGGGGGAATGGTGACCGCGCCGTTCTGAGGCGGCAGTTGTTTACTCTCCAGCTCGGGAGATGGGCCTTTGCCGTTCATGCGATCAAACTCCAATGTCTCCGCCAGCTCAGCTGCCATGGGGTCAAGCTCCTCTTCCTTGAGACCAGTTGCCAGTGCCACAAGCTTTCGGTGAACATCGAACTTGGTACTCACACCAGCATCGGCAGTTTGCTGTGCGAGATCCTTAACCACGCCGCGACGCGTGTTCTGCGCGGTGACCAGAGCGCGTGCCAAGTTGAAGCGTTCCATTAGCTCCTCCTGGATGAGAGACGATGGCTCAGGTTTCGAAGCCTCGAAGGAGACACCGTTATTCAACTGAGATGAAAGGCGAGCATGTTGTAGTTTCTCGAGGAGAGATTCGTAGTTGGTCCGTACCTTCTCGTAGCGGCTGAACTGATTCTCGCTGCGCTCGAGCTCGGACTCCTTGACGTTGAAGGCAGCCACTTGTTTTTGGATTTTCTGCCGGTCTGACTCCAATTGTTCGTAGAGAGCTTCCGGGTTCGCCACGTCGTTGGAGTCTTGCTGGTTGAGCTTGGAATTGCCGTAAGTCACCGCAAGTTTCTTATTGGCTTCAGACATGATGGTTCCGATCTTGGAGAGAAGCTCCGAAGTGACGGTGGAGTCGACAGGTGGAGCAAGAGATTGATGGTCTGAAGGCATCAGATCGCGCCCGAGGGCGTCGGCCTGATCGTTGGCCATAGTGACGGAGGACGGGGCTGGTGGGATATCATGCTCTGCGTGTTGTGAGCGTTGGGTGAAGCGTTGGATAATGCTGCTGGCTGTCTCTCCCTTCTTGTTCATGAGGTCGCCGGCACGGGGACAGTGGGTGAGGAGCATGTTCACTAGACGAAAAGCGCCGTTGCGTGCAGCTACCAAGGCAGCGGTGTCACCATTGTCGTCCTGACAAGACAACAGTAGATCGATCTCGTCCTGCGAACATGATTTGCACAGCTTGTCAAGGGTAACCTCACAGTAATACCTTGAGCTCTTCCACTTGCCCTTACTTCTGGTGGTCTCCGCAATGTGGTGGAACAAAGTCGCACCGAACCAGTCCCTAAACGAGATGGTATCCAGAAGCAAATCTAACACAGCAGGGAACGTTCGCTTCTCATAGTTGTTCGTGAACAGAACAGCTCTCACAAGCGGGGTTTCTTCGTGGACCGACAGAGCCTTGATGTCGGCCCCTCGGCGAAGGAGATCCTGAATGATCTCCAGATCACCCATCGAGCAAGCCCAGTGCAGAGCGGTGTTACCCGAGTCGTCGATAGCGCGGTCAACTTGGAAGTGGGCAGGTGGTTCTGGAGGTTGAATGTGTGTTGCCTGTGAGGCATCGCCCACCGTCATGAAATAGTCTAGGAGTTGGTCACCATAAATGATATGCTCCTGCTCCGTAATCGACATTACGGCCGGCTCATTCACACCGCGCTTGCGCTTGCGGCCTGTATGCTGCGACATCTGAGCCATGTCTTCATCTGCAACCATGGAGGATGATTCAATAGTCGCTTGCTCAATTGACTCAGTGTCATCGAATCCAGCGCCCATCTCATATTGTTCATGAGGAAGACTCGGAGGGCCCATACTCCGCTGAGGCTGGACGACATTCAAAACCTCTGCAGGAGCTGGAGCGCGGTTGGTAGATTTTCGAGGGGCTCGAGGCTTCGAAGATGCTGAGCTGTGTTTCGGAGCCGGTGGAGGACTGCGTTCTCCAGCGACATACTCGAAGATAGGAGCTAGTTTGGTAAAGATGTTGTTTCGCTCCGCAAGCATGCGACCCTCTGGCAGCGGGATCCATGTTCCTATAGCAGGCCGTCTTGTCAGCTACAAGATTTTCGCTTCCTCTGTCGAGTCCACACGCTGTCACATACCCTGGTATTTACCGTAACCACCTTGCACTTTCTCATGCAAGCCCTTCTGCACTTCACGTTCGAGAATTCGGGTTCTCGCAGGCTTGTCAAAGCCAGCTGCTTTCAAGATGTGTGTTGCGTTGACCCAGTCATCTCCTCTCCGTCGCATTACACTATCGCCGTCGATTTTGAACTCGTACACCGGGACCTGGAAGGGGCGACGCACGTTAGCAACGACCGAGGCAAACAGGCACTGTGCAAGATCCGTTTTTCCGGAAAAAAGATGATAGCGAACGAGGGAGAATCTCCGATGAGATACGCACACTGCTGTAGGTGGCAGAATAGATAGACTCCATTCCCGCCATAGTGAGTTGTTGCCGAGTCGCGGCGAACCAGTACGTTTCCGAGCAGCGACTGTGGCACGCACGTAGGCGCCCGAAACCGCCTTAAAGATCCACAAGTCGATTGAATCAGGAATGAATCAACTGTCGACACATTGCACGCACTCAAAGCCGGTCCGAAGGTGTAGCGACACGATTTGCTGGGTGGAGCTAGGGTGGCATCGCAGTTACGCGATGAGACGCGATGAGACCGCGTTAAGTGGATTTTGGAGACTAAACTGCTTTCGGCAGAGAATCACGTGACATAGAGCACTAGAGTTTCGGTCATGTGACTTGGATCGGGAAGCAAAGGGAACATAGCGAAACGCTGCAAACCGCCTACCTTCGCCGTCTTCGCCCTGTCCTTCCTCCTCCCCACCGTTTTTGCCCCCCGAATACCTGCAAAATGACTGTCGTCGAGTCGGTCAAGAACGCCGTGGGTCTTGGGGAGACCTCGGGTACGATTGCCCGGTTCAATTGAGCCAATCATCCACCCTGGATCTTGATGACCTGAAGCTAACTTGATGCTGTCCAGCTACCCGCAAGGAAATGTCGGAGGCCCGTCTCCCTATGCAATATCGCGACTCCTGCGCACACCTCCTCATCCCGCTGAACCGCTGCCGGCAAGCCGAATACTACCTTCCCTGGAAGTGCGAGGTACGCATTTACCCCGAATCAGCGCGTTTCTGCCGGTCTTCCCTCTTCCCCTGCATAGGTCGCACGTGATGAATTGCGCACTGATTAATATCTTTTTCTCTTTCATTCAGGACGAGCGACACTCGTACGAGAAGTGCCAATACGAGGAGTTCAAGAAGCGTGTGGCTAAGATGGACGAGCTCCGCGCCTCCAAGGACGGCGCTCGCAGCAACTAAGTTTGTCAATTTCGTGATATGTGTTTGCACGGTCAGGACTGCTGGAAAAGCAGCAGGTTATGTACATAGAGGATATACCGAGACTGCTCATGAACCGCCTTGTATGGCGTTGGGACCCCCCGGGGAACTTTGGCTAGCCTTTTCCTTTGCTCTAGCAGATCACCGTGGCTGCCCACTGCGATCTTTACTCGTTGATATCGGAGCATTTCCTACTCCCAGTCCTGCTGGTGAGACGGAAAGCTGGATGATACAGTTGGGGGGCTCCCTGCAAGTGCCCAACGAAGAAGACGGGATTGTCTCACAGCCGATTGGTCAAAATCGTACCCTGGAGGCTTGACATAATTCTTTTATGTGATCAGAGTAGCGAGTAGAGCTAATTTCTTCCGCGGGCCATATGTCGATGGGTCTGTGTTGGGTTTCTAATTATACGGGTCGTGGCACATACTGTAGTTAGTTTGTCGATCAATCATCTTCCTATTTGTCAGCAGATTTTCCGGGCTTTGCAGACTCTCCGAATCGGATACTATCGTGGCCTTTCTCCTCCCTCGTATTATTGGCATCTTGCGTGGCTTACAGATCCATGCGAGCTTTTCTGCGGGGAATACATGCACATTGTTGGACATTCGGGACATGCCTCCGATAGGGACTGATGGTGTGACTGGAAAATAGCGTGGCGCGCTATGCGCCGGGTCCTGGCCGCAGGATTTCCGACTAGGGTTATGTTGCATCAAGCTCTTAAAGGGAGAATATATTTGAATGGAATTCTTCATGGTCTGATTATAATTTTGAGCAAAATAGAATCTATACTTCGTACTCCCCGTCCAAGGACCACAAACCGCGGAACCATCACCTGACTGCTTAGAAATCTTCCCGCCGTTATCGCCGTAATCTGCAGGTTGAGCCCCGCCGGGAAGCATTGCGGCGTCTGAAAATTCCCCTCTTCATGCAAGAACTCTAAAGAATCGGGCAGAACGAGGGGAATATGCGCCGTTTCTTTTCTCCTTAGAATCTCTATTCGGATCCTTCCACGGCTGGCCTCATTTCATCTTGCCCGCGGGCTCCTCTTGACCTCGGTCTCTGATCAAGAATCCCTCGTTGCCATCTTTACCCGCATTTCCGTGATTCGAGTTGTTGGACTGTTGGACTGCTTCACGTCGATTTGCACTGCCATACCAGCACAATGGGTCTTCTGTAGGTGTTTCTTCGATGACGTGAAAATTGTCAACCCTGAAATAAGCATTTCTAACTTGCCTTCTCAAGAGCGCTGGGAACCGCTTTGGAGTGGCCGGAAGCCAAGAAAAAAGCGCATCAAGTGCGACAGTGGGGAATTGAGGTATGCGAAGAGCATCGGTATCCGATCGTAACTGATCAGTACATCGGTCGTGCGCAAGAGCTGACGCATTGCATAGCAACTTCTGGCGAATTGGCGACGAGCCAAGGGTAAAGAGCGAGATGCTCTACTTTGGGGCGATGAGGTAGGTTAGCTCGATTTTCAACTCGGCGCATATCTCAGAGAAGCTTACATTTCATCTCTTGAATACGATAGGTCGAATACCTCGTGGTAGCACTCGATGATCAAGCCAAGAAGGCCCGTTTATCTCTCGCCCAGGCCGACATCCTGGAGTCTCTCGCTCGGGATGAGGCTCTTTGGAAGGCAGGCTCCGATACCAATGGTGAACATGGAGACCAGTAAGTCTGGCCAGGTCATGAACAAAGAAGTGGGATTCACATTCTCACATTTTCTATCAGCGTGGGAGAGAAACCTCCGCACTTCCACCCCGAGTTCGGACGTTTTATGCTGGAAGCCACCCCTGGCGAACCTTGGGGTATTGGGTTCAAGGACCTGCTGAAGGTCGAGTCTAACATGAAGTGGAGACGAGAAGTCGCAAAGGCACACATGGCCCCGAATGAATCCCCCATCACCCTGACGACCTTCCCGCGATTGGGGACGAAGGACGATTATATCCAGCCTTACTACCCCCATCTGGTCCTGCACTGCGCTCACAATTCGTACCGGATCAAATCGCCAATCCACACATCCGGTTCCCGACTCTGGCGGCCAATATTCGCTCACGCAGAGGTCGCAAGGTTGAGCTGAATGTGCCGGTCTTCAAGGATCAGAATACTCCTTCTCCTTTCAAAGATCCTACTGTCAACTACGATCTTCACCAGTGGCCCGAGGATGCCGACGTTCGCAATGGTGCCGCCAAAGACGATCATGTTTATATGGACGCAATGGCCTTTGGTATGGGCAGCTGTTGTTTGCAAATCACCTTCCAGGCCAAGAATATGACTGAAGGTCGGAAGCTTTATGATCAATTGAGTCCTCTTGGGCCAATTCTTCTAGCTCTTACTGCCGCTACGCCCATCTACAAGGGATTCCTCGTCGACACAGATGTGCGCTGGAACCAGATTGGCGCGGCAGTGGATGACAGAACCCCTGAAGAGCTTGGTGAAGCTGTGAGTGATCTAAGCCGTCCTATTCTTTGTGATTCCTCGCTGACTCCAACCTAGCCTCTTAAAAATGATCGATGGAGAATTCCCAAGTCTCGATATGCTTCTAATTCCACTTATATCTCCCAAGACCCTCGGTTGCGCAAGGAGTACCTGGACCCTGACCTCGTCGTTGACGAGGATATTAAGAACCGATTAATAGAGGAAGGCATGGATGCTATGCTTGCTACCCACTTTGCACACCTCTTCATTCGCGACCCACTGGTCATCTTCTCCGAGGACCTGAAAGAACTCGACTTGAATAAGGGAGACCATTTTGAGAACCTCCAGTCTACTAATTGGCAACACATTCGATTCAAGCCGCCACCATCCGACAAGGACGACATCGGGTGGCGTGTCGAGTTCCGATCCATGGAAATCCAAATCACCGACTTCGAAAACGCAGCGTTCAGCATCTTCATTGTCCTCATTACTCGTGCTATTCTGAGCTTCGACCTCAACTTATATATACCCATTGCACGCACAACCGAGAACATGCAGACGGCTCATACCCGCAACGCTGTACTTGACAGCAAATTCTACTTCCGCAAGGATCCATTTGGCCGTCGGGCCCCCAGGCACGCTACACAGCACTCCACTCATGGTAGCACCTTCTCTTCCGCTACCTCGTCAGCAGTCAACACACCTCCGCCATCGCCGCCTCTTGGCCCAGTCGAAACAGAGTATGAGTTGATGACCATTGCTGAGATTGTGAATGGCTGCCCGGACGGATTCCCGGGTCTGATCCCCCTGGTGGAGTCATATCTCAACAGCGTCAACGTCGATGTCGAGACACGGTGCTTCCTTGCCAGCTACCTGGACCTAATTCGCAAACGTGCTGACGGTACCCTGTGGACTGGAGCCAAGTGGATCCGCGAGTTCGTGGCCAAGCACCCGAGTTATAAGCATGACAGCGTTGTTTCTGAAGAAATCACCTACGATCTCGTCAAAGCAGTTGAGGAGGTGACTGCCAAGGAAGGCAAAAATGGCAGCATTGGTTGGGAGCTTCTGCGGGGCAGAAAGAATTAGACAGAAGCATTTTGCATTTATCCATAGGGCTGATAGACAGCCTAGAGGAGTCCTTCTGGCGGTAACATTAGAGAGATGAGATTCGTCTTTTTACCTCGGTATTCGATTTCCCATGCTATGGCTTAGCTCTCCTTTGTCTGTTTTAGTGCTCAGACTCTCGCCGCTTTTGCTCACTGAGTCGAGCTGAGCACGCCTCTGAGCGCCCCAATTTGATCAGTGATCATCCATATATACTAGAAGCTCTCTGATTTGCTTCCTGGGCATAACCTAATCGTAGGGGTCACTAACCGGATACCAGGTACATCAATAAAAAGCAACACGCTCACCATATCTACCCAATTACGAAAGCCCTAGCATCAACAATCGAACAGTTCATGCCATGGAGTCTATTTACTATTAAGTTCAAGTTTCTCAGCCGCGAAGCAGGACCCGATTTTCCACGCGTATCCTCGATGCAGGTGAATACCCTTAGACTAGATCTTCTGTAGGTTCTCTGCCGCTAATTGGCTAACTCGCCATCGGAAGTAATCTTTAAAATAGTTTAACGCACCGCAGTGGAAGTGGATTTCCTGATTCATCAAATCGAGAGCTAAGGAGGGCAGATCGGATAGGCGAGGGATTTGACTCCTGTGCTAGCCTAGCACTTGCCGGAGGAACCACCTTGGTCTCAAAAGTCGTCGAATCCAATATTGGCGAAGCGGTCGCTTATGAACCAGTTTCACCCACTTCTTCCTTTTAACATAACAATAATGTTTTGACCTTGGTCATCCCCCATGCGGTACCTGTTCTCGTCTGTCCCTGAGTTCGTGCTTGGTGGTATCCAAACACCCGCGATCCGTGCCCCGTTCGCCTCCAGCGCCATAATCATCATATCGCTTAATTGGAGGCGCTGTGCGGGTGGGTTGAAGCCTCAAGGGTCATATGGAGATGATTCGACAGAGATCGCAGCTTTGACTAAATTGGCTTCCTCAACACGAGGTGACTTTGCCTAATACGAAATAGCCTCATCCCTTCAAGGGTCCAAAGGCCACTACGAGAGTTTAAATACGGAGCCAAGCATCTTGGCGGGTCGTATATCATCAGCTAGTGTGTGGAGACATCTCATCTCTTCCTTAGCTCCTGCCCTTAGCTAGCCGCGGCTGTGCAGTAATGTCTTGATTTGCCTGGTTCTATGCAGGGTTTTTTTCCTCTTTTGAACAAGGGTCCGTTCAGGAACGAATAAGGAACGCCCTCACGTCCCTGACCAGGTCAGCTCGTATTGACGGAAAGGAGCGATGAAAAAAAGATTATCCAGCAGGAAAACTGTTATATACCGGCTCTCGCAACTCCCTCTCTGTGAGACACTCACTGATCTGACCTTCTCCAGTTCCCTCGGCACACTTGTGAATCGTCTTTCCTGCGCCAGTACATATCGAGCAAGCTTGCTCGTATCCTCAATCGTTTGCAACAAACTTTCTTTCAACCGAAGCCCTTTCAACAGCGAAAATGCGTTTTACCGAACTTTCACTTCTCTTTGCACTCTCTGCCGCGACGGTTGTTTCCGGCCAGAAGAACTACCAGAAGGGGAACTTGCCTACCAACGATAAGACCCTGTTCAAAGGCCTGACTTCCGACAACCACCTCGTGGCCCGTCAGGGTTCTGCCGGTGGCTCTGACTTCTGCTCCGGTCGTTTTGTCACCTGCGTCAGCTGCTTTGGTGCTGGATACGTTGACTGCCCTGATGGTGTGACATGCTATAACCCCAGCGATCCAACCACTTCATGCTCAGCCTCTTCCGGTTCCAGCTCTTCAGGCTCCAGTTCTTCCAGCTCAAGCTCTTCTGGCTCCAGCTCTTCCGGCTCAACTTCTGGCTCCAGCAGTGACTATTGCTACGGCAAGACCTGTGCGGGCTGCTTTGGTGCAGGATACTTGGAATGCTCTGATGGGTTTACATGCTATAACCCTAGCGACCCAACTACCTCCTGCCCTTCTGGTAGCTCCGGTTCGGGCTCTGGCTCTGGATCTTCTGGCTCCTCTGCCACCACCGCTGCCGGCCCCTCCAGCTCAACGTCAAACTCTCTATCCGGTTCCGGATCAGGTGGTAGTCTCGACACTACATCTTCCACGACCTCCAGCGCAGTGCCCTCTCAGACAAGTAGCACATCTTCCTTGGGCTCTTCTGGCAACTCTGGATCATCCAGTAACTCCGGCTCATCGAGCAGTTCTGGAGCACCCAGTTCCGGAGCAACTGTTCATGGAAATACTGCAGCGGGTATCTCCACTCCCATGGGCGTTTCCCTGGGAATGGGTGGAATCTTTGCCTTGTTTGCTATCGCTGCCATGTAAATATAATTTCTTTCATTAATTTTATGTTCTTGTTGTGTCAGAATGTTGGACATCGACATTAATCACTGTCTTTGTGCATATTATTATCTTTGGGGTATGAGTTGGGATACTGGTCGAAGCTCTTTTTCTTCGTTCAGATTGATACCCCTTTATTACATTTTTCATTAATTTGAAGTTGAAGCGCCATAATATGATAGCATAACTACAATACATGCTAGAATTAAGGAGTGATTTTGAATTTCTTCTGCCTTTAACGAAAATCTTTTATTTCCGGCTGGTGACTTAGCAATGGTTTTTGCCGTGGTCAACATGAGTGATTTCCACGCGCTTTATAGCGAACTGCTTCGACTATTGAAACTTCAGGGACGGCGAAAAAGAAAATAAGTCGAGTTCGAGTTCAGTGAGGGAAATGCGCATATACGTCTTCAAGATGCCCGCAACCCTCTTGAATGACTCGAGGTCTAACTTGACCGAGAAACCTCCGAAAAATAATGAATCATACTATTGCCTTGTTGATATAAATCGGCAACTACACAATATTTGCTCAAGTGTAAGAATAGCCGGAGCTCCGCTTGATGTCGGCTCCCCACGTAGAGAGGAGAACAATCCTGAATTGTTAGCGTTGTTTTCCCTTTCACTGGGCAATACGAAAGTGAACCCAGATTCTTACAAGCTTAAAGAGGCTTGAGTAATGTTTTCTCATTAATTTCTAAATTTCTAAATTGACGCACAACTTGGAAAGGATGACTAGAAATTTCAATATGTAGATCATTTCACTGGATATACAGTAATTTCATTATGTTCTCCCACAAAGCGCAGTGCCACCAACGCATCAACGTGAACTCCAAGGAAAGAATAGATTATGCCACTTTTGAAACATGTTCTTCGGGTCATAAAGTTTTTTTTGAGCTTCTGCAAGCGCGGGAGGTTATCGCCGAAAAGTTCTTTTTGCAACCATGTTCGATCTTCATTAGATCAAAAAACATATTTCTGATCACCTCTGTCGGTCGGCTGCAATCCTAGGTGGAGAGTACCCATCGAAAGTCTACACAATTTCGGGCTTCGAGTCAGTCCTTTGCGAGAAGAGGATTGGTAGATTGAGCAGTACCTCATGGCATAGTGCGAAGTATATTCTAAGATGTCTAATCACGATGACGTGATCGTCGAAAACCTATAACTATCTATCTAGTTTTGCACGTCAGATCCTGGCCTCTCTTTTCCGTTTCAGTGCTCGAATCCTCAAGGCTTTGCTCGCCGAACAAGTCAGATTCACTTAGTAGTGCACTATGATTCGAGAATCACTGCTTCTACGGACTTCTGTATCAGTAAACAGGTAACAACTCAGTGCCTAGTGTAATTTCACATGCTTCTAGGCATCCCTTTCAGAAAGAGAGCCATGAGACGTGCAGAAAATCAATTATCTTCTTCGTCTGGTTCATTCATTGGTTCAATATTTTATGAATCAGTGATTATTCAAAGCAAACGGCGAAGAAAGAAAAGGCTTCCATAAACATAGTTCAAACTCCAAGAAGCCGGCACACTATATCATCAAAGAACAAAGGAGGAGCCCGAGTGATCTCGCCGGATCTCTCACTCCGGTCACCATGTTTGTCAAATCTATAGTGTCGGACAACGTCGGAAAAGAATTCCGCTATACACGATCGACTTCGGTAACATAGGCCATTCCCTTCTCTTCCAATGTACTTGATACTGGTGACTCGATTTCATAAGCTATGAAATCTTGTAATTAGCCTTTTTCTCATCTACATAACGTGAAGGGCGGTAAATATTTTGTCGACACTCACACTTGAATTGGCGAGCTGGCACACCGTTTTGAAAGAGAATTTGGATCTCTTCGAGCGTCCTCCCGGATGTTTCCGGGAGGAAGAAAAATACCCAGACTGCTGCTGCAATCATCAGGCAACCATAAATGAATCCAACTCGAGCACTGAGGCCAGCAGCATCCGCGTTGAACAGGTACGGGAAGGTGAACGTGACCATCCAACTGCAAAACCAGTTGGTCGCAGTCGATGTCGCCATAAGTTTGCCACGGTTTGGGCCGGTGGAGATCTCCGAAGTCACAACCCAGACAGCAGGTCCTAGGGCGAGATTAAAGACTACCATAAAGATATAGACCATGCCCACAATGGTTCGATCCAATGCTAAAGACTTGGCGGGCGCGGTTCCAGCTCCTCCCACGATTAGCAACACGATAGCAACCATGCTGCATGATAAGAGTATCATGGACCGACGACCGTAGCGCTCCACACAGTACTGGTTGAGCCACACGGCTGGCATTGCAACCAAGTAGAGACCTAACTGGATTAGGAAGGAGTTTGTCATTCCAATGGCACTGAAGAAAACAATGCCGTAACTTGTGATGAAATTGATACCAGAGCCCTGTTGCCACGCTATATTCTGTAAAATTAGCAAGATGCAGCTTTAGCGAAGGCAAGAAGTGATATTATTCTACTTACCTTGAAGCGCGATTCCAAGATAGGCTTTGCGACCGTCCATGTTCCACTTCAGCAAGTCTTTCCAGAAGCCCTCGGCCCGCTGCTCTTCTTCGACAAGCCCAGTCAGGTACGTCATCTCATATTCAATGATGTCCGGACGATCACCACGCAGCCGTAGAAGAGATTCCTTTGCTTTTTCAACCTTCCCTTGGGATAACAGCCACCGTGGGGACTCTGGGGCAAAAGTGAGCAGGCCTGGAACCAAAATGACCGGGAAGATAAGCTGCACTGCCATTGGAATGCGGTACGCCCCGCTGTCGTTGCGATCTTTGGTGGAGTTATCCACAATCACTCCGAGCAACAGTCCAAGGCCGATATTGAACTGATACAGAGACACGAGGGCACCGCGGAATTGGGCTGGGGCACAGTCTGCGACGTACAAAGGTACCAGACAAGAGATCAGCCCCACCGCATAGCCTGTGGGAATGCATTAGCTGGCTTGTTTTTTAATCAACCACAAGAGAATCAACCCACCTAGCAGCAGCCTTCCAGTAATCAACAAGCCCAAATTATCAGCAGCGACCTGGAAGATCGCGCCTATGACCACGAAAGCGCTTGACACGAACAGTCCTCCACGACGACCGAATTTGTTGTCTATCAAGAAGGATGAGATAGCACCAACAAACTCGCCGGCATTGATGATGCTGGTAGTCAGGGATTGCATGCTTGAGCTGAGGACATAACCGCCCGTCGTCGTGTCGTAGTGACCATAAGCCTTGATGAAAGGCTCCATAGCCAGAATACCTAGACGAAAATCAGTGAGTAATCGCCCTAACAGGCCTTCCCGTCTGGGACATACCGGAGTAGTAAGAAGAGTCAAATCCAAATTGGAAGGCCGCGATTGTAATGAACAGGCAAATCCCGATAGCACGCCATTCAGCGCGGGCAGCGGCGACCGCTGACATTTGAGCCATCAAATCCCGAGGTAACAAGCTAGGTTGAGTGCAGGAGGGGACGGAAGGTCAATTCAAAGGTGTTGCTGATGATGAGGTGAAACCGGGAGCCATTTTGCTCCAATGCGGAGGCCTTTTTATATTCGTGAGTGTGCGACTCCAGGTTGAATCCTGGATCCGGGGTAAATTTGTAGCCGCTTGGAAATTCGCCGACTCCCCCACACCAAATTCGCCGATTAGAGTTCGACGGACCGATTTTTAGTGCCAATGAGTGTTTCGTTTCTTTAGCCGATTGGCTATTGATGAATGAAACGTGCAATTCTGGATCTGTTCCTGTGATTAAAGTATCTCCGAGCTGATCTTGGGTGGCCTGCCCCGTCTATAAATTATTTGCCTGCGCCGCAGAGATGAGTTTGACTCACAACCACATAGCTCCTCCGTGAGACCCAAGCCATGGCTGCTCCAGAAGGTCAGCCACGCGTGGCGACGAACCTTGACGGCGATTTGCCCCAAGTCGTACTTCCCACCCGAACGATCCCTTCTTACGAACAATGCGTGGTCGGGAGACACTCACTTGTCCCCGGAATCGAGGAATTCAGGGGCATTCCTTACGCAACAGTTCCCGCAAGGTGGCAGCACGCGCTTCTGCGCGACCGTTTACCCGAAGACGTCTTCTATGCCACTCAAAATGGGTACGTGCCTTCGTAGGAATTGATACAATTTCACTGTAAAGCAGCAAGCCAACTAACCGTACACTCGCTAACAGCCCTCGGTGCCCACAGCCGCAAGAGCCCAACAATAGCGAGTTCTATCAGTCCCATCTCGAGTTCCCTGGTGATGTCACGGAATCAGAGTTTGACTGTCTCAACTTGTTTATCACAAGGCCAAGTGCATCCGCGCTCATTGCGGCCGGATGTACTCCGGAATATGTGAAGCTGCCGGTTTTTGTATACATCCATGGCGGAGCTTACAGCTTCGGCGCCGGGACCGATCCCATGTGGGGTGAGTAGCTGAGGCTTTGATTCCGAACAGGAAACCCCAGAATACTGAACTTTTGGCAGATCCTGCCCGCTTGGTGAAAAGGTCCGTGCAGTTGGGCACTCCAATAATTGTTGCTACCATTAATTATCGTCTGAACATGTTCGGCTTCGCTGCTTCATCGGAGATTATCCAAGCCCAATCGGACGGCCGACTGAAGGGATGCAATTTTGGTCTGGGAGACCAGCGCACTGCTCTTCGCTGGATACAGCAGAACATCGGTGGGTTCGGTGGCGATGCAACCCAAGTCACCGTCGGCGGTCAGTCTGCTGGAGGAAGCTCTTCACATGCCCATATTCTGGAAGCGATATTAGGCGAGGGTGAGCCCTTGGTTCAGCGCGCAATTATCCAGTCTGGTGCCGTTGGCGTACTTGGACCTATCAGCATGGAGGCTGCAGATCGACGGTGGACTACCTTTTGCCAACGAATCGGGGCTCCCAGTGATGACTTTGTCTCTCGAATGAAGTTCATGGCCACAGTCCCGATAGAAAAGATTCTCCAAACACACCAACAACTGAGCTGGGAGGTTTGTCCACTCGTGGTAGACGAGCTCACCATCTCAGAAAGATCAAACGGTCGTTGGAATATCCACTTGGCTGGCAAGGAAGAGCGAGTGAGAAGTGTTCGGAACACTGAGAGTTCCGCGGTCATTTCTGTGCTCATTGGGGATACGGATCTTGAGGTCAGTCAACTGAGCAGTCTGTATTGCTGGAGCTAAGACTAATGATTATATGCTTGAGAAGGGATCCATTCATTTCTCTCAAGTTTCGGATATTGAAAGCTTTGAGCAGCTCAATGGGCGGCTCGCGTCCAAAGTTAAGTCTACTGAATTTTTGGACAGATTGTATCGGGCCTATGGCTTGGAACCAAATATTTCAGTGGCCCGGCTTCACGATGGGATTCTTCAATTTTTATCAGACATGCAGTTTGGGAATCCCATACAGCTAGCCCGGGAAGAGTTGATGAGTTGGGATCTGTCAAAGACAAAGCACATAGCGGAAGGTACAAGTGCTCGCCCAACAGCCGTGCAATCATACCGAGTACAGTTTGGTAACCCGTTCCCGGGTATCAACTACGCAAAGGCTCACCATTGTGTGGATCTCATATACATATTTGACTGCTTTGCGGAAGCATTGCGTGATGCCGATAAAATCCTGCCGGCATCAGTTGTCACACATGCTTCCCTGGTGGAGCGCATTCAGGCTGACTGGATAAGGTTCATTGCGGCTCCCTCCACCGGGGATCAGTATGGTCTTGCCACTATCTACGATGTTGATAGAATGGTTTCGACCGTTTCCATGGCGTTGGACCGAGACTTTGCTGAGAGGAAGGCTAGACTCGATGTCTTGGACAGCTATACCCTTGCTGCGCAGCAGGCTATCCAAGCGCTGACAGGTAGTGGGCATGTACTCTAGACTGTTATTATGCTATGCAGATGGCCAAATCGTAAGGTTGCAATGTCATCGCAATACAAGGGAGGTTTGTTGCGGAAGAAAAATGAGCAAGAAAAAGTGCGGAAGCAGAAAATTAGAATAGGCAGTATACCCTCACAGGCAGAACTTTAGCTCGTTGGACAGTCACAAGACTCACGCTTAGGTTATCAAGGGAGGTATTTGCGATGGTCATACAGAGAATTACTGAATTGACGGAATTCTGTACAATTAAATAATTCATTCAGATGCTGGCGAGCATACCCATAAGCCTCTATGACCTGGGGTCCACCGATAAGCAAGCATTTCTGGGTCCAAGTCTGGCAAAATTTGATGACGTTCCGATGAGGAGCTCAGGCCCATATTATGGGACAAAGCCCGGCGAAGCACCTTGGCGAAGGTCCGCTGATAGTCCATATTTGTAGAGGCTACAAATATGTCCAATACCTGCAAGTTGATGAAGCAATTGCTCAAAATCAAATCATCAGACTGTCGACCCAGCTTTTGTGCAAGAATCAGAAAGATGAAAGAGGACTGCAGGAAGTACGTCCCGAAGAATCTATACATCAAGCATAATTGAGGATCAGCCTCGAGTATGTGATGTGCCACCTGATATCATTCACCTTGTTAGCTGTTCTTCAAATTAGCTAGCGGTATTGTTGATGCGTGATGCTTGCATTTGCGCATGCAACGGCGTGTTCACCTGCAATGAGGAAATCTGAAGAGAGTTGCCATTCAAGGTCGTGGTGCATTTGTACTAGATCCATCGGGCCATATAGTAGAATAAACATGCAATGGTACATGTGCATGCCATAATATGCGGCTGTAGGGGTCCCCGGTGGTCGGGACGATTTGCACTCTGCATCAGCAATCGTGCAAAAATCTTCACCCACAAGGGATGAGAACGAAGAGAACCATTGGCCTAGATGTTCAATGATATTTTTGCGAATCTCATCCAGAAATTCTTTCCTCTTGTTGAAGGTTGGATGTTCGCAGAGGAATTGATGTTCCAGGATCTCGCCCAGAATCCTATCAAGGTAAGCTTGAATGTCAATTGTGAAATGAGGAATTTTGCAAAGTCGTACCTCGACAGCGGCAAGAAAATACCAAACATATCTAGACTGGACACACGATAGCTGAGACAGTTGGTCTCCTTCGCTTCATGATTAGAACAATCCAGAATGGAGTCCAGTTGCCTCCGGGCCTCATCTGGGCATGGAATTGGGAGAAGAGAACATTCTGTGTCAGCGAACTGTGGCCGTGCATTGAAGGACAATGCCGTATGTCGGTCAATTATGTACGTTGCCCACCACAGTCTGCCCGGAAAACATGATTAGCGTGGACACAATCCAAAGCGACTCGGAAGAGCTCATGCCTCCTTCTTTCCTCTTTTTCGTCTTCGGGTAGACTTGGTTCATCCCTGTACAGCTGTAATTCTTGTACAATGAACTTGAGAAGGGAGAGCCAGTAGTGTAGACTCGACTCTACCGACTGCTCACTCGGAGAAATAGTCGCCATAATGAAGACTGTCAAACCCTCATCTAAAGTATAAGTGATTTCCGGAAATCTCTTGGATTGAAAATGAGAGACGAGTTTGTGGAACAAGTAACGTCCCAGGGTTGTATGCTCCCTCGTACTCTTTCCTGATACAATGGGTGCTCCAGCAGCCAGTGGCATGAAACACGCAACACCTATGATGACGTGTGATTATTTATTCAATGGAATTTTGACTCTCTGTCGCTACAGAAGAGAAAGGAGACGTACATAAAATGGATAGAAGCAGCATTGGTTGTGTAGGACGAGGGACTTCGTGATTTAGTAGTCTGTCTCTCCGTATGAGGGCAGTATGGAATTCTTGATTCGGTGAATCATAAAAGTTTTCCAAAAGACGGCAGGCGTCATATCGTGTGAGGCGCGCTGTAGAAGGGCTGGATTTTATGGTCAGCATATATTTGATTGCTTCAGATCTTCCTTTGGATTGTTAGTTCCTTACTTTGGCTGTTCTCCATCTGGCTCAATGATGGAGAGATCTCGAAGACAGTCTAGAACCGGATAATCAATCGTATCCTACACTCAGATTTAGCCTCCATACAGAAGAGGGTCCAGGGTTATCTGGCACCCTACCGGTCTACTCTCAGGGGAATTGCCGAAGATAGCTCGGTTTGCCTTCCTGCCGCGCTTTTTAATCAGTCGATTTGAGGTACATTGAATACTTAATCCTAAAAAGGGTGAGAAAACAATCGCTACGTAGGTATGAGAGGCACATACTGTTGCAACGCATGCATCCCTGCAACTGAGGAGTACATTTCAATTTATGGCGATGGCACTGATCACAGGCGATCCCTTTCGGTATTTCCATTTCTCGCTAAAAAGAAGGGTTTTAAAATGGAAAGGCGCGGAGCGAGCGAGGAACCTTATGACTGAACTGAAATTGATAGCGCAGGAGAGTCATCATCGCTCCGCGCAAATAATAATCAGGTGAGCGACAAGCACAGTGCTAACCATTTTGACGCAAAGTGTAGGTACCGCTTACGCGTCCGCCTGACCTTGATATGCCCAGTTTCTGCCAGTCCAAAAATGCTTACTCAGCATTCTGGCACGGCCTAAGTTAAAGAGGTAAGGAGAGCCAGTAAGGTTGCAAACCGTCACTCAAGGTTAATAGATAAGAAGAGTTGAGTGGGACACGAGAGATATAAAAGGAAATCCGTTGGATTAATGGATATGTAGGAAGCCAAGTTCTACGGGGTCTGGAGGATATGAATAACCTTGGTTATATGTCTGGCCAAAATGGCAAACAATAACTACCTACATCTTATTAATAGATCAAATGAATGAGCTATCTGATCACACTTACCGAACATTTGGAGTGCCCTCTGGTCAGTCATAATAGTCTCTTGAACGGGTCGCTGAGTCTGAGTTCTACTCACGAGTCTGACTTTGGGCCTGTCCTAAAAGCGGCGGCCCATCCGAAAGGAAAGCCCTACCCGTCAGAGCAAATCAAGTAGGCAAATTTACGTGTAGTCAGTCCATAGCAAGCAACAAGAGAAATTCCTCTGAGACCCCATTTGAAACCCCGTTCAATAACCGTTTTAGATACGTTGTCCATCTATCAAACCATGTCGGTTCGGGGCTTGTGGTTTACTGACCTATGTCTGCCTTCTGTAGGATCATTCTCCCTTCCATACCGCGCAAGCCTGTAACAAAGAACGCAATGTCTGCTGGCTCTTCACTTTGTATAGCATATTTCACGAAGGTAGTAAGGCCACTTAAATCCATCCTTCAGCGACTCTACCATCGCATCAGTAGGGTACTTAATGTCTTCCAGGAAGAAAAGTCAGATAATGTTCAAATTTGGGGCTTTCGCTTGGGTATAACAATACATTGAAAGAGTTAGATAGTGCGTAATCTTGTTTTGTTTAAGGCGTAGGCAAACTCCTAACCTTTGTTCTCTCCTGTCCAATTGCAAACTCAATACAGTGGAACCTTGATATTGACAGGACTTTCCAATTCGTTGACCACATGGGTATTGCTTAGCTCAGCCGCTGTGTTATCGCCCTGAAGCTCGACCGCACGCACCGGCCTTGTACCTGAACCTGGCGCAGAACGAGCTTGTGGTGGCTTTTGCATCTCCAAAGTGGCCAATCCGGGGCCTAGTGAGGAAGGTGATTTGTACGACGGACCTGTGTAACCCATACTTGGACCGGTATCGGGGGCTGGTTTTTGGCGCTTTTGTCGGCCCAGCAAGAATAAAAGTCCTCCAATTATGGCAACACCGGCGATAACCCCAATCACGATTCCCGCAATTGCTCCACCAGATAATGCTGTGCCAGCCGAAGAAGAAGACGACGAGGAGGGGGACACAGTCGCGGTAGCCGTTGTTGGTGTTTGAGCAGTACTTGAAGTGTTGGAGCTTGACGTCAATGTGGTACTTGTTGAAGAAGCAGAGGTAGTTGTTGTAGCGGTAGAATCAACTTTGAACGAAAGGATCGGCTTGCTGGCGTTTTTGTTGAAGATGTGTGTCGCATAACCCCCGGGGGACCAGAGCAATCTGTGTTTGCATACAGAGAGATGGCAAAAGGGCCATCTTCAGAGTCCCATTCAAATAGCTCTCCTTGTGCATTGTTTATCTGCGTACATGACATTGGCTGCTGGTCATGTTCCACGAATGCATTGTCTGATGCATTGCGCCAAACAAAGGTCCATGCATACCCGAATGGCAACACGGATAGAAGGTGTAGCGCTAAAAGTATCGCTGTTAGGTCCATCTGGCAATCAATGTGGAAAAGGGACAATGGACAGGAAAGTCGGTAAAATTAAGCTATGGGGGATTTGCCTTGCGGTGGTTCCCAGATGATCTTTATGTCATCTGCAGACAAGTGTAAGGGGGCAATGGAGGGGAATGAGGAAGGAGGACTCAGACCTCGTATTCATCATTCGTCTTAATCTTGGGAGCTGAACCTCATAGCACCCCAACTGGATGGTAGGGCATCGTTTCATCTCCGATCCCTACTGTTTATGGTAAAGGATGTGCAACTTTATCCTGCAGGGTTTCGCGGTATGTTGCTCACTTGGGCGGGTTCGTAAAGCCTAATTTCTCTGTCAACCTCGACGGTCCCTCTCGTTGATCAGGCAGCGATTGCAGGAGTTTGAAAGACAGTGCATACGATCCAAGCTCATAATAGGGAGTCTCCAAGGAAAAAGTGGAGTTTCTCACATACGGACATAAATCAAAGATAACTCGATTTTCGTCTGATCGTCCCTGATCGTCCCCTTGTCGATCATTCCTTAAATACGTTTGTCAGGATGAGGGAATTTGCCCGTGTCATGGACGGTGGGATTGGTCGAGTAAGCTTAACCTTGAATCCAACGGGAGAATCAGGGCCACTCTACCAAGCCCTTCCTCTGATAAGTAGACATGAAGCCAGATCCAATCAAAGTGGAGAGATGCTCGTCATCAAGTTGGCCAAGCAAAGCCTCGGGTCCTCTTTGACACCACGCGCAAAGTGGCGCCATTGTTATACGGACGACATGCCAGCTTCGTGTTTTTCGCTCTCCGTTCTCCATAAATCGAGCTAGGCTTGTCAGAGAGACAGTCACTTTCTGATCTCATCCAGTCTTCGATGAAAAATGTCTCATATCATTGTATGCTCAGTGAGAGTTGCGGCCTGGCACTTACAATTTGTTCTGGGTCTGCATTTTGACCCTCAAACCGTCGACGGACGATGACCCTGCGAGTTTCGCATCGAGCCTATGAGAAGTAAGGGAAACAGGAAGCAGACCCGTCAATTTAGAAGTATGGAAAGTATGAAATAGCAAAAGGATTTCATTTTGCTCCCCTCCAAACCTGCAAGGCTTGAAAAAATCTGGACGGGCGTATCAAGTCACCGGAGAAGAAGGCAAAGAGAGGTTTCGAGCGATGTTTATCTGGATTTATTGCAATATATCTACATGAAGCAGCCGGGACAATCAAATGGAAACAAGAAATTCTTCACCTCAACACAAACCAAGATATCTGGAGGTGCAAAAAGTACAAATTTGGACCCAGTCGGAAAGGACACACAATAAATACGACAAGCACACCTCAGGAAACCGGCTTCAGAACTCATTCCAGCGTGATGCATGCGAGAACAAGCCCCGCGGGGTTCTCTCGCCCCGCAAGCCAAGTCAGACGCTGTCATCATCGCCCGCAGGAATCCCTGTCGGCCAATTCCTTGAATAGTCGATTACCCCGGATTCTCAGCGTCCCATAATTTATCAAACATCAGCACAACATTCTCAAATCCTAATTTGATTTTCACGTTTGACTTCGGTACCGCCATCAAAGACCAAAGCTTATTCTCGGCAATCTTTACAAGTGCCAAATATGTACCTCGGCGAGCACGATGAAGTCAGGAAACCCCTCTCCGGATAAACTTCGGTGTTCAACTAACTTTACAGCCACTAGAAATACAACCCTATCACCAATCCGGGCATTCACCCGCCGGAACTGAGCGGCTTCCAGATTAGTTCTCCGCATCTTCATCCCGCCAGCAGGTACTAATTTTAATTACTGTGCCGCTGTGAGCGGGGCCAAGCCACCTGTTGTGCAAAAATGATGTCTCCTCTTCTATACTTCCCTGAACATCGGGGGCATGTCGATGCCGAAAGTCCCGCAGGCCGAAGCTTATTACCTTCCAACTATATCACGGCAGTCCGTCACGGCATATATTGAGCGTCCTCGGAGTCCAGAATTTGGCCGACTTGCATCATTCTTGTTTGAAGCAAGCGCTGATCGTGAACAAAATAGGTGTGAGGCCCCTTGTCTTCCCCGCATGATGTCGAACATCCCCGGATTTCTCGGAGATAGTATAAAATGAGACCCCTAGTCCCGAGGGCAATGGCCAGTTTGTGTGCACTTCCACGAGTAAGTCCATATTCAGGGGAGTATTCCTAGAATGTTCGCTATCGCGACTGGCTTTCTCGCTGCGTGGGCAGTGGCCCATGCAGCTCCCAGTGGAAAATCTGCTCCCACTGTCACTGTTCGCAATGGAACCTACACTGGAGTGCATAGTACAAGTCATGGCCAGGATTTTTTCTTGGGTATGCCTTATGCGCAGCAGCCTGTGGGTAATCTGCGCTTCACCGTGCCGCAATCACTGAATAAGAGTTGGGATGGGTCACGCGACGCGAAAGAATACTCAGATATTTGTGTTGGATACGGGGTAAGTCCATTGTCTATCCCTACAGACTGGCAATATCTCACTTCATGATAGACCGACTCTATTTGGTACCCGCAATCTGAAGCCTGTCTTACCTTAAACGTCATCCGAGACTCGTCTGTGAAGGAGAACTCCAAGCTCCCTGTGGGAGTCTGGATCCATGGCGGTGGCTTCTTCATGGGATCGGGGAACGATCAGCGGTACAACATGTCTGCTATCGTTGCAAACTCTTACAAGATTGGTATTTACCCAGACAAAGATCCCTCTATTCATCTCCAATTCTCAAAGCTGATTTCAAATGGCGTCTAGGTAAACCATTCATTGCCGTCACTCTGAACTACCGACTCTCTGCTTGGGGGTTTATCAGCTCGAGTGAAGTGTCCGGCAGTGGCAACACCAATCTCGGCCTACGAGATCAAAGACTTGCACTCCACTGGATTCAGGAGAATATCGCTGCCTTTGGTGGTGATCCTACCAAGGTCACAATCTGGGGCGAGTCGGCCGGTGGCATGTCAGTCGGCTATCACTTGACCGCATATGGAGGCCGAGATGATAAACTGTTCAGAGCTGGTATCATGGAATCCGGAGGATCCATCTCAGCCAATGCCGGTAACTTCACGACGTACCAGTCCTCTTATGACACACTGGCTGCTAGTGTCAACTGCTCCGACGCAGCGGACTCACTACAATGCTTGCGGGAGGTTCCTTTCGAAACCTTAAACTCGGTTCTGAACGGGACCGACGGCTCCTCCGACTACAACTTCTCGCCTGTTGTAGATGGGGATTTCATGCGAAATTATGGCAGCGTCCAGTTGAACAATCACGAATTTGTCAAGGTCCCTATTATCTCTGGAACGAACATGGATGAAGGAACCGCGTTCGGACCGACGGGAATCAATACCACCGAACAGTGGTATGAGTATCTCACAGGTAGGCTATTCGCATCCAGACCCTGCTCCTATTCATTGCTAACGTCAAGTTAGACGGCTCATTGGGCAAGCAATTACCTACATCCATCGCGAAGCGCGTCATAGAACTCTATCCCGATGACCCGTCACAGGGTATTCCGGCATTCCTTGGCGACCAACGTGTACCGTCAATGGGCTACGAATGGCGACGCACCAGTGCCTTCGCAGGTGACTTCACCATGCACGCCAATCGACGCCGACAATGCGAGGCGTGGTCCGAGAGCTCAACGCCGGCCTACTGTTACCGATTTGACGTACATTCTGCCGATGTCCCGCTCATCGTGGGCGCAACGCATTTCGAAGAAGTCTCTTTCGTATTCCACAACATTGCTGGATTGGGCTACCACTACGGAAAGCCTTTTGCAGGTGTGCCACAGTCCTATATCGATCTCAGTACCATGATGACGAGCATGTGGGCTTCATTCATTCACGACCTGAATCCGAACTCCGGCGTGGTGAATAAGTCAATTCATTGGCAGGCATATGGAAAGGATAAACCGGTCGATCTGCTCTTCAGTGCCAATACGACCAGCTATATGGAGGGTGATACCTGGCGCAAAGAAGGGATTGACTATATCAATTCGATTGCAAAGGCAGTCTGGCGATAAATAAGGCTCACAGGAAGTCTAGTTAGCCGACATGCGAAGATACAAGGGTACTGTCTGAGTGATATGTGTGTAGGAGAAAGTCATCTAGTTGTCCCCAACCAGATCGGTTTTATCGCCGACCTCCATGTGGTACCTCAGTGGTAAGCCACTGTCTCTTGTGACGATGACATCTTGGCGTTGCAGTGTGTAGACAAAGCCCTGGTACTAGCAAGAGCTCAAGTTGATTAATCGGACGTGTCTCACATCACCCTGTGCCCCTGTCGGCTATATTATATCATAACTGTGGAATGTCACTCGTGATGCAGCTCTATCTCTGACCTAAAGTAGATTAACAACACTCCACGTGTGCGACCGGGGTTTGTAAGCTCGGCCGGATCGATCTAAGCTCCGCCGAGACATCACCTTATATCATAATTGGCCCATTCGTCGATACATACGGAGTAGATCTGGCCGGAGCGTTCCGCCGCATCCGATGCAGCCGAACCAACGCCGTACGCTTAGTCACGACAGCGACGTAGGTTATGGTAACTAATTCCCGGCCGAGCGAGACACCCAGTCAAGCGAGACACCCCATGACACATAGTAAATGCGATAAATTACTACTTCATATCTCAACAGCAATAAGTTATTTTTACTTGAATATTAGGATATAGGCTTCTCTTAGCATGTGAAATAATATAACTTAGTTTTAAGCAATTTAGATGATTATTTCGATGCTTTACCATAAAATACGGCGTAATCTTGTTATAGGGGACATAAATATATATATCTCTATTAATATTTCCAGTAATCTTTCTATACTTCGTTAGTAGGTTAGAAATACTGTCTAGATTATGTACTTCTAATATCTTATCATAAATAGATATGGTTGTTCAAATATGAAGGGGTAATTTATCGCATTTACTATGTGTTTTTTTGGGGTGTCTCGCTCAGCCGGGAATTACGTTAGTTAACTAACTTAGAAATAGAAAGTTGAATGCGAAAGATATGAAACTAGAATTGGAATGGCGAGATTGTGTTGAATTCAAGTCCTTCTCCGCGGAGGAGCTAACATAACCCTAGCGCAAATCGAAGTCTTACCGAACCGGCTACGCATTGAAGGACTATTTACCAAATTGGTTGTAGTGCCTTGCAGATGGAATGGATCGGTGACCCGACGCCGATCGAGATTGTATGTGGGGATGCGTATGTAACACTGACCCCTTTTGCCAGTGCGAGCATTCTACGGTTCAAATGGAGCTCGAGAGTCCATGATACTGATTCTCGGGTCGGCAGGGCTCCATCGACCATCGGAACGGGAACAAGCATGGGATGATACGATTCAGAAACGAAGCATATACAGTGTGTAGGGGCTAACAGTGGACATAACTCAACTATAGAGCGCTAAAGTATTATTAGAAGAGCCACATTTCATCCGCACGAATCTCCATAAACTCAACGATGAGCCGCACCCAGACCAGCGCCAAGTGAAAAGTCAACCGCTATGGAATTCGGACCCATCACTAGTGGGAGAAGCAATCCGAAGTAATCTTCCAGCACGTCAAAAAGCAGAATCGCGTATCGTGTGAAACCCTCGGCCCGATTTCCGACCAACACTTTAGTATCGGGGAATGCTACATAGGACGAACTATTTACTGGCGTGCAGTTCGTTCCCATTATGGATGAAACCCTATTTACAGGTACATCGGCTTTGGCCGAGAGGCCAACTCACCGGAAGAGAAACCCTTCCAGTGGCATTCCCCTGTGCGATGAATACGCGGTGAAACTACTGACGCGGCCCAACCCGCCACGATCGGACCATCTAGTAGCTTGACCCGAACAAAAGGTACAGGGGAAATAAAAATACAAATTAGGTAAATTCAGAACCTCGATACTGGAAAGGCTTGCGGGATTTGAACTGGCAAGGCTTACGGGATTTGAACTGGCCCCGCGTACTCCGTATAGGCTCTGAGAGGCCTAAATACAGAAAAACAAAAACATGAGAAAAGAAACACACCGCCATGCGAGATGCTGCATCCTGTGGGTTATCTGCGCAGGCGATCTAAGATCCCACGTCAGCTAGTGTCTCCCTAAACAAGGCAAAGATCCCCCTATACAGTATTTTAGTGTGCATGTCTGTTTATGCACCATGAAGATCCAAGACTGGTTGTGATGCCGTGCTGTACCTCCTTCCTGCCGTGCCACGATATGCACTTTAAATTCAGGTCCTATATTGTAGTGACTGGCGATGAGATTACACAGTCAAAGATCGCACAGCCGAGGATGTTGAGAGCTCCCATGCACCATGCATGCCATGGGTAAGGGAGATCTCAAAAAAAGTTGATGCAGTTGAATGCGGTGTCCGACAGCTGCAGGAGGCAGTCGATCTCGGAGGACCACGGCCCCCTCCTGCAGCCGCAGCATATCTTCGTCCCTAGCATGACCAGTGAGACTATTGTACCTCCTACAGTAGGTTGTACTCCCCGACTACCATATAGAGAAGGAAAAGAAATAAGAATGACTCGGCATGGGACTTTGATCCACTTTGCGGTACACTCGATCGATCGGTTCCCGTATGTTGCATCAAGTAAGCCTAAACAGGCACTTAATACGAACGTAAAGAACAACAACCGATCTGGGATGGCTCTTAACGCCCCTGATCCCTGCTAGTTAGTTAACTAACTAACTAACGTAATTCACAAGCGAACCGCTCACACAAGCGAGCCGCTCACCCCACCTGAAATCGCTCATTCCTACCTACCCGCCTAATTCAACCAACTACTATGCCACCAATTCGCACTGAATCTTCGCAAAAATCGGCCAATAAAGAGGGCAGGATTCTATTAGCCCTATCCGATATCAAAAATGGTCGTATCAAATCTCTTCGCGCAGCAGTGAAGCTATATGATATCCCCTACTCTACTTTGCGCGAACGCGCTTATAGGGTGATGTCACGCGTCGATACACGCCCAAATTCGCATAAATTGACTCAATTAGAAGAGGATTCGCTTGTTGAATAGATCTTCTCTATGGATACGCGTGGTACAGCGCCTAGGCGTGCTACTGTACGAGAAATAGCCGATATTCTTCTTGCAGCGCGTGGAATCACCCCTCCGCCGACCGTTGGTATTAATTGGGTATCAGATTTTATTAAACGACGTGATAAGCTTCGAACACGCTTCTCTAGGCGATATAACTACTAGCGCGCTCTTAACGAGGATCCAAAGGTTATAAAAGAGTGGTTTTTAATAGTATAACGCGCGATCGAGGAGAACGGTATCTAACTAGAGGATATCTATAACTTTGATAAGACCGGATTCGTAATAGGCCTTATATTAGCGTAGAAGGTAGTTACGAGAGTAGAATACTACAGTCGGCGATTAATTCTATAGCTAGGAAATCGCGAATAGGTTACTACGATCGAAGCAATATACGCTAATAGCTATTCGCTACCGCTATATATTATATTTATGAGCTAGGTTTATATTGCTAGTTAGTTTAAATTAAATCTCCCTAGCGATTAGCGGATCGAAGTATCGAATAATAGCTAGACTACCGATAATATTAGCCTACGCTAGCTATAAAAGATCTTTATTCTATACACTGCTTTACGCGTACGAGGGCGATTTCGTCTATTAATCCTCGACGGGTATAGTAGCTACCTTATACCATAATTCGATCGAATCTACGCTGAAAACGATATTATACTACTCTATATGCCTTCACACTTATCGTATCTACTACAACCGCTTGATATTAGGTGTTTCGCTGTTCTAAAGTATACGTACGGTCGCTTCGTGAGCGATTTAGCCCGAACTAGCTATAATTATATCGACAAGCTTGATTTTCTAGCAGATTATCCTCGCGCACGGCTAGAAGCTTTCCAGCCGAATATCGTTCAAAGCAGCTTCGCAGCTACTAGTATCGTGCTAGTTAATACCGATAGAGTACTTTCTAAGCTTAATATCTCTCTCCGAACGCCTTCACCACCATCAAGCCGACCAAGCAGCAGATCTAGCTAATTCACACCAAAGACGCCTAGAACAGCGATTCAGCTAGCAAAGCAGGCTAAAATGATAAAAGATCTAATAGATCGGCGATCAAAAAGCCCTCCAAGCCCGTTAAAATTAGTGGTTGATCAGATTCTTAAGGGCCACTATAAAGCATTACACCACACTGCATTATTAGTGAAGGAGAACGCTGATCTACGCGCAGCGAATGAAAAGAAACGTCAAAAGCGCACGAAATCGACTAGGCAGATAGCTCATAAGGGTGGCCTATCGATTGAAGAGGGCCTACAGCTAATTCAGAAGCAAATTCAGCCAGTTCAAGCTGATGAGGTAGTATCGCATAAGCAGGGCGAGTTACCTACTCAGCAGGATCAGCCACGCAGGAGGGCTCCGCCTACCTGTAGTGGATGCGGGCAGATTGGGCATAGGATTAATCAATGTAAAAATCGCTAGTTTAGTACTAATTAATATATTTCTGTTGATATATTCGCCTTGAAAAAATCGTAATGGGGGAAGGTGAGCGGCTCGCTTGTGTGAGCGGTTCGCTTGTGAATTACGTTAGTTCTTCTTCTGCTTATTCACTCGATCCGTGAAAGGAAACCTCCCAGAAATGTTAATTATAACAGCCAAATCAATAGTCGTCCCAGCAGGCTGGGACATCGATTCAATCTCCTCTCCAGGCGCCACTAGTGACTTCGATGCTCGATTGGCCCCGCGATCCCAGGCCGCCAGATAGACTTTCGCCCAATGCTCCAACAGCGTGTGTCTGCGGGTGGGGGTCCCAGCCGCCACTAGTGACCAGCGTGCTCGGGAACGACCAGTGAGATCAACCGCGATGGAGCAATCGGAACTCAGAATAGGCGAGCCTGTGAGCTACGACTGGTTGTTTTATCCCCCGGTTTCTGTGTGCCCCACATACGACACCAACCCACTAATTATGGTGCAGGTACGTGGGTGATCGAGGGAATGGGGGCGATTTGATATCATGAAGATAGGCGTGCACGGAGCAGG